ACCTCCCGTGAGACAGTTCCGCGGTTCAGGTTGTTCCACCAAGGGTAACCTAATCGCTAACCCACGGTCCGTGTCCCAATGCCGTGAAGTGACCACCAGTACGGAGGTTTGTCGCAGCCTCCTACACTTCCGGTTGTGTACCATGGGATCGTTCCCTGGATCAAATTCCCGGATCAATTAGATACCTGAACCCACGCGAAACTTTATAACCCTCATTGCGATGAATTGTGTACATGATGTCAGCTATGATCTATGCTGATAAAGCGACCACTCATCGCTGAGCTTGATTGATAATTTATGGGTATTGGGAGATGCACAGTAAGGCTGTGATGGAGGTAAACCATATTCTTCCCTGTTAACCACGCGCTATAGCCAAGAAGAGGAGAGAGTCCACTAGCTAGAGGGAGGGGAAAGAAAATGAGCTTGAAATGATTAAGAGTGATCAGGTCTGTTTGATCAATTGCGAACAAGACCGATGCACAGTCAATCTCTAGATTAGAATTTGGGCCTATTGATGCAGCGCACTGCATTGACCGGTATTTGACATACCGGGTCCTTTACAATGAATGCAACGCTCTCCAGTTTCTTCGCGTTCTAGAGGATATGTCATGGGCAATCCTGTTGATCCTGCATAGCTTGCACCTGACGAACGGTGGTCGCGACCAGGAAAGAACTCCCGAGGTCCTTTACTACCAAGATCAGTGGGCCCAATCACCGATATTAACAAAATCCGGATGCGCTATATTCTTTTGAGGATTTTGGTACAAGGTCTCAGATCCTTGGCTGCATATTTTCGCGAGGCTCAACCCAAAGGACTGGACAACCATCATGGATAAATCTCTCATTTACTTTATAGAGTCGATGAGCATGAGAGCTAAGTCTATGGGGATTTGTTGGCTGTAAAGCACACGAAGCGAGGAGGGGCTCAAAAGCTTCAATAGCTTAGCCACAAGAGTTCCTTCTGCCGTATCCCAGTTTCCCCTCGACTGTCGGTGAGCAACTCTACCTGACTGGTCTCACTCCACGATCATCTGCTTGGAGTATGTACAATTTCTATTCGCTTGGAGTTCTTTCTATCACATGTGGTGCTTGGGTACAGATAATTACTGCCTGCCTACCTACTAGTACCTAGAAAGACGGAGTACATGGATGAGTTGCGGGCGCGGTTAACTCGGAGCATGCGGAGGGAGTGGTGAAAAGGCCCACTGGTATTTCACCAGTACGAGGTTTTCCTACCTTCTCGGCGGGAATTCTCACACCGCAAGACCTAGACACCTATCTATACCTTCAATTGACCGAGCATCTTTATCAACCGTCGTCGCGAGAAAGATGAGGCCTGAGCTGCAAATCTCCCAAGGTGTGGATTAGCTCCTCCTCCATCTTTCACCTCTCCCCGGTTAGTGCCAGTGCAGATCCCCTGTAAGGAGTTCCCGCGTGATCGGCAAGCAACGTCGCCATCTCAACATCTCATTCGGGGCTTTGCCTTCCAACCGCGTCACTTCTTGACCTAACCTGACAGACGGCAGTGGCGGGCGCATATCATCGCCTATCCTGCAATCATCTTCCACGGCAGGCTTGCCAATCGGCTCTCCTCTCCCTTCGCCGTTCTCGTTTGCAGGGGTTTACACCGTACTCAAGAATGCTTCAAAGTGATCGGATCGGAGTCAAGTCGCCGTTGAAACTGGTAGATACCCTATGCTCCGATCCTGCAGCATCGGCAGGCAGGTTTTAGTTCGCGTGGCCTTCCATCACACACTGTAAACCATGGAACCTGGACCGAGTCCGAAGTTAGCGAGTCAGGAATCATCGCATCCGGCTCCTTTTCACGAATCCACAATCGGAAAGGGCCTCTATGGAAAGTGGAGAGCCGGCATATGAAGCAGATTATGAACGAGCTCAAAAGTATGCCGCCTAAAGGTACGAATTACGGATAGATACGTAGAAAGAAAAAGAAAATGGATATCCCAAGCTCCGTGCTATGGAGGGAGCATCATACGGTGCGGAGTATCCTCCGTAGGCGGTTCCACTGCTTTAGCACACACTCGGTCACTCACACACGCATCGGAGCTCGGAGACCATCCTCCAGCGGATATCAGGTAAAACAATTTCCGAGTGCTTGGAAAACTGGGTCAACGTTGCTATAATTTGGGGTAGTATATAACGCTTGTACCTGGACGCCGGGACTGAGCTCAAAAATCTGAGCAAGTACCCATTTGAACGACATGATGTGGTTTTAGCATACCGCCATTGGTGGTTTGTATTCAAACCCCTCCATATAGAAGGAGTTCAAACGAACCCACTGCCTCGGTAACCCTGCTTGTGGTTTGTCTTAACCGTTGAAGCAACCGGCCAACCTGCACGATGTGCCTGAATATTAGTTTGCCTAGTGCCTAGTCGGACCATTTTTACGGCTGTCAGTTACCCCGTACGGCGCCATGGTCGACCATTTTGTCAGGTCATTGCATTCTCGAGAACCACTTTGACTAGCTCACATTGACGTGATAGATAGAGTGTCAATAGCGGATACAGTCTAAGGAGCGGCAGCAATGCGGAGTACAGGAGATCCCTCAAAAGGCCAGATAGTCTGACAGGGAACCTGCCATTGGATGGCCAGCCGCACGGTCCTCTTTAAATCATAGGTTGTCCAAAAGCCTTGGAAAGTTGGGAGTAACGTGGCAGGGGCATGGTAGCTTCCGGTCAGCTAGGGTAGATGCTGACACCAGCGAACATGTTGAACGACATTCCGCCGGCATCTCCTGTCACGATGAACGCAGCGGTTAAGCGGGCGGGGAAATAAATACCTGGAATCGAGCCAATACATCTTGAGCGCCGATCATAGACCAATCGAAGAGGATTGCAATCCTAGCCCATTGCAGAGGAGCGCACAGCGCATGTGTTGGATTTCAATAGTATTTCCTCTCCGAACGGTGAATCCCTTATATCCGGGGAAACCAAAGTGTGGAGTACATACAGGAGTTAGTCACTAGTGGGCAGCACCGAAGTACCATCGCAACTCGCAATTGATTACAATTAGGTAAAATCCAGGTGGCCTTGCTGGCTTTTATTGTTTCTTATTGGTGCTATTCCTTAGAAGTATCGAGCTAGTACTGGCTATGACCGCGCCGCGAACCGACGCCTTTAGATGACACCAAATGACCGCCGGTCGGTAACAGCGCCTAAAGTATGTATGTACTCTCCATCCATAGAGAGTTCACAAGGAAATATTGGTTCAATTCGTACTCTAGGCAGAAACCAGAATCAATTACTCCGTCGTCCGTACTTCTTCCGCATTTCCTCCATCGTCCGATCGTAACGGTGAGATGGTTAAGTCTGTCTTTATCTCCGAGCCCCCTCCAAGCACAACCCAGGGAAACGGCAAAGCCAAACGGGCATTCGGGCGCATACCGACAGAACCCCATCAATGCTTATCGCAAAGTAGAGTCCCCAGGCAAGGGACAAGGGACACCGCAGCAATGATTCCTCACGGATAGATGATACGGATATGATTGGTTGCAGCAGAATCAAAATCCCGCTCGCCATCTTCGAGCCAGGAGGCAGATAGTGTCCTGCGGTCGAGATTAAGATTCGCATCTGATCCAGACAAGCAAGCCTTCCTGCCCGAGGCCCTTCCGCTTGATCGGGCTAAGCAGGACACTTCACTATGCATAAGTAGCATCGACCTACTGCATGCCTCAACAAGCATTGTGCCCGGGATATACCTGAAACACTGACGACCCTCTGATCTGTCCTGGCATAATAAGCCGTTGTGATCCATGGTCCCCTGCAAGCTGTACGATAGGAGATACTACCTTGATAGGGATGTCGGTACAGGGTACTCCGCACTTCTTATCCAGGCCTTCTTGTTTCTTGGTTTCTTGGGTTCTTGGTTTCTTTGCCCTTCGCCGGAGTGGGTTAGATAACTCGATGTGGTTCGCGTGCCTGTGCCAGGCACGGTCATCTGACTGGGCGTCGTATTTCCCATCCCACCACCACAATCACCACCACTTGACAACTACCCGCCAAGGATACTTACTATTCAAATACAACCCGGACGAAAATCCCTCGATTGGGAATAATCACCGCCCTTCGCTTCCAGGACAAGAAAGAGACCTATCTTATTTCCCTTCAAGAAAAATAACATGAATAAGAATTAAATAAAATCAATCAAAAAAGATGGTGTAACTGCGGCAACATGATGCTCGGGCCAAAAACGAGGAGGTTAAGCCATTAGCGGAATCTGCATGTCGCTGCAACTGGAAAGCCACCAAGCGGGGTTTGTGCGCCCGGCAGGATACCACTCGCTTTCCTTCCTTCGAGTCGTTTGACCTTGGGACTACTACTTGGAAGTGCTCTCACCTCTCACTTTTCCGTGCTTATTGTAGTGGTCCAGGGCGGGTTACCGAGTGTCTGCCGGATCTTATCCACACCGAGATAAGTCGATAAGGAAGGAAGGACGGACAACCCAGCTGTTGCATGCACCTTTTTTTACCCTTTTTCATTCTCTCTCCATCCCTTTATCTACAACTCCTGACACGAAAATTAAGAGGTGAAACTATGATCATCAGATTTGATTAGATTCGGGTCTTCTTCATTTACAGCATCATATCTGAATTGCCCCATGCGCGCCATTGATCTTACCTACTTCCAAAGTAGTATTGAGAACCGAGATACAACAGACGGGATCGTCTCAGACAAACCTTCCTATCTTGACCCACTGCGGGGTCCACGGGTTTCGGAAGAAGAAGGATTTAGTGAACCGGACCGGCTTCATGAACTGAACTGGTCAACCTTGACGATAAATTGTCATCATGCCATCCCGTGGCCGGATGTCTGCTTGACCCGAGCCTCTACTCACTTACCCCCTAGACAGATAGCAGACATACTTGGCCGACTGTCTTTCGAGGATTCTAAGCCCCAGCTCTTCAATGGCAGCTCATCGCCTTGAAACAAAAAAAGCATCAGCTACGGCAGAGCTCGACCGGGTGGGGAAGTCATGTAGTGGAGACCCGCATGCTTTTGGTACTTAATAACGCTGCATCGCCTCTGAAGATTTGCCTTAGCCGAATGGCCATAGTTCCCGCCCCAGCCATCTATCAGCCTTTAGGGGGCTAACCGAGTCATCATTATTAGGCGATGCACATGCGCATACTCCAGAGGCCGTCGCGGACATCAGCAATATATAGCAGAAGTGTGTGGCTTCCCTTAATATCATAGATCAGGGTCATGCTGTTTCTGCATTAGTTCGGCAAGTTAAATCATGGTCCGATGTTTCATAGATCTGCCAATGCATGAACAGTCTATCTACGGCTGTTTTGATACACAATGTGGAGAATAGAAGGAGTAGACTGCAGTCCTCGCAGGGAACCCCCAACAATATCATGGAGTCCAAAGTATCCTTCCCGAAAGCCATTGATGGTACAATCTAATTCCATTTGATACATGATCTAGCGATCCCCGCCACATATTAGCAACAGAAAGATGTTTGTTTACTGTGACGCTCGCTATATTCCTGAAATCAAATGATATCAGGCCCTGGATCGCTTTGTGGCTCTAGACAAACCGTTTATGAGCAAGTGCCAAGTAGGCTATGTTCTGTGCCGTGCATCGTTTACAATGGTTCAGTTCATATCAACCCATCGTTCACGGATCTACATCCTGGTGCCATGAGTATGGATCGTGAACATGCTTGAGCTGTGCCAAGAGTATGTGATAAATCTGTTCATTTTTCTTTGACTTCCTGGTTAACCATAAAAATATCCACCATCGCCGGCGGCAATACATTTGACTACCAGCACGACTCATTTACTGCATTGGCACTATGATGTCGCCGTGGGTTACGCCCTTCACCAGGCCTACGCCCTTCATTCTATTAACAGCACATACTTCTGTCAGCTGCCTCCTCTGGCACGGTGTTTCCTATATGATCAAGACGCATCTGCATCCCCAGGACGCGTCTACGGCCTCAAAAACTCTTCTCCGATTCCATTCCTTACAAGATCTTCCTCCCCATCTCAAGCCAGCAGTGACTACAATACTGAAGAATGGGCCAGTTAACTATTCACTGGTTCACATGCAACCACTTGTATCCCCAGTGGAACGCTTTCGTGCCTTTCGGAGGTCGACCTGACCAAGACATTGCCCCAGCCGCGGCCATACATGCCTCTATTTGCCCTGAATGCCTTACACCACTAACCAACTGCAACAAGTTGTTCAAGGAGAAGCTGATGTCCGTGAAAATGCTAGAAATAATCCTCGATATTCCGGTAACCGATGGCGAGTTCATACACTCTATGGTTCATTTCTATGCTAGAGGAGACCATTTAAGATGGGAACAACCAATCACTCCTGGGGCTAGGTTTCTCCCCGGGGACCCATATCTAGATTCATTGGAAGAAGAGTCTTATATGAACACCTGCGGTATCTAAAAACATACGGACATCATAGGTTATGAGTTCGATGCCATTATAGCTGACTGCAACTTACAGATGAGGAAAGCGACTTCGGCCTCAATGTGCGGTGGATTAACTATCTACCCAAGTCCACGTACTTTTACTTCTCTTTGATGCCTCTGATTATACATGATATCCCTTACGCCACCATCCAGCAGGCGGAAGCTGAGCATCAGACTCCTGCAACTGCGCAGAGGGTTCAGACGCCACCGGTGGCTCATCCTTTCGTGCAAATGGATCCGTCTGTGGCCCAGAGTGACCCATTCGTTAGCAATCCCGCGTCAGCATCTCGAGGGTCCAATGCTCAAATGGTCCCCGGTCCTAATGGGCCGATGTATTGGCTCAGGAAGATACCCAAAATCAACACAGGACCAAGGATCCTTAGGAGAAAATCATGCCCCGACAGAACGCCCCCGTCTTCCTCCGGCGACGAGACTTGGTCCATGGTGTCAGACTCTCCTGATGGAAGATGGGTCCCCTGTATCGAAGCATCCTCTCGTACCAACCCATCGGAGACCGCGATGGACAATGATAGTGAAAACTCGCCCATAAACAGCGCTGCCGACACGTCAGTGCCCGCGACCGAGAATGAGTACCAGGAAAGTGCATCATTTACTGATGATGATCAACTCTCGCAATCTGCTGACGTGATAGCCTCAGTCACCTCGTCCGATAGCCCTCTAGTTGCTCCCAACATGGAGCCGGACGTCCTCGAATACCAGTCCAGCCCCGTCGAAAGCAATCCCTGGTTGCTTTCCTCTGAGATGATGCGAGAACATAGCCTCCAAGTAAGGTCCCCAGATGAAAGCTCGTCAGTGCTCTATCCGGTGAATGAGAACACACCCCTGGATGATTTTATGCTATCCGATCCCTGTCCCGATCTGCCTGCAGAAGAGCCGCAGTCATTGCAAGATCTCCTCGCAACTGAACTGGAGATAGACCCTAATGGTTATGACCTAGAATGTGAATGCCAACAGGATATTTCATTTGGGTGTGACTTCATTCTATACGATTCCGAGACAGACTCGACCCAAGCTATTGAGCTCGACGATCTTGATAATAGAAGCTACTATCCAGACATTATATGAGGAAAGCAGACTCTGTCTTGTGTTCAGCTCATTTGTCAATTTCAATATGCTTCGCGGATGCTTCGCTTCTTCTTTCCCTTACATCTTGTTCATTCTGTGCTTTACATGTTTGCCCATTTCATTTGTCTCTGCCTTATGTCAAAGATACGTTCTTGTCCATGATGTTCCGTTCATTCTCAGGTGTAAGTGTACATGTTTCGACTTCACTTTGTACTCCATCTCAACTCTCAAGTAAACTCTGAAATAAAAGTGCCTTTTTAGTTGTCATTAACCAGCTCTTCATCTGGGGATTGCGGGGCGTTGTTTTTTCACAATATTCGTTTCATCTAGTGATAGTTCCTGCATTTAATCATAATAAGCGTTATTGGAATTGACATTGCCCGGTTAAGATCCATTTCCCACACCAGGACATATGTTGAGCCTACACCTAAGTCCGCTTGTCGTCACCTTGGTCCTCCGGCAGAGCTATGCCCTTTCAAGTTCTTGTCAGCTTCAGCTAGAACTATAAATTTCTCATTCTCTGTATCCGAGTCACCAAAACTAGATCTTCGGTCTAGACATCATGGCATTTCTCTGACATCCTTGCGATTGATACTTACCAATGATATATGTGGTGAATAAAGAGTAACATTCCTCTCAAAATCCCAGCGATCCTTCGTTCCCCGTCCGCAGTGACATACAACATATATAAGCCATAGAAAGAGGGCTTGAAAAAGATCTCCGACAGGTAAATGCGATACTGTACTGCAATTCGAGGGTTAAAGGCTGTGGCTGTGGGAGCAATGCTGTTTTGTTGACCTTGCCCGATGTATATAATTACCGTGGAGACTAACCAATCAGTGGAGTAGTCGATGTGAAAAAAATTGGGATGTACCTAGTATTTGCGGATGATTCCTACAAAATCAGGTGACATGCCACGTTTCGTCCATTATGTATAGAAGGCCTGGAGCCTCAGCTGCTTCACACTCTTCATTCATTCTGTCATTGGCCATGTAGCAAGTGGTTGGTTACTTTGATCGATTCTCATCAATACCGCCAAGTCTTTGGTATCGGAGGAAGGAGAGAAGTGCGTATTTAGGAGACACAGGAGAACTGATACTCAAATTCCAGTGCTAACTAGGTATCGAGTAACCATTAAACTAATCAACTACTATGATGTTTGAGCTTCGATTGTCTCGAACCTAGAGCCACGTGCCGATTGTAGAGCTAAATCAAATTCGTCCGAGTTATGCACACAACACCTACTGTGTACGTTGCACAAATGGGGCAAAGGGTGCAAACCGGGGGAACTTGGAATCTAGTGGTCTACCCCGGCCAGTCCCGTCAGTACGGATGCTGGGAAGGTCGCCGTACCATACCGTAACAAGGTTGCTGCTCCTGGCAGAAAACACCCGCGGTAAACTGCGGGAGGCTATCACCAGCCACATGTTTCTCGGTTCGTCCGAGGCCAGCCCGCGCGGCAGCAGCAAGCTAGCTCCTCCTTTCTTATCCCCCATCTGCCTCGCTATACCCAGCCCCCTCCTGCTTGCGAATCCGACTTGCGATGTGACTTGCAGCTTCCCGCGATCCATTCAAGTCTATGCGCTACTGTTAACCAAGCTCATTCATTGATCGCGATGTCTTTTTACTCCCAGGATGCTCGCCGCCGGCGGGTCGGAGCCGGAGCCGGCTTCAGCGCCACTGGTAGACGAACCGTCCTGGGATACTGGGTGCCTCTCGCCGTCACTGTAGGCATCGCAACAATCAGTATAGCGGCCTGGGTTTGGAGCGAGCGCAGCGATGACGATGACGATAAAGACCGCGACGCCCCCCGAGACGATGAAAGCTTCCCCGCTCCCGGTCCTGGCGCGGAGGAATACCCTCGCGGCGAATATGCGGACGAGTATGCCCAAACGACAGCAACAGATATACATGGCAATATCTCAGATGATGCTAGCATGATGGCGCGCATGCAGGGAGCTCTGCGCCGCACCCCCAGCCCTCAACAGATCTTCGATGGTGCTAGTAAAAGAGTCGCTGCGGGCATGGCTGCTGCGGGAGCTTTCATGGGTGGTGCGCTGACATCGATCCGAGAGGAGGATAAGGGTGACTTTGAGGACCATTCTCGCTGGTCGGAGGAGATGGAATCGAGAGCTCATCGGGCGGAGCAGCCGGCGCCAACGATGACCGGGGCGTTGCCCAGTCGCGACATTGTCGGGGGCCCAACACCTGCTGGTAAGAAGAAGACCGTCGCAATTGTTGTCTCCTCGGAGTCAATGCAAGTCGACCCTGATGAGATCGTCTCTCACCATGTAGTAAGTCTAAATGCACGGCGCGGATCCCGATAATTATTGTGTTGATGTTGTCTACGCAGTCTATCCTTTCTCACCTTCCCGAACATGTCAACCTCGATACAGCCAGGGTATTCGTCATGATCTACGCGCCGGGACTGAAGCATGTTCCTACCCAGGGCGGCTCATCCCACCCCACCTTGTCTGTTACCTCGTCCTATTCCAATATTGCTCCCGAAGAAGCTGTGGCTTCTGGTGAACTGCCTGGTGAAGAGTCGGCCACGGAATCTCGCCAGGTGGATGAACCGGAGGGCTCAACACCACTATTTAAGACAATGTATACACAGGCTCAAGCACTTGTCGAGAAAGAGAACACAATCATGCCCTTCAGCACCGTGACAGGGTACGTGCATCTGGTTCGTCACCTTTCTCCGGACACGGTCTATGTCCAGGAGTCCTTGGCCGGGCGCGAAGGGGAGTCTGTACAGCTTATCTCCGGCTGGGTCCGACAGGTGGTGGTTGTAGTCGGGGGTGAAGGTGGTCGCGGGGGCTTGGTTGACAGTGATGACGAGTCGGCACTTGCAGACAAGGGCGAGAGATGGTGGCAGAAGGAGGGCACTACTGGCATCGGCAAGCGGATTGATGTGGTGGACGTCCACCGGATTGGCGATGATTGGCGACGACGGGTATCGGGACTCGACTAGCGTTCTCACTCACCCATTCGACGTTTCTACGACGCCTATGTTTACTTCCTTGGCCTCTTCCTCTGCTATCATGATGATTGTGTTGTTTTTGTTCTTTGATTCCCCTGTCTTGATGAGATGAAGAGTGACTTCCCTAGATGGTTTTACGCCTGTGTGAATATTGATGGCATGCCAACCGCCAGGATGGAATTGTCTTTTGTGGAAGACGTGTGTGAATGACATGAACGCCTGGACATAAAGCGTGAAGTACATAATGAAATCGTAGCTCCTCTCTGATTCTCGTCTCATCGTCATGGTAGATTGAGGCAGTGACACACTAACCCGAAAGCGGGGGTCAGGTGACCCCGACCTCCTTCAACGTCGCCCGCGGCTTGGCATCATACAAACTCCCTTTGCAGAGCCCCAGCCGACCGTCGACCGACTCACCTCGATCCGAGCCTCCCCTGCCTTCTTTGCAGGTGTTTGTTCGATGGACTTTCATACCCTTTGTCTGTAGCGACCCGCGCTTTGTGCAAGTGTCCGCATTGCTTCGGGCCAGTTCGTTGTCGTGCGGCCCCGATCTCCGCTCCCCACATGTCTCGCGCTCCAGCTCTATCATCAACCACGATTCACGGCCTGTCCTCATCACCTTTGGACCCGGATCACGCGAAGTCGCATCCAGAAGCCTGTGGCCGTAATCGCGTCGCGGTTCACTTTCGACATTATGGCGACGGCAATCTCCAAGCCCACCTCGCATACCCCTAAGATGAAGCGACCGCCCCCGCCTTTCGTCCAGACCGGAGTCAACGGAGTCAAGTCCCAACAGTCTTCCATCTCATCCCCTCCTGCAACCGCGAAACGCCTTCCAGGCGCAAGTCAACCGACATCGGCGAGCTCCGCAACCGGTCCGCCGTTGAATGGCGCCAATGGCGCGGCTAATGCTGGTACGACCTCGACTAAGGGATCTCGATCTCCGAACCGACCGAAGAAGGAGGCGCAAACTCATGGCGACCAGGCTTCGCGAGCACAGAAGCCATTAATGAGGACCTTATCGATGGACAATGATCGTCGCGCCGGGAACAGGTGTCCCGAGCCATACGGTGAGCTTCCGCCAGGTCTACATGCGAAGAGCCCCTGTGTACTGACTATCTGGTGTGTTATAGTCAAAACGCCGTCTTACATCCTCAAGAAATTCGCCAAAAGCCCACCTTCCCTCATTCTACATCTCCACCCGACTCACTTTCGCTTCGAGCAACAAGATGGCAGCTTCCCTTACAATTCCGAGATGAAGGTCATCATCGAACATATCCGTGCCGGAACCGTTCCCCATGATATGATGGAGGAGCTGTTGCGGGCCAACGTTCGATTCTATGAAGGCATGCTTCCACATGCATCCGGGTCGCCTGTGTGTCTGGTGAACTTGGCTAACCTCTATAATTTGCAGGCTGCCTGATCGTTCGCGTGGTAGATCATAAGTCGGTGTCGGCCCATGCAAGGAAATCGACAGCCCCGGCGTCAAATGAGAGTAACACTCCATTCTCAATCCATAACTACAATGAGCATGTCACGCCATCGGCTTATGTTCCATACCCGAAACAAAGCCAATTAAACTCGGAAAAGCCCGTCGGGGAGAAGGCACCTAGCGCAAATCAGCACGATATCAAAACAAACGGTGAGCAAGCTGGCGACCCAGGAAGTCGTGCGGAAGAAACTTCGTCGAACTCCACTCAGCCAAAACAGCCTCCGAAACCTCGAGTCTTTACTACCGTTCTCCATCCAACTCCACGTTCTTTTCAGGCCGAGCTGACACTGCTTGCTACTACACCCGACCCCAAATCTGCAAGACAGCAGGCGTCCAATGCCACTTCTCACTCTCACCAATCCTCATCTACAGCACCTTCGTCTCCAGGGACGTCCAATCAGTCTGACCGCGGGCCTGTCCCAAAACGACAGAAGATGATGGTTGAACCTCAGGATTTTCTGGAATGTGAATCCAAATTGACCAGAGCGCTAGCACCCCCTCTCTTCTTAGATCCTGTCCATAGCTTTGATGCTATGCAGGATCTATTGAAGCACATGGAGAGCCCGCTTCACCGTGATCCGCCACCATCACCCAAGAGGCGGAAGCGCACCGTGGCTGAGCTTGCTGCTGACGAGGCGCTGGCAGCCGAGGAAGAGAGATTCATGCTCATCATGGACGAGCGACTGGAACCGACAACTGCAGGTGGTGCCGGAGGACCGAAGTCTGCTGTTGTGGATGATACGGGCGGCGGCGCGCCTTTCGAGCCGCGCTTCTCAAGATTCAAGACGCTAGAGAATATTCGTATGCAGCATGAGGAGAAGGCGAAGCGAGAACACGAGGTCAAGCTGAAACAGGAGCTGGCCAAACGGCAACAGCAGGAGCAAGAGAGAGAGAGACGCCGTGCTCTGGAGCAACGGCAGGCCGAGGAGCACGCCAAGGAAGAAGCTCGAAGACAGCTTGTTGCAGCGCAGCAAGCTCAGGCACAGCTTGCAGCGCAGCAGCAGCAGACTCGGCATGTAATGACTCAAACGAACGGAATCAGTCAAGCACCTCAGTCTTCGCCGGTAGTCCGCAATCAGACACCACACAACATATCTTCGCCTGTGGTTGGCAACACGATAGCGGCACAGCCGGGTGTCCCTATGAGCATGACGAATTCGATGCAGGGAGCGGGAAGCCCTCCAAGGCCACCATCTGCACTCCAACACGCCCACCCCACAGTTATGAGCCATCCCATGGCGCCTTCCAGGAGCCAGCAGGGACAGAGCCGACATGGAACACCTCAGTTGAATGGCACCCCAGCATTATCTCATTCTACCCCTATCATGCGCAACGTCACACCAACGCAGCGGATGAGCCACGCCAGCCCAAGCCACTCGACCATGGCTCCTACACCTGTCTTGAACCAAGCCACCATGATGGGAACTCCGCAAATGAGCAATGGAATGGGTCTCACTCCACAACAGCAACAGCAGATGCTGTTACAACAAAGACAGCAGCTCCTCGCGCAACAAAGTCATATGGTACAAAATCAGTTTTCGCCCAAGCAGGTGGCTCAGATGCATGCCAACGTGCACGCGCAGCAGAATATCCAAGCCCACCAGCAACAGATGCTACAGGCTCAGCAACAAAACTACCAGGGGCAGCCAAAGTTCCCCAACCCTCAGGCGTATCAGGCTCAGTTAATGCGTGCGCAGCTCGCACAGATGCACATGGCTCAGCAGCAACAACAGCAGCAGCAGGCACAACAACAACAGCAACAGCACCAGCAAGTTCAAGGCCAGCAATCGCAACCTCAACAAGGACAGGTACACCAAAACAGCCCACATATGAACCCTCAACAACAAATGCTAATGGCAGCGGCTCAGGCCAACGGAGGTCTGCGACAAGCGAATGCCCCACAAGCCAACAGTGTTGCACAGCGCTATCAACAATTGTACGCTCAACGATTGATTCGATTGCGGCAAGAAATGGCTGCCAAGTATATGCCACAATACGGCTCGCCCGCACAGTTTCCACAACATATCCAACAACAATATACCACTGGCCTTGAGAATGCAGCCAAAATCTGGGTTCAGGAGATCATGCGACGAGAGCGTGACATGGTTCAGCATCGTGCCTCTCAGGTTGCTGCTGTCCAAGCCCAGGTAATGCAACAGCAACAACAAAACATGATGCAGAACAGGGGCAATAGTTGAGAGATGCTCAAACCCAGCTGAACACGACCATTGGTTATAACGAGCCTTATACCAGCCGCAAGGCTTTTTTCTGCCTTTTTTTTTTTTGATTCTTACCCTCTATTCCTCACCTTCTCTCTATATTCTATTGGACTTGGGCAGTGCATGATGCTTCCCACGACCACACACAATTTCGCATTGGAACCCTTTCATGCAACATCCATCATCTTCTTCTCCTTGTTCTTCTTCATATCATCCAAGACCTTGCTTATTTTTACCTTGCTACATTTTGAGACTGTGCATAAGGAATTGGGATCCAAGGCAAAAGAGGTTGGCGTTTTGTATGATTTGGACCTTATTGGTAAGGTCTTCTTTGCTTTTACTTTACTCTTCCTGGTTTGCGTTTGGCGATTTGCTTGTATCACTCGGGAACGGACCGGTTGAATTTAGGGGGGGGAGCAAGGAACAACAAACTTGATACCATTTTTGTACAGGTGTCCCCTTTGAGTGTTTTTATGTTGATGTCTCAGAAGAATCGAAGTGAGCTGATATACTACTTCCTAACCTTGGGTTTATATGTTATGCAGTATGACTTGACTATATTGATTATATCCGTCGATAATAATATCCCATTTTCACTTTTGCATCTTTCTTGTTATTACTATTCTGGATATATACTTAGCTAGGATGACGTTAGATGGAATGTTATGTATAGTCATCACACCACAACGATTTGAATATACTATATAGTTTCTGAAGCCTATGGGATAGATTAAACTATCTTCGTTGTACTTATAAATATGATATTTTCCTTCTAGCATTCAATAATGAACTTCCCTTTCCTGTTTCCCATACTGCGATCTCTCCACCCTCTAGTATTTCTCCATATTGTTCTATAGGAACATACAATCTCAAACATACAATCTAGTTGGAACATCCCAAGAACATCAAACCCAACCCTACTCTAATCCCTGAGCCCAGATTCGAAAATGTTTCCTCTCACTTGGGAATGAAGTAGTGGAATCTGGTATATCCTTTACAATGAATGGGAATTAGAGACGCTTCTGCGATTAGGGATTTTGGTATGTGAATCTTACTGATACTACCACCACTACTACTACCAAGACAAACACACACACACACACACACACACACACATAGCCAATCCAAGCAATAGAGAGAGAGAGAGAGAGGAAAAGGTAGAATATCCTCGAAACCCTTCACCATGATTCCTTCCCCCCCTTCCTGCCCCAAGAAATACACCCTAGACATTCACCAAAGCATGTATCTCTCATTCTACCAAAGAAAAGATACTGAGTATCTAATACTACATCGTAGGTAACAAAAACATACTCCGTAGTTAATGTCAATTTAAAAACATACAGGTAAAAGTAAAATGATGATGCTGTGTTTGAATTTCTCATTACTTTGCTGCAGGACTATGTATGTATGTATGTATGTATGGATGTATGGATGTATGGATGTATCTCCTTTGATGATGTGTGGATTGTTGAGGGTTGGGATAATTGGGTTGCTAGTGTTACTATAAACAATACGTAGGTTTATTCACCGATTGTTCCATTTGCTTTGCTGCGTATGTTTGAGTTTGTTGGATGGATGGATGAAAACAAGGTAGGACCGGTCTGCTGGGATGGAACTGACCAGGTGACCCGATTCGACCCGGTGGTGGTGGTCTTAGCTTCTCTGCTGGTCGTCGATACTGGTGTTTGCCATACGTACTATGTATGCTTATGGGATATGTGTAGGTGTGATGCAAATTAACGTGTTTACTATAATAGCTTGAACCTAAGTCGATGTCGAGTTGGACCAGCTCACCGGATCGCATGCTATCTATCCTAACACAAGACTATCAGCGGAAGCAACCGGGAGGACAACAAGCAGCCCCAGTCCACCAGGATGATCTACGGATCTACAAGGATCTCCACTGCAGATATACAGTACGTGCGCCATGGCCGAGCCACCCACGGACCAAGTATGTGTCGAAATGCCCAAGTAGGAAAGCTCAAGAACCACTCGCCGCGGTTCCAAGGCTGACTTTGAGTTTTGAGCCTGTGTCACAGTTGCATGGATGATGTACCTATGTGTGTAAATGGCTAGGACGCATGAGAGAGGGTGTGCGCGCATGGCGCGATAGCGCCCTCAGCAGGGCGAGGGATGGGGCGCGCACCGTAGGATCAAGGCTTGTGGATGGCTAGGTTTTAGTCGCCTGCACATTCCAGCCAGACGGGACATCATGATACCCAGGGACTAACCGGGTTGGGTTGAGGATGCTAAAGCTTGGACGTGGCTCGCAGCGGTGGCTCATGACACCCGCCCTTTCTGAATCCCGAACGGATTTTAGGGTTTGGTGATGCTATAGTAGGTTGATGTTCGGCGGACCCGCGAAGGAGAGAAGCCCTTCAGTCATGTGCCGAGGAGGAGGAACCCCTGGAACAGGAACAATATATTAGCTAATAATTAAGGGAGCCCTGGAGAGCCGGATTTCCAGCCAATAGCCTGCTGGTGGTACAGCGCCCGAGCAAATCAATATTATGACGTAGTGGTGGAATGGCCCACTTGATAAGCAGTTGCGCGAGGACCGTCTCGCACACCCTCCTCCTGCCATGCTCCCCAGACAGCCACCGCCGTTGGACAAGAACGGAAAGATGGCGGTGTTGCGCACGAGTGTGTGGGGTTGGGTAGTTGGTGGGAATCGATTGCCCAGACGAGCCGGGTTCTGCAAGACTCCATAGGCCATGGCCAAGAATGGGGCCCTCGACGCCAATGCAATGCAATGCAACTCAAAATGGCGATATTGGTCGACTGATTGATGAGATGGCGGCCAGCAGCCAATGGCGAGCCCCGGGCCGCTTCATTTATTGGGGGGTTTGGCAGAGGAAGGAAAAAAGCCTGGGACGCAAGGGGGACGATGCAGCAGAGGTTGGATCACCCGATTGGGATCCGCCCCCTACAGGGCTTCTCTCCACTCGCCCTCGAGAACGGGAACTGCAGCTGATAACTCTAGGTCGTGTTTTGCATGGATGGTGATGAAACAGGAATAGAACGAAGCACGGGAGGGTTGCGCCGCAGATGAGACATGAATGGGGCCTTGTTGTGCAACACCCAGTGTTGATCCTGCTTCTTAATGCTCCGTGGACTTTTCCTGATCGTCCGTCAGGAACCAGCCAATTATTCGAGTGGCTTTCTCCAGGGCAAGACGAAGGGCAGAAGAAAGGCCAAGAATCACCGTCACGGACGGTTACTAGGAAACGGTGCACTTGAATAGCGTACCTGCAGCAAACTGAGAAGTGTCCTCCTGACCTTCCAAGAGTGCATGCTGAACATATTCCAATGACCATCTACGTTGATCCAGTCCAAGTTTGTTTTGAATTGGTCATTTTCAGCTGATTACCCAAGAGCTGTGCCCATTGGCCTAGTCGCAATGCCTGAAGGCCAAGTGACACAAAGGTGGTGGCTTGCAACCTCTAGCCTAGACCGGGAGAACAGCACCGCCGTGAGAGAGAGATAACGAGACTCTATACACGGAATGCTGCAATGCAAATCAAGGATGACCGATCGGACAGTAGGCGGAGAGACGGTTAGGCCTAAACGGCTCATCCGAACAGGTAATCTCAGCCCGAGGGGGGTCCAGCCACAGAAGATCCTACCTGTGGCTGTGCGAGTGATTGAGAGGCTTTGCCCCGTTGCTGGCCAAAAGAGTCGAAGTCGTTAGTCATCGTGAACCCCATCCGTCTCGTTGTTGCTGTTGAGTTGCAGACTTTCGCCTCCTCCTCTTCTTTTCCCCGTCTCTATTCTCAATAGATGATCAATAACGGCCGGACCATGTAACTGTACCCTGCTTGAGATCGGATAATATCGAAGGCTCTAGACATGGTCAGTCTATATCAGGGAGGACTTCGAAGTGAACCTTGATTCTAGCCCGGTTAGAATTGCTTCTTCACACGTTTACAACCCAAGATCTAGAAAAATCGACGTAGATCCGAACAAGCGTTTTCAGCAGTGGCGTACCCATGGACTTTCTTCGGCGTTGGCTTCTAGGAAACCGCAATGGGACAATTTCTCCGGCTCCTAATCGGAAGACCGAGGGGCGGCCGACTGGATCTGGGTTCAATATATTGGCCGGTGGGTATAAGGATCAGAAAGGGAGGGAATATCCAGGAACCCGGTTTATCGTGGTCTTGGCAGCATCGCCAGTGCAGTGGAGTCGAATCTCACCGCAGGAACCCTTTCGAAGATCTCAACGCCCTTGAATTGTCCGGTCAGCTCCTTGCGACATACAGGCCCGTGCTGCAGGGGTTCGCCCTTGGGACACCAGGCGCCTGTGTCTGGTGGGATTTGCGACGAAAACCACGGGACAACACAGGGGCATCTGGACAACCATCACAAAAGGCTGTTCGATTATCATATCCTGGCAAGGGATCGGGAAGTTTGGCCAATAAACCTAGATAAAATCGCATTTCAAATAGATTCATGGTCACTGACTATCCCAGGCGGTCAGTGTGCCTGTCCTCGGCTGCATGATGACAACAAGAGGGACCTACCTCCCTTGATACCCGCGCAGAGCCCGATTGATGGCCTTAGCGCTGATTCACTTATTGGTCAACCGTCAGATTGGGAAACCTTTTCCATGGGAAAACAGGGGAGCCGAAGATCAGGGTTCAATGGAAAATCCGGGGTTTGATCAAAGCGGGTGGTCATAGCTACATAGTCTAGGTGATAAGACAGCCACAAAGGGATGCTTGACGTCAGCATCCCTTGGGGGATAAAAACAGTAAGCCGCGGGGCTAGATTGATTGATGGATTCAGCAGGGAACAGTCGACTGAGGCCATTATCCCCGAGAAATAGTCCTGGGATGCGACCTGCACACTCCACATTTAGAATCATCACCCAGACTCAGGCAGAAGTTGCTACACGTCCAAAACCGGCAAGCCTGCGAGATTCGCCCAATGCGGCTAGCCATTGGCTGCGAGGCACGGTCGTTCATCAATGGTACTAGTAGTTACTCGTCACGATCAGCGGCGCGCAGTCCTCGGATCGGTGAGTGAAGCCTTCGAGAACATCGGGCGTTTGGTGAGGCATGGCCGATGTGATGACCGCGAAAAATTGGGAAAAGTGGAGGCCCCGACCAGCGGTTGCTTCCTTCCGCAGGAAATGGGTCGCGTCTGGAACGATCGCGGGGAGGACGAGTCACAAGTGGCTGAGCCATCGCAATTGTGGCTCAGTAGTGTCTCGATGGTGTGGCTGAGTACCGGCCGATGACCACCAATAGTCCGAGAAGTATGGAGTACGAACTACCAAGAATAGAGATAGTATGGGCTCGGGGAGCGTTCGCGGAGTACACCTGCCCACCGGGTCCGCGACACTGCACGATTCAAATCTATCCAAAGCGTTCCCGCCGCTTCCAGACCGAGAGCCAATCGACTGAGCTGTGATGGCTCCGCAGCCTGAGATGAGTATGGCAATTCAAGTGACCCGTGAGTCCAGACTAGCTCAGGGTTCGGCCGAATCTGAGTAGCCCAGGATATCGCTGAACAGCCAAGCAGGGGAGCTGTCAAAACTACCCACAGATACCATTCATTAGTGTTGCACCGGGTGCAAACTTTCTTTCCTTTGTGGCGCCGATGAGGACCTATCCCCTTTGTGATTCCCACTGCCTATCCAGTCTTAGCGAGGGGCTCTGACAGAAAGCCGACAATGAGAGGGTCAATGGGTTTCGACTGTGCGCGCCACTAAGGCAGGGAAACATTACCTCTCCTCGTATCTATATCTCACATACAGCGATATGCTTTTGGTAATAGCGCTTGGACCCCGCCCAAGTAAACAAAGATGGCATTGGCAGGTAGGTCCAAGATACACCAGGGTAGGTTTCAGGTTGCGACACACAACAAAGAGTAAGACATGGCGGTTGGACAGTCTATCTTGAGTCAGAAGGTGACATTGCAGCGTTGATCGGGCCATCAGGTCGCATTGTCAATGATCTCCGACCGGATTTTGAGACCTGAAAGCACTACCATAGGTTCCGGTGTATGAGAGGTTTTGTTCATAGAAGCCGCATAGTTGGAGAAGAGCGTTGAAACCCAGGCCAACGAGAAGCTACAGGAGAGTGATTGAGGAGCATATCTTCGTTCTTCATGGAATGCCCACGATGCTCGGAAGATACAGGCAACGGAGACCGTCGCCGCTGGAACCAGCAGTGGTGCAGAATCCCCATGCTCAGTGGTCCCAGCACGATATCATATGAGTTCACAAGACTCAGAAGGAAGCAAGCAACGTGTCCGACCGATTGACTCGTCGAGCTGGTGGCTTCGCATGGAGCAATGGAGTTATGCCCAGAATCGAAGCATCGGCTGACGCGTGACGAGTCAGAAACTTCGCCGTCTCACCGGTGGGGAAGGTCGCGAAGAGGAAGATTCAATGGGGCGAGAATAACTTTCACCCGCACTAGATAGTGGCCAAACGTACGCAGTAGAGTATCTACCTGTTCGGATCGCTCTCGAGTCAGCCAGCGACCGTTGAGAATGGGGGGAAGGGGGGTGGGAGTAAAGCATCAGGCCAGTCATGGGGTGAGTGGACAAGCACCTGGTGGGGAGGCGAAGAGTACTAGGTAGGTAGTAGTCAGTAGGTATGTACACAGAGCTGTACGTACCTTCAGGACGTGGCACACCAGGAGAATCCAACCGCCAGTCATGCTCGGGATTGAGGCGGTGGTGACGATAAGGGACGATCGGGTATGACTCGGGAGGGGGAAAAGGTGACGCTGTGAGGAAGACGTTGAGTGGCACTACCATTTACTGCTTTGCACTTAATACCATACTACAACTAGTTACTGGTAGTAGTAGTAGAGTAGTAGTAGGTAACATACGATGCTGGTACGTATCCGGTACCTTCAGTACTTCTCACAGTAGGTACTAGGTACATTTGGTGGATAGGCCCCAACCCCCACATTCCAGAGTGACTGGTACATAGTACGACGTACATACATCAGTACCGCGGCGGAACACCATAGGCCAGCGGTAGGCCGGAGCGTTCCTGGGCGAAGGGCCCGAGTGGCTGTTGGCATCTGGCAAGGCTGGCGGGTTTCTGATAGGTGCGGCTGGCCCACCGGGGCTGGAGGCCGGATTTCAAACCTGCATGATCCAGCCAGTGTTGTCGGCGCCGGCCACTGGTCCAGGTGGATGATGTGCGTACGATCAGTGATCGTCGGCCAAAGCGCCTTTCGGCTGCTCTTCATGCCTATTCTAGTCGATCCCAGAATGGGGGGGAGGGAAAGTACATACGGGGTACTGTATGGATGTATGGAGTATAGTACAGAGGTACAGTTGTCCTCCGGGGAATACACACAGAGTAGGTATCTTTCTGCGTCATTATTGTTAGGTCGTCTTAGGCCCCAGGCGCCAATACCTGCCTGTGGCCTACATGGATAAGACCGGACTCGGCCTTTTTGCTGCATCATCCCGGCAATCGTTTCGCACAATCGCCCATTCCATTTAAACCCACTTCTGTGGTGGATAGCTGAGGAAGTTTCTCGACCCCCGTAGTCGTCGTACGTAGGTAGCCCGACTAAGGTCGTACGAAACCCTCGGTGGTTACGGGATTTGGCTAGACACAAGAACGGAATAAACCACCCAAGTTTTCAAGTGATGGCCAGTAACTTTACCCCCCTCGCTCATATTCTTACATGGATCACTAATTCCCATCGCTTTGGAACCAGGTATGAAGATCCGGTTTCATTGACTTCTTCAGGTTCTTCTTTGGTTCTGAGACTACTCGATTCTCTCGGTGCGTGAGCAACTGGTCAATCGTCGTTTGGCCGGGAGCGTTCGAGTTTGGCCGGGAGCGTTCGAGTTTGGCCGGGATTGGAATCGGGATGCTGCCTGCCTGCAGTCGACAATCCTAAGAGATCAGGGCTCATCTGCAAACTCGTCCGGGTTTGCACAGACCAAAGAGTCAAGCAAACGTTGGGTGTAAGTCAGGTGGAAATAAATATACGCCAATAAAACCGTGGTTGTTGGATTGGATCGGCCCACGGAACCATAAGAAAATCCCCACGGTGGGAACTCCCGAGCGGCGCGGGCAGTACCTGACCCAACAGATAGTATGTAGATAGTATCCATCCGCAATACTACGCTGCTTCTATGTAGATAGATGCGTGCATGCGACCATCATAAGAATAGGAGCGGTGTTGGTCTGTCTTTGTGCTGTGGCTGGCCCTGTTTTCTTCCCTTTTCGCCCCTCCTGCGTTTTACCTTTTCCCTCCGCTGCCCTTGAACGCAAGTCAATCGATGTGGATGTGGACTTATTGTCATGCGTGTTGCCCTCTTCGGGCAAAGTTCATCAGGTCTCGGCTGGAGTGGAGCCATTAATCTCGACGGACTGAACGTTGAGGGGTTTTGAGTTGGTGTAGATGTGCGCTTATCTGCCACCAGTTCCAACAATGCACTGAGGGTTTGACGATGGTCTAGACGGTGGCGTTGGTACCAGCAGACGATCGTTGATGGTTAGGGAATCTGTGGCGTCAGAAGTGTACCTGAACCGTGTTCTAAACATGCCCTCGATACTATTATGGTTTGTAAGGTGTAGATCCAGCAAGAAAATTAAGAATGAGGGGGGGAGGGGGGGCGTGTAAGACTTCGTTGATGTTGATGGGGTGGTGGTGGTGATGGTGATAATGATGCTGATGACGATGGTGGTGGTGGGCTTGTTTTACCCTCACCCAGCCTACCAGAGCGTTGCGTTCGTTGCCTTCCCGCTTCATTTGTTTTGTCGCATGGTCGTGTATGGAAATTAGTATGCATACATGTTTCATTGCCGAAGCGAAACCTCCAGTAGCTCCACATGGAGAGGTTGAGTGACGCCGATCATTCAGGGTCTTTGCGGTTCGATGACCGTGGGACAGACCACCCCCCCGAAGAGTCGGTCGTACGACGACGATGCTGGAGAAGGAATGGAGAAGATGAAATGACCTGGTATCTGCCGGTGTTTTACTTTCGATAGCCTACTTGCAGGTGTCCCGAGCCAGCAGCTGGCAAGTAGGTTTGGAAGTGGGTTTCTTCTGCCCGGAGAAGATCCCGAGAATCTGGACGACCTGATGATGATCCAATTCCATGATCCGCGTTAAGGTTTAGTCGGTCCCCATCGCCTGCCTGGCCCCAGTGATGTGCTGGGTGCTCTGACATTGGAACATTCCATCGGCGGTTCTCTCCCATCTGCGTCTCATGCATTCATTCCTTTTCTTTTTCGGGGCATGGGCGAGGAAAGTGAGTGACTCTTTCCCCAGGCACTGTGCTGGGGAAAATAAACGGATTGGCGTGTTGCATCTGGGTGCTATTATCTGCGCCGGTATTTCCAGTGAGAGGTGATGGTGTTCGTGGTGGTGGTGGTGGTGAGATGGTTGTATTCTTTGTAATTAATACTATTCTATTACTGATTCCTTCTTTATTTTATTTTATTTTATTTTCTTTTCTTTTCCTCTTGACACCATATAGTAATATCATAATATTATGAGATGATTAATTTCAATTTGATGGGTTTGAAGGGGATCTCGTAACGATGATGACGATCCACTTGATCAGAACCGACGGGCAGGACCAATCGATTCTACCCTATCAATTCCGGGGGCTAAGGGAAGTACTACGACTAGTGCAGTGGTAGTATCAACTACAACCTTGGTACTGCTGACTAGGTACTATAGGTAGACAAGATCCATCCCAACAATAAACGTCAATGCAGGAATGATAAAGAAAATAATTAATAAAAAAAAATAAAAAAGAAACCACAGATTAAAAAATCCGAGTCGATCCAGAAGGTGGGGGGAAGTTAATTAGTAGTGGAGGTAGATCAACCTGAATGAGAAATAAAATTAAAAATGTGAAATAAAAAGGAAACGGGTAAAAAAAAAGAACAAATAATAATAAGAAGAATAATAATAATAATAATAAAACAAGAAAAGAATGGTAGGTGAGGGATGGTCTTTTCACACCTTCCGGCCTGCTGCTGCTTCGCCCGAAACAGCAAATCGACGATAGAGACGCCTGAAAAAGGATTTAACATTTAACCTCCCACGGAATCCCCAGAATCTCCCCTGCAACACCCCGCCAGGAACCCTCAGCCTTGGAAGCCAGTGCAATATTAGACCAAAAAGTTACGCTTTCCATCTAATAATCCTAAGACATCCTTCCTTCCCACCTGCGTCGTCCTCTCAATTGTATCCAGATCCCCTTGCTGGCCCAGCCGGCGTTTCCTATAACTACATCCCTCCGCTGCGACTGAGACACTTTATCCTCGCTCTTCATTGACCCTCCGCCACTCCACCCGGTCCCAAGAAAAGCGCGTTCAAGGGAGGCTTATCGATTTCCCCCCCCTCTCTCCATCTCTTTATCTCCATCCTTGATCTCGAGCCCCCTCTCGACCCAGCCGGGACAAACGCCAGGCCCCGGTGTCTTTTAATCGAGAGACAGTCGCGCCTCCTACGAAACCCCGGCCTCCCCATCCAGGAACCATCGCCCCTCCTCGGCCAACGGGGATTCGCGGTTGTTACTCCAGGAACTCTATAGTCTACATTCCTGGCCTTGCGTAGACCTCCAAAGGAACGCGACGCGCCTCTCGCTTTCTTTTTGACTCTAGTCTCTTCGTCCGGCCTCTCCTTTGGGGAATAGCTGGGCAATGGCTTCTGGTTGTAAGTGCGATCGACCCTTTCCTGCCTTCCCTGATATATGGGTGGCCGATTTGTTTATTTCACCTCGTCCATCCTCCTCCATTCCCCAACCTCAACCTCACATACATCCTTCCTTTCCTCTCTTTCTCTGAGGCAACCTTCCTTCATTCTTTCCGCTGGTTGTCTCCTGCAGCTTCGTCTGTCGTTCCGCATTCTTGCCATCACTGCCCACCCCAGTGCCTCTCTCTCTCTCCCTCTCTCTCTTGTCATCTGTCTTGCACTTGAATCCAACCCGCATTGCTCCACCGTCTCTCACTTGTATATCGCCTCCGCTGGGCCTCGCCACATTCCCTCATATACTATTAATACTACTCCCTCCTTGTGTCATACATCACCTTGTGCACCCACATACCGCACCTTGCAAACTCTCTTTATATCGTCCCATCTAACCCGGAGAGACGTTCCGCCTGCGAAACTCTCCTTCTACTTTCCTTGACCACAGAAACTAAACGATACCTTGCACAGGTGGAAGAGTCGAAGCCCCTCCCGCCCCGCATCGAAAGGATCATTTGATTGAAGACACCGAAGACATGCGATCCCAGGGTAACATGTCCGATCGCCTTACCATCGAAGTTGACTGCACCTCCCTGGGTTCCAACGAGTGCCCCTCCATGGCTTCTAGCTTCTCCCCCATGGAGTCGCCTACCCCGACTCCGACGAGTGTATACAGTCAAGGCTCTTTGGCCTCCCCCGCCTGGCATGAAGGGGGTCGTTCCCCGCACAAGCATACGAACGACACCCTGAGTCGACGCCGATGCGCAGCGCCTTTCGCTTGGCTAGCATGACATCGAGCGATAGCATGGGCATGCCATATGGGCATATGGAAGCACAGGAGCGGATGCCCATGACCGACTTCCTTACCGGATACGATGAGAACGTCGAGCACTTCTGGATTCCCCCGGAGGCCCAGAAAGCCTATGAGCATGGCGTCCATGGACTTCCATACCCCCAGGCAATGCCTCAGTATCCAACAATGGCCCGCAACCACTACCGTCAACACCCTGCACCCTACCTGCCCGAGTCCGCGACCAATCCTTGCTTGTCGCGTTCTATCTTCCACCAGTCTGAAAGAATCCCTAGCTCAATGTCCATGAGCAACATGATATCTTGGATGGCCCCGCCAACAGACTCGATTGCCCCCCAAACCATTGCCCCGTCGCAGGTCGCCCCGGTTACACCCCCGCCATCCTACTCTGAATTCGCAGGTTCCATCAACACCTTCAAGACGCACACACCGACAACCCCGGCGCGTTGTTCCTCCCTGGGTACTTCTTCTGGAACCGATACCCCCATGAGCCGCCTTTCGGGTGGCATGGACTACCTGGACGATTTCAACCAATCACCAGTCTACAGAGATGGCCTTGCCCGAGTCCAACGTCAACCCTCGAGGAAGACTGCCAGGAAGCAGTCCTCCAAGCAGAGTCTGAGTCTGGAAAACCTACCGTCAATCATCAAGCAAGTCCAGTTCAAGTGCAAGGAACCTGACTGCAAGGGTCGCTTCAAGAGGCAAGAACACCTGAAGCGACACATGAAGAGCCACTCCAAAGAGAAGCCGCATGTGTGCTGGGTCCCTGGATGCGAGCGGGCTTTCTCGCGCAGCGACAACCTGAACGCGCATTACACCAAGACCCACAGCAAGCGTGGTGGACGTAACCGCTATGTTGCGACACTGGATGAGAACAGCCCGGACTACAACCCGGAGTACCGGGGCCAACTAACTGCTGACGGGCGACCGCTCTACAACTCAAAATCCCAAGACATCATGTCCGACGCTCGTGAAACGAGCGAGGAGGCGTGGTTGGAGTGAGGGGAGATAGAGTTTAATATCGGAGGACCGAAGCATGATACCCTTGGGCAAACAGTTGCCCGTTCTCTTTTTGGTCATTAGATGGGCACAGACACACAGGGCCAAACAGACCCCGGTCGGCGCTTCACGGCGTTTTTTTTTGTAAAACATTTCCTGGCTATATACACCGGACGATTTCCTTTGTTTAATTGAATGTCGCATACCATTTCCTTTGTTGTTTCCTTTTTTTTTTCCGTTCCTTCCTGGACCCAAAACTTATGTGCTTTGGCGAGGCTCTTTCCTATATTTGGATAATCCTGCATTGAAATGGAAAGGCTAAAATGGCATGGAAGGCATGGCTTTACTTGTACACGATCGGAGTGACCTGACTTGCGTTCTTTTTTATCTGATTGGTCTCATCCACTACTGAACACTATACGAGATACCTACTAAGTAATAAAAATCATTGGATATCTGAACCATTCTGGAAAACAGGGAAGACCGACCACAGAAACAAGGCAATCGCTGACTAGTTTTCTGTCAGGTCCGATGCGGTTCCGCTGTGGTCTTGAGCTCTCGCCGACCTATTTTTGTCTGGTATCTGATGCGTCAGGTTCATGGGGGGAGGGGGGGATTGAGAGGGTGCTACAGCCGACGAGGGCTAGCGTGGCCTCCGAGATCCAACAGTGTGATGATGGAGCTGGAACGTATCACACCCAGACCGTCTCATCTACGGTGGTAGACTGGTTGTAATAGTAACTTAGGGTACGTGTTCGGTTCATCCATCCACGCGTGGAGACTGGAGGAGACCAGGGCTAGTCCCTTAGTCTTCCTGGCACCGAGTGACAGCGGGAGAGGGAAGGCCAGGAGATATGACTCGGTACCTACTACTCCGTAGTACTGAGTAGTGGGTTGCGGAATGGATGACGAGGATGGATGGCTGGATGTATCCAGTAGGTACCGCAGGCATAGTAAGACGGCCGGGAGCGACTAAAGTAGGTACATGCATTAGCCCGGTCACTTTGCCCGTCGATCTTCCCCACCGAGACCCGCATTCCCAGGCGGTGGCATTGTCCCTATTGGCGGGTCGCCTACCGCTTGTCACTGGGGCCTGGGGCCCTCATCCATGGATCATGGCTGACGGTCCTCGCGGCCTATCTATCGATTGACAAACTGGATCTTGCTGGTTGCACATGAACCTGAACCTAGTCTACCTGAAGCATTAGCATTCGACCAGTGTCGCACTCCACCAGGAATTCCAGCAACCGGGATTCCACCTGAGCCTAAGGGTCTAGGAACAATAGTCCCACATGCCAGGTCCCGTGATGGGTACGGGAAGTACGTATTTCTCCTGCCGTTCGTTCGGTCTGAGCCTCTGAGGGCCTCCAACTCCGCCAGCCCGTCCGCCATTCCGCCCTGCCGATGGAATGATTTTCCCACTTGCTCTCTCTCTCTCTCGACGACGGCACGTCCACGCCGTTGTTTGGCGGCTGGCTGTTGCGGATCACTCAATGAAGTTCACCGCTCCGCGCCGGGATTCCCCGTTCTGCCATGAGACCGACACGATGCCAGCTGGAGCCTGGTATGTCCACGGCTACTCTGACCAGATACTAGAGGACGTGGACCACTGATTTCCAAGGTGTCGGGCATCAAATGAAATCGACCCTGTAGGTAGGTTGCACTGGCTTCGTAGATCTGATCTCACCTCCCAAGTCAGCGTCTTCGGATTCGTGTTCATCCGTCCTGAGACGGCTTGGGTCTCACAAGACTTGGGCTCCGGTGTGATACAGACTAAGGCGGGAACCTGTAGTACAGAACCGGAGATGAAGTTGGCGTTCCAACTCTCAGCTCTTCTCTGTATCACTCAATTCTCGACCTGAGTGGTCCATCCAGGACCGCATTTGAAATACTTGCCAGCTCGCTTGGGACGAGGCTAGAATTACATTTCATGCCCATGCGGGTGTGGCTACTATCAATCGGCATCCTAATGGTAGGTATTAGACCGCCTCATGCTGCTGAGCTCGCCAGTTGAGCACTTGTGCTACATGCCTGCTGATCAATTTCTTTGAGGACAGGATCCAACAATCAACAGTATGTAGCTGCCTTGGCCCAGGCACAGCGATCATGCTCGATACTCTGTCTGCAGTCCTCCACCTCCATGCCCTGACTCGACCACGACTACTAGCAGCAAGTCTCACTTACGCACTGACCTGCCATACATCCGGAATGTGGCCATGTCTCTCGACCTCGAATCATGATGGCTGGATGGAGATCTACATCAGCCCACAGTCTAGATCGCTGATACAAAGTACAACCAAAGCACGCATCTAGCCTTATCTCGGCATGAATGCTCTGCGGCAGCGTTACCTTTCTACCTTCTTTCCCTCCCATTCCGTGCAGTGAGCTTGCAGCACGCCTCATTCTCGAACATCCACAACCTATCAACCCCCACGGAGAGTATTTCTCGACGGGTAAGTAACTTCAGCCTCGAGCGCCATGTCGTCTATTCAACATGATCAGCCCGACACGCGCAGAAGAATACACCTGGCAAGAACACATTGAAGTAGTATGGCATAATAACTACTACCGTCAGATGCGACCTTAACCTTCTCTGACTTGGTCTAGCTGACCCATGCCCGGATGATCGTCTAGCCTTGGATTGAAACAGCACAACGGACAGCAGATCCGATGTCACTAATGCAATGCGTGCACAGACAAACTATAGATCTTACTTTCCATCTATGAAATCAAACGAGCATGGGACTCTGACCATATGCAAGGTTTCCTACAACGATGTGATCACCTGAACTGCTCACCGGTTGCTGGATTCAGCATAGTGAAGTCTCTCGACCGTCCATTTACCTCCTCCACTCAACCCAACGCATACACAAAGGCATTGTGTGTGCGACCTCGGCACGCAGTCACGTACCCTAGGATCATCCCTCCCACTACTTTTTTCAGATCTCCCAAATTAACTTTGACACCCACTGAAACGGTTACACTATTGTCTGTATGTGATATCACATGTGGATTTTTCCTATTGAAGAGTGCCTGCATGGGTCAGACCACTTAGCATTTAGCATGGCAACAAGGAAAATGTTCCCGGGGGATAATCGGCATTTGTGACCTCATGGGGGGCTGTACAGGGCCACGGGCTTGGAGGTGTAGTATACTCCGCACCGCATTTCACCACCCAAATTGTTTTTTCAAGGGGCTGATATATTGCACAGAGCTATGATATATCAACACCAGAACAATAATCTATAAGATTATTGCATTGACCCATTTCCTCCTCGAACCTGTATACCCATGATGCACAAGCATAATCCACGCACAACCACTCTGACTAATCAATACACCAAAACTAGCTACTTGCTTACATAACATCTTCAAATAAATACCCCCCACGCAGCAAAATCTTCACCGTTTCTCTTCCTTTCCTACTCGTGCAGATGCCCACCCATCCAGGTGGCTGGCAAGCAGTCGCAATGCCTTGGAAGATGATGTTCTCCAACAGGCTTGGGACCAATTGATCTGCGATAACATACATCCTCACCGTCTATTATTGTATGCGAGGGAACGTTGAAAGTTTCTGGGACACCTGCAGCTTGGTTATGAACAAGTTTTGGTGGATTCCGGAATGATATGATGGCGTTTTCTATTGTTTCTGGTTGTTTTGGATAGCTTGCATTGTCTCTCTGACTATGATGATCTCTTTTCTTTGGCATGATGCAGTTTATCTGCGATGAGTGTCTATTCCAAAAAATTCAAGCTCAACAGTCTGAGTTTTGAGAGACATGCTAGCTATACTTTTTCGCTCTTTATTAGTGTTGTCTATCCATTGCAATATTACTCTAAAACAAATCAAAATACCTATCCCAACACAAACCTTCCAAACCACCCATCTAAATAGCAATCACCCCTGCACCCAAATCTCCCTCCCCAAAAACACCATCTCCTTATACAACGGCGCCGCAGTCGCATCATAATACGGCTCAATCTCCACAAACCCCAGACTCTGATACAACCGCACCGGCCCCTCCATCGTCCTCAACGTATCAAGCCTCATCTCCCGATAGCCCAGTTCCCTCGCCCTCTCCACAATCGCATTCACGAGCGCTCTGCCGAGTCCCAACCCCCGCGCCTCAGGGGCAACATACAGTCGCTTCACTTCGCAGTATTGGCGCGGTGATTCTGGTGGCGAAGGGAGGGGACGGAGAGCGACGCAGCCGAGGGGCATCGGAGGGGAGGTGTTGCTGTATGCGAGGAGGATTTCGCCATCCGGGGGACTGTATTTCCCTGGGAGAGAGGATAACTCGGCTTCGAAGTTTTGGAAGGTTAGGTCGATGTTGAGGTATTGGGCGTAGGTGGTGAAGAGGGTGCGGGCGGTGGTGAGGTGGGAGGGGGTGGTGGCGGGGATTATGTGGTAGGTTGGGGTGGTCATTTTGTGGGTTGGATTGGGTGGTTGTTTCTTTGGGTTGCGAGGTGAAGTGAAGTGAAGTGAAGTGGTTTGTGGTTCTGGTTCTTGTCTTGTGGGGATTGTGGGTGTTGTGTGTGGTGGGTGTTGGTGGTTGGGTTGGGATTGGTGTGGATTAGTTGTTCGAATGGCGCAATTTCTGGGGTTGTCTTTGGGGGCTTGTTAGCTAGATGGGATCTGAAGATTGGGTGGATATGTATGTACTTAGGTTAATTGCTGTGCTGTACTGTAGAGTGCTGGTATAGATGGGATTGTAGACGCTGGTGCGGGCTTGTTGGGCTTTAGGCTTGGCTGTTCATGCTGATTGATTGGTATAGAAGCAGATTCAGGCCGAAGAAGATGGAAAGAAAGCATGATGTTTGTCAATTGGGGTCAATCCGTGGAGTGTTGGAGACGTCGACTGTCAGCAGAAGGGCGCGATGGCAATCCCGATTAGGAAATGGGCGTGATGTCACGCCGATTGGGAAAGGCGTGGATGCCTCAGGCCATCATCCAGCGGGGGTCACCAGAAGAATCTCTCCTCTTTCTCTCATCCTCCCTTTCTCCTCATCCGGCGGCATTGTCGGATCAGACGGGTAAAGAACTGCTTGCTCTCAGGGTTTGATGTCATGATATTCATGGCTGTGTGGGCTGGCGGTCTACATAATAAGATGGTTATCACATGCTGCTCGCGTTTCCAGCCATCTTAATCTCCGGTTATACTCACTAATCAAGCAGAGCCCACTGTTGACTCTCCACTATGATAACCTCTGATCAAGACCAGAGTCGGGTGTGATACTCGGTGAAAGGCCGATGAAACAAGTTGGTGACACAAGCTTTCAATCCCGGCATCAACCATCCTATACCGCTGCACCCCTATTCTTAAAAGCCGGCTTGTGTCGGATAGCAGAGTACTGCAGGACCATCTTCCCTGTTGTGCTCTCTTTGTCCGTCTCTTCATGATTCGGCTCGCCTCCGGGCCTAACCCTCAGGATCAGCCAACATGAACGCTGGCCATGCCATTCGTCCGTGGCGGGCGGACAGCCGGGTTCCTGAAATTAATCGATCATTAGGTCCTGCAGATCGCTCTGATCGGGGCGAATCAAGGCAGACCTCAGCTCAAAGCAGGAACCGACGCAAGCTTTGCTACGGGATTCGGGACTCAAATGCCTCGCTACTTATCAATTAGGCTGGTCTCTACCCACTCTGCGGGCCTAACCTCCGATGGCGCCCCGACGGATCAGCTGGAACGGTGACCGACTGCACTCTGCAGACCACCGCTACCCCCATCAATTGGCCAATTCGCGTCCTCCTCATTCGCAACAGTGCGGGTCTTCACGGTGACCTCCGCTATCTTAAGACTGCCTCTTCGATCAACTCCGGCAAATCAGCTGCTCCTTATCAGGACATGTGCTATCAACCACTATCGGGGCAGACTTCCCCGCTACCGATATTGAGGTGGCCTGGTTGCTAGGTCGGACCGGAGTATATGGGGCAGCTACACGCTACTGATGTACGTAGTATAAAATGGGCCAATTGCTCCCAATTCCTCTCAATTGTCAATTCAATCCTGTGTTCTGTACTTTACGAAGTCTACGATCCCTTATGCCCGAAATGTCGTTCATCCCTTCCGCGGGCATGCTCGCCCTGGCTGCCGTGCAGCTCAGCTCCGGTGTGCTGGCTGGCATTGACACTTGCCCCTCGGACAGCGTTCTGAGTTGCTCGGCCGATGACACCGCTTCCTGCTGCTTCAACTCCCCTGGAGGTTCCCTCCTGCAGACCCAATTCTGGGACTACGACCCGTCCGATGGCCCGACCGACTCCTGGACCATCCACGGACTCTGGTATGTGGCAATATAACCATCTCACACCACCACTAACACACTTTCAGGCCCGATAACTGCGATGGCACCTACCAAGAGTACTGCGACGACTCCCGCGAGTACAGCAACATCACCGCCATCCTCAAGGAGCAAGGCCGCACCGAGCTCCTGTCCTACATGGAGGAATACTGGCCCGACTACGAGGGCTCCGACGAGGATGAGACCTTCTGGGAGCACGAGTGGAACAAGCACGGTAAGCCAGCCTGATCCCCCTTCAAAATCTAAAACCTAACCCATAATCCCACAGGAACCTGCATCAACACCATCGACCCCAGCTGCTACACCGACTACTACGCTCAGGAGGAAGTCGGCGACTTCTTCCAGCAGGTTGTCGACCTCTTCAAGGGCCTGGATTCTTACACCGTATGCACCCCCACCCCCATTCCTACCTTCTCCAAACAATTCTAACCACACCAGGCCCTCTCCGACGCTGGCATCACTCCCTCCGAGGACACCACATACAAGCTGAGCGACATCGAGGACGCCCTTGCCGCCATTCACGACGGCTACCCTCCCTACGTCGGCTGCGAGGACGGTGCCATCTCCCAGCTGTACTACTACTTCAACGTCCGCGGCAGCGCCATCAACGGAACCTATGTTGCTGCTGAGAGACGTAAGTCACCCATCCCGATATCATAAAGCGTGAACTAATATTTCTACAGTCGAGGACTCCAACTGCGACGACTCCGGCATCAAGTACCCTCCCAAGTCAAGCAGCAGCTCTGGCTCTGGTTCCGGCTCCGGCTCCGGCAGCTCCGGATACGGTGGCTACGGCTACGGTGACTACGGCTACGGATACAAGAAGAGGGCTACTCGCAAGAGAGGTCTTAAGAACTAGATTAGTCTAGCTTGATAGCTCTATAGCTTAGAAGACGGATGCTGCTGGAGTGGTGTAGGAGAAGGAAACCGTGCACGGTGAAAAGTTGTGAATTGCTTGCTCGCGTACGTAGTAGTCGCTCGTTGTGAATACAATTCGGATTGTCTATCTACATCTATGTCTCTTGTATGTATGCTGCAACGTATGTGCCCAGACAAATAGGTGTATGGGACTCGGATTGAGAGAAGATCCAAATAGAGGCCTAAGCATAATCCTAAACACATAATTCTATACCTCGTGCGTAGGCAACATCTCGCTATTGGATAAGCCCAGCAATCCTGGATAGTTATTGACATCAGGTCACGTCTCCATAAACGATATGAAGTCATCACGTCACCCCCAGGTGGAATCAAGTCATAATGGGTGGCATGCTACTCAATGCATAGCAATATACGCTATCCAATCAGTGACTGTCCTCCACGTAAGCGAACCGCAGGTGCGCTCGGTGCTGTGGACCAAGCTTTACGCACGTGTCTGGCCCTACCTCTTGCTATGGAGGATAGATAATATGCCGCGCGTGCGTATTGGTAGGCTAGCCAGCCCAGAGAGCGGACGGGGGAACGTGTCTGACTGGGGTGCTGATGGGTCCTCTGGCATGTGCTTTGATCCGCGTGGGATGGATGGCCAGGGATGGGCCGGTGAGAGGTTTGAGGTTTCAGAAGAAGACGCGGTACATTCAAAGTCCCTTCAAACGAGCATTTCTCCTTTCCTCTTCGATATTGGCCCCGACGCGATCCAAGAAATCCATCCGACCCAGAAATCCTTCCTTGGCTTTGCTGTGCAGGTTGAGCTCGTCCTTGATACCCGCTTGATCCACATACGCCGCCCAATCCAGACGAGATTTCTCGACCGTGTTGATCTTCGGTCCCCGGGCGTTCTCCTGTCCGGCTGTCTCCGTAGCGGGCATCTTCTCCCAGCTTTTCTTGATCGCGCCGGTCGGATTCGGATCGAATCGAGAGGGTCGTCGAAGCGGTCGACGCAGCAGTTTGATGGGTTCTTTGTTATGATCCATATCGGAAGCAGAGACGGTCTCTGCTTCCTTTTCGCCCGCTAAGAAAAGCTTCGCTTCCGCTGAATCCTTCGGCACGAGCTTCTCCTCCGTTATCATCTCCCCTGCAAATTTGTATGTCCGTTTGATCTTGATCATCTCCTCGGTGTAGTTTGTCTGGGGTTTTTGTGCCGATGTCGTTGTTCCATTATTATCCGCGCGCGTCTCTCCATCCTTCTGTCCATCCGCAGACGTAGCATCATCCTTCTTCTCACCCTGGGACAACGAACCCCCGATTCCCGAATCAGAAGCATTCATCTTCGCCCATAACGCTTCCACATCGACCGTAGCGCCATCGATCTTCGCAAGCGGTTTGCGCTCTTCCCCTCTGCATGATATCAGCATCAGACCTATTCCTCAGTACCCCTCCCTTCCCCGAACCATCAAAAAAGAGAAACCAAAAGAAAAGAGAAAAGACATACATCCTCATTTTCATCGCGCGTGTCCGCACAAACCCCCCCGTTCCCCCCTCCTCATCCTCGTCCTCATCACCCTTCCTCTTCTTATCCTTCTTCGCCTTGGCCTTCTGAATCGTCGCCTCGTCCCCGGAATCCAACTCCTCCGGTCCCTGAGCATTTTTATTATCCCCCGTCTTCCGTTTCTTGGCTACCGGTTCCGCGGTCACCTCCTCCTCGTCATCGGAATCAGACATCCCCGACTCGGCGTCGGGAAGTGCGTCGTCATCGAGCTGGAAGTCGGAGTCTTCGGCGGAGTCGTATTGGTCATCGTCGTTGTCATATTCGGCAGTCAGGGAGGCTAGATCGGGAGGCATTTTGATAGGTTATGATTGGTATGGTAGGTAGATGGGAGTGTTATTGTATGGTGAGAGTAGAGGGAGTAGAAAATCGGGATGCTGGATGGTGATTCTGCCGGGCGGTGGGAATTAATTATGTAATTGATCTGACCAATCGGAGTGAGTATAGGAAGGAGGTGATGGGGCCGAGGTTGAGATAAGGAGAGCTCAGCTATCTACCTATCTATCTCTAGATTAGTGAATAAGAGGCTATTCATCATTCTGGTAAAGGTGGAGGTGGTATTGTATAAATCGACATTCTCTCATAATAATACCCTATATTCCATTCGATATTTGAATCTGAACCCACAACCCCATGCTAATTAATATCGACGGGCCGACCCGCGCTCGACAAATCACCCTCAACCGAGGATGAAATCATGAGATAGAGGGGGATATAACTCCCTAGCAGCTCCCAGATATCACCTCCACCATATCAAACAAACTACCACCAATAACCTACGTAACCTACCCTCCTCAGCACCATCCACTCATAATGTCCACCACCGCACTCCCCACCAAACCCGTCGCCCTCGTCATCGGCGCCTCCCGGGGCATAGGCCGACAAATCGCCCTCGACCTCGCAAAGAATAACTACACCGGTACCATACCCTCCTCCCATCCCCGTCACCCAACCACAGCTACAGTACTAACAAAGAAAACCCCAGTAATCGTCGCCGCCAAAACAACTTCTCCCCCGGGCACCAATCTCAAAATACCAAACCCCAACTCCCAACACAGTACAATCCACACCGTCGCCCAAGAAATCACATCTCAGGGCGGCACAGCCTACCCCCTTCGCGTCGACGTGCGCTCACCCACCCAAATCACCTCCCTAGTGACCTCCACCCTCGCACTCACCAACAACCGGCTAGATGTGGTGGTGTATAACTCGGGCGCGATCTGGTGGGGTTCGATCCGGAATACGCCCCTAAAACGATTCCAGTTAATGCAACAGGTGAATCCGGAGGGTCTGTATGCGGTGGTTATGGCTGTGTTGGAGGTTTTTGAGAAACAGGGGTGGGGGAGGGTGGTGGTGGTTTCGCCGCCGGTTTATTCGAGGTTTTGGAGGGGGAAGGGGGGGTATGCTATGGGTATGTTCTTCTCTTTGGTTGGGGATGGGAGGAAGGGGAGGGGAGGTAGGCTAATAAGGGTATGGGTATAGGAAAGGTGGCGATGAGTGTACTTACCAAGGCTCTGGCGATGGATTTTGTCAGAGAGGGCAAGATGGATATGGCTGTTACTAGTCTTTGGCCGGCTACGGTATGTTTTGTTTCTTTGGGGTGGAGGGTGGGGGTGAGGGTGAAGTTGGCTGATATGGTTGTTTAGGCTATTGAGAGTGCGGCTACGGAGATGAATCCGGGGGGTTCGTTGAAGGAGGATTTGAGGAAGCCGGTATGATCTTCTTCTTTTTTTTTTCCCGTTGAAGTGGGTTGGTTGGTTGGTTGGTGGGTTGAGATACTTACAAGTAGACCAGACTATCTTCTCTGATGCCGTTCTCGGGATTCTGAATACCCCGGCACATATTGTTAACGGTATGTTGGCCCTTGATGAAGACTTCCTGCGGGAGTATTGCGGGGTGGAGGATTTCTCCAAGTACTCTGTTGTTCCTGGGGCGAGTCCCAGACGGATAATGCCCAAGGAGTTTCCTGTGTTGGAGGTGGCGGAGCAGGATGATGAGGGGGTGAGGATGGATAGTTCGAAGGGGAGAGCGAAGTTGTAGTTTCTTGTTCTGTGAATAGGAGATTTACTATATTGTGTCATACTCTTGTCAGGTCAAGTCAACTACCTACATTACTTATACTACCCATCACCACCCTTACCTATCACTACATCCAACCACCCCCAATCTCCTTAAGCAACAGTCCTACACTCAAGTCCCAGGATACTTATCCACCCCACCCACACTCACACTCGCACTCACACTCTCCTCCCCCAAACTCATCGTCCGCTCCCCCTTCTCCTCCCCCTTCACCCCATCTCCATCCCCAACCCTCCACCTCTCCACCCTTCTCCCAACCCACCATCCCAAAACCACCACCACCCCCATCACAACCTCCAACCCAAGCAAAACATTCAACAACCCAAACGCCGCCGTAGTAACCTCACAATCACGCTTGAAATGCACCGGCGCGGTAGCATTCCCATTCCCACTCCCACTACCACTGGCAGTGGTTCCATTCCCCCGTATCTCCTCCCACTTACACGTCCACGAATGCAACGTCTCACTCTCCGTAAACCCGCTCGGATGTCTCGCTCCAGGATGATATATCACGAACAGAAGACCCACTACTGCGGTGATGAACCCCGAAAGGGCGGTTGCAGCGGCGAGGAGGTTGAGACGGCGGATGTGGGAGTGTGGCTGTTGATTATTTCTATTAGTCTTGATTTCCAGTTTTAGGGTATAGAGTAGGGCAGTACTCACAGAGGGAAGAAGAGCAGTGATGATGTATAGGAGGTTTTGGAATGCAATCACACATCCACAAGCCAGGAGAGCAATGGTGGGACGCAGATCCAGGTTCAAGGGCCAGAGGTATAGCCAGATGCGCGTGTAGGGGGCGGTTTGGCGGTAGTGGTGGAGGACGACGGCTTCGCAGGCGATGGTGGGGATGGAGACGAGGAAGGTGAGGATGGCGAGGGCGAGACGGGTGTGGCGGAGGTGATGGGTGCGAGTGAGGAATTTGGATTCGGCTTCGATGGAGGTGATGGGTGGGGTTAGGGGTTGGGAGGTGATGGTGGTGGTGATGGTGGTTTGGGAGGAGGTTAGGGAGGTCATTTTCTTTTCTTTTATTTTCTTTCTTTCTTTCTTTTTTAGTGAATGGGTTATGGGTATTTGGGAATAAGTTGGGAAAAATGGTAAAGCCTTGCCAGAAGGCTAGATAACTTGAAGCAAGATAGAAGAAGAAAAAGATGAATAGAGAAATGAGAGGAACATGCACAAAACAAAGAACGAAGAAAGCTGCAAGCACCAACTACTTATGCAACTCAAATCCCATCAATTCTTCAACCATTTCAGCATCTTCAGCTGCCAAAAATAAGGGCGCTTGGAGAACGAGGAGATGAAACATGTATAGGAGAGGTAGACATCCAGCCATCAAAGCCTAATAGCCGCCCAGCGGGATTGCGCGCCGCTCATTTGCTGTCTCCTGCAGCTCGTGAGGATGCAGAATCCTTCAATCTGACGGCATGCAGGAGGGTCCCCTCGGCGCTTAGCAGAGGTCGATGCAACCTGCAGCGCGAATGACAGCTGGAGGTTGAACAAAGCACTCGGTTTGTGTAACATGTCAGGGTCTTCGTCGGCTCGCCTATTGGTATGTTCGGGAACACTAATTGTCATCGTTCGGAGGGTCGGATGTTTGATTGGAAGAGGGAGTGTCGATGAGATTATGACTGCAGGAATCCTGGTTGACAGCCTATTGCGTTCTTTTTCTTGCAGTTCTAGAACCAGGGACCTGCAGCAGTCACGGAGGGAATGTGGGAGGATACGAGGAGGGAAGAAAAGCCGACAGGTATTTCTTTAGTATTCCATATTTGGGGAGAATTCAATACCTGAAAGAAAACAGGATTGAAGCATGTATCTTATTGAAAGAATTTTATTCTTTTAGGTGCTTTCTAATGGCAATGGCATTGCTCATTACTATTGCATCTATCATTCTTGTTCCTGCATGGTTCCAGTTGAGTGTTCTGTAACCCCCATGACATCTTCAGTAGATGAAATGCTCTGCTGCCACATCCTCACAAATTCCAGGTCAATAAGTGGAGCCGTTATCCCCAAGGCAGCCCCAAACCACAGCCCAGCGCGGATTCCCGTGGCCTCACTATTCGTACTATTCGCAATCTGGACCTCGATAGTGCCATCAAACCCCAACCCCAAGCTATTCCCATAGAGGTTAAGGGTCCCTATCAGACTGCTCGCAATACCTTGCTCTCGCTTTCCAACACTGTTACTGGCAATAATTTGTGCAGCGACATAGACGAAATCGGGACAGAGACTGCCAATGACGGTCGCAGGGAAGACCTGCGCCCAGTAGATCTGCTGTTCTGGCATGGTCGCTAACAGGACACATGCGACGATCGACGTGAGGCATCCAAGGCTCAGGATATACTGTGCCTCCAGAACAGTAATTAACCATGCAGCAAGCGTAACAGCTATCGAAGCGCCAATTCCGTAAGGGATCCAGCCGATTGCAACATGCAAGACAGTCCAACCTCGAATGAGCTGTTGCCAGGCGACCATGTACCAAAGCGAAATCCCAACGGACATGTAGATAAAAAGAACGACGAAAATGAGGGCGTTGAAGCTGGGTGCTATGAAAACGGCCAGAGGCATGATGGGCTCATCTGCAAATCTGCTCTCCCAGATGAAACCCCTATCATCAGCAGTACTGATAGGATCAGGATCACTATGATATATGGGGTCTGCCATCCACCGGAAGGAGCTTGACTATGATCGAGTCAGTCAGAATAAAGAAGACATAGAAAGGTAGACCTACTTCCAGGCTATGTTGAACAATAAGAGCCCACTAAGGCCGAGAAAAGCCCCAATTAGGTCAGCCTTGCCACCTTTATCCACTGGTTCTTCGTGAGGCAGAACGAAGAACAAGCCCGCCAACACTGGGACTCCGAGGCACGCGCTAGAGAGTCAGCATTTTCAAGATAGCCGTCAGTTCAGGATAGCCTTACATGAGAATAAAATGCCATTTCCACTCCGCGTATTGAAGAAAGGCCCCAACCAGCAATGCGCCGACCAGTGCACCCACTGGCGGTGTAGCTGTAAAGATGGCCAATGTGATATTGCGAGCCTTTCCAGGAGGGACCATAATGGTGAGGGTAGCAACGGCATTGGGCATGATAATGCCACCTCCTATTCCAGTGAGAGCGCGAGCCGCCACGAATGAAACGTAGGTGTTGCAGAAAGCGTTGCACAGAGAGAAGATTGTAATGGTAAAAGAGCCAAGTAGTAGTAATCTTTGGTGACCGTAGATTGCTCCAAGACGACCGGTAATGAGGACGAAGGCACTTTGAGGAAGTCTAGCATGAAACAGTCAGTAGATGCAATGACTGACCAAAATGATCGGACATACGAGTATGCCGCAGCCATCCAGTTTGCTTGTCCTGGTTTGGCTTCATGACCAAGTTTGGCGTTGAATGCGAATCCTCCTGCCACGGTAGAAAACATAGACAGAAACTACCAAATGTTAGATGCCAGTGCATAGACACTGCGGAACTTAACGATTTGCCTGTATAAAATTACATATCAAGATCAGACAGGTGATTGTGTACTGTTTGGCCTGGCTCAGATCAGGGGGTGCAGGCTCGGGAATCCCCAGTCTCTGCTGTTGAGCTTCCGCAGTCACCACCCGGCTGACAACAGATAGAGTATCATCTGTATGACCGTCCCTCATCTTTTACCTGAAGCTGAGTCACCCAGCTCTCGTACCTGGCGGAAGTACCAATCTCTGTCTCGCTCGGCAGTGAACAGGCAGAGTTGGGTTGTAAAAGAGATTGGGACAAGCCATAGGCAGCTGATACATATGAACAGCGCCATGAAGTTTAGCCAGGCCAGCTGCCGTTTTCATCTGGAAGGCGGGGTAACTGCATCGCACTGGTGCTGCTGGATCTAGTCCAGATTGCCGTTCAAATCCATGGGAGATACAGCGATTGAGAAGCCAAGCCGAAACCGGCCTATCGCTTATCGCTGGAGGTGACCGAAAGAAGCTAGAGCGTGCTGATACCCCAGGATTATTCACTGAAAAGACAAGTGTGTTGGCCAAGTGTATAGCTTCGGTTGGAGATATACTCGTTTGAATATTGTTGATACAAAGTCTGGCCATCATCCAGATAGTCCGGTTGGTATGCCGTAGAACTGCCTACCCTCATCCTTCATCTAGAGATTACGGCTGTTTTAGATAGAACACAATCATAACATAAGTTCTATTGATCTATGATGTATTCTATAGCCAATATACGCTAGAAACCATATTCAAACGGGACTCCTGCCTGCCACCCTTAACATCGAGTTCCCAAGCTTCTCACAATACAATCAATGTGCAGAGCTATGATACTTGTCTTGACCATTGGTTATCCCGTCGATTATCACTTCTTCCTCAGCAACATCGAGCCCGTCTAGGGTACTAGAAGTAGCAACAACAACCTCGTCGTTAACCGGTGGAGAGAAGAGTTTGCGGCCTTCAAAGACCCACCCCAAACCCATGGCAATCGCAAAGCATCCCATGACCAACACCGTATAGTTCACATTTACGGCTGTCACTGGATGCGACTGTGGAATCTACTCAGATGATTAGAGGTTTGAATGCACGTGGCAGTTGAAAGAGACGCACGAAGGAAACAATAACCACTAGAACGGAATATCCAACTGCAATTCCGTATATGGGAATGCTCCATGTGCCAAAATTCCACCGATCATTTTCGGGCAGTAGGCGGCCTCGTGTGACAAGGAGGACCAGGCTGGGAAAGCCTGTTCTCATTAACGTTTAGTTCCGGGGATGATGGAATGAGTATTACCGAAGCTGATAATCATGCACGTAGCTTGAGATCCGATGATGGGTTAAATGTGGCGTCAGAGAAGAGGTAACTGCGAGACTGAGCAAAGTTACTTTATAAATCGGCGAATAGTGCTCACATCAGTCCCACGGCGGCAACTAGGAACAAAGGCAGGTTGATAGACCAGAATGGCATATGAGAACCAGGAGACATCTCAATGAGCCTATTTACGGTTAGCGATTACATAGGCGGACTATTGTCCTAGCCAACGCACTTGGAGTTCCATAACAAACCGCCGTCACGAGCGAACGCGTAGCCTTGTCTGCTCATCGTGACTGCGCTTCCGAGTGCTGAGGCGGTATTATTGATAATGACAATCAAACAAAACACGATCGCTGCAGCGTTGCTTCCCGTTGCGCGCCTGATTAGCTCCAGTATAGGGACTCTGGAAAACTGGGCAGTCAACGTGTGATCAAGGACTGGACAGAAGCACTGACCCTGTTGCGGTTTTTGTGATTGCTGCGAGATCGGTGATCGAAAATCCCAACACAATAATCCAGACAACCCCAACAACAAATTGAGAAAAGATGACTATTAGCATAATCCGGGGCAAAGGCTTTTTTGGTTGATGAAGCTCCGCGAGATGTGCAGGACCGTCGAGTCCCATCAAGGTTGAAAAGCTGGTAAACATCCCTAACAGGACGGCGAAGCTATTCGAGCTGTATCTATTGTGGTCTTAAGACATGCAATGATATGGACAGAGAACTCACCCGGTGTCATTGTTAATGTCCACAAAGACAAAGCTTGGGTCGGCCTTGAGTGCCTTGACTAGAAGGGTGGTGGTGAATGCCACGAATCCAAGAGCAGTAGCATAGCCTTTGACAGTCAGCACCATCGTATCAGGATTCAAGATAAACATACATCCTATAAGCTCTAGTGTTGGGATACCCTTGACACCCCAGAGGTTGCAGAGCCAACACAACCCGTTCACTGCCAGATACACCAGAAACAGCTTCCATCTGGACGTGACATCGAACTCCGGGCGGCAGAGGTTAACCAAGCCCAATACCAATGTCGCGACTATTGCGCAACAGCCTGCATGAGTAAAGATTCAACCGAGATATTTCATCCATCCCAGCGGGTAGGCAACCTGACGCCGATATTGATCTGGAACCAAGAAGCAAGCATAGTGATAGGCACCCCCTATCTTCAGTCAGCAAGGCACATGTCAGATCTGATAACTGTAAGGCTTACCAGCTGTTGAGAACCCTGATGCACACTGTGCAAAGGTCAGGATGATACATAAGACCGCAGCACACGATCCGATGCTTTATAACGTTAATAGTTTATCGCGAGACAAGAACTTGTAGGCAACGTACAATCCGTAAAGAATAGCCGGAAGACCCCCTGCCGAAAGCCCGACAAACATGATGAAGGACATGCCTCCGAAGACATTGAGAGTCAGCCATCCCAGGCTGATGGCGCTCCACAACCCAAAAAGTTGTGGGATGGGTTCTTTCCCGGTGTCTGAATGATGAGGCATGGCAGTTTTTTGATAGTCTTGGCTGGCTTTGAACCTGGATGGGAACTACGCATTGTATACACAAAGCCATGGTCTTCTAGTTATCATAATTGTGACCGTAGTATCTGTGGTAGCAATGGTTCGCTTCCCAATTTTGTCAGTCTCCAGTGTGATAGCATCTATAGATAGCATGCTACGCACAAATCAGGTATAGCGGTGATGCTTGTATGAGATTGTCACTGGGAATACTCGCAGACTTTTCTAAAATCGGGTACGATAGCCTAGACAGATGCTTGCCGGTGGTTATCGGTATGCGCTTGGACATTCTGCAGTTGGATCTCGAAGGAAAGACTAGACTTGAGGTTTCAAAGTACAATCTGTTTCAGGTGCATCGAGATACTAAACATGTTGATGTGAGAATCACGTAACCTAGTGGTGCAGACAATCCCAGATTTAGCTAAAATCCCCAGGTTGGCTCGAGAAAAATATATCTAGTAGACCTCTGACCTAGATAATCCTTTCGATCTATATGGAGGAGGATGATTCACCGTCCCCTCTCATCGCTCCGATCCCGTCAGTTATCTGCCTCCGCCGATAACGGGGATGGGGGGAGATTCAGGACCTTTAGAGATCTTACTACCATATCCCATTCTCATTATTTACCCAAATGGCCAAGGATCAAAGAGTATATTTGATTACAATGAGGGTGGTTGAGTGGATTTGGGGGTGATTAGCCAGCCCAGAATCATGCCGAGAGTCTCTTCCCCACGCGGGGTTGAAGGTTTCCTTCTTGCGGCGGTTCGGACCACCCTCCAACATTCTTTCTTTCTACAACCACACCCAGAATGTCGACCAATAACCATAACCAGACCTTTGGCAAAAGATCAAGAAGCGGTTTGTTTTGCCTATCAAGTATCGTTTCGTCGCTGTGTCTCACGCTCGTCCAGGTTGCTGGACTTGTCGCAGACGGCACCAAAAATGTGATGAAAGAAAACCCGCCTGCTGGAACTGTCGCTTGCATGGGGTGAAATGCGGAGGTTATGGCATCGCTCTCGGGGACTTTACTGCCTACAGCGGCCGTAAAGGTCAGATGGTGTCACGGTTAAGGAGGAATGGTCCCGGTGGTGACTCTGGCGATAGCAATACACGCAACCAGCCGAGAAGGCAACCACAGCCTCGGATCAACTCGGACGATATGGGAATAATGACTCATGTTGCAAATGAGGTGCTTCTCCAACCAATATCCCCTTCCCAGACTTCAGAATCGGCCTCTCCAAGGCAGCCGGTCCCATCATTCGACTGCAACTCCCCCAATCCGTCACCACATCCTGACACAGCACCATACCCTGCAATTATCCCAGAGACCATTCAGTCATGGGCCGAGGGAGACAATCAGATTGTCGAGAATAATCAAGAAGAACTTAGTCCACAGATGGCCATGTTCATCGATGAGCCGGCACCACAAGCACCACCGAGGGACCCTTTCGACCAGCACCTTTATTGCCATTGTAAAGTCGTCCCATAAGCTTAAGGATAGATCAGTGGTTGACATATTGACAATGCGAGTGGCAGATATGAATATATTGGCATTGCGACTGTATCCGGTCAAGTCAGATCAAAACCCATATCGAGTGGTATACGGAACACTTGCGACCGAATCCAAGCCGCTGCTCAAGGCGATCCTCTTCGCCTCTGCCTTGCATCTTTCGAAACTTGGACAGCTACCCAACTTTGCCATTAAGCCCTATCGAATGGCAATGAGAGACTCCTTTCGCGATGCCCTGACGCGAGAAGACGAGTCTTGGGCTCTCGGTGCGACGGTCCTACTTTCAGTCATTTTCGATGTAAGAGTAGCCATTATGTGCTGCCTTGATGGTTGGCTGATCTGAATAGGTTATCGGGACTGGGTTGGATGCATGGAGCTCCAAACTGATCGGCTGCCGTCGGCTGCTCGAGCGGGCCTTTCTCAGGTCCAACGGCCAAGTGCATGCCGGACTACGATGCGTATTGCTGCAATATAATTGGGCTGTGACAATGGGTAGGACGCTCGTCAAAGGCTTCTTCCCTCCTGCTGTATTCGAAGAACTTAAATGCATCGACGGGGGTAAGGCAACTCACCATTCACATATGGCGGTGATCACATGCTGATATACCCGCAAAGCATCCTCGGCTCTCGATCGAGTTGTTGACGATATCCAAATGGCCAGTCATCAATCACACTGGTGGGACAACCTCCCGGATTACCGTATGCATTTGTTCTTGAGAGAAGCGACCGAGTATTCCATTACAGTCGACCGCCTCCGAGTGACACCAGACAGTATGGACGAGCTACTCGAACTAATGCCCCACGTCACTGATCTCATTATCAAAATCCAAAACTGGCAGCCGGATGTGTCAGCCGTCGACCCAGAGTATACAGATTCCATTCAACATTTCATTGAGGTTTGGAGACAAGGGATGCTATGCTATGCTTACAGTGATATATACGGTCTGGCCTCTAGCCACTACCACATCCAGGCATGCGTAGAGGCATCCATAGAGCCTTTTAGGAAGTTGACCTGGTTCCAGGCCTGTCTTTTTCCAGTGTTCATGATCGCGGTTCATTGCCAGACTGATGAATCTCGGACGTGTTTCGAAACCGGCTTGACTAGAATGCATACCTCGTTAGCATTTCAAGGTCCGTTATCAATTACTTTGACTCTAAAGAGAGTGTGGGAGTACTTGGACAATGATCAAACGGGGGAAGCGAGATGGAGAGATATTATCAGAAATCTGGGCATGGAATTGAACATATTGCTGTAAATGGCTTTTATCTTCATGAATAGATGAATCATACAAGAAATCTATTTGGAGCTGTACTTTATCATACTTGTACAAAAATCTAGAGAATATTCAGATATCAGTCACCGTATGATCGATGAATAGGCTATCACAACCCAAACGGGGAACCCCACCCGATCTCTACAATATCAGATCATAACAGTAGCCATTACCCTTATTTCTCATACCATCTAGCAAAAAAACCTAATTAATACATACCATTCTTCTCTTCTCATCCATCGCCCACCCCACCCCCACTCTACCCATTACAATCCACCCATCTAACCCAATAACAACAACAATGAACCCTCCATTCCCCATCCCCAAACAACGCTTCTACTCCAACAAAACCCCCACATCTCCATCCCCAACCAGAACCACAAAAACAAGAAAAAGAATCGTTGCATTATGGATTACCTTATGGGTTATGATCCCCTTTATTCCTCCTGCGATTGAAACTCGAAGATTGAGGTAAGACGTTATTTGGATTAGGTTAGTATAAATAGTTAATTGTGGTTTTGGTAGTAGTGCTCATACATGTTCAGATCGATCTACTGGGTTGCTGGTTGTGGAAGTGGAATGAAAATGGATGATGGAGGTCGTGGAGATTTGGAAGGGGGTTTGTTGGTTTTATATTACTGTATTAGTTAGGTTTATATATACCCGAGCCTGGAATGGTTATATTTATTGGATTCGGGGGTTTGGAATATGGTTTCGTCTTGTAGGTATGGTTTGTTTTAGTGTGTGTGTGGGGGGGGGGGGGGAGTTAGCTGTTGTTGTTTTGGAGGTAAGGATTTGGGTTGATTTGAGTAGGGTAGGGTCTTAGTAGTTGGTTTCTGTGTATTATGTTTAAATATTGATTATTTTAGTATTTATACTTTCTAAATGTAATGAATATCGCGCACCAATATCGATACGTGATATCTACAGCGCTATATCTGTTGTATAAGAGTCATGATTACTATGCCTTTGTTTTATCATTGGTTTTTAAATCCGACAGAACAATCTGTCCCCAGGGATATCATTCCAGGAACTAGATGAGATCAACAGGAATATATTTGGACCAATCACCCTTTACCTTCAGAAAGTCCAGGGGCTCCATATGTTCCACAGATCCGCCATAAGGACGGCTGATAGAGTAGCCAAGGAACCGCTGGACCTCGGTTGGGTATTTCTCTACAACCTCCCACGGGATCGCAAGGTATTGGTTCTCTTCCTGACGACGGAAGCCAGCTGTGGCAATGGCGCTGAGGAGGATGCTCGTCTGGGTGGAGCTAGTGTTGGCAGTCTGGCCGAAGTAGGTAGATCCTAGCCTGTAGTAACCATTTAGTTAGTTGTGGTTTAGATGAGTGATAGAGGTAGACCCACCAGAGCAAAGCATCGCCTTTACGCAGTTCGACGAGATATTCTTCCTTCTTGGTCGGATCACGCAGATCCGTCCAGTTGTTAGAGCCAATCACCACCCTGATGGCTCCGGTCTTGGTTGTGATGTCGGTCGCTGCGTATGCGATACCAAAGTCTGCTTCGCGCTTGGCAGGGTGCGTGATGTGGTGGCATTCATCATGCCGACGAAGACCCCAGGCAGCGGATCCGGGCTGCGCGGTGATGATGGAGGTTTGGGAGACTTGAGGGTCGGAGGTCGACACCGTTCTTTCGTTTTCGTAGTAGATAATGCATGTATCAGTGAGGATTCGCTTCGTGAGGTCGATATACAGAGGGTTCATCAGAAGGCTCGTGGCAAAAGTCGTGCTCTTGCCAGCAAGGGCGAAGGTTTGGCCTCCTGGGACTGTGCCGACCTCGTCAATCACTGAGTCGATGGTCTGCTGTGTAGCAGCATCTTCGATGACCACGACGCCGTCGGCCTTGAGGTATTGATGAATCTCGTGGGGATTGGCGACGGCAGAGAATCGCTTCACGGTGGCAGGCATTTTGAGGCGGGTTTGGGCTAGGAGGGGAGGCAAAATTGGAATCTGATGAGATTGATGTCAGAACTGGGGGTTCGTCCTTGGATATTGAAGCTGGCTTGTTGTTTAACGAATAGTTCGACGAAGCCGACGACACTTATAGCGACATTGCATCGAACGTCGGGTATATTGAGTGACTAGTCGCACGTATTCCATTGCAACTTCTGAAGAGACTGCAGTACCCCTCGAATGCCTTGGTTTGGGGGACGATAACCGAGGCGCAATGCCTCCATCTTGTCTTGAAGGGGATTCGTATCGATAGGCGATAAACGAGTGTTGCTTGCCGTTATCGGGAACCTCCTTATCGAGTGACCCGATAGTGTATTGTTACCCGTTTGGGAAGCGATTGGCCACCATGCCATCCAACTTTCTGAGAATCGAGGTGGCACCAACACATTCAAGATCTTGGTCAAGAGCTCAGCATATATGAAATTGATTGACTCGCCAGAGAGAAGCAGCTACACGGCCAGTGAACCAACAACCTTACCCCGCACAGAAACTCAACACTACTACCCACCACCAAAATGCCTAATCCACCACACCAGGCGAACAACCCCCAGGTTGTCGAGTTGGACGCCTCAGCCCCAATCAAAGAAATTGCCAACGTTATCCGGCGCGATGGTGGAATCATCATCAAGAACTTTCTGAGTCCCGAGGTCATCGACCAGATTCATGCCGAGGCCCAGCCCTACTGGGGCAAACTGGGTACTTACGTGGGCAAGCTGTTTGATGCCGCTGATCCTCCGCTCAGGTGAGTCTATTGTATGATGATTGGTATCTTTCGGTGTTATTGACATTTGAATATAGTGGCTTCGCAGGCAAATCACCCACCTTTGCTCATAAAGCAATCAACCACCCGACGTTCCGAGAGACGGCCAAAGCTCTTCTGAGAGAAGAATCGTGAGTCCGTCTTGCTCTTTACCTCGTGCTATATACTGACGGCAATATAGCAATGTTTACCGGGATGGAAAGAGGTACACTTGCGTGTCTAATCCCGTTCTGGCCGTGTCCGAAGCCTTCAACCGCGGTTCTCCCTCGACAGCCCAGCAGCTCCACCGCGATGACATGGCACAGCACTTTGATCACCTTGAGGGTAGTGGGGAAAGCTCTTTGCTGGGTCTTCTTGTTGCTGGCGTCGTAAGTGTGCAGCCGAAACGTCACCTAGCTTGGGGGCGAAAACTGGTGATTTGATTGCTAATACAAAGACTAGGACACCACCTTTGAAAATGGAGCGACGCAGGTCATTGTCGGCTCCCACAAGTGGCCAGAGGCAGCTATTCGTGGACCTGCCGACCGTTCACTCTGCTCAACCTGCGAGATGAACAAGGGCGATGCTGTGTTCATTATCGGAAGCATCTGGCACGGTGCTGGAGAGAATAAGACAAACCCTCCAGAGCGGAGGATTATCTATTCCTGTCATATGACTCGAGGTTCACTTCGCTCGGATGAGAACCAGATGCTAGGTGTTGACATGGATGTCGCCAAAACGTACGAACCTGAGGTGCAGTCTTTGCTAGGGTATTCGGTCAGCCATCCAAACTGCGGTCATGTTGACATGAAAGACCCCATCACCCTGCTTGGCAGCACTGAGGATCCGTTTGGGTATGGCAGCTTCAAGGGCCAGGAGGTTTCTCCGTCACAGATCATCGTGCCTTAGGAACCGGGGAATCAGCCTATAGGTGGATATTGTATCTAACGAAATGAGATATGCGATGAGTGAAAAGCCACTATGGACCGCTTCTTTGATTCTGGAGCCGATCACCACTCAAAAGTAGAGCGAAGAGATGCCACGGGATCAATACCTTGATCGTGACTGGGTCGTAGTCCTTGTATCCAACCCACCTTGAACCATGGCCACGAATGTCCAAGACGGAGCTTGATTGTACAAGTCTTGGCCAGACGGGGTCAGCAGTGCAATCTTCCTCGGGCGCTTTCATCCAGCACATGCTCTACTCGCCACCCAAGTCCTGATCCAGTGAACAACAACTCAAACATTTTCGAATATCCTGTGGATGGCCGTTCTGGGGTCTCCATATGACATTGTATAAATGAAACATGCAAAATGCCGAGTCGGCAGCGGGGTCATATCCCAAAGGTCATGGGATAAACCAGACCCTCTATCCAGTGCAGCTCTCCACCAGGGGACTAGGGCTGTAGACAACTCTTCCTTCGCCAAGACAACGGGCCTTGCTCCGTACGTAGGCAGGCTTGCGCCTAGACCACGAGCCAAAACCACAGGATCTTGTGCGATTCGATGGCGGATGAATTCTCAGCCGTGGATCGCAGATCTTCGCGAGTACCCAGAAAACAGGCGAATCACTCGCTCCTGGATAGTAATGACACGCGGCACCTGTGCTTGTTGGGTTGTTTGGGGTTTTCCTAGCCAGTCTTGGCGGGCGAGCTTCATCGCAACGTCCCCGCGGCCGTTGGTCTTGGCCCGGCGGAGGGATTCGTCATCCTCCCTGCCGACGAGTAGATGCATCGCTTGGGCACACTTCTCGCCAATCTCGCCGGTAACATTGGAGAGAACAGGCAGGGATCAGTACAGTCTCGTCGTTATTCCATCCACTGCTGACGACATTTACTAGTACCTTGGAGGTTGGAATCGCTTCGACAAGGGAGCATCCTCCGTGCGATGGCAAACTTGTCCGCACCAAGATGGGTATAGACTGCGTCATGAAGCGGCAACACATTCCTTGAGACCGGTGCTCATGATGGAGGAAGCAGCATATAAAGAGCGCTTCATCCGACGCCATCTGAGTAGGCATCCAGCAGCTGTCCATCTCACTCAACTTCACTTCTGCAAATATCGTTGTTTCCGCTCTAGGTCTCTTGGAACCATCTCTTAAGCTTCATTGAAGATGCATCTCCAAAGTGTTGCCAATTTGGCCATCGTTGGATGCGCGGTTCTTGCGACCGCTCATCCTGGCCACCAGGAGAAGCGCGCCAACTCTGACCTCCTGGAGTTCAAGGCCAACATGCGTCGCGGCTTGGAGAAGTGCGCCGACAAATTCGAGCGTAGTGGCCTCAATGCTCGCGCTGAAGCTCGCCGGAGAGCCTTGGTGGACCTTCACCGGAGGCGTCTCTCTGCGCGGAGTACTGAATCTGTCCTCAACACATCCCACCTTGTGACTGGATCCGATATCACCCCCGGCTCTTCCGTCAGCGAGATATTCGGCAATACCAGCACCTGCATCCTTAACCCAGAGGGTGAGACTGGTCCCTACTATGTCCCGGGCGAGTACATCCGCTCGAGCCTCGGTGAAGGCCAGTCGGGTGTGCCCGTCGTGATTGAGGGCCAGTTTGTCGATGTCGAGACATGCGAACCAATCCCCGAGCTGTACTGGGACATCTGGAATTGCAATGCCACCGGTGTCTACTCCGGTCTCGTCGCCAATGGAAACGGAAACACCGATGACACTTCTAACATGAACACCACCTTCCTGCGTGGTGTGCAGAAGACTGACTCGGATGGTGTGGTCACCTTCGAGACCCTCTTTCCGGGCCACTATTCCGGCCGCACAACCCATCATCACTTGGTCGCCCATCTGGATGTGACTGTGCTTGAAAACAACACCATTACTGGAGGCACCGTCGCACACATTGGTCAGCTCTTCTGGGACCAGAATCTCATCGACGACGTGGAGGCAACTTACCCATACAACACCAATACCGTCACCCTCACCACCAACGCAGAGGACCGTGTCTTCTCCGATGAGACTGAAAATTCCGATTCGGATCCTGTTCTGAACTATGTCTATCTCGGAGACGACTTGGATGATGGCCTCTTCGGATGGGTGACTGTTGCTGTTAATGTTTCTGCCACCTATGACCCCAACTACAGCTTCATCTATACCTCCAGCGGTGGTGTTGCAGTGGATGACAGCTCGTCCACTCCTGGAGGTGGTCAGTCAAGTGGAGGTCAGCCCGGTGGTAGTCAGCCTAGCGGTAGCCAGCCCACTGGTGGCCCGGCTTAAGTTTCGAGGATTGTCTGTTAGAGCACCTCATCAGGGGACAGAGTGGACAGGTCAGACAGGTCAGACAGGCCGGTTCCATGGAGAGTGTGAGGGGTAGTCGTATATCGCGTTTTGAACTTCAATGTTGGTAGCACTCGTTTGAAATTGATTTGATTCCTGGTAATCGCGATTCAAAGTTCTGGTCATCGATTGTATCGGGTCAGTAGTTGTTGATCGATAGAGCATTGCACTAGCAGAGGGTAAGTCAATCAAGTCCACGATTATAGTAAGCCTGCGCCGCTATAAAGAGCCATCCCGCCTTCGCAAGTACTAGGGCATTAGTCGTTCAGCAACAGACTCAGGAGCGGCATAGGTATCCTTTGGGAGTCTGTTTTGTATACATCAGGTCACATGACGCTGACCTCCAAACCAACGGATCTCAATCATCAAAGCCGCGAAGACATCAATGGGCGTACAAGCTGCAGAGTCAGTTCATCATCTGTCAAAGCTCTCAATTCCCATCTTTCATCAAAATAACAAAGCAATCAAGTGCCAACATGCCTCGAACCAGTGAGTAACGAGCGTACTCCATCCCCGATAGCTCAAAACACATCGAACCCCCTAGGTAAGGACCAGGATGCCGGACATCGGAACTGGAAGTGGACACCACCCACCCGAACCCGTGACATCACATGCCCACCTTCACACTCAACCAATCACACTCAAGGCGGTCATGGATGGCCACTTCCCCCACGCGACAAAAATTGGCGGGGAAAAAGAGGCATTTCTGCGGCAAGCCATCATTGGAATCAATTGATTTATGCTGATTCCTCGCATTTTCAGACCCCAATCGGTTATATCTCGTTGTACTAAGGTTCATTATTCGGGATTTGCAATGCCTCTTTCCAAGTTGCAGGGCGTGAAGCTCCCCGCTTCGGCGGACTTTCATGGTGCGTTTTGATGATGTCTTTTCCAATGGTGGAGGTGGGGAGGGGAATGGGTGGCAGTTGATATGTACTGTGTATGGTTATGGCTAATGGAGTGGAGTTAAGTGCATCTTCGTGATGGTGATATGATGGAGCTTGTGACTCCGACTATTAGACAGGGTGGTGTGAATACGGTTTATGTTATGGTAAATTCGACTCTATACTACCCTTTTGTACTGATGCTTTGCTGGGATGAAATAGTAACTTGGATGTTATCAATTAGCCGAACTTGGTCCCCCCGGTGACTACTGTTGACCGGGCGCTTGAGTACAAGCAGCGCCTGCAGGCCATCGAGCCTAATGTGAACTTTCTCATGTCTCTGTATCTCCATGAGACCGTGACCCCGGAGACGATCATTGAAGCCAAGAAGCGTGGCGTCACTGGTGTCAAGAGTTACCCTGCCGGTGTGACTACCAACTCTTCTTCGGGCGTGATCGACTACACCCAGTTCTACCCCGTCTTCGCTGAGATGGAGCGTCAGGATATGATCCTCAACCTGCATGGCGAAGTCCCATCCACGGGCGATGTGACGGTCCTGACGGCGGAGGAGCGCTTCCTTCCCACCCTGCTGCAGCTGCACGAGCGTTTCCCTAAGCTGAGGATCATTCTCGAGCACTGCACAACCGCTGCGGCAGTGGAGGCTGTGAAGAAGTGCGGCCCTACTGTGTCTGGAACAAGTGAGGATTTCCCCGTTGTTGGAAGATTGCTTAATAACAATTCTCTCAGTCACGGCCCACCACCTGTCGATCATCATCGATTCATGGGCTGGAGATCCGTTCTGCTTCTGCAAGCCTGTGGCCAAGACACCTGCGGATCGTGATGCCCTTCTGCGGGCAGCAGCCTCCGGCAACCCCAAGTTCTTCTTCGGCTCCGACAGCGCTCCCCACCCCGCTGTTTCCAAGAGAGGAGGCGACAAGATCGCCGCTGGTGTGTTCACTCAGCCCCACACCACTCAGTTGGTCATCGACGCTTTCGAGCAGGCTTGTCAGAACGGCGTCCTGAAGGAGGAAGACATCACCCCCGAGATCATTGAGGGCTTCATGAGCAAGTTTGGCCGCAAGTTCTATGGCATCGGCGAAGAGCAGAAGGAGTTTATCACCATTGACAGGAAGGATGAGAAGATCCCGAACATCCTGAAGTCGGACAAGGTGGATGTGGTTCCATTCAGACGGGACCAGCAGACGTGGAGCGTGTCGTGGTCTGCATGAACTTGATCGACTGCGCGAAATAGAATCGACAAGGAATTCTCTAAGTTTCCGTGGTTCACCTCTCTAGGCCGACTTTTGATCCTCTTGCGTAAGCATTCCTGTGACAGCCTCAAGGGCCTGTGCTTCTGTAATGTCGATCTTACGGCCCGCAACAACTGTATTGCCATCGCTACCGACCGCCAGCTGACCGGCCCGCTCGAGATGCAGCCTGACCCTGCTCTCAATGTATTCTTGTCTCGCATCGGCTTTCGACTCCGTCTCCATTTTCTCTCCGGACTGTGGTAGAGTAGCCAACTTGGGTCGAAGTTCCTTCAGCAGCGCATGTAGTGCAGGAAGCTGGGACAAAATAAACGTAGTGTTTGTTGTGATTGGCGTGTGTTGGGTATTCGATCCGGCAGTAACGCCAACGCGTAGCTGTTGAGCAGGTAGGCTGGAAGTCAAGAATGACAAATCCAAGTCCTTTTGGCCGTTGGGCGTGACTTCATTCTCCTGCTTTGCGGCCTGTGTCTTTGTTATAATCGAGCGTAGCTGATCAATAGCAGCCTCATTACGTGCGCTCTCTTGCTTCAACGCCCGGTTCAGTTTCTTGGTTTCATGTAGCTTCTTCCGTTGCGCGGTGATTGTCTCTTGGGTAGGGGCATCGGGCGGAGGAGCTATGTTGAGATTCTAGCGACAGAAACAGGTCAGTAAGACGCAGAGCATAGTTACACCATTCTAGAGCACCGTACCTCATAATGCTTCAATCGAATCCACCCCATCAGATCATCTGGGATCTTGAACGTATTGCGCAGCACGAAAAGCTCAAACTTATCGAAAGTCTTGTCTACCGTCGCCTCGAGAAGCGTTTCTAGCTGATGCAGCCCATTTTCAATCTCCAGTTGTGCCTCCGGGTAAACAACATTCCCGTCTTCATCGGTGTCGGGTATAGTCGAGCCATTGTTCGCATGAGAAAAGCCCAATCGTTCGGGAGGAGTAGACAGCAGTCCGGTCTCTAGACTAGAGATGGCCTGGTAGATTAGGTTGTTGATCGAGTTGATAATGTCGTCGATGAGAGACTGCGACCAGTCAGCCTGTTGTATTCGAGTGCCAGTGCGCAAGGGGCCATACTGACCAGGGGCGTGTAGCTGAAGTGCTCTGTGAGCAGGGAAGTAGTCGCGTCACTCATATTGATGTGGTCTTGTCAGGGTTCATCTCCACGCTCGCGGATGATGGTTGGATGATGTTTTGTACCTCGGAGGTGGACGCGTTTGCGCGAATGCGGGATAAAATAGCTGGGTTGGCCGGCACGCGAGGGGAACCAACCGTTGGAGCCAAGACCTTGTACCTTGAGGACGCCGACGTCGCTGTCAACACCGACAGGATTCTGAACGAGCGTGATGATATCAATTCCATCCTATGGCACGGCCTGATTTTGGACTAACATGTTCTTTGCGTGTTGATCTGATGATGAGGATGTGTTGTTGTGATTGTTAAACTTTGCTTTATAATGTATCAAACAATGCCGTCATATAACAAGATCCGATATGGTGTAGTGGCTAACATCGCCGTCTCTCACACGGCAGCCGGGGGTTCGATTCCCCCTATCGGAGTTAATTTTCTCTTTTTGTTTTTTTCAAGCTGCTCTGTCGCAACTCAGCCAGCCTTGCTGATGATCTCTTTTTGGCATGCCTTGTCGCAGTCTTACTTTTCTATTTCGGTATCACCGTCGTCTTGTCGTCATTCACACTCTCCCTCTGACTCATCGTCACTTTAGCTTTGTGTTTACTCCAATATGAGTCATCTTACCGTCGCAGGAGTGGGCTCAGCCTTGGCCATTTGACTCACTGTCCAGTCTCTGCGACAACAAGACATCGTCAGTTGGATATGGCGGTGCAGTGGATCTGTCAGACATCCTGCAATGCGCTTTTCTTGTAGTCATCACAGGGGAATACCACCTAAGTTGTATCCAAAATGGTTACAAGTGAATGATCAGTAGTAGGCAATGCAGTGGTCCAGAGTGTCTCTTGAGAGTAATATATAACCTCCTGGAAAGATGCTCTGGAGCATCTGTTGCAGACATCTCAATATCCTCTCCAGACTGAGTACATAAAAAAGCGACTTTCCTCGACATTATGGCTTCAGACCTACCAGAGACACAGCAGGGACAACACGATGTCCCGGAGCAAGGCAAGGAGCGTACCCCGACTCCTCAGCCAGAAGCTCGAACAAGATCCCCTACGCTCACCCCAGAAACGGATTATACTCCCTTCAGATCGACCAGATCAAAGCCGGAGCCTGTGGAAAATAGACTCCGTCCTGCAGCAGGTAATTCGCCAAGGCTCACTTACTAGCGTGTTGCTAATTCAGACTAAGACATCATCAATCGAATCATCTGGGACGATGCATTTGATCCTGCCAATTATATTATTGGCTATGAAGATCGATTCGAAGGACGACTGGAGGCTGGCTTCAACTCATGGAAGAAAGAGACAACCGACGAGGAGTTCATTCCTCAGCATCGCATTCTCTACATCAAACGCAGTTCGGATGGAGAGATTGTATGGGATCGGAGACGGAGAATCGACAAGATATTCCTCAGTGGAAACTCTGCGTTCGACTATCTTGCTTTTCTTAGTTGAATACGACATTCAATATCTGGCTCTGTTATGGTGCACTGTCAAGATCATTCCATGTTTGAGTCCCGGCTGATTTGCGACCGATGACGCACAGTAGACAATGTAGTTGCCTTTTATATACCCATGAAAACCCTTGTTCGAGACTGCTTAGCTCCTGCTATACTTGGACATGGTCGAGTAAGTCAAGTGAGCTACAAATACAGGAAGTGCTCATAATGTTTGCTCCTCATCAAAGTCCCTTTCCTTTCACCTTTCGACAACCATCAGGCCGACTATCCCAGGACACCTAAGACAACCCATACAATCGCATATTACTCGCAGCCAAAACTGGTCTCCTCATATTCAAATACGCCGCAATGACCTCGAGGCGCCACAGGATCGACTTTTCTCTGCGAAGACGACGCAACAACCCGTCGCTCACATCTTCAGGAAGTGCCTCGCCCACCGTCCCTGTCCTTCAGTCACCTGTGACGTTTCAAGCATTTGCGTCAGTGAATGTCTCCGAGACAACCCTCAAGCAGAAAAATAAATTGGAAAGGGCTCCTGTGAGGCCGTCCATGTTTCTCGAGGAGAAGGATGATGATGAAACGTCCACGCCTGCGCTGGCTGGAGGTGCTCCTGTGGATATCAGACCAGCCCACGTCGAGCGGAAGAGTGTCGAGGAAAAGCCAATGACTCAGACTAGAAGCCAATACTTCGAAGACGCATTTAGCACCCGGGGTCCGTTAACGTCGCCGAGATCTCAAATAAGCCAAGACTCCGTTGTGGTGGTAGAGATCAAGATCAACACCAAGGTGCGTATCAGTATATCCTCTCCGAGTTGTCTCCAGTGAAAGCAACGCCACTGTGTCCACTGTGTCTAGTGTCTAACCCCATGTTTAGGTCAAAGAGTTGGAGTCGCTTGTCTCAAACATCTCGTCCCATATGGCACGCATTTTCCAGAAATCTGAGACTTTTATGATGACCACCATCCAGGAAGAGGCATGCATTCATTTTGGAAAATCAAGTCTGCCAGCATACTTGATGAAGGTCTTCGCACTGCCGTATCTCATCGCGCCAATAACCAATCTCCGCAGTACCATTTTGATCCAGGCAGCTCTTCAAGAGATCATCCATGTGGCACCGAACCGAGGAGTCATCTTATACATACCAATCTCCGAGGAAAACTTTGCGACCAATGGGGTGACAATGATGGGCGAACTCGCACGTTTGGAGCGCTCTTCTCCAGATCACGGTCCTGGGTTATTTAGGAGCATCTCACGAACCATGAGTAGAAGACTGAAATCCAGTAGCTCCCAGAGCGCACCTATCTCTGTTACAACAACCTCATCATGGGCCTGCGGTGGCGGTGGTACGCAGGCATCCTCAGTGACAGGAAAGGATTCACAATGTAGCGAAGCTCTGAGGAACGAGGGCAAGCCAAAGTCGGGCACGAAACCAAAGGGCTTTCGGCACTTTTTGTCACGGCAAGGCTCAGGACGACTCCAACAGCCCGGGGACAATCAGTAATCTGTGCTTTTGATGTTTGTACTCACTGAAAGTTAACTCTTGGTGTTTTTTTTTTTTTTTTTCTATCTCCACTCTGTCTTTCTCTGTGTCTCTGCCACTATCATTCACGTTGACGTGCCGTATCTTTTCTCACGGACCACTTATGCAATTATGAGCAGAATGTGCGCAGGTGCCAACAAGGGTCGAAGGTATTCACTGTAGCTACCTTCCTTGGATTTCATTTTCTTTTGTTCCTTAGCGCGTTCTGCTTTTGCATTCGATGCTGTTATTTCTGTACTCAACCTGTCTCTTTCACTCTGTTGCTCTTGATGCTCCCATATTCCTAAAACGAACGATAGAACATCATAGAAGATATTCGCAGTGACCCTAGACAGATGGAGTCGAGCGCCGTCCGTGGCAGAGTCTCGGAGATCCAAGGCAACATTTTCGATGCACCAGACGGAACAGGACTGATCCGTACGTGACAGACCGACTGCTTGTGATCCATTGAATAACTGGAAGAAATTCAGATGCATGCAACTGTCGTGGTTCCTGGGGCAAGGGAATAGCAAAAGCTTTCCGAGAAAGAGTAAGCCCGGGATTGCTCTGCCCATATCCACGTTGGCATCAGTCGCTAAGTTGTCTGACACTTCATTAGTACCCTGCCGCATACGAGATCTACCGCTCCCATTGTCGAAGATGTTCATCTGCTCCCAGATACAATACTGTTCTGATTGATGGAGGGGCGCGAAAGATTCGAGTGCCAGAAGGCACGGCTCTCATCATTCCACCTCAGAAGAAAGACTATGAAGCTGGGATTAGCAAGCGACACTGGATCATTTGCCTTTTTACGTCTCGCGGCTTCGGGAGGATGGTCAGCCCTGAGGACACAATCTTGGAGAATACCGGACTTGCTGTCGCAGATATGCAGAGACAACTTGATCAGCTTGAGGGTCTTTCAGAGCTTTGGTCCTGTCAGTTCAACTCTGGGTTATTTGGCGTTGAGTGGGCTCGTTCGAAAGAAATTCTGAAGAGCTCAGGACTCAAGGTTACTGTTGTGAAACCGAAGGAGGAGTGAGTTTCTGTATTATTAGTCTCTAGGGCAGAGTTGTTTTTATGTTGCTTTGCTGAAGAAATATTTATCTGGAGCGGACAGCAGGCTTGGATGAAACAGTCACCATTGCAGCCGAGCGCATATTTTCCCTGTATTATCATCATTCATTAATGAGCACATGAAACCCCTTCACGGACAGAATATTCCCGCTGAAAAATGATAATGCCGATGACGATCCATATAGATAGCAAATCACCTGACTTCGCGTCACGGACCGCGATCCCGACCCATCGCGACGCCACCAAGAACCTCTCTCTAATCTACAAACCACACGACCTACACGACCAACACGACCAACATGCCCGCAGAAAGAAAGACCGCGCTAAAGCGCCGCCAACTCCCCTTCAAACCTCCAAGCCGAACCTCTGCCTCTGCCTCTGCCTCAGTTTCGACCTCCGCCCCGGCCCCCGCTCCAACCTCACCACCACCACCAGCAGCCTCCAAACCCAAGCCCAAACCAAAGTCCAAACCAACCACGAAACCCAAACCCCGAGCCCCCAAATCCTCAGCCCCATCAACAACCACATCCAAACCCGCACGCCCCTCAACCAAATCCAAAGGCAAAGCCCCAGTCTCCGCCCCCGCCTCCGACAACGAATCCGATTCCTCCTCATCCACATCCTCTTCACCTTCCGCATCCCCAGAACCAGAACCGGATTACATCCTCGCAGAAATTATCCACAACGAGACAAAATCTGATTCCGTACTGACGAATGACCCCGTGATTCCCCCGAAGTTGTTAACGAGGTTACTTCATCACCATTTCCAGAACCAGAAGACGAAGATCGCAAAGGATGCTAATACGGTTGTTGCGAAGTATGTGGATGTTTTTGTGAGGGAGGCGTTGGCGAGAGCGGCGTTTGAGAGGAGGGAGGCGGTTGGGAAGGGGGTTAGTGTTGGAGATGGGTTTTTGGAGGTGAGCTTTCTTGACTCTTTTCTTTTTGGTTTTTGGGTTGGGGTGAAGGGGGTTTCGGGAGTGGGGTTTGATGAGGTTGCTAATTGTGATGTGCTAGGTTGAGGATTTGGAGAAGATGGCGCCGCAGCTTGTGATGGATTTCTAGAATGGGTTAGTTAGACTTGCTTGGGTTGGGTTGGAGTTTGGAGTTTAAGGAGTAGAGTTATGTTATGATACCAGACGTTGGGGATGATGGGTTGAGGGACACTTCAGAGGTATGTGGATAAATGCGCATTATGGAGTTCTGAATCATGAGAATGTAGTCTATGTACCATTGTAGTCTGGCGTCTAATATTCTAATATCTAAAAATATACATGTATAGTCAGCTATGCCCGGCTTGGGTATAATGCTATCCCCGTTACTCCGCAAAAACACCAATTCCTAATCGTATCAACCGCTCACCAGGGCGTCCGGGGTAGTCGCCTTGTTCGGATCCCCGGAAGGAGTAGCAGATCCCTCGGCGGGGGTGGCCTTCTCCGACGATTCGTCCGCCTGAGGCTTCTCCTCCTTGTCGTTGCCCTTTTTCTTGATGGTAAGAGCTCCCAGCTCGACAGCCTCCTCGGGGAGTGGTCGAATGTGTGGTTGACAGATCCACCAGGGTCTGCCGTATTCGGCAATGGTCGCCTTGGATCCGGTCAATTCTTGATCAGGAGATTTCTCGAAGCGTCCCGGGAACTGTTCGTATTCTTTGAGACCCTTCTTGATTGCCTGCTCGACGAGTGAGAGGACGTTTTCGAATGCTGGCATGTCGCCGGGTCTTGATCTCGCGAGCGCATCACGGACATTAGTGTGTTCTGAGACCATGGGACGAAGAAGCTGGAAGAGATGTCCTTGCATCACACCAAGACTGGGAGAGTTTGCCCTCTTCGACTTGTCGCGCTTCTGTCTCTTTCTGGGTGGGCCGTCTTCTGCTTCCTCGGCAGACTCGGTTGCCTGCTCGGGCTCCTCTTCCACCGCGTCTGATGGGAGATAGAGAGGCTTCCTGTCTGGGACCGGCTGCTCAAGCACGTACTTGTAGATGATGTCCAAGTACCGCCTTAGCATGGCATCGATGCGGTATCCACCCTTTCCATCCCTGCCTCGCCAGTATTCCCGTCCTTCACTGCCGACTGGAGGTGGCTTGCTGAAGATCGATGGATCGGACAAGTTTCCTTCCGCGCTCATCACGCCGTCGGCCCCTGTTGCTTCCAAACAGCGGTCCAAATCGTCATAGTTCAAGTTGTTGCCATTCGCGAAGATGACAGTCTCCGGGGGAAGATTGTCGCGAAGGTAACGAATATAACTCCAATCAGCGATTCCGGTGTTGTGACCTTTCTGTTCTCTCCTCCGTCCATGTACCGTGATTATGCTTGCTCCGGCGGCCAAGATCATTTTCGCGTATTCGAGAGTCTTCTCTTTCGTCTCCTGAATGCGGAACTTTGCAGTGATGGGGATCGGAAGTTCGGTATGCAGTCGGTTAATTAACCTGTGAATCAAGTCCCAGTCTTCCTGAAGGAAAGCTCCGTAGTGACCCTTCCTCGCAATGCCCTGAGGACATCCCAGGTTCAAGTCCACAGCATCACAGTAAGGCACGACATGGCGAGCAGCCTCCAAAAAATCATCCGGCTCGTTTGCGCAGAACTGTACGAACAGCGGGCGATCGATCGAAGGGTTTCCATCGAGGTATGGCGATTCATCGTCGCCTTTGCCGGCAAAGGCACGAGTCGGATGGAAATGCTGGACACGGACGTTGGGTTGCTCGCGGAACAAGCGCGCATGGTACATTGGGGAGTATGCGAGGACCTTTTTCTGGTCCTCGGGTGACATGAACGACCTAGTGAGCATGCGCCACGCCTCGAGACCGTTAGTTCGAACAGTGAAACAGCTTGCGGTTGAGACTTACAAACTCGGATCGGTCCACCATGGGTGCAACGATGTACTTTGGGCTTCCTATGCTCTGGTAGAACTCTCTACCAAGGAGCTTCTTCTTCGGTTCAGCAGGTGTGGTCGCAGGCGCATTTTGGTCTGCGACGCTTCCTAGCGAAGCGGGGTGTGTCTCCGGGGCGGCCATTTTCACGTTGGGGCGAAGAAACTTGGGGATAAAGTGCCCCAGCCAAGGGGGTAGGGACCGAGGGACACGAATGTTTACGGTCGAGAAGCTCCTTGTCCTCGAAAGGAGCAATTGAAGAGGTTGCGATTTGCGGATAAGTGGATTCTGGAGTAGCAAATGATGCGGATGGGGGCTTTTTTCCCGCCGTTTAATTTATTTCGGAAGGGATCAATGTTGATCCTCTTATCTTATCCAGCTGGGGAACAGCACAAAACGCCACGCAGGATTGCACCAACCAGCCTGATGGATGCGAGGTACAAAAGTTATTCTATTTGCAATGGCATGACCTATCTCTACTTTAATGGAGGTTGTACTTTCTCCCATTCCGTTGCAAGAAGCCTGTCTATGGCCAGTAGAAGTTGTGCTTCATAGTCCTGCTTAGATAATCCACTGTGAAGCCTTGGCGCCGTCGAATAAGTGGGTTCAGATCAATAATGGAAACCTTCAAAACATCCCCAGAAACATAAATCCTCGGAGCTGTGATGAAATACAACGCCTAGAATGTGCATAGTACCAGGTGTACATGTACAGACTATAACTTCTGCACCGTGTCTAAAAAGCAGCCACTGAACCGCGCTGCAGCTGGCAATCAACAATGGACTCCACCGGAGCAGGGGGTGAGCTTATACCCGTTGTTTGGTAGCATACGGCAACGCTGATAACCGTCAGTCTCAACTTCAATATCTCTATCCGAAGATGGGGACTATGCTGCACAATTAAATGGCAAAGATTTGGCCATCCACCTCGACCCAGCTTCTCCTGAATTCAAAGAAATACAAGTTATCAAGCTTAAGGACACTGCCTCAAAATTTCTAAAGTTCTCGAGATCAAAGCCCGTCCTACCTTCAAGCACGCACTCCTATGCAGGGGTAAACTCTCCAGGAAGACGCGTGCTTTGTGCTAGTGATGCACGCATCCTGGTCTGGCAGCTGGACCCAATACAACTGCATGCAGAGATTGAAAGCATTGAGCCCGGCGCTACATATGTCGACTTTGGCGGCGATGAAAATGAGATCATTTTCTTTCACGCCTGGAATACGAAAATCACAGTGTTCGGACTGGATTCCGGCCGCAGCCAGGTCATCAGAAGCCCCAAATTTTCAAACTATAATGGCTTCGGATATCGGCCCAAAACAAGGCAATTCGCTGTTCTTCTGAAGCCGGATGCCGTTGATTTACTCACGATTCATGAATTTCGATCTTACGAGCTTATCGGGCGAGCAGTTCTGCCTACGGTAGATGCTCAAGGACTCAAATGGAGTCCGGATGGGAGGTGGATAGCCGTGTGGGATGCTGCGAGTGCGGGCACCAGAGTCCTGATTTTCACGGCTGATGGACAACTTTTTAGAACCTACAGTGGCCCTTCGGGGCTCGATAGCTCGCTCGACCTTGGTGTTAGAGCGATAGAGTGGAGCCCTGTTACCGGGCAACGCGGTGTGTCAGAGCTTCTGGTGGTTGGAAAGGTCGATGGGACTGTTGATGTCCTCAAGACCCGAACAGTAAGTTTCTCCGATATATACTATGAGTATTGTACGGAACTGACAGGCCTAGTTTTCCTGCTCTATCACGCTTTCCCATGTGCTCCAAATAGAGCACAATTCCCCCAGTGTCTGGCGGGAACGCTACGCCGGGGATGGGGACCTGGAATATGCCGAAGCGTCCAGCTCTTCTGCATTTGGCATGCCTACTGAGCCATCCGGATCGCCTCGGGGCGTGTCGATCATGGCCTTTAGTGCCAGCGGAACTCTTCTAGGCACTGTCGATCAGACGCGACCGAATATTGTCTGGATATGGGACCTGGAAAGCACCCCGGTCCTGCTATCTGCTCTAATCCACGAGCACGCTGTCAGACAAGTGGTGTGGCATCACTCGAAGATGCAATTGCTTATTACTACAGCGAATACTGCTTACGCTGCTGTTCGGTACTGGTCCCCAGCCAGCCAACCGCTAATTGCGCGCATTCCCGTTTCGCGAAGCGAAACCGGAAGATACGATGTGAGATGGTTATCTTTCGACGAGGACGACGATTCTAAGTTCTGGTTCGGTACGCCAGACGATTATGCGCTGGGTCACCTTGAAAGGGTCGAAGGGTCACCGCAGTTCAAGGTAACCAGTACCATCAATGGTAAGGCGAAGGGGAGCGGCTACGGTCCGAGCATGAGCAGATAGGCGTGATAATGATCTATGCGTTATGAACCCGCATCCGAATTACCCCGTGATAACCGACTAATCTAATTCATGCAACGTCATATGATACTTAGTACTGCGCATCTAATCCTACCAAGGCTCCGGAGATGCTTCGAGTCCATTTCTATGGAATAAACCCCAGAAAACAACACTAATACACATGTACATAGAAGAACCGAGTTAATCCTAATTTACCCCCAGGCCAGCAAAGTCCAGATACCTACAACCCATCTATCTATACCTACCTACCAGCCCAGCCACCTGAAAACCTCCCATCCAGATCCTCACGGACATCCCCAACTGACCAATCACATCACCCCGCCCACAGCCAATGCTAACCGAGCGGGCCCAACATCCCAGGGCTTAGGGTTCAAGCACACGTGACGCTGAGTCATCCCCCACTCGAATTTCGCACTTGGGCACTCAAACTTCCAGCCGTTCGATCTGTTGTGCAGCTCTCCTCCGTCGAACAGCTACATCAGACAGTCAAAATGGTGAGTTACCACTGGCGCAGCTGCCTTGTCGTCGTCGTCGTAAATATTAACTGTTTTTTTTCGCAGGCTCCTACCAGAAAGAAGTGGTCCAAGGGCAAGGGTACGCTATATTCCCCGTTTCTATCCCCATCGAAGTGAAAGAAAGAAAGAGTCCACGGTCGATATATACCCCGATAGCGAAGGAACAGACAACAACGATGTACTTGGATGGAGAGATCGTGTGATGGAAGAAGGAATCCCGAACTAACTGGTATTTCAATACAGTCAAGGACAAGGCCCAGCACGCCGTCGTCCTCGAGAAGCAGACCGCTGAGCGTCTCAACAAGGATGTTCAGTCCTACCGTCTGATCACTGTCGCCACCCTGGTCGATCGTCTCAAGATCAACGGCAGCTTGGCCCGTCAGGCCCTCGCTGACCTTGAGGAGAAGGGACAGATCAAGAAGGTTGTTGGTCACTCTAAGATGAACATCTACAGTATGTTCCCCATTGCCACTGGCAGGAAACTTTTGAGGTGGGATGTGAAAGCTGACGTTGTTGATTAGCCCGCGCCGTCACCGCCGAGTAAACGTATGACGCTATGAATGTTTAACTTGCGGTTTCTTTGTGCTACGAATGATATCACTCAAAATTCGGAAGTTCTGGTCGGGCGAAATGATGGATTAGTGTCAAGTGAAATTGACGAGAGAAATCAACCTTATATCTGTTCATTTTTTTGGAGTATCGTAGGGTTTGATGGATTGCGTAGGATGGATGTATACTTTGATTAGGAGGCTGTCTTAAGATGGGGTAGTAGGAGAGACCGTGTTTTCAAGTAGTAAAGAAGCATGGCACTATACTTTAAGCCTAAAACGGAGTACATTTCACATGGTTATGGTTATCACTTGATAGTAGTTCCAGCATATCCTATCCGATAATACTCCAACCCCAATAATCATACCCCCTCCCCCTCCCATCTACCTCTATCTACTTCTTCCCAGCAGCATCCCTCCTCCCCCTCTGCTGCCTCGCCGCCGTACAAAGCTCCCTGACCTTCCCCCCTCCCTCGCCCTCTCCTCCTCAACAAACTCCTCAATGCCCACCACCTTCCCCACCTCAAAATACCTCTTATGATTCCTAAAAAACCCCTCCCAATGCGCCACCTGCTTCGCAATTCTCTGCCTCGCGATTCTCAAATCCTGCTCCCTCCTCGTCTTCCTCTCCCCACTACTCAACTTCTTCTCTTCCTCCGGGTCATCAATCGGAATGAACATCTCCTCTACGCCTCGCATATCAGGCGTCAGATCTTCCTTGAAGCAACCGGTCACGAAAGCCCGGGTGGCATCTTTCCCCGTGAAGAAGTTGTAGTGGCCGCCTGCGCCGTAGACGAGGGGGTTGGCGGAGACGTCGAAGATGGTGCCGTTTACGGAGAGGTAGATTGGGAGGGTCAGGTCGGTGCCGTTGTAGAGGGAGAGTTGGGAGGGGGTTAGGGTTAGGGGACCTTCCTGTTTTTGATATGGGTGTTAGTTTGGTGAGGGGAGGGGACTGGGGATGGGGATGGGGACGGGGAGGGGATGTACAATGTAGCGGAGGACGACGGGCCATCGTGTGAACCAGGGTCTGTAGCCGAATAGGACGGATTCGGATCCTGTCATGTAGTAGGATAGGCCGAGGGTGGCGATTATGAGTGTCGCTAGGACACGGAGGAAGTCGAGGATGGAGATGCCGCGGGCATTGTTGTTGTTGGATGGGGTGGAGGGTTTGGGTTTGGGGGGTGATTTGGAGGATGAGGATTGTTTCTGGCGTTGGCGTAGTTCGGAGGACATGGTGTCGGTGATGTCGTTTGGAGGGATTTGGTGGGTGGTTAGTTGGTGGCCATTGGGTTGGAAGGGATGTTAAGTAGGTAGATAGGTGTAGGTGTAGGTAATTGGAGGCGAGGGATAGGTGGAGGATGAAAGGTAGGTAGCTTGGCTTAGTATTTCCGCGCTCTCCGTTCGCTGTTTCGGAGTCGGATGGTGTGACATGTGCCGAGTATAGTGCTCTACTGATTTAGATTTAAGGGTCGGGTGTACTATGCTTCTAGTCTTGGTTCACTTGCAGTATAATTGTATAAATGATTGTTCTTTTTCATAATGTTCATATGCATATTCTAGATAATGCTACAATGGACGGAGAATATCCGACAGCGCCTGACTGTCGCATGCTCAGACCAATATCCTAGCTCATATCCACTATTCATCCCATCTGATATTCATGTCCAAGCTTATGGCTGGTAGCAGTGTAGAAGGAACTAGACTTATATCCAGTTAGCTAAGCTCAATCTTCAAGGATAAAGCACAAAGCATGGCAATAATCTCGTCAGACATCCAAGGAAGTAATACGCACAATGCCGCCTAAGATGGGTTCTCGACGACGGCTAGCGTGGAAACTGCGAATGTAGGAAGATTTTCATCATCGAGATTGGGGAGGGGATTGTGTTGCTTGTGCAATAAAATTTGTTCGACTTACCATATGGTCTTGTTGTCAGAGGCGTGGCAGTGATAATGCTGGAATGTTAGTATTAGTGTCGCTGGTAAAGAAATCCTTCAATCAATTTTTGAAGTCAAGGCGTAAAATTAACGCATTGCGATGGAGAAAAACTAGCGAAGAAAAGAATTCGAGATGGCTTTATGCTGGCCCGGATGAAAGTTCCGCCGGGCGGGGCCTGGCGTGGATGTCTTGATGCCTGAGGCATGACTACAGTGCACTTACATACATTGGTATAAACTATCAACTGGATAATATACGTCAAAGTACCAGCCTCAGCTCAAGTCATCATGAAGACTGAAACTTCCCGAGCTTCAAAGGTCCCCGACGTCTCAATATAGAGCCTGACATCCGAGTTGGCATGTCATCCTTGGTCTCGCTACTCCCTGCTAAGCCCCACAGTAAGGACAATGGTACAAAACAAATCAATGCAGATGATAAGGTGAAGATGGTTCACTCCTCAGTTACCCTGCCCTCCTGAACCTGTTCCCAGCTGCGAGAAAACACATCATTAAGAGCTTCCTGGAATGTACGGCAGTTCATGTCGATGAGACCCTTCTTATCCTTAGACTCCGGGTTTCGAATAACCGAGACAAGACAAAGATACCTATCATAAATTAGCATGGCAATTGGTGGATCCTTGGCTGCCTACTTGTTCATTTCCAGCAGATGGATCATAGTCTCATCATGCAATACAACGTGGCTTTCCGCTTCCTGGTTCTGATCTCCTTTGGGCTTGCGGTCTGGGTGGTCCCAGGAATATAGTTCCGAAATGTCCACGATAACGTCAATGTAATCCGAACACATCTCATAGCAGGACATGTCCACAGGGCGAGTGTCGGATGCAATGTAGATCTTGCTCAGAACGTCGAAGAGATAGGTCTTCTCGAAACCGCAGTTGTTGGCAAGTGTGTTGATCAAGTTCTCCAGCGTCGACAGGTTGGGGATGAGTTTCTGAATGACCTTGCTAAAGGCCTCAAAGACAGAGTAGTCGTAGATAGATGTTAAGTAGTAATGGACTGGGGCGTTCTCATACCCGGCATCGCTGAGCTCGTCCGAAATGAGCTGGACAATGTCCTGGAACGTGTCGGTGCGATATTCATCCGAAAGACCATCCACCTTGTGGATGAAGACTTCGATGTTGATATTGGGATAGAATTGCTGGACGGTCAAGATCGTGCGGTTGAGCCGCGCCACTGAATCTAGGTAGTCGTCTTGAGCATCAATAACCCAAACAAGTGCACCCAGACTTCCAAAGATATTCTCCAAATCGAAGGACGGCTCAAGGTATTCCAGCTGGCCCGGAAAATCCCAAACCTGAAAGTCCATGAACGAGCTGTTTGTCTTGTCAACCTGGTGTCCATCGCACGGGACATGCGTGCTCACTGGATTGAATCTTTCTGGATACGGGTAGTGGACTCCAAGAATAGGGTCTCATTGGGTGGCATTTTGTGAAAGACAACACTGGCGATGGATGACTTGCCGCTCCTGGAGAGGGTTAGAGGGCTTCAGGATCAATGGTAAAAATACCTACCGACGTAAGCCCATCAACATCAGACGAGGCTTAGCGTCCTGGGCGTTATTGGCAGGAGCATGACCGGAATTCGCGGAGGGCTGCTCCAAGGATTGACTTGTTCCCTGTACAATGTTCTCAAGCGTTAGCTGTGCGTCAGACTTGACTGGAGGTTGGGTATGATTCCCGAAGAGACATCCCTCCGGGCCAGGTCCAATCCAACGAGGCAAGTCCATGGCCTTTTTCAAACACGCGAAAAGCTAGCACAGAAAAGATGTGAAACAGAAGATAGAAGAGATCATGTTGCAGCACACGGTGTGAATGTTGAATCCATGTCACGTGCCTTGAATGTGACAGGGCGTGAGGAGGACCTAAGGGTTGCTAGGGATGTTTGACACGTGCAAGTCACGTTCAGTGTTGCCTTTTTGCTCAGACATCTCCAAGACTCCCATAGGAACTCTCACATCAAGAACTGAGCCCATTCCCAATCTTCCAATTCGATGTTGAATATCACGTCTTGATAGCTCCAGTAAAGCACAGAGCCATTTGAACGAACCGAGCAACAGAAAAAAGGACAAAGACATCAAGATCAACAGAGAAATTCAGAACCCCCAGGAAGAGACACGCCCGCCGAAGCCCACAGCTCGACAGTCCTTCAGGGAAGAGGGATTAGAAGTAGGGTGATAATCCTTACATCCATGGCTATAATGTTGGCTGCAACCTCCGTGCAATTACCAGAGCTGATAATACCCACCTATAGGAAGAGATCAGCATATGCCAGTGGCAGACATCGGAGGGAAGTTGCAAACGCTTACTACTGGGATCGACGTACCCCACGGCAAGACAACAATCGGTGGAGTTTGATAGAGGAGACTGAGGGTCAGAGGATGAGAGACAATTCAAATATGCCAGTCAGTGTTCACGATCTTCACACAGGAACCAGAGCAAGGCAATAGCCGAGCAACAGCAATTTCTCTTGGGTTATTGATGCGTGGCTTGTTCGTACAAGAGATATGAGATGGTTGTGGCTCAGAAAAGTGTGAAATTCATGGCCGAAAAGACCACTCAGCCAAACAGGAAAGAAATCACGGGATGGAGGCTCAATGCTCTGGTTATATCATACGAGCGAGATGTATAGGCGGGCTGGCACGGGCAGAAGGCAGAACACACAGATCGGATGCCTTGCACGGGAAAGTGGAGGGGATATGATGCTAACTGTGCTTCGAGATGTTGCGAGATGAGTAAGTTTACAGCACAGGGAGTCTCAATGCCAGACAGTGCCCCAGTGCCAATGCCAATGGAATCAATAAGGAATCATGAAAGAGATGCGGTGCGTCTACGCGATAAGCTCGGGAGTCGCGGCTTGGCACGGAGAGATGCTACTGCTTGCACTCTCCGCCTTTGTGTTTCTGTTTCTTCCGCTTTCACAACACCAAGTGGACAGAAAGTGCAGAGAGGCTGTGTACAATTATACTTCAATGGTCTGTTCTGCTCGCTCTCAGACCCATGTCTGTAATCAGACGATCTAGTTGTGATACAGCTGCAGTGCTACACCATGGGGGGTGAAACATTAATTTCCAACTGCAACACCCTGGTGACCGGATATATATCTTGGTGCATAGGCCAGAGGTTGAGGTAGTGGTTCTCCATCTCATAAACTTTTACTAATTCCTATGTGACTATCAAAGGTGTGTCATCTTCTAGGTACTATCTACTCATCTTTCGGCCATCGGGCTGTACAATGACGTATTGTCCGTGCAACTTGGGCATCATCGGACCCCTCTTGAAACTCCGGTAGTAGACGGTACTGGCATTCGCGAATCAATTCTTGCGCCCGATCAACAAAACCGTGGTACGGAGCATAGTATAGGCCCCAACCTGGAGCACCTTAGCAACCAATGACCCTGATCGGCCGTGCATCGACTGGGTCCTGTCCCTCGTAAATTAATAATAAGATAATGCGAGCCCCTGACGACTGACGAGCAATGCAATGGAGAAAATCCCCGCCAGCAATCAACCGTCAGCCTCGGGGTCGGATGGGTCCATCTGATTGGCGGCCCGCTTAGACCGCCTCCTGGCGTCATCACCGCCTCTCCGCCGTCCCCCAGCATTCAACTCTCCGTTGTTGTTGTTGCTCTCTCCTTCCACACTGAACTCTAGCCTGGTGCGTCAGTGCAGACGGCCTCCGAATGACAACCCTTATCCCCCGTGAGCCCTACTCCCAGGAGGAGCTGGAACGGCTCTATCCCCAAGATCTGAAACTCCAATTGGTCCAAGTGGTAAGTGCCGGCAAATGGACGGCGGGTCTAACGGCCGTATACACAGGTTGGATGCAGGCTAATTCATCATCCAGTTCCTTCGTCATGGTGAGGATAACATGACTGTCATGCGTTGATATCAGATTTAATTTAACAAATTGTTTCCAGGAGAACGGACACCCGTCTCTTCGCGATTTCAGAATGTATGCAACCATCCCTCCTATTGATGTCTCTTCATGCTAATGTCGCCAAGGCAGGACTTGCTCCATGTAATTACTCCCACTCAACGAACGCCCTTAACATGACTCTGACTGATTCGTCCTATTCTGTACAAAGATTGGCCTTACTGCAACGTTGCGCGGCAGATGATCCAGATGGCTTCTAGCAACAAGGATATCACATCATGGAACGGGTTCCAATGGCGGAGGAAGACGGAGGCATTTGGCGATAAGGACCAATCCGTGGTTGCAGTAGGAGCGGGCGGTGATATAGAAGGAATCTGGCAAGTTAAAGAAGATGTGTCAGCGTCTAGGAAGTCCTACTGACTGTAAACAGCCAGCACGGTGAGCTGACAGACAAAGGACGAGAGACAACCTTTGCACTCGGCCAGCGTCTACGACACCTCTATGTCGATCAGCTGGGGTTCATGCCTAAGATCAAAGCCGACACCGAGGACATGTACCTTCGTGCCACTCCCATTCCCCGTGCCCTTGAGTCCCTTCAGCAAGCCTTCTGGGGCATGTATCCCGCCAGTGCTCGCACACAGGACTTCCCACCCCCGGTGATCGTTGCACGCTCTGTTTCGGAGGAAACGCTCTTTCCTAATGAAGGGAACTGCCGTCGTTTCAGACAGCTTGCCAGACTGTTTGCAAAGAGAGCAGGAGAAAGATGTACGTCTATACCCCATTTCCCGAAACAGGAAACAAGAAACATGGCATCAAGAAAACAAAAAGAAGAACTTCCCATGAAGCGTTTCTAATATCTTTCAGGGGACAACACCGAACAGATGGACTATATCAACAAGCGCCTGTCCAAATGGATGCCAGAAAGCTCCCCCAGAATCGCGGTGAACGGTCACCCCCAGCTTTGCGGAATCATGGACACAATCAACGCCACTGATGCTCACGGACCCGCAACAAAGCTTCCCTCTGAGTTCTACGACCGCAAGGTCAGAGAATACATTGACAAGATCTCCGTCGATGAATGGTTCGCCGGATACACTGAGAGCAATGAGTACCGCAAACTCGGTATCGGAGCTCTGCTCGGCGACGTTGTCGACCGCATGGTCAGCACCGCCGTCGACGGCGGCTGGCGCAGTGAGACCTCCGCATCCGGATCCTCCCCCAACAACGGCAAGGCCATCAAGTTCGCCATGAGCGGTTGCCACGACACGACCCTCGCCGCCATCCTCTCCAGCACAGGAGCCTTCGACGGCATATGGCCTCCGTTCACATCCTCCGTTGCCATCGAGCTCTTCTCCAAGGCAGAACAAGCACAAGCACAAGCACCCGCACCCACGAGCGAAGCCACCCCAAAGAATAGCGGACTCTTCTCCTTCCTGACCGGCTCTTCCCCTACTACCAACAATACCCCCCAGCCATCCGAAACGGCCCGCGTCCCTCTGTCTTCCTTCCCTGAATCATCCAAACAATCCCTGCGCACCCACTATGTCCGCATCCGATACAATGACCGTCCCGTCCGGATCCCCGGCTGCGCCGCCAAGGCCGAGAACCATCTCCCCGGCGACGAGTCTTTCTGCACCCTTGAAGCGTTCAAGGAAATCGTCGACAAGTTCACCCCCAAGAACTGGAGACAGGAGTGCCTGCAAAACATCGGGGAGGGGCTGTACGGTAAGGACGACAGTGAGAAGTCGACTGCAGGCTTCTAGAGCTATGGATGACGGCATACGCCTGCAGGCTCCATCCGTATGTATATTGGGAAACTGAATCTTGGAATCCTTCTTGCATTTGGATCTGCTTTTGCACCATCAAGATTAGATTATCCCATAGAGAAAGTAGATATTATTACAGATCACATCCCTATCTTCCTTTTTTGCTATATGTGTGCTTTAAACAACCAACTCACACATATAATATCTCTGTAACCAGTTGTGTATATTCTTTCGAACAATAATAAGAATATAGAATATGCATAAAGAACATCCATCTGAGTATGATATGTCCCCCGAAAGAAAACCGATCTTTTCCAATCTAACATCTTAGTACTTATCTACTTAATTAGTTATCACCGTGTCTAGAACTCCCCCTCCGCTTCCTCCGCAACTTCACCCTCTCCCCCTCACTATCACTCCCACTGGTACTCCACCCACTCTCACTCTCACTAGCACTCCAAATCGACTTCGTCTTCGCTGCTGCCGACACGGGCCGATCAATCTCCATTTCCGCAGCATTCGTAGAAACCTGTTTATGTTTCGCCTGTTTCGCCTTCTTAGCCTTCTGTCTATTCTCCACGATCTGCTTGGCGGCTTCTCTCCGCTCGTTGGCTTCTTCGGCGCCGGCGCGTTCTAGGAGATCGAAGAGCTTTTCGACCGCCGGGGCGTGGGCTTGTGCGATGGGCATGTCGCCGACGCGGAGACGCATGTAGTCGAAGGCGGCGACGATGGGGACGCTGAGGCGCGGACGACGGGTTACTTTGATGTCGCCGAAGGGATTGCGGCGGTTACCGTTGTTGGTGGAGGGGGTGGGTTCGGGCTCGTCGTCGGGGACGTCGGGGACGTCGAGGCCGACTTGGCCGACGTGGGGGTTGGATTCGCCTCTAGTGGAGGTGGAGGTGTTAGGGCCTTCTTCGATGCGGGCGAGCTTCTGGTATCGCTGGCTGAAGTGGGTGAGGAGGATGGCGCGGGCGTTCATGAGACGGCCGACTTCGAGGGCTTCGGAGAGGGTGGAGTGTTTCTTGGCGATGGCGGATACGGCCATGTCGTCTTGGAAGGTGGCTTCGTGAATTAGGACGGTGGAGCCGCGGCCGATGGTGGCGAAGCCGGAGGAGGGTCGGCAGTCGCCGGAGAAGGAGACCTTGAAGCCGTTGGGGAAGACCAGGGAGACGGCCATGGCGCCGCGGCAGTGGGAGACCCGGGTGGTTAGGAGGTCGGAAAGGCCGGTGGCTTCGCGGAGGAGGGCGGAGAGAGGGGAGGAGTTGTCGTTGAAGCTGAGGCTGGTGGTGGAGGGCTTGGTGTTGTCGAGCTGGTGGTTGGGATAGGAGCCGTCCGCACTGCAGTGGCGGTAGGTGAATTGGGTGCGGATGTTGCCTTGATACAGGTAGGGCGTGGCGCTCAATGGAATCACCCTTCCGAAGCCGTAATTCTCGACGGCGGCGTATTCCTCTAGCCAGCCGGTCATCATTTGTTCGGACACGACGAACAGGCGCTTTTCCTGCAGGATCTTGGACATGTCCATTTCCACGTCGTTGGTCGGTGGGATCCCGTCGGGATAGTTCTCTTGGAACCAGGCCCTGATGACCGAAGCGGTACCGAGATGGTGATCGGCGTGGAGGTGACTGATCCAGATCATTCGCAGGTTCTGCAAGACCTCGCAGAGTTTCTCTGGTTCAAAGACACGCTTCAGTTGACCAAGTGTGTTCTCACCGCAGTCGAGCAGATAGTAGCCGTAGCCAGGCACGTTGAGAAGAGTTGCAGAGACGTTGCGGTACTTGGACGGCGCGGAGGATCCGGTGCCCAGCGTGATAATCTCCACGTCGGATCCGGGGAGGTCCTTGCGGAAGTTTTCGAGCTTCTGCGTGAATTCGGGTTTCTTCACCCGTTTACGGATGGTGCTCATACGCTGTTCGATGGCACGAGGCATCTGTTGATCCACCTTTCCGGTATCAAAGTGCGGCTCGACTGCAGAATAATTGAGTGCAAACTGGGGCTCCATGTCGACGATGACACCGGGCGCCACAGGCTGCAAGGGAATAGGCTTGGCCGTATCTCTTGCGCTCTCCGAGGTGGTAGTGCCCGGCTGTGGAAGGGTCACATTGTCGTGAACAAGGGTCGGATAGCTCTCAGGTCTCAAGAGGCCCATTCGTGTCGTCGACGTAGCGATGCTCTTCATAGCCAGGTAGTTTGGACAATAGTCCTGACTGGACACCGTATGCTTGCAGTGAGACATTCTTGCCACAAACTCGTGGAGCCGAGGGTGATCTCCCACGCCAGGACCCAAGATCCAAAGGAAGGCCTCCAGGCTTGTGGTAGCAGCAGCGGAGTTCCACTCAGGCCGGTTCACTAGGTCGTCGACGTGAGCCGGAGTGGGCAAATCGATAATTGCCATGCCCTTTCCTAACCGCGTTGGGGCCAGGACCATGTCCGGAGTGACAGTTTTACCATCCAGCGACTCCACACTCTCTCCCCTAGTCAACTTCGCATAGTCTGGTCCCTTCCGGACATTCAACTCTTGAGCCTTCTTTGGGTCAAATTTCCCCCGAATATCGTGGCTCCGGACAATATAAGAGACGGACTCCTGGCACCAGGTGGTATGAGGGATCTTCTCGACGGCCGCGCCTGGCCAAGGCTGACGCACGAGGACATTGATATCGGGAAGGGGCTCATTGCTTCCAGGGGCAGGTCCCTTGTATTGCTCGAGATCCTTAGTGACCGGGTTACGAACGAACATCACCGCCGGCATCTTGACATCCGCCAGCTTGGTTTCGTGCAGAGCATCCAGTCTCCATGTCGAATTGAACATGTCGGTGATCACCGACTGCCGGATGACTTGATCCCGAGTCCGTGCGTCAATGGAATCCAGCGCACTGTTGTTCTCTTCGAACTCATCGAGGCTCCTCTTTCTCGGGCTCATTGAACGAACTTGCGAGGACACTGGCGGCTGCAACCCCGGGGACGGCTTGATAGGCATGGCCCAGACCTTGATATTGCTGTCCGACCATGTAGGCTGTTCACAAGGGTCCTCCGTCTCAGTACCACCCGTTTTGGCCATGCCCTCCGAATCGTATTCCCGCGTGAATACCGGCGTACCCTTACGAAAGACAAACCTCCTTGCCGTCGCCAGCGAGTGTGTGAGATTGCGGCCTCCATGGATCGTAAGGGTTCCTCGCTGCGGGATCAACTGTCCGTCATGGACAGCGTATGACATGCCATGTTTCTTCTTGCCGTTTGCATTCGACTCGGAGTCTTTAAACCGTTCCTCTTTCTCACGTGCAGCAATCTCCAGAGCACTGTTCGAACTGGCTATCCCATCAGCCAACGTAAGAATAACCCCGATCAAGCCTCCCGTGTTGCTCCAGTCTATCCGGCCCGTGAGGAAGATATCGGTCAGATAAGTGATTCGAATACCACGCTCCGTGCATGCGCGCTGAGTGCCCTCAGACAGTTGCCCGAAGAAATAACGCTTGTCGGGAAAGTGAAGAAGGACCGTAGTGCCGGGAGTATCAGCCGTGGGCGTGGTCAGGACTTCGTAGTAGGACTTCATTGGATGCTTGCCCGTTGGCGGCGTCGGTGGAGGACCGAACCCTGATGTCTGAAAGGCTTTGGGATTGTATAGAAGGAAATTCCGTCCGCGTTTGAAAGATAGTTTGGGGGCCGGTAGTGGGATAGAGTCGGGGTCGAGGAGAGGTCGACTGATCCGAGGATCTGTTGAAGAAGCTGCTGGCGCACGTTGTTCGGCAGACTTGCGCTTCTGCGGGTTAGCCCTAGGTCGATAGGCTCGATAATCTCGAGGAATCGAAGTTCGGAGGAGGGTCGGAGAGGGGCGTCTGGGAGTGACGGCGACTCCGCGAAAAACACTGGCGAGTAGCGCCCCGGACCGCAGAAGGGAAGCCAACTTGGCTCGTGAGGGATGGAATTAGGAATAAATACAAGATCAACGGACAGTCATTCCATCCGTCCAGCCAGAGGGAAATGAGAGCCCAGCAAAAAGATGGAGCGATGTGAATGAATGAGAAAGAGTCAGAGGAGGTCTGGATGAGTCGCAGAGCCTCGCCGCCCGGCAACTTTTTTTGACGAGCTCCCGCCGCGGGACGATCGCCACCTTCCTTACTCCGATCCCCGATATTGTTGGAGTATCCCTACGAGATGAAGAATCGCCCGCAGTTTTTACTTAGTACGAATGAATGCAGGGAGTCTCGGTAGGTTCTTAACTTTTAGATTTATTTCATTTGTATCTCAGTGTATTCCCTAACCAGTCCGAACAGTACCCCAAATTCCCAGATTCCAATCCAAAAGGCCTGCCCTTGACCATACACCCAAAGCCATCCCATCAGAACCCCTGAGAAAAAAGAAGCAGAAATGGAAAAAAAAAGATTGTAGGCAGAATAGAGCCATGTCATAGTGCAGGAAGAGTGTATATAGTCACAAGATCATAGACAAAGGAAAGACATTTGTGTCTACATGGAGGATTCCAACTTCGGAACCACGAGCGAAAAGATGGATACCAGAGGAAGAACCAGCTTTACAGTATGGAAAAGGCTCAAAAGTGCGCGGCATGGGGAATCATGAAAGATGAGCAGTCATCATGGAGACGCGCTCGAAGGCGGCTTCCATGCTATGGCAGAGCTGGGCGACACGCTGGGCAGCATCCTTAGAATCGACCACAAGCTCGAAAACAGTGGCGGACTTCTCAGCAAGGACACCGTCGATCGAAGCACCAGACCATTGCGACGTAGGGATGGCAGGCAGGCCGGCGAAGAGGGCAAAAGCAGGGTCCGACTCATCGATCTCCACATCGGGGTTCTCGACGCCAATATCCGACTTCTGCTCGGCCTCACTCACGAATGGCAAAGACTCCAGGACAGGAGCCTCATCCTTCGAGCTGGGAAGGCTGGGAAGGTATGAGTCCATGATGCTGTCGGACTTTCCAGAGAGAGCCTCGGTATCGATGACGGGCTCCGGGACCTCCAAGACGGCGAAGACGGAAGCATTGCCGAAGTTCATATCAATTCCCGAGTTCCAACCCCCGTTGTTGAGGCCCATCGCAGAAACATCAAGTCCTTGGTTGGGAACCATGACCATGCTGACTTGAGGAGCCTGCTGCATGGGGGGTTGCGACATGGCTGGCGCCTGTTGTTGCGGCTGCTGTTGCTGCTGGGGTTGTTGGTGCTGCTGGTGGTGCTGAGGGTGCGCCTGGGCCTGCATTTGGCTCGACAGGGGAAGACCGTTGGGGCCCATTTCATCCACAAACTGGGAGAATTGGGGAGACGACAACAGCATACGGGCGAGATCGGTGAGACGGGCGTTCTCCTCGAAGAGAGCCCGGTTCTGCAGACGTAGTTCGTGGGCTTCGTTGGTCTTGGCTGCAACCTCGCTCTCGAGCTGGCCAATGTATTCTAGAAACCGAGTCAGTTACTTCATCAAGTGATTACACTAAAAACAGGAAATTCCATACCCTTTCTGCGAGAGCGGAAAGCACGTGCTGAGACCTTGTTGCGGAGCTGGCGACGCTCCTTGCTGCTGAGCTTCTTTCCTTCTTCGCTGGCCAAAAGCCTCTCGTCCTCATCCATATCCTGCTCATCCTTCTTGGCTTTGGCCATCTGAGGCAGAATCGAAGGGGGAGAGGGCGAATCATCCGGCGAGCTGGCAGACTGGCGCATTTGTTGCAAAAGGCGGGAAATCCGTTCATCCACAGCAGGGTTGGAAGGACGAGGGGTCTGGCTGTGGGGGGTTCCGTTGTGGTGCATGTGTTCCTCCACACGGCGCTGCTGCTGGAGATGCTGCTGACGAAGGTACTCATGGTGCTTCTGTTGTTGAGCCGCCTTGGCCATCGCAGCCTGCTGCTGGTGCATACCCGGATACATGCGGCCGACTTGGGTGGAGGCCGGGACAACCTCATGGCCTCCCAAAGCATTGGGGTCGACGAATTGACTCTTGTTGCTGGGGTTGGGGGAAATAAAGTAAGCGGGAACGGGTCCCATGTTGTCGGACTCCAGGTCCATCTCAGAAGGATTACGCATAGGGGGGCTGTTGAAGTCCATGGGGACATCCTCGCGCTTCAGCTGGTTGCCGGCATACATGTCTCCGTTCATCGCAAACCCGGGGCTTGGAGCACCATATCCCATGCCGTTCATGTGGTTGTTGAATGTCATGGCATGAGCCAGAGCGCCCGGGGGAAGGCCAGTTTGCTGCTTGTGTTCATCATACTGGTGACTGGGGCCTTGAAATGCGACCGGTGTTTGTTGAGCTGTCGTTGAAGCAAACCCAGCACTTCGTACATCGCCTGCGTTGAACTCGGTGCTTGGAAGGGTTGGCTGACTAACCAGGGCGGTCTTGGCCCGGGCTGGTTCGGCGGAGGTGTAGGCAAGTTGATCAAGGTTGAGGAAGGACTCGATGTCCTGTTCGAAGGATGTCGGTGCGACGACCGGATGTTCCGCCAATGTAGCCATGGTGATGAGATTGTGTGAAAGTGTGGTTTGAGTGATGCTGCCGGGTTAACGAGAGCGAAGAGCAGCGCGTTACGCCTAAGTGCACGGTCGGAAAGCCACAGGGGGGTAACGAGAGACAGTAGGATGATCCGGAAGTTTGAAAGGGGGGGGAGTCGGTCAAAGAGGTTACTAGGAGTAGTAATCACGGAAACACAAGTAGTCTATGAGGATATCGAAACAATAGGCAGTATAATAACGTAAGATAGCAAATAGTGGAGAGAAACAAAATCTTTAGGAGTATAGTAGGAGTAGTAGGATGAAGAGGAGTAGTGGTAGTATGTAGTGATGATGATGGTAGAGAGATGGTAAAATTGGAGGATCGACCAAGTTGGCGGACGGACGGGATGAGCGAGTTAATGAGGGAGGGAGAGAAGAAGGGAGGAATGGATCCCGCGAGGAGGGAGCTGGAGAGATGCCGGGCAGTGGGTAAGACTAGAGAACGAGCGCGCCGGGGAGGGAACAGGAGCAGAGCAGCGCAGCAGCAGCAATGGAAGGACGGCAGCCGAGACTGAACCAGAGAGCCACTGAGCCAGGGGAAGCGAAGAGACCAGGTGGGCAACTTCTCCACGCCAGGAATAGAAATCAGGTAAAAGCTTGCGCGTCCTTTGGCTGACTCAGCGGAGAAGAGGGTCCGCCCCATCCTATAAAACTCAGTGATTGGCTGGGGGTGTTCACGCTAAGGCAAATCGAGTACCTTAGGGCTTCCGGGGGGCAGCACCCTAGGAGAACGGCCTCCACTTCTCCCTGAGGGACCAGCGCCTTAGTGCCAGCTAGTACCGGTTTTCACCCGCTCTCTCCCCTCTGAACAAAAACCAGGTTCGATCAGGAGATCGTCGATAAGATCGGGTGTTTGTTTACTTGCCCCTTGACAGGTGTGGGATGTTATTACTATTGATTGCTCGGCTACTACTTTAGGCGGACGTGAAGCATGTAGACCAACCTAAAAGGACCCTCGGAAAACTTCGTCGGGTGACTCTTTACGAGAATGGGAGGTGAAGGCATGCGAGAATTTCTTCACGAGCCGCCCCCTAGATGGTTGCCCCGAAGTCTCCTGCAAATGGACTGATTGTCTTCCCGTCTCTTTTGCCTCCCTTCTGACACCTTGCCGTTTCAAGTCCATTTCTCCGAGTCACTGAAACGGCGGCAGAGGTGAGCACAATTCCAGCTCCCTACAATGTATTCGCGCCAATCACGTTGGTAGCCGGCCACATTATCGTTCACATTGGCTTCCGATGTATCGTCACTTTATGACGTTAGTGGCTCGGGCTGAGCCAATGACGGCCCCAATATAAGCGACGTCTTCGATCTGGTTGCAGCAATTGTGATGGACTAGTCCACCAATCCACATTTGGCACCGTGTGAACTGTGAAAAGGGGTGATAGATACCCATTCAGTAGGTAGGTAGTCTGGAATGTCTTCGGTCTTCATTGTCGACGGGTCTACTACTCCGTACCTATGGGTCGGACACTGGGGGATGGGGAACATGCCAGTCTCGAACGAGCGAAACGACAGAGTCTCCTGGTTGACTACGACTGTCGAGGGTTGAGCCCACATCCAGCTGCTCTGTCTGATGCAAGTGGGTGTTCTAGGATGACCAATGGAAAGAGATCTCGACTCTCTTCAGGTGAAATTGAGAGGTTTGATTGTGTCCCCGTCTGCTGGCCCCTGGTAGGCTGGTGGGGAAGCGTAACGGCCCCGATTTCCTGCCCTGACCGGACCTTTCCCGAGGCGGTTTAGCCCAGGAAATAAAGCTTGGCGCCGGGCTGCCATGGACGAGCCACTCACAGTGAAAAGTGGCCCCCCTCTGCTTCTTGCCTCGCGCCCAGTGGTTCGGTCTCAACTTTTGGGTGGCCCATAACATTTGGCCCGCTTAGTAGATAGTCTGAAGGATTCCCATCGATAGACTTTTAGGGCCGGTTTCAGTCCTGCGCATTCAACGCCAGTTGGACAAAAGTACTACATGAGGAACAATGGGCGTATCGCCGATGTCCGAGCAGAGTCTGACACCATGACACATTATCACGCCGCCGTGTCGCAGACGGCTGATCAGATAACATGCGATTCCATGGCCTTACCAAGGGGGCAAAGAAACGCTGATCCGGCCGAAACTTCTCCCGGGGACCCAATTCTAGACCTCGCAACTGCTTCGGATGCGAATCAACTATGGATGAAACTCCTCTCAACGGGGGAAATGCTTGTCCTTGGGTCGTTCCACCAGTCCCAGGTAGGATACTGCGTACAGTCTTGGTAAAGCCGAGTCGATCCAGGCCCGATTGTGCGCTCGAGGGTCGACTCGGCTCTTAGCTTTTACTAGTCGAGCAAATCTCTTCCTAGCTCCAGAACCCCTGATGGGCGCAGCCGACGCCGCAGCATCGTGATAACCTTATTAGGCAACCGAGACGATAAACTATACCGATGCAGTTCCCTAGCGTTCCTTCTAAGGCTTCTATGGCAGATCCTGGGAATAGTCTTGTGCAAATTTTGCCTCTGGAAGACTGGACGTGATCTATTTGCAGATCTGTGGCTGAGACTGAACGTGAAGAAAAAATAGCACGGTTGTCTCTGTGTCTCCCGAGGATTGACCGTGTCTGGTTTCAGATACTCCAAGCCCTATAAGGCTTTCTGCGAGGCTGCCTGTGCAGCTGACTTGACAATCATCAGATTGTAGTACCACCATGATTACCTACCATGATCTTCCTCTGATGCATATGAAGTGACAGAAAAGGCAACCATCCTACATAGCCTGGAGTAAGAGCACACACAACACAACCGTTCGCAGCTCTCCTACACCCACATCATTCAAGTTACACTCATTCAACTTCAATTGCAACTGTATAAATTGCCACCACATGCCAATGCTCTAAATGATGTTTGAAGGCGAACAATGACATACAAAATGTAGTGTTATGACCTCATCCGCTGTGCAACCGAAAGCGGTAGTACTGTGATGTCACTGCACAACCACACCTCATCCTCCCTCACCACCACCCCTACCACCACACATCTACACCTACACCTCAACTCAACCCCAGAAAACACATTTGCAGTACACATAAATCAATTCAAAATTATATATTTCGTAGGTGCCAATCACACCATTTTCACATGACATAAAACCCATACATACATTCATCCCATCAATCTCAAAGTCAAACCCTTATCCCCAAGACATGAACTAAGAAGAGAGTTTACTCCTCCGGCTCATCATACTGATCATACTGAGTCCTCGATCCACCCTTCTGACCCGCCGCTCTCGCTCTCGGATCTCCAGGCTGGAAACTACCAGAGGAAGCCTGACCACCTTGAGATGCGATGTTGCGCTGACGAAACAAACAGTTAGCCCACCACATCCCCCAATATACACCCCACAGAGAAAAGAATAGGATGTAAGAAGGGAAAAGTACCTGTTTATCAGGATCCATACTCGCAAAACCTCCCGAGTGACTAGCCTGACCACCCTTTTTGGCGATATCTGATACTTCGTCGTAGCTGCGGTTGGCGAAGTTGCCGGGGTTGGTGTTGGATGCCATTTTGATTTCTTTGATTCTTGGTTGGTAGGTATAGATAAAGTAGGTAGATAGATATGTAAGTAGATGAGATCTGATGATGAAGATTATTAGTGTAAGGGGATCAAATAATCCCACCGATTATATAGTATCCCCCGGTAGAGAGGATGAAGTCATGATGTTGCTCGCTTGACATCAACTCGCGTAATGAATCAAACCATAACTGTACACAATACTATGTTAGTGTTTTCCTTATGAATCGAAAACAAGATATCTTGCTACATCGCCACATGGAAGGTGTGGGTTTCCGTGGGACGGGACCGGGGGGGGGGGGGTTTGTCTTGTTTGGTGTTGGGTCATGGGTACGTATCTACTTTGTTCGATCTCTCCTACTGTGCATACTGTGTATAATTGTGTATTGTGTTTGGGGTTGAATTGCGTGATTTGGCGGGATTGGACGGTGGTGATGGTGCGGCTTCTAGATGCGATCTATTCTTGGAAGTTGGAGATGGGGATACGTAGGGGAGGTGTCATGTTTGGGGTTGGTGGCGAGGGGAGGCGATGGGGGATAGTGATTGGTTTGGGGGTGCAGGTTATGGTGTCAGTGGAGGTGGTTGTGTAGGGGATGTGTAATGTTTGATGGGTTCTAGACTTGGTCTAGGTTTGGGGTGTTGTTGTGTTGTTGTTTTACTATGGTAATATGGCAGGTGGGTGTTTGTGGAGATATGACTGGTTGAAATTGGGATTTAGTTGTAGTGAATGAGGGTATGTGCATGACTGAATGTTTATGCTGAATAGCTAGTGTAGCTTATGGTAGAAAATATGTACCATTACTTGTGTCCTGCGCTGGAATCCATCATAATAATCGCTGTCGTAATTTCATAACGTCTGACCATGTCTTCTCGATCAAGCCTCATTGGCCACTGCAAAGAACCATTGCATGTATGGACCACCGGATGGAACCAGCGGGTGTGAGAATGCCACCGAGTCTAGAAAAGAGGCATATTGAGGGTATTGGTATAGTCAATGTTGCTATCGACCGACTCCAGACGATCATGGCACGTGCCGAAGATGCGGTCCCAAAGGCGAGTCTGTTTGCCGTAATTGTGGCTCTTCCGCCATCCTTTGCGGTGATGGAGGTCGTGATCCTCGATGACAATCTCCGCATCAAACATCTGCAGCAACCAACTCAGCGTCGACGGCACCGTCATGTGGACACGAAGACCGCTATGCCCAAAGACCTCAGCAAACGCAACGTATTCATGGCAGATCCACCACTCATAGAAGCCTATAGGTAGACCCAAGAATCTGAGACTCAGGTAGGTCATCAACGGTACTCCGGCCATGTCGAAGAACTCCTGTTCATGGTCTGCATAGGCGGCGAGGAGGGGATTAGGGTGTTTCGTGAGATGGTGGGTGCGATGGTACTTCCAGAGGAAGCCCACGTCGTGCATAAGACGGTGATACCAGTAGAACCAGAAGTCCAGCACAATCCCATATAGGCCAATCTCCAGAGGGAGCCATGCCCAGTTCATGTCCAGAGGTGCTTGACTGGCATTGTAGGATAGGTAGATCGACAGAACTAAGCGAGAACCAGTTGTCTTGTAGAGCGAGGCAGCAACCTTCCCCACACCAACGTCAGGAACACCGTCACGCTCGTGCTGGTCGCCGTCAAAGAAGCCATAGGTGTGGCCGAGTCGACGGAGAATTCGGATTTGGTAAACAAGGATTGTGTTGAACGAAAAGAAGTAGAGGTTGAAGATAGCAAATGGGCCGAGGTTGCGGCCCATGTATGATATATAAGCCTGATTGATCGCGAGCGGGATGAACGAGTAGAAGAGCACCCAAAAATTGAGAGACAATTGTGGCATATACGGCATCTTGTCCTGCTTGGAGTGTACCGGCACCGCCTGGTCGAGTTCAATGGGATGGGCATTAAGCAGCTCGAGTGCCCAGTGGCTGATGTTCCATTGATCCCGGTTGGCGGTACGCCATGTGGACTTCATCGAGTCTTTGGGATTGCGTGTGGTAGTCATGACGGCGGTGTTTCTCCTCCTCACCATGGCCCGCCTTTGCGAATGGCACAGCCTTGCTTTATATCATTACTGAATATAGAAGCCTTCGGAGGCTCGGAAGGAGATATACCACAGCATGTGAAAGCTCTCCATTAAACCTAGATGCAAAACATCAGGTGCGGATCCTTTTTCCCAACAAAAATCAGATGCACAGAAAAGCATCAGACATCAATTATGGTGGGAGCCTCTTTCACCTAAAGGAGCAAATGATGAACATGGAACGATGTGGCACATGAATATAGTGCATGCTGAATGCTTGAGACCAGTTGACCCCGCGTTCCTGTGCCTCGGAGCCCTTGGAAACGCCGAGGATCGTCTGCAGATCCCATCCCACACACCTGCTATGCAGGGACTCCAATCAAAGTTATGAGGCAGAGAGATGATCGACTGTCCCTATACTTGGGACCTGTCGGGCGGTTTACCGCTTTCCGGGTTTGGTGAGCTCGCATCGCTTTCCACTATGGGACTAGCCTGGCCTCGCTTGAATCTTGAGTCTTGTCTCTGTCGCATGTGATTCTCCGAGTGTCAGGGATTGTTCTGCAGGAACAGAATGCTTTTGCCTCAAAGTGACTACTCGGTCGGTCAGGGTCAGGCTGGGGGAATGAGCGGAGTTGGGACGCGTTGGCTTACTGTCACCAGTGCGCTAAACCATTTTGGAATTTCATCGACACCTCAGGCTCACAGCCTATTGGCGCTCAAGTGAGGCATTTAAACATCATAACAGCAGGTCTTGTGGTTGACTGCAACTGACGAGCTAGACTTCAGAAGGATGCTATTGAAAGTTGGATGGTGAAAATTCCCCCATCTCCGGTTTTCCTCTCGGTGCCGTTTGCATAGAGCGCTGTTAAGTGTGAATTCGCTCAATGAAGCAACGAAAGTGGCCGCCACTTTCTTTTCCAAGAGAAATGATGGACCCGTAGGATCTCCAATATCTTGTAGCAGGCTTGGAGTACGCCTTTTGTTCAATACATCAGGAGCATTGCACAAGAGAAGATCCCTGCTGACCCGTACAGTCCTCCCCAAGGCATAAGACCTGGACACCTCCCCCCCAAGACAATTGATGCTGTTCCCTGGCGACCGTATAAGCAGGAAGATAATCAATCAAATAGTGGCCCTTGCCGGGATACTTGGTGTATAGTGCCCGGATTTAATCACTCCCCAATGGTGCTGTCGGCTTCGACCGGGCTTGCCCCAATCAATCAATCAATCCAGATGCACTCCGCTCAATGAATTAAGAAATTAAACCAGGTCAAAGGCGAGAATGTGTCAGTGGAAATGCTATGAGTCAAAGCATCTCGGTGGCTTGCCACCTTCTTTGCCAATTGTGACTTTGAGTGGCAGATCGGCTACTCCCGTTTAGGACCCCGACTCTACACTCAGGTACCCCCCGCGGCCGGAACACAACCTCATCAACAATCCAGAGGCCAGTCGTGTGGGGACTTGAGTTCTTAATGCAGTGGTCATACAGGGACCAGGCCTTGGGGGGCATCCTCCGGAATGTCAGTTTTACAGTTATCAATGCACGATTCTCCTTGCCCTCATCGAGAACTATAAAGATAACCAGAAGGCCACAGCTACATGGTATTTTGGTGGAAGACAAGCTTTAACAGTGCACAACTAGCCCCTCACATTTCTTCAATTCCGTCCCAGACCAGAGCTACTATATCTGATCCAATCTTCGCAAACGTGCTTCAATCATGATCATTGCTACGTGCAAACAGACCCGCTTCCATCTCCACGACAAGGCGTCACAAGAGGTGCGAGGACTACTGACACGCAATTCTGACTATATGAGAAGGCTAATGCCAGAGCTACGATACCTTAGGTCGATGTGGAGGGTTTGACTATCGCGGTTTCATCTACCTTGAATGGAGACAATGCTTCAATATCGAAACCTAAAGGAAGATCAAAGGCCAAGGCCGAAGCCAGGGAACTTATAGTTGATGCACATCTGCGTCTCAAAGCAGGTGTCTGCTACGGGTTGATAGGCCGAAATGGAACTGGCAAGTCAAGTGGGTTATCTCTTAGGTGATGGTAGATGGAAAGGTAAAGCGAAGTCTGCTGCTGACACTATTTTATAGCACTTCTGCGAGCCATGGCCGACAAGCTTGTGCCGGGTATACCGCATGCCACCCGTATCGCAATCCTGCAACAGACCAATACTCAAACACAGGATAGCCTCGATATTCAACATGGGGATAACAACAATGATGGTACACAGCGGAAAGTGCTGGAGTATGTCATGAGCAGCGATCGATATAGAAATGAAGTGACTCACAAAATGAACTGTAAGTGCCATCGTACACTGCAGAACTTTGCTTCATTGAACGACCATTGATTGTTTCAAGTGTTGTCCAAGAGCTTCGAGTCAGATGATCCATTGCAGCCTGTGAGGGCCATTCGAACCGTCCGCCATGCAGATGCAGAAAGAGATCTTTTCCTGGCTCAAAAGATGGCACATCTGAAGAGCGGAGCAAGAGGCTTGCAAGCACGGAAGGAATTGAAAACTGCCGAATCTAGGAAAAACATTTCCTCCAAGCTGTGAGTTCACCCAATCAAAATCTCAGCTACATTGACTAACTCTGCACCGCAGGTTGTACCAGACAAAGGAGACAATGGAAGCAAACGAAATCCAGGAGGACACCCAAGCTGCACTGGACACTTTACAAGACCTACAGTCTCAGTTCGAAGCCGTAAGTACCATGTACCACAGTGATTAACCATCGCTAAGCAATCGAATGATAGGTGAATGTTGTCGACACCGAACAACAAGCCCGTCAAATCCTGACCGGTCTCGGTTTCCAAGAGGCGACGCTTAATAAAAGCTTCTCGGAATTGTCTGGTGGCTGGCGTATGCGGTGTATGCTAGCCAGCATATTAATCCAGAATCCAGATGTCATGATTCTCGATGAGCCGACGAATTTTCTCGATCTACTGGGCGTTGTCTGGTTGGAGAAATACCTTCAGCAACTGCGCGAAACTTCACGAACGACTTTGTTGATAGTATCACACGATAGGGACTTTTTGAATGCTGCCTGTGAAGAGATAATCATTCTGCGGGATCAAAAGCTCTCTTACTTCAAAGGAAATCTCTCCGCGTACGAGAAAGATCTCGAGGAGCAGAAGCTGTACTGGGGCCGTATGAAAGAAGCCCAAGACCGTCAAATTGCACACATGGAAGCTACCATCCGCGACAACATCAAACTAGGGAAGAAGACGAACGACGATAACAAGTTGCGAATGGCCAAGTCACGGCAGAAGAAGATCGATGATCGGATGGGTATCCAGGTCAGCGCGACTGGCGGACGCTTCAAACTAAACCGGGATCTTGTTGGCTATCATCTAACAGCACGGGCGGAAATTGAGGTTCCAACAGATGAACGCGGCGCCACAATGATTTTTCCAGAGGCTTCTGAGTTGCGATTTCCTGGACCTCTGATATCCTTGGAAGGGGCTGTTTTCAGGTACCATCCGCGCGATGCTCCGGTATTGAATAAAATTGATCTTGTGATGCACATGGGGGATCGTGTGGGCATCCTGGGACTCAACGGAAGCGGGAAATCAACCCTGGTGCGTCTCCTGGCCGGAGGAACTATGCCGACACAAGGCAAGGTGACAACCCATTCAAGGTTGAAGATTGGATACTACGCACAGCATTCGATCGAGGAGCTTCAGGAACAAGGCCTGTCAGACCATGACCTGACTGCGTTAGCGTTGATGGCACAAGAGACCAATGGATCGCTGAGTGAAGGTGAACTCAGGGGTATGTTAGCGGCATTAGGGCTCCAGGGCAGGATAGTATCCGAAGTGCCAATACATCGACTTTCAGGAGGCCAATTGGTGGGCATCGCCATTTCTTCTTCTATTTTATGGACCGGACTAACTTGTTACTAGGTCCGTCTCTCACTCGCAAAAGTCCTGTGGAATTCCCCACACCTGCTCATTCTGGATGAGGTTACCACTCATCTGGATTTCTACACAGTCACAGCTCTTTCGTCCGCCCTCTCGAGATTCAATGGGGCCATTCTGCTAATCTCACACGACCGTTTCTTAGTCCGATCGGTAGTTGAGGGAAAGCGGGACCTAGAGCATGGTCTAGATGAGAATTTTGAAGGCATCGAAGAAGGATCTGATGAACAGCCGAGTCGAAGACGGGCTGTGTATGTGCTGAAAGCGGGCGAGCTCCAGGAACAGGCGAGTGGCGTGGAGCAGTTCGAACAAAGCCTGGTTCGGCGGGTTCGCAAAATGCTATCCCCACCGGGGTGACAGGTTGCACCGGGTGCCTGACTGCAGAGAAACCTGTAGGAAGGCAAATCCCTAGGTAGGTAGTCGAATGGAAGTGACGAAATGCCCCTGGGTCAGGGACGGGGGGTGAATGGCAGCCCTATGCGGGGGGGCGAAGATCTCGGCCCGTTGCCTAATCACGTTGCCGTCCCACGAATCCCGCCGCGCTCGACCCAACCGTTTTTTTTTTCTTGCCGCCCTCCTTTGCTTCTTTCCTTTCCTCTTGTCATCAACAAGAATTGTCCCATCCTAATCCTGATTGTCGAAATGTCCGCTGAAATGGAATAACACACGCTTTTCCCCCGCTATACCCCTGAGCTTGCCTAAACTATTCGAGACTAGGACAGCCCGCTAAACCACACTCTATTGTTGCGCCCCCTGCTTACTGATAGCTTAAACCCTGCACTGCTACTATCGATCGATCTACTCTACTGCTGCACCCCATCCACATCAAAGACTTTTGTCGCTCAACTTACCGTTCAAGCCACCTATTTTCCCGGTGATCTTGACTCCTCAGCCTTTGGTGCATTTTACCACGAATCGAAATATGAAGCATTATAGGACACGAATCAGAACCTTTCAGATTTTGCAAAGTCCTTGTGGGTAGCGGTGTGCGCCCTCCCCCGAGCCGGATCTCCGCCCCCGGCATCACCTCGATTTGAACCTTGTGACCTCGAATTATTTCCGACTCCTTTGGGATTGGTCTGCAACTGCAGACCTGCTGTCTGCTTTGCTTGACTGATTTGGTGCGCGCCGCTTCGTTAAGCCGCGGTTCCTGTCAGCATGCCTCGTGAGTGTTGCCTTGCTTATCTTTGTTACTTTCCCGATTGGAGACGTCCGATATGCGCTGCCTCTTGCCCCTTGCGTCTCGCAATGGTTAAGATTGACCACGCGGATCTGGAAGATAGAGAGAATGAAGCATTCAATACCATAAAGGGTCCGTTTGCTGACATGGTGGATGCTTAGCTCAAGGCTGGCGGCAGCTTTTTGGTCGGAGCATAATGGCGGTGCTTCCGCCATTCAACTTCCTCACGCTTCATTATGCCTACTTCATTGCGACGCCGTTGATCTGTAGCGTCATCTTCTGGGGTTCTGCCACCCCACTGCGCAGCGTCTCCTACGTTGACTCCTTATTCATGTGTGTCAGCGCTATGACAGGTGCTGGCTTGAACACAGTATGTTCAATGCTCCTTCGAAGTAGCCTTTGATTAATTCCCAACAGGTCGACCTTTCTTCCCTGAACTCGTTCCAACAGTCTGTTCTCTTCGCGCTCCTCTTTCTGGGACACGCTATCCTCATCTCAATTACCGTGCTCTTTGTCAGGAGGAGTGCTTTCCAGGCCAAATTCAAAGGCATCTCACTCGAGCGTGCACGTAAGAGACTGGCTCAACACATGATGAGACATGACCCCTCGCTTGACCCAATCCAAGAGAGCAATGTCAGCGTGGAACCACATCAGGTCGCGAAATCAGATGACGCTAGTTACGGTGTCAAGAACACGGTGACAGCCGAGGCTGCACCTGCGGAAAGCAGCAGTGAGGCACTGGACGGTGACCCTATCCAATGGGTTGACGATGACCAAGTCACGCTTGGCCAGATGAAGGCGCGCCAGAATCATCATCACCATCGGGTATTTCCCATGGTAGGTGTTGGGGCTCGACTTGACTTGAACAATCATCCTCGAGATGCTACGCCAAGACTGACACAGAGCGAAGAAGACAACCTGCCCGCTCTCAAGGGATTCATCAAAGGGACCCAAAAGTACTTCAAATCGAAGGGATCCATCGCGCGAAACTCTCAGTTTTACGGGCTCACTCCCGAAGAGCGGGAGAGATTGGGAGGCGTGGAGTATAGGGCAATCACCTTTTTGCTGGTGATAGTCGCTCTCTATTGGGTGCTTACGGTTCTTGGTGGCATCATTGGGATGGGTGGCTGGCTGGCAGTGAACCACCCGGATATCTCTCGTTCGAATGGCTTGTCGCCTTTCTGGACAGGTGCATTCTTCGCTGTTTCCGCCTTTGTAAACAGTGGCATGTCGCTCTTGGATGCAAACATGACCGCATTTCAGACGAAGTAATAATCTGCCCCATGTACTCCGTGTTTGAGAAGATACTGACCATCGGTAGTGCGTACCCTTTGCTCACCATGGCATTCCTGATTCTCGCTGGGAATACACTTTACCCTTGTATTCTACGGTTCATAATTTGGGTCTTGCGATGCTTGATCCCAAAGACGCCGTCGTGGGCCACCTGGAGAGTTACGCTTGACTTCATCCTCGACCATCCCAGAAGAGTGTGTACCCGAAGCCAGATTCTGGCTGTTTCGATTGCTGACTTGAGCTGAGGTTTACACAAACCTTTTTCCAAAGCGACACACATGGTACTTGCTTGGTACCATCATCATTCTGAATGCTATTGATTGGGCCGGTTTTGAAGTCCTTTCGATTGGAAACAAGGAAATCGAATCCTTACCAAAGGGCTATCGAGTCTTGGACGGATTGTTCCAGGCTTCCGGTATGTATCCCTAATCTGCCATTGGTTGCTCAAGCATCTAATTCATGTTCTACAGCCGTACGTGCTGGAGGCTTCTACGTTGTTACGATTTCCGATCTCCGTCAAGGACTACTCGTTCTATATGGTAAGAACCCCCCCTCCCCCAAAATTTATGCCAGCACTGTACTAACATGTCATAGTTCTCATGATGGTCAGTTTTCTAGTGGTTTGCAAATCATTGGAACCCCAAGCTAACCTTATGTACAGTATGTATCAGCATACCCCGTGCTGCTCACCATGAGGTTCGTGACATCTTCCTCCCTTATAACAACATCCCTAACCATCCCAGAAACACAAACGTCTACGAAGAGCGCTCCTTGGGTATTTACGCCCACGACAACACAGACGATAACAACGAAGGAAAACCCTCCCCGAACATGGCCATCCAGCTGATCCGACACCACCTGCTCGGACGACAGGATGCCTCCACCCCCGAAGCATCCCGGAGTTACTTCGTCCACCAGCAACTGCGCTCCCAACTGAGCCACGACCTCTGGTGGATCGCCCTTGCCGTCTTCCTCATTGCCATCGCCGAATCATCCAACTACAGCCACATGCCCGTGGCGTACTCGACCTTCAACATCATCTTTGAAGTCGTCTCCGCCTACGGTTGTGTCGGAATTAGCGTGGGCTTCCCCGGCTCGAACGCCTCGTTCTGCGGCTCCTGGCACGCCATCAGCAAACTCATCCTCGCTGCTGTTACTCTGCGAGGTCGGCACCGCGGTCTTCCTGTCGCTATTGACCGCGCCGTCATGTTACCGAATGAGTCCCTCGAGTGGGCAGAAGAGGAAGATGCTGCTATGCGACGCGAGAAGTCTCGTGCTTGGGGCAGCGATAAGATGCCTGTGGGGTCTGTATAGATTCTCACCTTGGTGTGATAGAATGTTGACTTGGCTCGGATAGCGAGTTGTATAGTGGACGTGTTGATGCATATGGGATGATGATATAGAGAGTAGTTGATAGAGAGAAAAGTTTTGTATGTTTGTGATTGTTTGTGGTGATTGTTTCTGTACTTTGATGTTTGTGTTTCTTCTTTTGAGTTGATTGATCGTCTTCATAGTATATGCATGTATGTTCTGCTTGATTCATCCTTCATCGGAAAATTCTCCGTGGTTCTGTTAGAGACTACATACAGTTTTATACAAGACATCATACCAATTTTAACTTTTTTATTGACACCAACAAAACAAGATAAGGCGTATCCCAGATAAGCTACAACTGATATCAAGTAACGTAACGTAATAACACGAGAAAAAAGAAAGAAGTATTACATAGGACAGCTTAATCCTCCTCTTCTTCGAACTCAAGCTCGTCCTCGTCTTCCTCTTCCTCTTCCTCTTCCTCTTCTTCGTCCTCACCACCTTCGCTGTCATCTTCGGAACCCTCGACTTCCTCTTCCTCGTCATCCTCATCACTGTCATCGTTCTCACTAATCACATCATCCATAACGGTGTCCTCCTTCTCCTCTGCTCTGCGCTTCTCGTCCTCGCGTCTGCTCTGCTCCAGAAGAGCGGCCTTCTCCTCGCGCAACTTCCGCTGGGACTTGACGAAGGCGCCCAATGGAGTTGACTCCCAGTCGATGTCCTTAAGGAAGGTGTCGACCTCGGCGCGATTACGCGGCGTATAAGAAACGCTTAAGCGGCGTTCTTCGATCCAGCGGGCGTTGGCCTCGACCTTCTGCACCAGGAGGAGAATCATCTGGTTAATCTTGATGTTCTTGTTGCCGCCGGAGCGGGCGCTGACTTGCTTGAGCCAGCGCTTCAGGGAGACGACGATGGGGACGGAGAGTTCGGGGAAGGCGATGTGTTTGGTCCACAGGACGAAGAACTCGGAGAGGAGCTCGGCGACTTGTTCGCCGACACCGTCTTGGTAGACCCGGGAGCGGAGGTAGGATTTAGGGGCGCGGATCGTCGTGTTGAAGTCGAGTTGCTTCAATGTGCTGGATTTAGGGGGCTTGCGCATCTCGGCCAGGTTGAGGACTTCGACCAGGATGGATGCCAAGGGGATGTAGGTGCCTGTGGCGCGGGAGAGGCGGAGGAGGGAGCGGGTGAGCTGGAAGCGCAGGGGGAAGTACTGGGCGGTGGGGATGAGGCGCATTGCGCCGATGGTGATTTGCACGACGGGGTAGATGAGGGGGCGCATGGCGGATTGTTTGCCTGCCTTGGCTTCGACGAGGCCGTCGCAGTGTTGGGAGAGGACGCGGGACCAGAAGTCCAGAGAGTGCACGTATTGCCAGTTGTAGACGGTCTTGTAGGATTCCTTGGAAGTGTTGGTGATGCTGCTCCGAAGGTGCATGGCAAGCTGGCGGATGAAGTTGAATCCGGTCGTGTAGGAGACGTTCTGGTCGACGCCCCAGAGTTCGGCGGCGGAGTTCTTCATCAGGTTCACGCCGGGAAGGGTGTGGACGGTGGTGTTCCGGCTACCCTTGACGACACCCTCGTAGGAGGCTTTGAGAACGGTCTCTTTCAGGCCGGCGTCGCCGATGACCATCAGGCGTCGGAGGAGAAGGAAGGCGGTGATACGGGTGACTTCGGTGGTAGCGACATCGGCCCAGATACCGACGACGGTCTTGATAAGGACCTTGAGCAGCTTTCTGAACTGGAGGAGGTAGGGAAGCATGGGCTCGATGGAGGAGAGGGTAAGCTTCAGGGTCTGCTCGTCGGACAGGTTGGTGAGCAGCTCGTGGACCGACGATGTGTGGGACTTGATGAGTGGTGTGAGGGTCTTGAACTTCTTCGAATCCAGCGACACCTTGACCTTGCCGGAAGCGGACTCCTTGACGGGGAGATGGTGGTTAAGAACGCGAGGGACGTATCCGAGGGCTGTAACAAGGACCTGGTGGTACACATCGGGGTCTGAGATCGAGTACTTCTGCTCGTCGTCCGCGTCGTTGATGTGGGCGGCGGCGCGGAAAGCAAGGACGGTCTGGCGCATCGCGCGGATCGAGTGCTGCTCTTCCATCAACTTTTGCCATTTCTTCACCATAGCAATGGTGAGGTTGTCTGCCGTCGTCTCCTCCTCTTCCTCCTTGGCGGCCTTCTTTTTCTTCTTCTTCGCCGGTCCCTCCTCCTGCTCCTCTCCCTCGCTCAGCTCGTCTACTTCTGCGAGGTCACCGTGGTCACCGAAATCGAGCAGCTCGGAGTCGTTCTCCTTAAGATACTTGTAAAATTCGGGATCCTTCTCCTTCAGCGCCTCAAGCTGGTCCTTGTGTGCTTCGAACGCATCGGCGTCGCTGGCATCGTCGTCATCGCTAGCACCGTCCTCCTCAGCGCTGGAGGCGGCAGAAGCCTCGTCGTCGTCCTTCTGTTCCTCGGAGCGCTTGCGCTTGCCAATCTTGGGTGTGACATCCTTCTTCCGAGCCTTCTTGCTCAAGTCCGCGGCCGAATCGGCGATATCGAACCCGCCCGCAAAGAAATCGTCGACGTTCATTTCGGCAAAGGCATTCTGCTTTTCGGCCTGCTCAGAGTTCTCCTCTGCATCTCCCTCACGTCCCGCACGGCTTTTGGCATTTTCGGCCTTACGCTTGTCCTTAAGGTGGTTGCGCTGTTTGACCTTGGCAAAGGCATTGCGGCGTTCGAGAACGTCCTTCAGGTGTTTCTTCTCGAACTTCTTGGTGGATTTCTTCTGACCCATTGCGCCTGAGAATTTTCCCTAACCGGCGACGCGGATAGGTTCAATCGTGTGGAAAAAAGGGGATGAAGGACCACGACAAGGCGAGTGCATCGGAGATCCGCCCAAGAAAAATCTGGAGAGGAAAAAAACATCTGGCGGCAGAACCGGGCGGTGAGGCGGGCCCGGGCTGGGCGACCGCCTTTTCCCCTCTCGCGGGCGGCGCCCTTGTCAGTCTCTCCCCCTCATCGCCGTCATGTATGCCCAGCGTCCATTGGCCTATGCCCCGACGCCGTACAGCTATACTCCCAACCCGGCGTTGGCGGCGTCTATCAATCTCGATGAGGTGAGTCCCTGTTGCCAGGGTGGGTTGCTGGCCCGGTGATTGATTGTTGCGGCAGGAAGTCAAACTAGCCTCCAGCTCGGCGGAGCGGGACCTCTACGAGTCGCTGGCTGAGATCTACGGCATCATTGTCACCTTGGATGGCTTGGAAAAGGCGTACATCAAAGATGTGGTCACGGAAGCAGAGTACACGGAAACCTGCACGCGCCTCTTGAAGCAGTACAAGTCTAGCCTCGGCGACGATACCGTTGCGAATGAGTTTGTCGATCTAGAAACCTTCAAACGCACCTGGGGGGTGAGTAGTACTTTCATTTGTCGTGCCACAAAAGCTGACCCTTGGCTCTTGTATAGCTGGAATGCCCCCGTGCCACCGAACGTCTTCGCATCGGTCTCCCCGCAACAGTCGAACAGGCTTCCCACAGCACGTCCGCCGCGAACATGGCCCCGGCAGCAGCAGGCCCTCCCGGAGGGGCGTCGGGCAGTTTGATCCTAACGACCACCGAGAACTTCATCACCTTTCTGGATGCGCTGAAGCTGAATATGGTCTCGAAGGACGCACTGCACCCACTCCTGTCGGAAGTGATCCAGTCTGTCAATAAAGTAACGGATATCGATTTCGAGAACCGGGGCAAGATCATCCAGTGGCTGATAACATTGAATCAAATGCGTGCAACTGAGGAGCTCGGTGAAGACCAGGCCCGGGAGTTAGCATTTGACATTGAGCAAGCATACCTAGGATTCAAGGCCACGTTGGGTTGAGCCAGTCTTGCGGGGGTGAATTGCTGGGGGTGGGGAAATGGTGCCTGGCGTTTGGAGTTTGATACCAAACCAAATTAGCTGCATTGTCGTTTTAGAAAGTTGCTTGACTGCCTTTTGCCTGAATTGCATCTCTTATCTCTCTTCGGGTGTTCCTTTGGGCCGCCGCGGATCGGATCCGCGGGACAACCCACGCCAGCCTTTCCTCTTTGGGCAATCCCGACTTTTTTTTTGCTGCCCTGCATCCAACATCCCCCAATCTGATTTCGCCACAGCGACGACAATATAAGAAGAAAGACTCGATCCCCGCTGTCTACTTAGGCCTACATCCACCGTAGTTAGAACTAATCACATCCTCAAGACATTTCAATATGATAAGCGCCGATCTCGACGAGTCTCTCCACGGTACGTTTCCCACTCGGTTGCCCCTGACAGATCGGAGCGATAATGGACTGATAAGCCTGGTTCAGTGTTCGATCTTCCCCAGATCCATACCAAACCCTCCGGCACCGAACTCATTCAAGCCCTCGACTTGCTAACCGTCAAACCGCGGAGTTTTGGGCCCGTTGCCCAGGAAGCGGCAAAGAGCCGGACGGTACAGCCAGCCGGAGTGACCCGATATCTAACTTCGATCATCGCCAGCCCGCTTGCATGGCTAGATACTGACGAGCTCCGGGAGGCCGTCTGGGACGCCGCTGCAGCCCGCCTCAGTGAGCGCTCGGGTCGAACCGGTATGCAGAAGACATGTCTCCGTAGTTCATTGTGCCTTTGTTGGCGACTTTCGCATCTAACGTGATGTTTGACATAGCCATGCCCGCCATGTCCCGTGTCTTTTCCATCCCCACCACTGGGGCCGAAGAGTTCACACTGACCCTGCACGAACCATCCCTAACAGCCGACAACCTGGGCATGAAGACCTGGGTCTCATCGTATCTCCTCTCCCGACGCCTGCACAATCTTCTCGAGACCACCCCCAACCTCGTCCCCTCCGCATCAACTACCCCGAAACTCCACCCGGATAAAACACTCCGCGCGCTCGAACTAGGCGCCGGTACCGGGCTTGTGGGCCTTTCTTTCGCTGCACTGCGCGGCAAATCGGCAACTATCCATCTCACAGACCTCCCGGATATCGTTCCGAACCTGGCACATAATGCAGCCCTCAACGTCGAACTGCTGAACAGAACAGGCGGGACTGTCACCACCGGCGTCCTTGATTGGTCCGTAACCCCCGAGCCACTGCCCACAGCCGAGGAACAATATGATCTCATCCTTGCTGCTGATCCATTATACTCGCCCAATCACCCTAAGTGGCTGGTCAATACGATCACGCCTTGGCTGAGCCGGGGGCTTGATGCGCGGGTCGTCCTGGAGATGCCCTTGCGAGATGCGTATCTACCTCAGGTACAGGAGCTCCGCGAGCGAATGGGACAGCTTGGGCTGGCGGTGGTGGACGAGGGTGAGGAGATCGGATACGATGATTGGGAGTCGGCAGATGGGGGCGCGCTCGAGGTGAGGTGCTGGTGGTCCGTCTGGGGATGGAGTGAGAAGCTCTAGGGATGGACTGATCGGAGGTGAATATGATCCACGACGTCACGAAGAGCAACGAGATATGATGATAGAGTCTAGAAGTAGACTATCTTGGCTCTAGACAGATGCTAAAGGTTAGATTAGAGCAATAGATCCATCATAGAATGCATAGCATGTCTCGCGATGCTACAGTCATGATTGTAGATTTTTAGCAGTGGTCAGCACAAGAATAACCCCTCTGATCTGACTATTGCTGACACCCTCTGCAGTGATAGGATGATCTCCGAGCAAATGGCGGGGTCAAGCAGGACCTTAAGCTTGGCCTAGAAGGGGACAGGACTCTCGAGGGATGATGTTGAGGTCGAGAGGAGGCTCCGGTCAGCAACCACCCTCAGGCCGTGAAACATGTGATCGGTTTAAGCAAGCAGGCTGCAGTCCTCCCCTCCAATCTTCTTCCTGCCAACTCCCCCTTACTCCAGTACAGCCACCAGTCCGACTACTGTACACCGAAAGGTGCTAGGACGCATGAGAATGAGGAAGGATAGTTGACATAACCATCATATTTGAACACCTGTTTGAGATAAATCAACACCTTTTTTACAAGGGCTGGCATAGCGAGCTTAGAAACAAGTCGGCACCATCAGAGTCTCTCCAAGCTGGGGAAAGGTGTATCTGCTAAGCCAGCTGACTGAGTCAAGTGGGATAGTGGTGAGTGGTAGGACTCAAAACTTTTGTTCCTCAAGCTGATTCTGTATGCAATTACTGAAACAGTGCTTCGATATGCAATAAGCTTATCCTAGACTCCCATATGACTTCTTTGAATCTCTGAAATGGCTTTGGGCAAGTGAAGGGATATTGCGTCTTCTTCCTACTTGCTAAACCCCGGCCAATCTGACAGCACAGGCAGAGTGGCGCTGAACTCAGTCACTTAAGTCTTGGAAAGCGAACTCCATATCTGATATCACGATCCATGCGGTAGATCTGGATACAAGATGCTCACTACCTCCATCCTCTGTGCTCTCGCGAGCATATGGTGTCCTTAAAAGTGTTCATAGTGCGATACCAAGACTTTTACCTTATTATACTCGTGAGGATACTTAGAAACATAGAACTCAAAAGCGCCATCATGGTTTCTATACAGTGGGGTGGGTGTGTGCTCTCCCCTCTGAAGTGAATGCTTCACGTGCGTTGCTAGATGAACAGCACGAGTCCCTGCCGGTCGCCCCTCATGACAACAACAACTATATATTGTGTCAAATGGGCAAGCATAAGATTGGGTGCACGTTATCCTGTGGTGTCCACGATGCCGCTCATACTGCAACCAACATGGTTGTCGATTTATTACTTGACAGAGGGGCCGACTTGAGTCTCCAAAAGCGGGATGGCCGGGGGGCGCTTTACTGGGCAGCAGAACATGGTCGTGTTGAAGTTGTGGGTATGCTCTTGCAGCATGATCGAGATGTTGACCACCAAGACCACTTTCCCAACCAAACACCGTTGTCATGGGCAAGCTTAAACGGTCACGAGAGGCCGTCGCCAGGCTGCTACTAGAGCATGGGGCAGATGTCAGAATACGAGACAAAGACAATCGGACCCCACTCTCATGGGCAGCAGCGGGCGTTCATGAGTCTATAGTCAGGCTTCTACTGGAGCAAGGGATAGACGTGAATGCTCAAGGAACCGCAGGAAGAACCGCCTTGATCTGGGCATCTACAAATATCCATGGCTCTATAGTTGACTGTTTACTACAACACGGAGCTGACGCTGGACATCTGGATAAAGGCAACTGGTCTGCGTTGGCATACACATTGGAGAACGGCGACCCATTTACCATCCGTCTGCTTCAACAACCTACACATGCTTCCTCTTCTAACACTTGTTGATGTTATCCAGAGTGATCAAGTTCAATTTCCTAGCTATCATGCGGATTCTGTGACTCAATATCGAATAGCAATCAATTCCATCCATGATCTATCTGTCATTAACAAGCTAGACAGTTATCTAGAACGTAAGTACTACACCAGACAATAGCAGCATCACTAGAATAGCGAGATTTATATCTGCCTTAGGAGCCCAATTAGCCCCATCAACCATTCACTCATTCACTCATTATCAACGAACAAACCCATCCTCACCCAACCAAAACCTAATCACCACCCTCCATTCCGGAATCGAGAATCTAGAACCTAAAACCTCCTTCCATACTCCATACCGCATACCCCATAGAAAATCTATCTATAGATAAGGCCAAAACACGCTAAATTAGTGCTTCCGCTTAGTCACAGCACCAATTTCCCCACAGTAATCCGGGCAAGACAAGGCTACTGAGCCCTAAATGGGAGAAGATCAAGAGAGGATCTCGTGGTTTGGGGGATGTGACGCGTGGATGGGATCTTGGCGGCTTGGCAGGGGATAGACCGGGTGATGGAATATGTGGGATGGAGTGGGAAGAGAGGATTGGGCGAAGAGAGATATTATTAGGTGTTTGTTTGAAATATTGTTCTTTGTCGATGGGGTTAAGTTTGTTCCCTGTATTATGCTGCTGATATGATTGGATTTGTGTGATGACGATATGAGATACCTCGTTCGGGTATCTAGAGTCAATCCCATATGAAACTATCCTAGTTCTATCTACTAGTTATAAGTAAGGTACAGACATCATATCCACGAGTTTAGCCGCTATGCATCTATCCACTCATCTAGTACCACAAAGCCTTATTCCAGAACAAGCTTCTAGCATTGGCCAGATCATCCTGGGTCAGGTACATAGTGTTGTTGAAGACCAGCTGGGTGGCCGCGTAAGAGCCGTTCATGTACTTGGGCCAGTAGATCTTGTCGTTGGCCCACTTGGTGTTGGGGTCTCCGGTGAGGACAAAAGACAGGAGGTATTTTTGCATCTTGCGCTGTTGGTGTTGCGTGTTTGTTAGTATTATTGCTATCTGGGGAGGGTGGGATACGTACGGCAACTGTGGAGTCGATGGATGTGCTGGTGGTGATGGCTACGCCGGCACCGGAGGACGTGCTGCTGCTGCTGGAGGATGAGAGGGAGTAGGTGGAGTACCCTGCGTTTATTTGTTTTGTGAGTGGGTTGGTTGTGTGGATGATTGGAGGTGGGGGGGGGGGGGATAGACATCTTACAGTAGTAGCTTTGGTCAGTGCCGTGAGTAGCCTTTTCGAGGGCGACCATGGCATTCCAGGTGTTGTTGCCGAGGGCTTCGGTGAGAGCGAAGTTATGGGCCGTCAGGTCAAAAGACTGTCTCATGTCTGCGAAGCGAAGAGTGGAGCTGGAGTAGTCTGAAGCCGGGTAGAGCTTTAGAGCTTCTTGAATGGCGCTGTCGGTAATGGACGGGAAGAAGATTCGGAGGTTGGTGATGATGTCGGTCTCTGAAGAGATGGTAGTCTCGCCCTCATCCGTCTGACTGTTGGCCTCGTGCTGCTCGTGGGAGATGACGACGGGGCCGGAGAAGTTGAAATGCTTTTGGTACAGTTGGGCCTCATAAGTGTCGGCAACAAAGTCGCCATCTACACGGGGCTGGAACTGGTAGTCATAGTCGTCGTAGACGTCATTGGCGGCATCTGTCAGGTTCGTGAAGGAGACACTACGCATGCAGGTCAGATCTCCACCAGAGCAGCCAACTGCAGCTGAAACGTTCTGGTAGAAAGCCTCTCCGTGCCCATGGCCGGCACCGGGGACGTAACCGGGGGACATGATGTAGGCGCGGCTGAAGAGCTGCTCGGCATGGCCTCCGTAACGGGTCATCTGGAAGAGAGGCATGGAGCCACCGGCAGAGAATCCGACAGCAGTAATCTCATCGGGGTTACCGCCGAACTCGCTGATGTACTTGTGTGCCCACTTGAAGGCATGCTCGACATCGTAGAGAGCAGTGTTGGGAGTACCACCCTGGTGGACAAAAGAAGGACCGTCGGTCAGGCCGGTGAAGCCAAGACGGTAGTTGGGAGCAACAAAGACAAAGTCCTTGGACAGGTCGAACAGACCCTCTGGGGTGTTCTGAGACTTGGAGCCTGCGGTGAAACCACCTATATCAAGGATTAGCTGTTGTCGTGAAGGGTGACGTGGGCCTATGGAGCGTCGTACCGCCGTAAGTCCACAGCATCACAGGCAGATTCCGGCCCTTGGCATTAGCAGGTGCCCAGACATCCATGTACAAGCAGTCCTCGGTGGAAGCGCAGTCCACGTTGGACTCGGCAAGGCTGCCATTGTTGATGGTGGTCTCAACAGGAGGCCACTGAGGCTTCGCAAAACGGAGATCACCGGTGGGCACAGCTGCAAAGCGAATGTTCTGGTATTTGTAGTAACCAATGGAGCTGTTTCCGGCAGCCGGTGCGAGGGTGCAATAATCAAGGGTAACGGTAGCTGATCCAGAAGACGAGGTAGCAGTAGGGACTGCTGCTGCTGCACCAGCTAGGAGCAATGCAAAGTTTGAGGAGCGCATGATTGTAGAAAGATGCTGAGAGAGTTGATGGAGTAAAGAGAGACCCGGGTTGATGACTGTCAAAAGGAATGCCAGGGGTCTTATTTTATAGCCTTTGTGTCGACCATAGCCACAGGGCTTGGAAGGAGTTGTACGAGTCCAAATCATCGACGTGGGTCCGTAACCATCGTTATATGAGTATGACGACGCTCAAGGACCCATCCATTCATCCTGAAGTTTATTATTCCCATGGAATCTAGTAGGCTGTGCTGTACTCTTCCGTTCTATTATTCTCACATCCGTTTCGAGACCTGGTTATGGCTGGATAGAAGGCCATGTGGTGGACCAATGATGCACAGGACTAGGCGAGAAAGCAGTTAGCTGACTACTACTTCGTAATAGAAGCAATAAATTTAGGGCTGACCCACCGGGGCTCCGCAATTCTTCACGGTAGTTCGCGATGTCTGGAGTAGGCAGCAACCTGGAGCCGTGGCTCTGGTTCCAGCCCGTCTGCCAAGCACCCAGAAACGCATTCCACGAGAGATCTCCCCTCTATCCGGGTAAATCCATACGCGAGGGCATTGAGGAAGTTGGCAGATGCACTGGCTCCACTATGTGAGATGTTGTAGTTTGCGTACCACTGGATAATGCCTCTCCATGCTCCTAGAAGCCGTAAGTCATTGGTGTCACTAACCAGTAGAATGGTTCCGAAATATCTTTGAACTGGCAAGATTGAGTCGGAAGCAACCCAAACCAAGACCATTCAAGATCTCTCTACTGCCAAGAGAGCAGCACGTCAGGATGTCAGCCCATCTGATAAGAGAAGAGAAGGACCCACCAAATGCACTCACCGTACGCAATCTTGTTGATTAACATGATTCACAGACTTACCAGGAGTTTCAGGCAACTGTCTATACTAGGTTGACGTTCGTAATATCGGTAGGAGGAGTATCAGCCAAGCAAGATCCTGACGAGGTTGACTGTTAGAGCGGGATCTTGCAGAGTACAGAATTGACCAACGCCCTCCAAGTCCTCGAGTCCCGTGATCATGAGCATCCGCAGAGCTTTCCAAGTGCTCAGGGAATCAGCTACTTTCAACCTATTTGCTCTCTGAAACTGCAAGTAGTATTTACACGCTAATAGAGCTCGATACACACAGAGTGACAAAGGATGATAGAACTTAGCTGTGCAGAATAGGCTCGGGTACAATAAGAAGTGAATTAACAGCAATAACTAGACAATACAAAGTGAATGGTCATGAATTTTCTTCATCAGCATCTTAGATGGCTATACTTATCTTGAGCATCCTTCGTCCCATATCCCGTATCTCAGTACTATCCGTGCTTCTTCCATCTCCTATGCCAGATTCCAGCAACGACTCTACCGAAACAGTAAGTTAGTTCTGGGTACATGCTGTACTATGTGTGCCTCCAATATCTGACCTAAAAGCTAATCTCTTAGATATCTCCAACACCGGCCTTATATCCCGATCCTATTACCTAGTAATCCTGGCAAAATACAGAATGGCTCGTCAAAACGCCCCTACTGAGAAAGTCTCAGCTGCCTCTGGCAAGATGAACCCGAAGTTTGGTTCCAAAAATATTACTATCAAAGTTCGAGGTTACGATACCGAGCTTACGTTTGAATTGAAGACTCACACGAAGCTGGAGTCTGTGATGGCCAAATACTGTTTTAGTGTGGGCCTGGATATCAGTACCATTCGCTTTTTATTTGATGGCACCCGGGTCCGGCCGGAGGATACTGCAGCGAGTGTATGTACTACAGGCAGTGGACATGCAGTCCTACTTCTATTTATTCGACATGAAGCTGATATTAATTTCGTGTTATAGCTAGAGATGGTTGATAACGATATCATCGACGCGCATAATGAGCAGATTGGGGGGTAATGAGGCAGTTTTGGAGAATTGGCTCTGGTTACATGAAAAAGGTCAAAAGCTGATGATTACTGCATTTTGGGCATATCGAGATACATTGGATAATGTTGGCAAAGTATCTAGGAGACTAGCAACCTTTTTTCCCATGAGCAAAGAATATCACCAAAGTTCAGTCTAGAGAAACGCAGTTTCGTGATCTCCCGTATCTTCATCGCTTCGTGCTCTCTGCATATTGGTCTCAGTATGCATGCCAGAAACTCTCAGGTAGGCGAACATACCTTGCTGGCACCGCTATTGAAGAGACCATTGAACGCTTCCGTGTTCTCCTGCGACCGTTTCGACACAGTGGGCTGAATAGTCCGAAGCGCTTCGATGAAATGTTTCGTCTTCAGCTGAAGTTTAACCGGGGTACTGGTTTCATCATCCATCCGGGAGATCCCTTCGTCCATAGCAAAATGCAACGCGGCTTGTACACAGAGTGAGCGCAAGTCTGAACCGGACATGCCAACCGTTTTGCGTGCAAGGGCTTTCAGGTTGACCTCCGAGTCCAGGTCAGGTTCTTGGAGGAAAAGTTGCAGGATCTTGAGCCTTTCTTCATCGCCTGGAAGCCCGAACATGACCTTCTTCGGGAGTCGCCGCAAGAAGGCTTCATCAAGATCCATGGGTCTGTTTGTCGCGCCGAGGACAAATGGCGTGTCTTCTCCCGTGCACAAACCATCCATTTCTTGGAGGAACTGAGATAGGGCTCTCCGGGTCCATGGCCTATCGTCATCGTTTCGACGGTAAAACAAGGAGCCAACCTCATCAATGAATAGAACACAAGGGGCTAGCTTCTTTGACAGCGTAAACGCGGCATGAATGGCCTTTTCTGTATCTCCTACCCATTTACTTTCAATCTCTGCCGGACTGATTGATATCATTGTGGCTTTGGAATCGTTGGCGATAGCACGGGCCAGATGGGTTTTCCCGGTGCCTGGAGGCCCATAGAGCAAGGCACCTGTAACCCTAGTGTTCTCGAGAAGTATCTTCGAAGAGCCCTCAAATCGAATTTTGGACATATGAACCAGATTTCTCATGTGGTCTTTCACACTTTGGTCCAATATGACATCGTCATAGGTAACCTTTTGCGTTTCTTTCGTACAATTAGCCTGGGAAGATCCTTGCTGCACGCGAAGCCCTTACCTGAATCGACGACACACCCAAAAAGCTTTAACTCGTACTTCGTACAGTCATCACGGATTCTTTCAAGCTTTTCAGAAACGCTAAGTTCCTTGATATCTCGAGGTTCCTCCTCTGTTGGCGTTCGTGCTTCCCGACTTTCAGGACTCTCGCGCATCAGGATTTCGAGTATGTCGCTGATCTCCAGTGTTCCGTTCATGCAGACCCGACCCAGGATTTGGTTAGCTATCCGTTCAGGTTCTCCGTAAGATTCCATAGCCCTCATGACCAGACTCTCGGGTATGTCAATTGGTGTGACATCAGAAAGAAGCTCCGAGGCAAAGCCTTTAGGAAGCCTGTGGCGCAAGGACTTTTTCAATTTTCTGATGGCTTTGAGATAACCAATATGCTTGTTATCTGCTTTGCATGCGACCCCCTGTTTTGGTGAGATCTCAAACCTCATTCTGAGTGACTGGCGGATATCCAGCAACGATCCCATAGAATAGTGCCCCTCGCTTGCGATAAGCAACACAGGTTCACTCCTATTCCAACGCTCCAGAACAGCATCTCTGAGATTCTTGAGAATCTTCTCGGAGATATCCGAGATTTCTTCTGAATCGCGAAGGTGGAGTATAACCGGTGAACATTTGGACTGAGACATCTGAGAATTGTGGGGTGACGAAGGCTGCTGAGGAGCGCTCACCAAATGAGCATCCAGGATTGACTTTATCGATCCCTGGAAACGTGAGCTCCGGTTGGCTGCAAACTGATACTTAACCATGCAAGCTTTATCTTCGAGTATGGCGTGTTTTGTGTCGCCATCGTCAGCATCAGATTTATCAGATCCACCAGCTTCATCTTTTAAATCCCGACCTCTCAGCGTCTCGTCCAGGGGGTTTGTTTGCTTGGTTGCATCTTTGCCGTTAAAAGCTACTCCGCATGAGCAGCCTTTAAAATGTTGGGCAGCGTGGTCTTGTCGGTGGAAGTCACGAGCGAGACTGTAGAGCTCTTCGGACCCAACTGAGATGCAGGTTGCACCGATGTCTCTTGCTAGGTGCTCTATCAAAGCAGTCGCGCACGCAGGGCTGCCAGTTTCCACAGCCATGCATGGTCCCACTTCGCATTTTTTCTTTCCAGGCAACACACTCTTGCTGAGTAGTGCTGCCGCAGCAAGGTCACGAAGCACCGTGTATTCAACCTCCAGGAATTCATACTCGACAGATTCAGATTGGTTATCTTCTGTCTCGCAGTTTGTCCCACTGGAATCCTTTTTCAGTAGACGTATTTCTGCTCGATCTTCCGTCTTGCTTTTGACATTGCCCGCTGAAAACCAATCGGGGAGGTGATATTCATGTCGGCGATCCGGTGCTTAGCAGAGTTAGCTTCTGTGAACCACAAGGAAACTTAATGTATGTTATCAAAAGAAGCTACTGATAGTGGAAGCTTACCTCTGCTCTCATCACCTGGTGTGGACTGCGTTAAAGCCATCTCGTAAAAATCTGTCTTAGGAACGGATACAGAAAGTTGTGGTTGTTCAAAGACTTGTGAGGAAGGGAGGTGGACTTAAGTAGGGTGTATAATCAGGTATTCACGTTGATAGGCAGTTGGTGCCTGTTCTAGGTAGATCTAGGTTCTGGTGCCTGGAGCTGCAGGGGTAAGCCAACATGCAGGGTGAAAAGGAACAATACTACCGTCTCGTAGCGATGTATCATATGCATACCTCATTATGATGCCGGTAATAAAGTCCGTCGGCTATTTCATAGATCGTTCCCATTACTTCATCAACAATCAATGTGTTCCTGAGTGAATTTGCGTCTTTAATTAACATTCCAAGTACTGAAACAGGTGGTTGTTGCGTTATAACGCGTTGTGATGTGTTTGGAGGTGCCTGCTGAATGGCTATGACTGTGGCAGTAAGGCCATTATTCCTCCCTGTTTCCTGTTATCTTTAGCATCCCATTTCTTCATGTCCTTACAGCAATCAATTTTGTTGTTCGAACGATCGCAATCCTTGATCCCTTACAGGCTCAGGTAACAACAGTATCTGAGCTCCACATACCTGTGATAGGTAACGCATGTTGCGTCAGAGCACAAGTTTGATTGTGCTCTACGCCAAACAAATCTCAATAGGTATGAAGAATGTTTGTCGAACTAGCACACAAGCTGGATTCATTCAATACAATATATTTTGTGCCATGCCATCTTGAAGACGTGTGTGTACTATAGGCGTTTCAATGCAGCATTCGCATATATATTCGTTTCAATATTTAACCAATCTATTCAGCCATATAGCTCTCAGTAGATCATGTTTTTGAAAAGCGATATTGGTCTCAGTCTCCATAGGTATCAGAGGGTTGAGGGCGAGAGACTCAACAATGGACTCCAAGGGGCATTCCTTTCCTCATTCTTCAGGACCAAGGTAATGGTAAACATTGCACACCGTCCTATAAGGTGCTCCCTTCAGGGACAAAGAAATAGGACAGATCCCGATGACATGAATCATGGACACTCCGTGTTGAATGTCGATGAGAGCAGAAAGTGGGACTGCCGCCGATCGGCGCTTCCAGGAGCCAGGCATCCATATCAGGCACCAGGCCACGGGTCAGCCACCGATGGCATATGACGACGCTTCTCGGCACCGCCACCGGCGATAAGTGATATTCGATCCTCCTGCCCATGCCCGTCCATACTAAACACAACTATCCATGCTCATCAGCTAGGATATAGTCCTCTACTAGTCGGTTTCTTAATCCTGCCTTCTTCAAATCAATAAACATTATCTATACAGCAGCAAAAATGGTGATCGGCCTCCTCGCAATCACTGCCATCCCCACCGTCACCGGCATCGCGATGGGGACGAGCGAACAACGCAAAGCAAACGAGAGGAAGAACGACGAAAGACGCATGGCCAAGTTCAACATCGATGTTGTCGCACCACCATATGAGGAACCCGATGATGAGGTCCAAGGGTTACGGGTGGTGTTGAGGGATTTCAAGGTACGACCATTCCGCGCGATATAGTTGCCCCTCTTTTGTGTCTTGGATGAGCCTGACTGACCGGTCCATGTCAACTCAATAGGTATATCTCGATGACCCTGTACCCTCCAAACGAAAAGTTCCCGCACATACCGCCGCAGCATTTTATATCGAGTACCCCGAGCCAGATCATTTGAAGGATCTTAAACGGGGGTTTGGATTGGCGACCACCATCTCGGATAACCCGCCTATGCTGGGTTGGATATACGCGGATAAGGACACACATGAAGTCAAGTATGGAAATCGGACGCTGAGCTGCGAGCATGTTGTTGGGCCATGGGATTGGGAGGATGAGGAGACCACCGTGAACCTGGAGGGGAATTGCCGGTTTGTGGCAGTGCAGGAAGAGGATGGTGCTTGGGCGCTATACTATGATCGTGATGGGGACGATTTGGAGGGTGTATTGGAGGAACAAGGGAAATTGGATAATGATTTCCAGCCGTTGCGGTTGAAGCGGAACTTGATTGAACAGCAAATGCAAAAAATGAAAAATGACAATTCATGATCTATGTCCAAGTGTTGGATTGGGGAATCGTAAGGTAGATTTTGGTATTTGTACAGAAACATCCACAGGTCAAGCATGAGCTATGACTATAGCAACCTAATCCTCAAGACCTTGCCAGCCCTCGTTGTCACTACCAGCGTCTGCGCCAGGTTGCGGTTGAGATTTCCTGCTGCGGCTGGCTTCAATGATAGCCTTTTTCTTGTTCTCAGCGCGGCGTTCGTAGCCGCTCTTGGTACTGATTCTCATCTTCTTGTCGTCCTTCGTGCCCTTGGTATGCGTCTGTCTGGCCTTAACACCATGCTTCTTCAGCTCCTTCTTGTTCTTCTTGCTGAGATCAGGGAGGGCATCCAAAAGCCACTTCTGCACGGACTTCTCCTCAGACGTGCCCCGCAACTTCTCGCTGACGTCAATTACATTGGCAATGCTCTTGACGTAGGGAATGTCCTCCTTGGTGTAGTATGTCACTGCAATACCGCCCTCACGACCAGCTCTGCCAGTCCGCCCGACACGGTGAACGTAAACGGCAGCCGAATTAGGGATATCATAGTTGACAACGCCGTTGATTCCTCTAAAGTCAACGCCACGAGCCAAAAGATCCGTCGTGACGAGGATCCAAATTTCACCTTTCCGGAACTGCTTCATGATCTCGGACCGTTGGCCGTCTGACAAATCAGCATGGAGGACAGCAATCCGGGACGAACCACCCGCCTCGGGAGGAATATCGTAACGTAATTCGGAGTGTAGAGCAACGGCTCTGGGAATCGTCTGGGTAAAGATCAAGAAGGGTGGGCGGAGGCGAACGTCTGTAGCTGATGCTGCGGCGGGATGGAGGAGCTGCCTGAGTCCGAGCAGCTTTCCTTGCTCGGTTGCAGCATAAACCAGCTTATGCTTGATATTTGGGATAGCAGAGTCCTTCAGTCCGACGACGAGACGAAGTAACGGGTAAGACTTGGTCTGACTGAGGGTATCTTTCCGTTCCTTGATTGTCGACTTGGCCAGGTCTTCGATGTTTGAGCCCATCGTCGCCGACCAGAGACTTGCTCGAAGCTCAGGATGCGTGCAGGCGCGCCAGATATCGAGTGTCTGGTCGCGGAATAGAGGGTCCAAAAGAACATCTGCCTCATCCAAAACCAAGCTTCTCACCAGAGGAAGAGTTGCCATCGGCTTGGTCCGGTTCGCAGATAGTGCGTTAACCAGAAGTAGTGGTGTCGTTACAAGGATATCACTCTTGGTGACTGGCGCCTTGCCCTTGCTGTTCTTTTCTGTCTTTTCATCGTCTTCAGAACCGGACGATTCTGAGTCATCTTCGTCCAGAATATCTTTGCTGTCATCCCCATCATCATCACGCTCTGCCACCTGAATGCCCTTCTTCATCAACGTGATCTTCACACCAGTTCCCAGAGCCAACTTCCTGCCTTCATTGACAATTTGGCTGGCGAGCTCCTTGGTTGGGGCAATCACAACAGAGAAGATACCACGTTCCTCTGACTGGCCATGATGGTGTCGAACAATCTTGTTAATCACCGGGATCATAAAAGATAGCGTCTTGCCACTTCCTGTGGGTGCAACAACCAACAGATCCGGCTCGACACTCTCATCAGTGCCTGACTTCTCAGACACTGACCGATCTCCGAGCAACAAAGGCAGACTGCCCAGTTGAACTTCAGTTGGAACCGTAAAGCCTTGCTCGGCGATATTCTCCGCAAGTCGTCGGGAGATGTTGTACTTCGTGCGCAGCTCCTTGAAGGAAACCAAAGGCTGGGGAAACAGTCGACGGGCTTTTTTCTGTTCTTTCTTACTAAGAGTCTGGACAGGCTCTCCCTCTTGCTGCTTTCTCTTCTTCTTTTTCTTCTTGGACTCTTCTTTCGGAGGTTGCACGGGCTGAACTTCCTCAAAGTCGCGCATATCAGTGACTTTGATCTTGTGGGAGTTCAAAATGGTCCGGCGCTGAACTTCATCCATCGACTCATCTCCCTCGGAGTCAGAAGCATCTTTCTGATCAGAGGGTCCCTCCTGGTTTCCCTCTTGGTCCTTTTTCGATGATGCGCCGGGCGCAGACCGTTTACCAGAACCGAAGAAATCTAGATCGGCAGCATCGACATCTTCTGCATCTGAATCATCCGCAGTTTGCACTCGCTTCCTCTTTTTTCCGGACTCCAGAAGCTTTTCGGCCTGTGCGTCACGGAAAAGCTGAGGATTCTTGGCCTTGCCTTTGGAGGGCAGTGTTGAAGAAAGGGAACTACCAGTCTTCAACTTGGTGGACCTTGTCAATAACTTGAACGCATCCATTTTTAATTATGAGGAGTATCAATCCATGCGACTAAGTAAATTAAAAGGACACGTGTGTCCGGGTCCCGGTGATCGCGAGCCTGCTTTTGATGGTTGTCGAGCACTCGGACTTAACGAAGGAAAAAGTTCGATGTTGAAATTCTCTCCCGCACGGACCAATCAGAAGCAAGCAACCCTTCCCTTTCATCTCCATAGAACGGTTCGTCTCAAGGCTTTAGTAGAGAACATGAAACTGTGGAGCATTGAGACCAGTATATAAGGATTATTGTCCCAACAGAAAGAGAAAGTAATTTTAATGTCTTGGTCTCTTCCGCCCACTGGAGACCCTATATTTCCCGCCTTTCTTAACATCAGAATGGGATCTCGCCCTCAAGGATTATGGCAACTTCCAAGAGCACACCGATCAACCCCACAAGATACACAATACGGGGTACGCATGGCTGGAACACGTGACAATTACTTGGAGGAGGCTCATCAAAATAGCAAAATGACGACTATCACGGTCTATGACGTTGCCCGGCAAGCATGCAGAACATAAAGAGATCATCGCCCACTTGAATCATGAAATCCTAGAAGACTTAGATATTCAACAAAATATACGCAATCGCCCGTATTGCACAACCCGAGACAACAGTTTATTCCATCGTCTATCATACAATAGTACAGCACACAAAGGAAAGCGGCAAAGGGAAGGAAGACAGGCTAAGGCACGACGGCTTGGTATTTATCTAATGGTGGTGCTCAGGCTCTCCCTTGTAGCCGACGATGTTCATCCGGCCAATGATCTCACCAACGGTGAAGAAACCGATGACCTCCGCGGCGGTGACACCAGCAAAAGCGAGCTGCTTCTTGTCGGCACTGCGAACACGGGCCAGAATGTTGGAGGGAGTGAAGCCCGAGTTCTGGAAGGCGGCAGGGTTACGGAAGACGTTGGTCAGAGGCTGGAAATAGGTCTGGAAGGTGGCCAGGTTGCTGGAGTCGGTATTAGTGGACGAGGTTCTTGTGGTTGGGATGGCTGGGAGCCCTTACGGAGGAGTCATGTTCTGGCCACGGAAGACCAACTTGGCGAGCTCGAGACCGACCTTCGAGTAGTAGACGGTAGGGGGTATCATGGCTGCATTATTACGGCGGATGATTAGCAATGCTCCGAAAGATATATGACAGAAATCCGGGGATGGCTCCACTCAAGGAGTGATTCAGTGATAGCGGCTGGCATTGCCACCATCACCGTGCCATCCCAATAGAAACGTAAAGGGGCATTTTAGAGCAAGTATCATGGAGCATCTGCTTACAATCGACGAAAGAGATGACTTTTCCGGTCCTTCCACCAACCTTCCTCAGGGCACTGCCGAGACCCTGGGCGGCATTCGAGATGGCAGGGCCAGCGGACGAGGAGACGCGAGACAGACCCTCAGACGCCTTCGAGGCAGCAGAGGAAGCAGTCTCACCGGCCTTGGAAGCGGCTTCTGAGGTCGAAGAGGCGTACCTGACCGCAGACCTGCGGGTCAGGAACTGCGATTGCCGGAGCACGGCACGGGACGCGGTGGCGGGCATCTTGAAGACCACTGGAGGGGATATAACGCTAAAAGGAAAGAATGACTCTTAGAAGTCGCAGGTGGAGGACAAAAGCGTCCAATGGCGGTATGGTCAAGAGCCGGTGACACTGGATCGTCGCGCAATTGCAGGACCAGAATTGAGATTTGAAGTTCGGGAAGTTCAGGGAAGAGCCTCCACTTCCGTGTCACGTGAGGCACTTCTACCTTGTTTATCGCCGGCCATCACGACTTGACCTTCACCAACCAACCTGGTTGGTTGGGTTTCTCTCAACCGTCCAGGCAATGGATCTTGCTTCAATTCCGTACTCAGTTTTCTAGGACCAGTAACCCTACTTTGATGTGCACTTACGGCGTCCGTGCTAAACATCCTGCCCAGTGCTTGTGCTTACTATCTGACAGTTGCAGCATTGTTCATTCAAATTGTTTGATTTGCTGACATGCACGTCTCAATCAACTAACTAGCAAAGATTTCTTATATCATTTATCTTATCCCGATTGTCATAAACAGCACATGAACAGTATACTCGGAATGACGCTACAGCCACAATGACTTGTGTCCACATTATACACCTCTAGATAACGGCCGTGAAGGACACCATTTATAGCCGGTCACCGAGTATTAGGGGATAGTCTAGGGATAATACGGGAGGACATAATTGAAGGGTGGCAGCTACACTACGCATGCTCTAGAATGTGTCTGCTCAAGGCTTGGATGCAAGAGTCTGCGTCTATCAAATGAATAACATTGCGACGCCGATGGAGATACTAGTCGTTAAACGGACAGCCGCTACTTGTCAGGAATATCGATTCTGTCGGATGGCTGCTCGCGTATTCCCGCCACCAGATGCCTATGCCTTGGCAAAAGAAGGAGAATCGTACCAGGTTTCTCGACTGGCCGCGATGAGTCCCTCGTCGACCTAGCAACATTTGTTATCGATCGAACGAAGCCCTTATTGTCACGCGAAGTGGGTAATGGATATTAACAATTATTGAGGGATGATTAATCTCCCTCGTATTGCTCCGCACTAACCCGGGCTAAGTAGACTAGGCACAGGTGTGATTGGCAGGGTCGCGTATATCTGCATGAGGCTCTGTAGTCTAACAGTTTAACAGCCGCTCTATAAAAATGCGCCCATTCTCTGCTCCAGCGTTTCGCTGATTACTTTTCGTATATATTCTCAACTCGATCAAAAGCCAACAACTCGGCCAGAGAAGCAGGATGATTGAGACCCAAATAGAGATCGCCGCCTCGCCAGCACAAGTACGAGAAGCCGTATGTATCAGACCAGTCTCAGGAGCTGAACGATAGCACGCTAATCATCCCTACACCAAATACAGCTGCTCGACTTCTCCAAATACCCAGAATGGCATACTAGTTTTATCAAGCTACTCCAACCAGAGGACGAATCCCAGTCCTTGCAATCTCTTCAGACTGGCGATAAGGTCAAATGCGACATCGACGGTATGAAGTTTACTGCAGAGATCAAAGTATGTACAGTCAGCCAGTTGCAGTAGTAAGTGTGTGAGCAAAGCTAAAGTCATTTCTATGGAACAGGAGAACTCAGATTCGCTATTCCAGTGGCAAGGACCCCCGGTCTTTGGCTTAATTGCCGGTCTCCACAGCTTTCACATGGAACCGGCCAACAACGGCTCTTCGACGATCTTCAAACAGACCGAGATATTTACTGGTCCAATCTCTTTCTTGATGACCCCCTCGTTCTTGGGGAGGAAGATGCTGGGCCAGTTTGGCCAATTCAATACGGATCTGAAGGCTCGTGCTGAAGCCTTGAAATGACATGGCTATTATGACGGCAACCACGATGAATGATATGCAATCTATATTCATATGGGGTTCTAGCCCTTCTTAGCATCCAATGGCTTATTTGTATGTGTCGTTGGTTATAATATAGTTGTTCCTAGGTTCAGGATATCTTTAAGCCCACCCATCATAATGTATCGATCATACACATCAGGTAGGTTGACCTCGACTGCTGGGCATTGAAATATTGCACGCTCTGCGTGGTATGCATTGCATAACATGCTCGAGCTGTAAGGAGATCTCCTGCCATCCACTCATCCTTCTATGGGAGTGGGGCCTTCCAAAATCCAGGGTTTCGTTTGCCAACAATTTTCGCGGTGCACTAACCACTGCAGTAAACAGGAAATCCCTTGGGACAGTGATCGACTATTAAGCCAAACAAATGTTTGTATATTATAGGAAGCATGAGTGCTAATGATCGGGTACCATCATAGCATCTGAATGGTGTCGAAGCTCGAAGTAGTTCGATGTCACTACTTGCCTTATCAGGAAAAGCGAGAAAGCTAGGCTGGAACTATTGATCGATCAAAGGTGTTCAAAGAACTTTGGGTGCTCACTCCTGATATGGCTGTTAGATTAGCCGACCTGAAGTCCATTATAGCCTGCACGGCAGATCTATAGGGGTCTCATCTGGTGTCCGGTGTCGATCTAGTCTCCCGTGGTCAACATATGGCTTCTGATCGGCTGATGGAAAGCGAAGTGGAGCGATCCATGGAAAGGGTTGGCATCAACGGCCACCGTGCCTGAGGCCATCATGTGATATGCAAAGCTTATGCCCGGAGATCCACCCGTAATATCCCGCTGAGTCATGCTAGCGCCACCGCTTCACAATTTCGCTTCGCTTTCGCAAGTCGTGCCACGACGCATGGTGGCTTTGCATTTGAAATGCGCCCCGATCGTGCGAGTGATCCGACACCGCATCATCTTTGGTACAGCTGTACAAGAGCCCAATCAAGGCTGATCATGCGGTGTGGCGCAGAATCTTCACAGGTCACCAAGTCTTCGGGCCGGGTGAAGCTTTATCCTCCATGCCACATCATTTAGATTATGGCAGCTGCGAATGGCCGATCTCGCCTGTCCATTGAAAAAAAAAATGTCCGGTTGATCTGCTCTGCTATTGCCAGCGACGGAAATTTGAGTTCTTCTATTGATTCGGGTCGGCACCGCGTCGGCACCTATCTCTAATGTCCTGGGGCTTTGCTCCCTAGTCTTCAGGAAATGCCAGTGTCTGAAGCGCACAGGCTCAGCTCCTGCACCCCTATTTGATCATGCACCAATGTCTAGTCCAGCGCTGTACGCATACAGGAGAACCAACCGCAAGGCTCATCGCAAAGGATTGTTGTCGGACACTAAATTGTCTGCCTAACGATGGTATACGTAACGTCCATCCAAGCCAAGATCAGTGGGTCTCCACACCGTAGACCATGGTCCAATTCTAGAATCAGAAATGAGGCAGACAACTCATTTGATTGGGCTCTCTAACTGTTCATAGTATGGCTCGTTTCATGAGCGCCGCCTCTGAATGGTTAGCCTTATATAGCTTGGGGTCCATCTATTTGTTGTCCTTTGATTCTTAAACCGAGTCTTTCCCTACCTACATTGCGTTTTCTCTTGCATTTTCGAATCAAACAAACAAAGCTTCACATACCTCAAGACACAATGTTCGGCGAAGGTATCTTCAGTTGGTTCAAGTCCTCCAACAAGGAGTCGGCCCCCGAGGCCACTTGGGACCCCAACACAATCACCATGACCCAGCCCCAAAGCCCTGCTGGTCCTATCACCGAGGTCGTCACTGGCCAGCCTGTATGTTCTGACCTCGGCCTTGCCAATTGACGTCTGGCACTAACACAAGGAACCCAGACACCAAACAACAACATGACCCTTCGTGGTGGTGGTCCTCCCCCTGGACCTGGCGGTGACGAGTAAGCTCTACCCTGAACAACTCCCTCCTAATGGGAATGGAACTAACAATTCATCTCCAATAGTTGCTGCTGCTGCTTCGACTGCTTCTGCTGCTGTGGTGACTGCTGTGGTCCCGACGGTCCTCCTGGAGGCTTCGGTGGCCCTGGCGGTCCCGGTGGTCCTGGAGGTCCTGGAGGCCCCGGCGGCCCTGGTGGTGGCCCTGGTGGCCCTGGTGGTTGGTAAACAGTACATACCAACAACGATGATTACGTTTCCTTTAATCGTTTTATTCGCCACGTTCGAACTTGATACCACTATATTGAATGCGCTGTTGTGGCGTAATGCATGGGAAGGGGCTTGTTTGCGGGACGGAGGTCTTGTATATGGCAGATGACCTTTGTGCCATTGTCTTGTATGATATATGTCGTTATTGGATTGTTTTATCAGAGTTTCCAAATCTTCATGACCTGCTGCAGTAAAAGCCAAGAGAGGATAGTCGCCCTAGTTGTAGGCATGGCACTTGATCGATGACAGGTAGACCTGAGATGTCCTTTTCATATCTCACACAGTATTGCAATACTTGATTGATTGTAAATTATGTGAAGAATATTCGGTTTCCTTCATAATACCCCCTGATGTCATATAATTATATAGTTAGGTTAGACATTATTAGTAAATGCCTCGCATAAGTGTAATCTATATGAATTATGCAGGAACTATGCTTCATCGCTATCCAATGCGTGGATCAGGAATAGCCATTACAAATAATGCATTACAGTATCTTTTTTCCGGTCGTGTCAGACAAATACAAGGAAGATAGGACCCTTACATCTACTTTGCAAAAATCCGGGTATCGCGCATAGCTTCTATGCAGCCAAGGACCAATTCCACGGAGCTTTTTGGACTCAGGGAGATACACACTATATCTACTTTCTCAGACTGGACCTTGTAGAAAATAGATGTCCCTATGGTATGAGGAATGGTGCGGCGGTTCCTATTCACAACAAGAGCCAGATATGTAGAACTACTCACACCTGCAATCTTCCAATCGACCTACACTATTTTGAATCTACTCCACGAACGTACCTGGCCACTACTACGATTGTCCCACGGAAAGAAATCAAGAAATCCCGAATCAGCATGATAAGTGACCTTGTCCAAACCCTTGCCTTATATCAAGCATTCCAGTCATGTCAGAGCGCCCTATGATATCGATAACGGTCTCAGATCACCTATTACAAGCAATGATCATCTTCGCTACGCCAATGATATCTAAAACCCGTTCTGCTATCTCACCGCAAGAAACGAGACATGATAATGATCGCCAAACCAGAAAACCACCCAGGATAAATATCTACTCCCGGGGTGTACGACAACCAAGTACCCACGAGATTCAGCACGCCTTCGCAACCATGCACTTCCCATCCATTCTCTTCCTCCTCACAACTCTAACCACCACCATCGCCCACCCCGGCCCCCATAAACAAACCACCAGAGCCGAACTCGCCCGTCGAGCCGACCTCTCCGCCCGCTGCTCCCACCACGCCAGCCACTACAACGCCCAACGACTCAAACGAACCCTCCACAAGCGCCAAAACTCTACCGTCTCACTCACAACCTCACCCCCTTACTACCCCACCATCCAAAACGAAACATGCGTACTCACCCCCGAAGTAACAGCCGGCCCCTACTGGTGGCGAAACTCCCAAACCCTCCGCCAAGACATGACCGAGAACCAACCAGGAGTACCTCTTCTCCTTGACGTCGGGGTACTGGATATGGCGACCTGCGAGCCGTTGGAAAACGTGCTGGTGGATTTCTGGCACTGTAATGCGACGGGCAAATACTCGAGTTTTACGCAATTGCCGGCTGATGAACCCATTGATACTATACTGGCGGGGCTGAATGTCATGGATTTTGAGATCGGGAGGTCGGATATACATACGGATGAGGGGACGTTTTTGAGGGGTATGTGGCCGACGGATGGGAATGGGGTTGTGGAGATGAGGTCGATTTTTCCGGGTTTGTGTTCTCCTTTTCAAGATGTTTTGTGAGTGGGGAATGAGGGCTAATGATGGGTTGGGCTGTTGTTGGTTGTAGGGTTTTATTATGGACGTGCGATTCATATTCATATTCAGGTTCATACGGATTGGGTGTTGAGGGAGAATGGAACTTTGGCGAGTGGGAAGACGGTGAGTACGGGGCAGGTCTTCTTTGGGGAGGACCTGGAGAGGGAGATTATGGCGTTGGAGCCGTATGCTTCTGTGACGAAAGTTGAGAGACTTACTAATCAGTTTGATAATACCTATAATAATGAGAATACTGGGGGGTATAATGCTCTGGTGTCGGTGGTGCCGATGGATGGGGAAGATGTGACGAAGGGGATGATTGGGTTTGTTACAATCGGGGTGGATACGGAGGCAGTTGAGTCGTTTCCGGTTTGATTGATTGGAGGGGTGCTGTTGTGGGGTTTATCATAATGAGATGTGATTACCAGGTATGCCATCTTCTATAGAGGGTTAGGAGTCATTCGTTTTGGAAGATAGGGCGGAATCGATGTAATCCCACTAGACAGGGCCCAAAATGAAGGAAGTCAATGGCCTTTATGCTGTGGAAATTAGCTTATGGAGGTTATATTAACTTCTTCCAGAAGGATCTTGGAGCTCCACTGCTTTACCTTATGCTTGAACTACTCATCGCCTTAGTCTATCATACTGTGGGTGACTGACCAGTGATAATCTGGCCGATGTGAATGCATCTCTATAACATTCACCCGTCTCGGTTGAATAGCATACCGAGCAGCAGTAGCTGCAATGGCTGTTACTGTGTCCATATACCCTTGGGACAGCTGGCCAAAATCACCCTGCAGGGTTACATCTGATTGATCACCGACCTGTACCTGAATACTAGTAGTAAGTAGATGAAGTCAAGTCCATACTAGCCAATAAGGGAAATTTAACCGATTGCATATCAGTAGCTATGCAGTCTGCCTGCTCATTTTGGGACGGACCTTAAACCGTTTTATGCGCTTCATGCTCAGATGTCCATGATCCCATGATCGATTGGAAAAACAATTCCATCGCTAGTTAATAACACGAGGATTATACCCGACGTATAACCGTATGTCCGGCTGCTCGATGCTCAAATGATGGGGTAATAACAGCAGGTGGATAAGGCATCCGACTCCACTGATGGGTCAAGTCCCACCGGAGAATTGCCACTCCGGGTAATAAGCCAATGGAGATGTTGTTCTGGCCAACAGTACAAAATGAGATTGAGACTGTGAGTTCGGGTCAGAAGGAGTCGGTATGATTAAGGAACTGGGTGGGTGTCAGAAGATCCAAGAATAGACCGATAAAATAACCTGTCGGTGTGAATTAACCGAGCAGATACGTACAGCCGTCTGGTATGTGGTTCGAGGATATGGATCGCAAGCTGTTGAAACGGTTTCAGATAGAAGATGATCTCGGAGAAGGTGACTGGGTAATTTGATGCCAGAGACTGCTGCTGCTCTAATTTTCTGATCGACTTGTTGATAGCTCCTGCCTACGCACTCCGTTGGGAGCGAAACTGGCCCGATAAGTTGATAAGAGCTCCCGGCCCGGATATCCAGGAGCACAACTGAAGTCAATGCAGGGAAACCCGCCCAGAAAATTCCAAGCAAGCCACTGTATATAGCTCGAAAGCTTACCTTTGTACACATCCTCGTATTTCCAACGCTATCCAGGGTAGTACACATTACGCAGATGTTTTGAAGCAAGGACTCCTGAAATGCGACCGGCGGGATGTTCTGGCCGAAAAGCGGGCCAATGGGGGCAGCCCCAGACCAAACCCCGCGTCCCGAGAGCCACCGGGTAAATGCAGTGGATGGCTTCCCCTCCAAATCCACCGTCCACTGGGTCCCACAGGACTCCACGATCGATCAGCCATGACTATCGGTGGCGATGAAATCAGCTACCTGCAGCATGTCACGTTGGATCATGATTCTCCAGAGCCTATCGTGGAGGGGTAGACCGCTGTTACGAAGCAATACTTAAACCTGGTAGATCCTCCTCCGCTCTCCATCTCCTCACCCCTTGCGCTCCGCTCCCTCTTTGTCCTTTCCGTCCTACCCCTCCATTCATCCCCTCCATCCGATCATCATGGCGACCGCAACTCTTCTCGAGAAGTCCAACATCGGAGTCTTCACAAACACCAAGCATGACTTGTGGGTCGCAGACGCGAAGCCCACTCTGGAGGAGGTCAAGAGCGGCGAAGGATTGAAGCCTGGTGAGGTTTCAATCGAGGTTCGCAGCACGGGAATTTGCGGGTATGTCTTCCGTCCTTCCCGAGCCTCGCTTCGTATTCCCTGGCTAAAGATTGGTTCTTAATTCAGGTCCGATGTCCACTTCTGGCATGCAGGCTGCATTGGGCCTATGATCGTCACAGGAGACCATATCCTGGGTCACGAGTCCGCGGGCCAAGTCGTCGCTGTTGCGCCCGATGTCACCTCGCTGAAGCCTGGCGACCGTGTCGCGGTCGAGCCCAACATCATTTGCAACGCCTGTGAACCCTGCCTGACAGGTCGCTACAACGGCTGTGAACGCGTCCTCTTTCTTTCAACCCCTCCTGTCGACGGCTTGCTGCGTCGCTATGTCAACCACCCGGCCATTTGGTGCCACAAGATTGGTGATATGAGCTATGAGGATGGTGCGCTCTTGGAACCTTTGAGTGTGTCGCTGGCGGGTATTGAGCGCAGTGGACTTCGTCTGGGTGATCCATGCTTGATCACTGGTGCTGGTCCCATTGGCCTCATCACCCTGTTGAGTGCTCGTGCTGCTGGAGCTAGCCCCATTGTCATCACCGACATTGACGAGGGTCGGCTGGAGTTCGCCAAGTCGCTGGTGCCCGATGTCCGCACCTACAAAGTGCAGATCGGCCTCTCTGCCGAGCAGAACGCAGAGGGCATCATCAATGCCTTCAACGATGGAGAGGGCTCTGGTCCCGGTGCCTTGAGGCCTCGCATCGCTCTGGAGTGCACCGGAGTGGAGAGTAGTGTTGCGTCTGCCATTTGGAGTGTCAAGTTCGGTGGCAAGGTCTTCGTGATCGGTGTAGGCAAGAACGAGATGACCGTCCCGTTCATGCGCCTGAGTACTTGGGAGATTGACCTTCAGTACCAGTACCGGTACTGCAACACCTGGCCCCGTGCGATCCGTCTGGTGAAGAACGGTATCATCGACTTGAGGAAGCTTGTGACACATCGGTTCCCCTTGGAGGATGCTATCAAGGCGTTCGAGACGGCCGCCAACCCCAGGACCGGGGCCATCAAGGTCCAGATTATGAGCTCCGAGGAGGATGTCAAGGCTGCTTCCGCTGGTCAGAAGATCTAAACAGCCATTTCACGAACATACCTCGGACGTTTCGCTTGGTGGCTGGTCACCTTGATACCTTTCATGTTGATGACATGCTTTCCTGTTGGCATTTGATGATGAATATATCATGTAAATTTTCTTTCATCTTTGATGACTTTGCTAGAGATACAGCATAGATTGACGTAGAATTTCATTCCCTGTCTGTTGCAGCCCCTCTGGCGCCTTGATTAGATGTGTCGCAGGTACATCGCTCTGAATGGTGTCTGCAACGTCAAGCACGAAACCACCAGAAAGAGGATTGACCGAACTTTTGTCCCACAATAATCTGTGCTCTTCCTCCCGGGTCCTCAATGTTACATCCAGGGTACCCGAATGCTTCTTCAAACAAAGCCGGTCACACATCTTACGGGTCCGATGGAACAGTATTCAATACATGTGCCGCCTCAATCCGATTGCTGGTGACCTGCAGCCCGTCATGAAAGACCGCCGCTTGACAGGTCAGAGCCACCTATCAGCTCCCACTACGTATCCGCGTCCTTGCCCAAGCCCCGTTGCATCCGACCTTCAATCCACTTGGGACTTGGTGTTTGCGTCACACGTGCCCCTAAACTAGCTGCCATGGCCCCATAGACTTGAATCTCCCCGTCGGCCGCGTTGGCTGGCTGGGTTTCAGGCCAGGCGGGGACCCCCCCGCACGGCTTCCCCAGTTTTTGAGTTTCCCCTCCACCAGCTCGGCATCCCATTCCAATGATCGTCGACGGGAATGTGACCCATCTCCCAGCGCAGTACCGATAAGCTTCGCTAACGAAACAAGTCTGATTTCTAGATTGATCTATGAGAATTTACGCACGGGAATATGTGCAAGTGGCTTGCGGTTCTCGAAGCCCTGCATCCACCCAACCGATAGTGGCGAAGATCCCCGATAATTGACCGCGCTGGGACCAACGGAGTCAGATTCTCTTGTTATGGCAATCATATCCACGCTTCCCGGTGCCTGTCCTTCCCATAAGATTGGTGCCTCATCATACTCATCGGCTCATTCCGCCTCTTTCGGATCCAAACACGCAATTCCCGCTGCATTCCTTGGCTTCGCTCATTGATGTCGCGGGGTTTGTCATACCGCAAAGCGCCACTTTATGCGCTTCGGCCAACACGCCATGCATTCATTGTCATCAACTGGGCCAGGGCACAGTCCGTGTCCAAACACATATAAGCCGCTGTGACCACCCATCTCACCTACGACCTAGGCTTGCTGTTATCCAGGGTGATCCCAGGGTGATACCATTATGTTGGGGTCATTGCTTTTTCTCTTGCCCCTTGCGGGCGCTTCTTCCATTGGATCCCGAACAAGCAGCCAGGAATGTCCTGGGTATAAGGCGTCCAATGTCCAAACAGATGCTACATCCTTGACCGCAGACTTGACTCTAGCGGGTGCTCCTTGTAACAGCTATGGCACGGATTTGAAGGACCTCAAGTTGCTGGTGGAATACCAGTCTGGTATGTATTGTTCGGTCAGGTTTGAATTTCCTATCTGACAATCTTATTAGATGAACGACTCCATGTAATTATCTACGATGCCGACGAACAAATCTACCAAGTGCCTGAATCTGTCCTTCCTCGTGTTTGCAGTGGCGATAGCTCTCAGGATGACAGCGTTTTTCAATTCGACTTCGTGGAAGAGCCGTTTTCATTCACAGTTTCAAAGGATGACGAAGTGTTGTTTGACACTTCCGCATCCACTCTTGTCTTCCAATCTCAGTATCTGAAACTGCGCACCTGGCTTCCTGACAATCCCTATGTGTATGGCCTCGGAGAACACTCGGATCCTCTGCGTCTGCCAACGAACAATTACACTCGCACCCTCTGGAACCGTGATGCTTATGGCACCCCTAATCACACCAATCTGTACGGCAGTCATCCTGTGTACTACGATCACCGCGGGCAAGCTGGTACCTACGGTGTCTTCTTGTTGAACTCCAATGGCATGGACATCAAGATCAACAAGACCACAGACGGAGAACAGTACTTGGAGTACAATGCTCTGGGGGGTGTCCTCGACTTTTATTTCTTCTATGGGGAGAATCCCAAGCAAGCTAGCATTGAATATTCTAAGATTGTTGGGTCACCTGCAATGCAAAGTTATTGGACCCTTGGTGTAAGTCGCTATAGGTTTGAGCTAGTTCTTACGCTAATTGCTGCCAGTTTCACAACTGCCGTTATGGCTACCGCGATGTATATGAGCTCGCCGAAGTGGTCTATAACTACAGCCAAGCAAACATCCCGTTGGAGACGATGTGGACCGACATTGACTACATGGACAAGAGAAGGGTGTTTACCCTTGATCCTCAGAGGTTCCCGCTCCAGAAGATGCGTGAGCTAGTTACCTACCTCCATGACCACGATCAGCATTACATTGTCATGGTCGACCCAGCTGTGAGCGTTAGCAGTGAGTACCCCGAGTACATCTGGCTATTCTTTATAGCCTTGTATTAACGCATTATGCAGACAATTCGGCATATAAAACGGGTGTAGAACAGGGCATTTTCCTCCATACTCAGAACGGAAGTTTATACGAGGGTAAGAAACACCTACCGTATTTAGAACCATACACTAAATCTATGCAGGTGCCGTTTGGCCTGGTGTGACTGTCTTCCCAGACTGGTTCCACTCTGATACTCAGGACTACTGGGATGGGCAGTTTGACCAATTCTTCGACGCCGATTTAGGAGTCGACATTGACGGTCTGTGGATCGACATGAATGAAGCGTCCAATTTCTGTCCATACCCCTGCAAGGATCCAGCTGCATTCGCGATTTCAGATAACCTTCCACCTGCCGCACCACCTGTCCGGCCAAGCAGCCCACGCCTACTGCCTGGGTTCCCTGCGGACTTCCAGCCTTCGTCAAAAAGATCTCTCAAAAGAGCACAAGGCGAAAAGGGAAGCAAGGCCGGGCTACCTAACCGTAATCTCACCGATCCACCCTACACGATTCAAAATGCTGCAGGGGTTCTCAGTATGAGCACCATCCAGACCGATGTCATTCATGCAGGTGAAGGGTATGCCGAGTATGATACGCACAACATCTACGGAACAAGTAAGTGTTATGGACTCGCCTAGTGGTCATTCTGACAAGTCCAGTGATGAGTACTGCCTCCCGCTTAGCCATGCAATCTCGTCGTCCTGATGTGAGGCCTCTGGTCATTACTCGCAGTACATATGCAGGTGCTGGCGCACATGTTGGGCACTGGTGAGTTTACCAATAGCCTTAACAGCGCATCGCTAATTCGTACAGGTTGGGCGATAATCTGAGCGACTGGGTCCACTACCGGATCTCCATTGCGCAAATAGTCGCATTCGCATCCATGTTCCAGATCCCCATGGTCGGGGCTGATGTGTGTGGGTTTGGTAGCAACACGACGGAGGAACTTTGTGCTCGGTGGGCGTCTTTGGGCGCCTTCTACACGTTCTATCGCGATCATAACGAGCTGGGCAACATACCGCAGGAGTTCTATCGCTGGCCAACGGTTGCCGAGTCCGCTCGCAAGGCCATTGACATTCGATACCGACTCCTCGATTACATTTACACTGCTCTTCACCGGCAATCTCAGACCGGCGAACCGTTCTTGCAGCCTCTATTTTACTTGTACCCCGAGGATTCTAACACGTTTGCCAATGATCTCCAGTTCTTCTACGGCGATGCTATTCTCGTCAGCCCCGTTACCAACGCGAACTCAACCTCAGTTGATGCCTACTTCCCGGACGATATCTTTTATGACTGGTACACTGGGGCCGTGGTGCGTGGCCGCGGGGCAAGCATCACGCTCAGCAACGTCAACCTCACCCACATCCCCATCCATGTTCGTGGCGGAAACATTGTGCCCGTCCGGTCGTCCAGTGCGATGACCACAACTGAGCTTCGCGAAAACGGCTTCGAGCTCATTATCGCCCCAGGACTGGACGGAACTGCGTCGGGTAGTCTGTATCTGGACGATGGGGACTCGCTGGAGCCGTCCGCGGTGGCTGAAATTGAGATTGAGTACAGCCATGGCGTGTTGAACATCCAGGGTGAATTTGGACAGGACACCCCTGCGGTGGTGGAGAAGTGTACCTTGCTGGGGGAGACTGGACGGGTTGAGATTACCCAGAGCTTTGAACTCAGTGGATCTAAGGAAGTCAAGTTGAAGTGAGATGGGAATATGCTTAGGTATTACTTAGGAGAGTTTACGAGAAATTAATTTGAGTTCTAGGTCGATCGTAATCCTGACTGCTTAATGCCTCACTCAATGTACCTTCACTAAGCTTTGCGGTTAAGCACAATAATGGAGTACATAATGCATCAAGAGTGGCAGGGTATCAAGGGATGAAGGGATACCCGCCACCATTGCCACCAGAATCCACAGATACTAGAGTGTAGTACGGAGTAGAATCAACAACCACCACTTAACTTCAACACAAGCAATCCACTCCACCAACCAACCGCCCACCCACCAATAACCAACCATTCCCCGTACACCATACATGCACTACTACACTCCGCACCAAGTCCCCAAACCTGCTACATACCATCTACCTACTGTGTACTCGCCCAGATGCCAACCACATCATCCCCACCCACGCAAGGGACGCAAGCAATGAACCAGACGCGTACCTTACATCAACGCGCATCCCTACACTTAATTCCAGAGAAGGTCAAATACCACTCACTCCCTATCCACCATCCATCACCTCATCACATAACACAATCTCACCATCAGACACCAAACCACTATCCAGCCATTCTCACAGTCACAATGAAGTTCACCTCCATTCTCCTCACCCTCAGTGCCTCGGTCACTCTTGTCTCGGCAGGCGACTACTATTGTCCCTTTGCGCAGGATAACTCGGGGATGATCCAGCAGCCGTATTGCTGTGATGGGTTCACGGATTCGGAGGGAGGGTCGGTGGCGAAGGAGGGGCAGAATTGTATGTTTTCTTTCTTTTTTGAATGATGGTGGGATTGGGGTTGGGCTAATTGTTTGTGTAGGCCAGTCGATGACTACGTGGGTGGATGAGTGTCCTAAGGGTGGTTCGGTTAAGTGTTGTTATACTATTGTGAGTTTTTCTCTCATCCCTTTGGTTAGAGCAGGTGGGATGCTGGGTTGGATGGAGCTGATTGGTGGTATTTAGGGCCCGGTGTATATCTGTACTGCGGAGGCGGAGCAGAGTGATGATTAGATACTATTCAATTGGTCAGGTTCTTATGATTGGAAGTGGATTGCATGATGAAATACTTCCCTAGACCAATGGAGCGGGATGAAACGAGTGTGATTATAGTATAAAAGTGCACGACTAAAATACCAAATACCAAATCTTTACATCTCATATCATACACACCATAAGCAAAGATCAAACACTAACCATCCTAACAAACCTCTCCCCCAACTCCTCCGCCGCCAACGGATTCCCCCCCGTCAACAACTCCCTACAAAGCGTCGTCCCACCCATCTTCTCCTTCGCTCCCTCGACCATCACCGCGCCCTCCTTCCTCAACTCCCCCTCCACCTTCTCAATCTCACCCCCCAACACCGTCTCCATAACCTTCTCCTCCGCATCACTCCAACACGTAATCTCATACCCTTTATACACGAACCCCCCATCTCCAAGCCTCGTACTCAACAACGCATACGGCCCATGACAAATCGCCGCCGTGGGTTTATTCTCCCCATGAAAATACCTCAATATGCGGCCCAGTTCCTTATCGCTGCCTAGGTCCGTAAGCGGGGCATGACCACCGGGGATGAACACCGCCGCGAAGGTGCGTAGTTCGTCGTCGCTGATGCTGAAGAAGGGACGTGGCGAGGAGAAGCCGTTCTCGCGACGCATGCGCTCGATGAGTTCGTTTTCGCGCTGGCGTTCGTAGAAGTTGCCTGCGAAGGCGAGGAGGGATTCGCTGAGGGGGTCGGGGGTCGGGGGTTGGCCTTTTGGAGAGGCGAAGGTGATTTCGTGGCCAGCGGAGAGGAGTTTGGAGAGGGGTTTGGCGAGTTCGGTCAGGAAGAAGCCGGTTGGTTGGGGGCGGTGCTGGTGGAGGTTTTGAGGGGGAAGGTGTGTGCGTCGCTGAGGATGATGAGGATTTTTTTGGGGGGCATTTTGGTGGTGGTGGTGATTATGATTGTGTTTGTGGTGGTTCGGATGTGGTAGGCTTTGTTTAGAGGTGTAATTGCAGTAAATGATGGCTGTAAGTGAGGTGGTGGTTTATAGTCAGTTATAGTAGGTTGATGATGGTGGTGGTGACATCTGAATGACGTATTTGGTGTTAAGCAGGGTCGGTCAATTGTTGTTGGCGTTGCATGGCGGGAGGCAAATAGGTGAGGATTGTCTCTAGACTCCTCATGATGATTTAATCTTGATGTGTAAGTCACACAATGTACTTAAAAGGATTAGTTGGGTGGAATAGACGGTCTACTGTAGGAGGATGTGATGGGAATACCCCTTTGGGGATAGCCCGGGATGTTGCCTGCTAAGTCCCTTCACTTAGCTTTCAACATCTAACCTCCATGACAGGCCTTCTCTCTCAACATATAGAATTCTGTTCTTAATAACCATCCTAGGTATTTTCACCTGCACGATGGATCGGACTCGGTATCATCGGATATCTCCATTTGAGAGGGATAGCTGCATAGCATCAGGATCAGGCATCAGTGCAGCTAACTCACTTAGCTTCAAACCAACCATGTCTCTATTTTCACCGGGGACCTTAGACTTTTCCAGCTCATAGATGGGACAGTCTAATTTAGGTACTTGAACAAGAACTGAAAGCATCGTGTCACACTCACCGGAATTTATTTCCGCGCTTCATTGGCCATGTCCACCCTATCCGATAAAGACTACGGTATCCTCATGATGACCCACTAATCCGCAGCAGCCGAAAGAGGCGACGAAGAAACCGTCCGACAGTTCTTAGGGAACAGTTCCAACTCGAGTTTTGAGATAGATTCAATGGCCGAGCTCCTCTATCCCACGCTGCCAGAAACGGACACAGAGCTGTCATCACACTACTACTGGCCCACACGGCTGAGAATGAGATAAAAGATAATTGACTTGGCCAGACGCCACTGTCGTTAGCAGCGGCAGGGTTGTGGACTGGTCAACTATTAGATCAACTCTTCTGGCGGAGAGCCTCCACCCATGACAAGCTATTCCGATATGACACATTTGCCGCACCTAGCTTTTCATGGGCGTCAGTATATGGGTCTCGTATTGACTTTGTTAAGTCATGGGGAAAAGCAAACAAAGGAAAAACGGCTCGTGTTCTCGACGCAAAAACCGTACCGGCTCACAAAGCAGACCCATTGGGACCCGTGAGCAGTGGATATGACAGCACATCTTTCCGTGAGAAATGGGAATTGGATCGATCATTCATGTGCAAGTGCCCAGCAGCATGAATTCAGTATCTCTATTGATACTGAGGACGACAAGGAATATTTGGTCGGGCACAAGGTCTTCATTGGCGAGATCTTTAGTGATGTGCATCGAGCCTCTTGTTTGGTCTTGAAAGAGGTGGAAAGCCGTCCGGAAATGCTCTTGACATTGTTCTTGTTTAGTACACAGTGATCATTGACATTAATGCCCTCTCTATGAGCCAAAGAAGCTCACTCTGCCATGTTCATTACCACATATTGCACCCAATGCCCCATCAACACCCATCAGAACAACTTACCTACCACATGAAAACCCCATCACACCATTCCCACCCTTCTACCACCCATCGCCTATTCTTTCCCTTCCCTATCCCTCCCCTTCTTCATCAACGTGACCCCCAACCCTAAATACGAACTACGTAGCCCAAAACCCGTATATCAAGAAAACCTATACCCCACCTTAACCTCCCCAAACCCCGAACCTTCTTCCACCTCCTACGTAGTAACGATGTAAGTACAACTCGGTACCCGTACCCGCACCCCACCCCCCTTCCCGATTGGAGGAAATCTCCCCCCAGTGACTGACAGTGTCCACCAAACCCAAATCGGATCTGATAAACGACGAGTTTAAAATTTTCTTTCCCTTTCCCTTTTTCCTTTTCCGAGGAAAAGATCTTCTCCGTCATATTATACCGACTCGAACCGACTCGAACCGAAATGTACTACTACTGGGCTAGGAGTAGGTTACCTATTTGGTTGGTATCGTATCGGACTCTCTCCGAGCGCGAACGGGTGAGTTAGCCGCGCTTGTCGCTGGCCGGACCTACTAAGTTTATTGGAGGGGTGGCGTGCGCACGTGAGAAGCTCACTTTTTAGGGGGGGTGGGTGGGTATATAGTAAATTTAATGTCCGTGCTTATGGTGTAGGTGCATGTGTCAGATTCAGGATGGGGAATGTATACTGTGTATGGGTGAAGGTGTAGTAATGTAGGTGCCTGGGAAAAATGGAATGTCTCGTGTTCGTTTTCCATTGCCGGGGCTCCACTGTTGCCGATACGTCGTCGGCTATTCCCACCTTTAACTCCGATTACATACTTACTAGGTAGTTGATTATTGCGGCGGTTCGGAACCTGGCCGAGTTGGACAGCTCAGTCGTTTCAGGATCTACAGGGTTGGGGGTGGGAAATGGAAGGATTGGAAGGGTGGAAAATTCTGTCATTATATTTTTGGTATGCTATGGTGGTCGTAACTCGTAATAAGGGGTGAGGGCTGATTAGGGGGCTACTCATGTAGATGGTCCTTATATCCCATCTAGCATTTCTTCTGCATTGTGTCGAAATACCCGCTCGGCCAACCCTGGCTCGTTCGCACATATCCGTAGGCAGATTTCTGTAAATGGTCCGATGTTCACCCCTGAGAATCGTGTATGCGGCCAGTCCGTGGCATATATGACACGGTTGGGTGCGGCTTCAAGAAACTCTCGAGCCATCGCTTCGAGATCGCGGAATTCTTCATCCTTGCTGAGACGGTAGGGGGCGGAGATCTTGACGTAGGTCTCTCCGGCACGGAGCAGCGATATTAACGAGGAAAATCCCGGGAGGGTGTAAGGATCGAAAGGTGTTTCGTCGTGATCGATTGTTGACAGGTCTGGGCCTCCGAAATGGTCGATGCACAGCTTGACTCCTAGCTGTGGCACAACGTTCTCCAGCATCGGCACCATGTCCAGAGATACATAGACCTGGATAGTCCAACCGAAAGGCCGCACTACTTGTGCGTGTTGCAGTAGTGTCTCTGTCAGCTCCTCCTCGCTAAGCACCTTTCCCACCGACTTCAGGTTCACTCGCACACCACGCACACCTAGGGCATGCCACTCCTCCAGGGTCTTGGTGTCTATGTTGGTCGGATCGATGACCACCACTCCTCGCCCGCGAGAAGGTCCGACATTTCTGAGTGCTTCAAGAAGACAAGAATTGTCTGTGCCGTATATGGATGGCTGGACCAGGACGATGTTTCCGATGCCGAGGGTGGATTCGAAGGTCATGGCTTCATCGACGGTGTGCTTTGGAGGCTGATAGACAGCGTTGGCAGAGACTGGGAACCGCTGCGGTTCCACGACGTGCATATGCGTATCCCATGTTCCGTGGGGGATTCGGTGCTTTAAAGGAAGAGACTGTGCGGTGGTCGTCTCCTCCTTGTAGACTCGTCGCTCTCCCTTCAGATGGGAGGTGTTGAACAGGGCCCGGGGCGATTCAAGCAGGCCAGGCCGGGGCTGGAAGGACGTAAGCATGGTGGGTAAGGAGGACGAAAGCATTGTCGACATGTCATATGCTTGAGGGATCGGTGAAGAGGGTGGTGACAGGGTAGACACCGCTGGGAGAACCCGCCGGGATAAAACTCACGAGACTGGAGAAGCGCAACGTCCCCGCTGCTCCTCTTAAAAGATATTTCCGTAGAGTCATCGTGCTCTCTATTAGGCTAGGTGCCAGCCAAGGAACGAGACGACCCGTTCGGTGAAAGGGTGGATATTGGAATTACGGCAACCTCTCATCGGCTTCCCGATTGTGTTACCGGAAGGATGCCAGCAACGCGAGGAATGAAACAGACCCTGACCCACCGGGTAGAGGCGGGATCGTGACGCTGGGGGTGAAAACTGGGATGATGAGGTCGGAATCTGGCCGCAAGGGGGGCAAAGCCACGTGAGACGACATTGGAGGAATCCCGAATGATATGTCCAATTGCCCGTACTGCCCGACAACCAATAGAGGCCTGCGACGTTGAACATCGACCACCACGACTGGGATCGGACGTGTAAGCGAGACCACCCAGACCAGAACCACCGCACTGGGGTTATTCAGACGAAGCGGAAGTGGCCCGGGTGGATGCAGGCGGATCGACCCGCCCGATCTATCTGACATGCAGCTGTCCAGGCCTGCATTCTGCACTCTTCTTCTCCCGTCGCGACGTCGTGAGTATCGATCTAGAAGAGCTGGGCAGTCGATGTACTGGATGCTGTCTCTAAACTGATCGACAGCCAGTAGGATGACCAGGAGCCTGGAGTTCCCAGCAGTGCAGGGCTCTGCATTAGTGTCGCCAACTAGCCCGAGTGCAGCAGGATCGGAGGAAGAAAAGGGAGGAAAAACGGCGGAAGTTGGCCGAGCGGCGAAGTCACGCCCCTCCGAGTCCCGTGCCTTGCCCCCTCTCGCTTTCGCTTTCCCCCCCCCTTCCCAGTTCCCACTGTTCCCAGTTCTCCCCGGTGGATTTTGTCCCCTCGCTCGACTTCCGTCCACTTGTCTCCGTCTGACTCGTGTCTGTGGCTTGCTCCGGATAACACGCAAGGCAGCAACTGGCCCAACTGGAGCTTTCCCCAGATTCCTCATTCTAGCGCTTATCTCCCTCTACTATTACTACTATTACTGTTAATTGTTGTCCCCTTTTTGCTTAAAATAGCTGTTGACAGCACCACCGCGGCTCCTTCCGCCTCGCCAGCATGGCATGGGCGACAATTGACTGGTCACGGTGGACCACAAGTCCTTATTATGCCTTAGTGATCTTTATTATAGCTTGTGGCAGCATCCCCAAAGGTAACGTCACCTTGCCGCGATCGTGTCTCATACCGCATCTCAGAATCTGACAGGTGGGGTGGCGTTGCAGGTTACGATGAAGGTGGCTACAGTGCCAGCGTCAAACTCGAATCCTTCATGACCGATTTCAATCTCCTATCCTCCAATTGGACCCATGATGCCACCGGCCTGGCCAACCGTAAGGCCAATATCACATCTTTCAACGTCTTGGGAGCGGCATTTGGGGCCTTGTTCTCGTTGGACTTGAACGATCGCTTGGGCCGACTATGGACATGGCGTCTGTCCTGCTTGGTCTGGGCATCGGGCCTTTTTATCACGGTCTTCTCCTCGGGCATCTACGGCCTATTGCTGTTTGCCAGGATTTGGAGTGGTCTGGGCGCTGGAGCGCTAACGGTCACTACGCCCTTGTATCTGTCGGAGATCGGTGAGTAATTTAAGGGGAGAGACATGCATGCCCTATATAGCTTGCTAATATCGACTATAGCGCCGGCTCGAACTAGAGGTTTGGTGGTTAGCGTTTACATGGTGATTTTACTGGCCATTCTATCTGTGGGTAAGCTTACGCTTCGATAAGGACTAGTCTCATGTGTGGCGTTTTCTGACCTGTGGTTCCGATAGGGTTCTTTGTTAACTACGGGGCCGACCTGCACATGGCGCCTACGCGCGAACAATACCGCCTGGTCCAGTCCATCCCCTTAATCCCCACTGGAATTGCTTTCTTCGCCTCTTACATTGTCCCGGAGACCCCTCGCTACCTGGTGTCCAAAAATCGTCCCGACGAAGGCCGGGCTGTACTGGCTCGGCTTCGCGGTAAGGACATCTCCGATCCTGACATTGAGGATGAATTCAACTCGATCGATGCTCAAGTACGAGCAAAGGCTGCAGACCTGGCATCTATCAGCCACTGGCAAGCTTTTAAGCAAACCCAGTCGAACCCGAATTATCGGCAGCGCTTCTGGCTCTTGATGGCCATGCAAACCATCGCCCAATGGACAGGAGGAAACGGTATCACTTACTATATCTCAAATATTTTCCAGTATGCTGGCATCACTGGAAATGCTGAGTCACTTGTCTCTTCCGGTGCCTATGGCATCGTCAAGCTCGTTTTCACAATGGCCTTCACTTGGGGCCTAATTGATATTTTGGGGCGGCGTCGCTGCGCATTGACAGGCCTTTCCCTCCAGCTGGCTGCCCACATCTACATGGGAGCTTACATGGGCCTACAGCCGGGTTCTTCTGATAACAAATCGGCCTCGAATGCCGCCATCGCCTCCGTCTTCATCTACGCCGTTGGCTGGTCCATCGGCCTCTGTACCATTCCTTATCTGTATGGCACGGAGATCTTTCCCACTCGCATCCGCAACGTGGCCTACTCTCTCAGCATGACGTTGCATTGGTTCTTCCAGTTCGCTGTCGTGCGAGTGACACCCAACATGTTCGCGTCTCTCGATGTTTGGGGTGCGTATGTCTTCTGGGCGAGCATCTGTACCCTGGGCATCATCATCCTCGGTATCTGGATGCCCGAGACCAGCGGTGTCCCCATGGAGCGTATGGGCGATCTTTTCGATGGCCCTTGGTACCTGCGCTGGCGTGCGAAGCCGAAGGATGTCGCCTCATCCTCAGCTTCCACCGCTGGAGAAGGAACCGAAGTCGGTTCCAGCTTTGATGCCAAGCAGGTGGATAGCAAAAATCTGCCTTTGTAAAAGTTTCACGGACGACTGTTCGAATATATACCCGACTTACTGATGCTTTACTCTATACATATTCATACATATATAGTTGGACTTATCGTCATATTTTGGTTTGATGTGCATGATCACTCTCGTTTTGGAAAAAGGCCGATCTAGAGCTTGCATTTATTTTTGGCGGTACATAAGGGGGGATAATTCTACAAACTGGAATACTTACTCTTTCCTCAACCAGATCGTACAGGTGTATAATAGATTGGAAAGATATATTCCCCATTCACCAATGTGTACATACAAACGTACAAGAATCTTGATTATTATATAGGTCCAACTGCTTTGATTTTGTCTCCCAGATTATTCCCCTGATTTAGGTGGACAACCGATAGCCTGTGCTTGGCTTCCCATCACGGGTTAATGCCGATCCCACACGTAATCGACTGCAGGCGTCATGTTCGTCGTGATGGGCTCCGCGTAGGAGAATGCTTCAAACACTTCCGGCGTGATCTCGTACGAACCCGGGTTATCCAGCGTCAGCATGGCATTTGGCATCCCGCCTAACAGATGTGCCGTAGTCATTTGCGGCACATTTGTCTGCGAAAGTTCAAATTCGGCAACTGGCTGTTGGTAGGTATATCCCGGCATTATTGGAGCTGTAGAGTTCATGCCTGTATTGTGGATGGGATCCATGGGGTGGTCGGTTTGTTGGGGTTGCTGCTGCACAGGAGAGACACGACGAGAGTTATCGGCGAGGCTTGCGGGGGACGATGCATGGTGTTGAGAAGGGGAGTGGCTATGATGAGTTCGTGACCGTTGGTGGAGTTGAGGTTGGGGTTGAGGCTGAGGTTGAGGCTGAGATTGAGGTGGTTGTTGAGGCTGTTCGGGTTGAGGGGCGGGGATTACGAGATGGACGTCAATTTGTAGTTTGTGCAACTCCTGATAGACGAGGCTCAAAGCTGTAGTGATCACTGTCGGAATCATTAGCTGCAAGGCACGTATCGATTTTAGACAATAGTCATACCAGGATTTGTCCCCTTCACCCGCTCCAATGCATAGATGCAGTATCTGAGTTTGTCGAGCGTCCCCGGAGCAGCGTATTTCAAGGCCTGGATTTCGAGCAAGAATATAGACGCCGCGGTGTATACACTATAGGCGAGAGAGAGAACCACGTGGCTGTCACCGAAAGTACGACGATACAAATCGAAAAGGGACAAGATAGTAGTCGCGGACGTCATGCATTGAACTAAGTGGCTTTTGTCGTAGGCTTCGCGGTTTGATTTGGAGCAGAGCACGGGGCGGTGAAGAAGGATGTTGATGGTGTGGTAAAGACAGCTACACGGACGGTGTTAGTACTCCATTGAAATGACAGACAAACAAGGTAGATGGGCACGCACTTCAGGGTCACAATGTGACTTGGCGGGCTATACGGAGGAATGTCCATAGGTTGGAGCTTCAGATAACCAGGGAGCTCCTCCCACCAGTCAGCTAGATTTGCCGCTTGTTCCTGGATGCAATTGTGAAACTCCATCTCCGAGACTTGTCGGATAGGGTCGTAAATATGGATGAGGATTTGGTTGAGAATCTCTGCCAGCCCGCACATCTTCATGAAGCATGATGTAGAGTGGGCCTGGGTGGGCGGATAATGAGTACCATCTGGGAAGACGACACCATGAGGAGTCCAGATCTCAGCCTCGGCGGTATCATCCAATATCATCCTTGGAGGACTGACCCGGGAGTGCTGCATGGTCGGAGATCGGCCGAAGTATAATGAGATCAGTTTATCCCAGAAATAGCAACTCCAGAAGAGACGATTTCTGATCTCAATATCCTCATCACTGAGATGAGCGCTGTCAGAATACTTGCGACTATCGATGGAGATTCCAAGGTCGTCCAGCATCCGAAAGGCCATTCCGCTGTACAACCACGCTTGAGTCCGGTTGCCTCGCCCGAACTCTTGCGCACTGAGGAGGAGTAGTGTCTGAATGGTTGGAATGCCGATATAGCCGGCTTTGAGCGAATCGTATAGGCCTGATACGGCACGGTGGGAAAACTGTGCCCCGCCTTCAAAGGATTGAAGAATGGGCCCAATCCTGGGCTCTGTCTTGCACCATCGTACGGAGTGGGCAAGGATCGCGTTCAACAAAGCATCGGAGTAATAGGGACCATTAATCTTCATATCACCTATATCGTGTCAATGTCTGGGTGTTATCAACCAGCAGGAGGGGGGGACGAACGAGTAAATGTAGGTCGATAAACGAAGCCGAATAGTGGTTGAATCCAGCACCAATGTGAATCTAGGAGATATTGAAATGGCTCCTGCAACGGTGAGAATGATCAAAATTAGCCCATATATTCTCTTTCTTTCGATTTTCAAGGGTTGGGACTTACGGGCATAGTAGCCATCTGCTCAAAGGCGCGTTCCCGCCACGCATTGTTGATGAGTCTTTCTTTTCGTCCCTCCAGTTGCATAGCAAGAGGGATTGTTGATGAGGTCTCGCTTAGGAGGCCACTTGGCAGCTGAAACAAACTGGTCGGGCCATGGAAGGATATTCGACCATCGTGTTCGACCTTGAGACCTTCGAAGTCTCTGACAAGGTCGCTCTCTGATTCCTCTTCTTCTTTGATGCGAGTTCGGATGCCCGGGCTGGCGCTGGACTCACCCGGCGATGCCGGAGAAGCGGCTTTCCGCACCACCGACTCCGGAGGTTGTTGGTTTCGTAGCTTGGAAAGAGCATCTTCCAGCTGCGCGACGCGCGCTTCCAGCTGCTTCGTATAAGATAAGGTTGGGGCCCTGAAGAGAGAGGGTCAATAATGATCGACAATTTGCCGATAGGGCCTGCAGAGCGGGTCGGATTGGTGGGGGAGCAAAAGTCCCAGAAGCGAGGGTAAGGAAAAGGAAAAACAGCCACACTCACAGACTATAGACGCACACCTCGCCGCGTGCCGCACATCGCGAACATGACGGACTGGCTCCGTTGCATTTCACCTAGTCGATCGGGTCAGCATCATCAGCCAAGCATGTGTGATCATTCGACATATTAATCTCGGAAGTCATCCGAGTCAGGAACGTAGGGGGGGAATGAACCCACCTTTCGCTTGCGACAAGCCTCACAGGAAAAGGCGCTTTTCCGGGGAAGGTTGGCCTTCAATGGCACGTCGGCCATGCCCGACTTATTAGATTCTACGACCATGGAATTGGACAATCCAAGATGGCCGTGGGGGACGGAACAAACGTCGCGACAGCCTCCATGGAAGAGAAAATTCACGATCACGCGAGGGGAAGAAGAGGGGAGGGGGGGCGAGAGGAGAAGGGAAAGGGACAAGAGGGAGGGCGAGTGGGGTTGGAAGGGAACCAGAAAAGTGAGACGATGGCCACCAGCTTAGGGGCGCACCTTAATCCAGCAGAGGGACCATTCCTTGGGTCGTGGGGGGGCGACGATGATCGGATTCGGAGAGGTGAGGGGAAGCATCCGGAGCTTCGTTCGGAGCCTGTCGGCGTCACCCACACTCTCCCAACTCACATTGTTATTCTGATAATTCTTGTCCGTGAGGGCGATGCTCCGATCCGAACACCCCAGATAGATGATGCGCCATCCTGTCAAAGCCCAGCCGGCCCCGATGGGACGACAGGCGGGAGAGGCGGCGCCGGAACAGTTGGGAAAGATTGGAACGCAACCCGGCATGACGATATCTCGGGCGAGTGAGACCCTGCTGGGCCAATCAGCGACCCGATGCCGGAGGGGCTGACCCTTTGCCGCCGCAGAATTCAGGCAGCATGGGCTGGCCGGGTACTGGATGGATCAGGCAATCAATTAAGCTTAATCCGCCCCCGATCACGTGGAGCCTGTCCAGGCAGTCAGGCAGTTCTTCAGTCCCCCTCTGGGGTGGGCGATCATCTACAGCAAGTACGGAGTGGTGGCTTCAGACTCATCCTGACTACCTCGGCTACTGTACATATATCTCTACACCCTATATTATTATACAAACTGCTTTTCCAACTGCACCAGCAGGTCGTGCACATCATCTACGGCGAGCGGAACTGCGCGGGGGTTCTTCAGAGCCTTCTCACCCAACCGCTGGGCCAGGATTTCTTGCAGCTTTTGTACTCCGCGTTCTGGCTTGCTCTGTAGCTGACCCGTGACATCTACCGTGATGCGAGAGGCAGCAACATCCTTGGGTCCCAGAATGAAAATGAGGTTGTACTTCATTTGCTTGGCCCGTTGGATCTTCTTGCTCAAAGATTGACTGCTGGTGTCCACATCGATCAAGAACGTGGAGTCAATCGTAGAAATGGGTTGGGGAGCGACACCTCCAGTCTGGTCCGACTGGAGTGCCCGGAATCCAGAGATTTTCGCGGCGGCTTCGTGCGCCTGTTGCACGACGGCCTCGTCTTGGTTGACCGTAAGGACGATGCCTTGGCGCGGAGACAGCCAGAACGGCCAGCGACCAGCATATTCTTCGATGAGTAGCGCCAAAAACCGCTCCAAGGAGCCAAAGTTCGCCCGATGGATCATCACCGGCGTGGCCTTCCCTGGAGTCTGCGGATTATAATCCTCCTCCCCTTCTGCCACCTGGTATTCTAGCTCGAAACGCTGGGGCAGATTCATATCGAGTTGGATGGTAGAGAGTTGGTGATATTTGCCTGCTTTATCCTGGAGTTGAATGTCGATCTTGGGGCCGTAGAACGCGCCATCGCCCTCATTCATAGCCCATTCTCTGCCCGTGTTGTCGAGCGCCTCACGCAATTGAGCCTCAGCGCTGTTCCACAGCTCCAGACTTCCGATGAAGTCCTTCTCTGGTCTTGTAGAAAGAACCAGACGGTACGGCCCTAGTCCGAAGGTTGTCATAACCAGATCCACGAACCCAAGTGCCGAAGCGATTTCTCCTTTGATCTGCTGGGGTCGGCAGAAAATGTGGCCATCATCTTGGTGGAACCGACGGACACGAGTGAGTCCACTCAACGATCCTGATACCTCATTCCGATGAAGAGGGCTAAAGTCGGCGTAGCGGATGGGGAGCTCCCGGTACGAATGGGTTTGCGATTTGAACAGCAAGCAGTGACCGGGACAGTTCATCGGCTTCAGGCCGTACGACTCGTTCTCACCCGTCTCCCCATCCGTGTCTCCAGTAGCTCCCCTACCGCGCACCTCGTACATATCATCTTTGTAGTTCTGCCAATGGCCGGAGATTTCCCAGAGAGAACGTTTGTAGATCGTCGGGGTTAGGACCTCGCGGAAACCGTATTGAAGGTATTGTGTGCGGAGGAAGGTTATGAGTTTGTTGATGATATGGGTGCCATTGGGAAGAAAGAGAGGTGACCCAGGGCTGTAGACCGAAGTTGTGAAGAGGTCCTGGGAGGTGCCCAGGGCGCGGTAATCGGCCGGGGTGGAAGACTGAGCTTGAGGCTGGTCGGGTTGCGAGTCAGAGCATGAACAGGACCGCGACGACGTCGATGAGAGCCATTGCGCTCTCACCAATGGCCAACGGGCTAGCCGTCCGTCGATCGGCGGTTTTCGAGAAAGCAGGGGCAGCCGTAACAAAGGGGAAAGTCGACGCATGGTGGAATGGGCGGACAAGGACATGGACCGGATGGTGAAACTGGAGGATTTTCCTGGCCTCCCGTGACCGCGCGATCTGCCTGCCCGATTTGGAATCGCGTTCCCGTGATTGTCCCCCACCACCTCGTCGGCTGGCTGGACGTTGCGTCGTCCGATCTATACTATCGAGCTAGGTATCTATCTGCCTTCTAAGTATCTCATGATCGGCATCCTGACGCTCCACCGGTCAGTCATTCTTATCATAAAGTCGTGATACCCTCTACTGTGACACTGTGTAAGCGCCCTCGCTCCGCATGAACCAGAGTATTGCTCGATTCCCCGCTACATGCCTCTACTACAGAGTACTCCATATAGCGGCAGCAAATACATGGCAGCTAACGTCCTCCATAGAACTACGCTATATAAATTTACCAGTCCCCGAGGCGCCTTGCAACAGCATATAGTCTTATATTACAATCCCTTGCTTCGTACGGCGCGCGAGTGTTGTTTACCTCTCCAGCACCGTCTTACAGCCCAGAGAATTCCATCAATTAAAACTTCCATAGAGCTGCTATAGGCCCAAATTCATCCTTCACTACGAACCTAATGCCTCCAGTCACCCGTCGGTCTCAGGGTAGCTCAATCTTGGGCGAGTCCTGGGTGGTAGCTTCACATAATGAGGAGGACGAGCAACGAGTCAAACGTCAACCATCCGAACCTTCAAGTCCGACACCTCGACCAACTCGAAGGAAACGCAACTATGGGTCGGAATCGATCTCTACCTCCACCTCGTCTACATCAGGGCCAGAGCTAATCATGCCGTCGGTGTACGAAGCTCCTATCTCAGAAGGATCCTGGGTTGCGCCCACCACGCGATCCAAGCGCTCTCTCAGGCACAGACCCCAAAAGTCTCCCAAGCCTTTGACACAAGAAGAGGAACAGAAATCTCCTTCGCCCAGACGAGTTGAAATTACACCAGACTCTACACAAAGTCCTCGCCAATCAGAAGCAAGCCAGCGTCGCGCATGGATTTCCCCGAACAGACCGTTCCAATCAGTCCTACGCACGATACTCAACCTTGTTCTCATTGCAGCCATCTCTCACATGCTCGTCCTTCCCGAAATAGTCCAACAATATCAAACCCTGTGTTCGTTAGAAACAATAGCAACCCTATACCCAACTAGCTGCATCCCACCTTACCCCCAGCCTCAACCCCGCCACCACCAACAAGCCCCCTGGGAAGCCATCGCTTCCTCACAAGCCCGCCTCGAGTCCCTCTTCAACACCACCGTTCACGAAACAGATCCCTTGGCCAACATACTCAAACAAAGCGAGTCCAAGATACGCGACATTCACCAGGAACTCAGGAAAGCCTACCCAGGTACCAAACACGAACTCTACCTCGAGTTTACCGGCTGCTTACAAGCCACCCGCACCGCCGCAAGCAAATTCGACACGCTTCGAGTCGACCTCCGCTCAGCGGTGGATAGTCTGATCGCCAGCGGCGATGCTCAGGCCATCTCTCAGGACGCGCGTCTCTCGACCCAAATGGCCCGACGAGAACAGTACCTTGACCAACTCATCTCACGCATGCAGTCTAAGGCCGACTCCCTCTCCAATGACCTTGCCACCCTAGACGACCACCTCGAATCGATCGGGAGCATCGTAGCCCGGGAATCGAAGCAATCAACTACCGCGCCCGGTGCACCACCCAATCCGGGAGGCAAGTCAGACCAACCTCCTCGTATGCGCACATTTGTCGACTCGCTCTTGGGCGTCAATCGCCCCCATCCAATCAAAGCAGAGGAAAGCGCCATCCCCAGCCACGGAAACTCACTAGTCGAGATGTTCCGAGAAGCCGCCACCAATCATCGTCCCGTGATCCATGTTGTCCGAAACCTATCGAATCAGCTCCAGACTCTGCAACAAAGAAAGAATTCTGCTATCTGAGCACATACTATCGAAAGCTAATGTGAGACATGCATATGGGACGACTGACTGACTCTGAAACCTGGAAATATAAGCCTTCGGCGTTTAGGCGTTCTTTGTTACATGGCACGTGGGTTTAACGTTACACAATGATTCTGTCAGGTACTGGCTACTAAGAGTAAGACACCTGACGCCCGGCGCCTAACAGCTGACAGCGGTACAAATGGATTGGTTAAATGGATATTATTAAATTCTAAGCTAAATAAAGCTCTCGATTTTGTCCAGCAAATGAACGTCCGGGAACGGACAAAAGACCCTTTTCGTGATGATAATAGCGCGTATGAGGAGGATAAAGTAGCAATGGGTTCATTTCCAAAGTAACCAACAACGTCCGTAGCAAAACGAGTCCGATCCACGTCCTGTCTGATAGCATTCAACTCCTCTCAAGTATGTACTGACAACTACATTCCAAATGAGCTATGCAATGAAAGCAGCGAAAAGGGTGGGTGAATGTTTCCAAACGCCCGAGAAGGAAAGAGAAAGCCTTGATCAAAGGCTGATATAATCGGGGGATTATATCGGGGTTGATCAATGGCCAATTTACAGAAGGGCGGCGAGGAGACCAGCGAAGAGAACGCCGGCAGGGGCGCCAACCTGGGTGGCGGCACCGGTGTAAACGCTGGGAGAGGCGCTGGCAGAAACGGAGGCGGAGACGGAGGCAGAGACAGAGGCGGAGCTCGAGCCGGCGGCAGCACCGCTGCTGCTGGAGCTGGAGCCAATGCTGGAGCCAATGGTAGAGCCAGTGCCGATGACAGCGGAGGAGGAGCTGGCGGCAGAGGCGCCGGAGGTGCTAGAGCCAGTGCTGGAGGTGGTGCTGGAAGTGCTGGAGCCGGAGGCAGAGCTGGTGCTGGAGGTAGAGGTAGTGTTGCAACCGTCCTTGTCGACAACAATGCTGCTGTAGTCACCAGTCTTGTCGGAGTAGGTGTAGGAGCAGCCAGGGTTGGTGTTGGTGATGGTGACGGATGAGATGACCATGGTGAAGGGACCGTCAGCGTAGTCAGTCTCACCGCCGGCCCACTCGATGGTACCCGCGGGCTCAGAGGAGTCACCAGCAGCCCAGATACCGAGCTTCAGGCGCATGGGAGTCTGGGGGTAGCGGGTACCGCTCTGGGCATCGGCGTAGTTGAGGGTGCGGATAGCAGTGCCGTCAATGCTCCAGGTGGTCGACGACTCGGTCCACTCAACGGTGTAAGTGTGGAAGGTATCCTGAGGGGTCGACACGGTTGCCCAGGTAGCACGGTCGTAGGAGGAAGTATCACCCTTGCCGAAGTAGTTGGTCTCAATCTGAGTGGTGTCACCACCGAGAGCCTCCTATAAGTCCCAATGTGGTTAGTCCACTTTCCCCGTGCATACTGGTTGATAAGGGTGCAGATGGGCGTGCATGATAGGGGTTGACAGGGGTAGCAAGGTGAAAAGCAAAGGGTAGACTGGGGGAGCTTACCCAGTCGATCTCGTCGAGAACATCCGACTCCAAGACAATAGCGCTGCAGATACCGGTACCAGCGGCAGCCTTCATGACAACTTCAGCCTTGCCGAAGAAGAAGTAGAAGTCGGTCTCAATGGTGGGGGCTTGGCCCGACTCGGTGATGATGAACTCGGCACCCTCAGAAGTGAAGGTCACATTGTCGGCGGTAGTAGTCCAGCCGGACATGGAGCCAGAGGTGAAGTCGGTGGTGAAGGTGCTGGTGCTCAAGGCCGTATCAGCAGGGCATGTCTCTGTTTGCTCAGTTAGATTCGTACGTGGATGTGCGTGAATAGGTATAGAAGCAAGAGGAACCTACTGTTGAGAGGGTCGCAGTCCGTGTAGGTCTGGGCGGCGGCAAAGGGCAGCACTGCAGCCAGTGCAGCAGTAGCGAAGGTGCGATACATGGTGAAGTTGCTGTGGAGGGGTATGTCAAGGCAACTTGATGAGGGTTCTTCTCTGTAAACGAGGGTGAAGCAAGAGACTAAACGAAAGAAGACTCCTGCGTGTGTGTCCTGGGTTGAGAAGGCGGGTAGAGTCGGGGGATGCTTAAGCAATTAAATAGGAATGAAGTAACTAAGTGAATCTAGCACTCAAAGCGAACGACTGACCCAGGAGCCCGGGCAACCAAAGAGGGAAGAAGAGGGGAATATTAAACTTCCGTTACTATGGAACGGGAAGTGGGAAAAGTAATGGTAATAAGGTAGCAGTGAATGATGCTAGCCAAGTGGGTGCCGCCATGGAGACAGGTTGTATGATATTAATACTTCCCCTGAGGGAGCCTTCATCCGCTATGGAGCAGTCACGCTGAGCCAACGAGACCAAGGATGAGAATTGGGGGCAAAAGCCGTATCCCCTGGTTCGGCCTTGCGAGGACTCTGGGCAGGCACTGGGCGAAGCCTGCGTCACGGCTGAGGTGGTCAGACACCGTGACTGAAGGAGGAGCGAAGGACGACATCGATCCAGTGGAGTCTGGACTGGAGACGGCCCCAGTGAGCGAGCCACTGGCGGCCTCTGTGATAGGCGAAAGTTCGTCCGTGAAGGCTGGCATTATCCACTTTTCGACTCGGTCGGGAGGATCGTTCGCTGCGCTGACCGGCCGGGGAAAGCAACGAGGGCGTGCGTACACTGTATACGAAGGCGGAGCAAGAGGAACAAAAGCTTGTGCCTGCCGCGTGTCTTACACGGTTTTCTTTGCGTTTCTTGTTTTCCCTCTCTCCCCTGCGCCGCTTTCGTCCTCCCTTCCATGGGTGTTTTTTTTTTTTTGTTGTGCAGTGTAATGGCCCTTGTCTCCTAGTTCTCACCTCACGTCCTCCTTGAAACCGGGGCTCACCAACGGTCCAGCCAAGGGTTGAAAGGGGTCCAAGATGTCATTCGCTTAAATTGGACGAAGGAGTGGATTCTTCCTACAAGGTCGTATCGCCGGCGTGGACCGAGTCGGTGTTGGTCCTGATTAGGCAACGATGTTATAATAGTCGTAGTCCGAGGGCCAAGGGGGCCAAGTATTTAACCACCATTTGCCACGGTCGCATTATGCGCATATTATTTTCGCGCCCTCACCGTCAACTAGCAGTCCAACAGTTGATTTTCCCACGTGCTGATCATGTCGCAGCTTTGACGGCGCGAAGACGTTGAAGCCAATCGAGGCGAGCCATGGATCTAACACAATGGACCTGCGGTTCAGCCATGAGGACAGACAGCGGGAGTAAACACAAGAGGTACAATATAACGGTCATAGGGCAGTAAAATCGGAGGTCTTAGTGGGAAGAGTTATAATCGAATCAAAATGTAATAATCATGACTTCGGCCGAGGATCCGTTCCAAAAGCTTCCACCGATATTGGATGACACCCAAGACAAAATAAAATTGGACCGTCCAAGCGCCGCCTCGGTTGGCCAAGTGTTTTGCAGGTCAGAAGACAATAATGTCTCACCCGGATAATGTTATAACAAAGGGCTGAAGATGATGGCTCGATATCTCTGACCCAGCACAAAAATAATGGAAATCACAAGCTTACCCACTTATTCAGTCCATCAGCGATAAGCAGACGCATTCGGATGGAGGGTCCGACCTGCCGAACGCTTCTGGTTTAATTTCTGGAGATGAGACAGAAGTACGGTGGGGGGCGAGCAATCTCACAGGGTGTCAGGCACATCAGCCTTAATCTGAGACAAAAGGGGACTTCATTTAACTGATTTAATTACTCCGGCCCCTGAGGAGCGAGGACAGGAGCAGCTGTCATGAACCCCTCGCTGTCATCTTTGGAGCGGATCGTGGTTCGCGGAGGATGCTAACGAAATGCTACCTGGCTTGGCCGAACTCTGAGTCGGAGAAGTGAACGGGTCACCTGCCGTAATTTTGCCTAGGGTGACCCTGCTCAGTACCATACGATACGGACTTGAATACCAACTGTCACGTGGCATTTTTCTGCCTGAAGATGCCTGTTGATGCCTGCGGATGCCTGGGCAATAGGTTGGGGAAGGCGTGCCTCAGGTTCGGCCTCTTGTTGGGCGATCCAATCAATCCGGCGCCACGTTGGACGTTGATCATCAGCCGACCCTTGTTTCCCCTCTTTTTCCCCTTATCTTTCCCTCTCCCACCTTCTTGACAAGACACAAGTATCTATCTACCCCCCAGTCCTGCAAGGCTCAAGCCCTTGACTTCCGACTATGGTCCAGAAACCCAGCAAATCATTCCATCGCGCTAATTTGTCTCCTTCTATCGTCGGCGCTGCGTCCTCCTCTTCCCCGCTAGATCCAGACATGGACCGGAAAGTCTACATTCCGCTCTGCTTCTGCCTGATCTCCTTTGCGGTGATGGTCTATGTCAACTGATTCGAGATTGTGGAGGATCATTTCGCTTTGATCTTTCACCGAACACAATCCCACCCCAGATCTGCCACGGTGTCGTCGGCAAGTCGTAAAGACATCGAGTCGACTCGGTACTCTATCTCGACTTCCTACGATACCAACGATAACCGCTCAGTGCCCCACCCAAACAAACACCAGGGTATCGGCATCCCAACACCCGATCCAGACGCCAACCCGCAACTCAGTTGAGAACCACTCGGAGCACTACCCTTTCAAACTCAGAATCACCCATCAACATCCCCAGCCTCATGGAACGAGTAGAAGGACCGCGGCATCTGGAGCTGCAACGGGAAAGAGCCGGTCGATCGACCACGCAAGCCGCAGAGCACTACGTATCCCGCTTGCGGGACTCCGGCCGCGCCACAGCGATCAACCACAGGTGCCAGCCAAGTCCCCTCGCAAACCAGTGCCATATGCAGCTGCACCTATCTCGCAATATCCCGAACAGGGCACGATAACCCGATCTTCAGGCCGGCTTGGAGTATCGGAGTTAAGACTGCACATTCGACGCTAAAGAAAAATCCAGATGCATAGTGACGTATGTACATACGTACGCTGGGGCGCCACAATTGCTTGTTTGTTTTTTGCTTCTCGGTGCTAAACTAGTTGCCCCGCATAACGGACAACAAACAAACTAGCAACCAGCCTCTCATTGACCTTTCCTATGTGTAATTGCTACCGCATGCATGTTGTTATCTATACCCTATATACCATACAACATATGTATCCGGATAAACTATGGACTCTATAAATAACATATTTTTCCAGCCTAATCTCAGACACTCCGCGGAGCCCGGTAAAGCCATCAGCCTGAAACCTGTACTCACCACTACCGTACTTTCCACCCAATCCAAACCTATCCAAGCTAGCCATGCATTAGAGGCAACATCTGCAGTCATCCTAATCCATCATAACCGGATGCCCTAACCTTGAGACAATCTTCCCCACCATAGATAAGACAACGACCCAAAAATAGCCCCAATCGAAACTCACAGCCAGAATTGAGAAAAAAAAGCTCTGCACCTGGATAAAGGAATGATTGCATGCACACGTGCGGGCCGAAAATAATTTCCCTCGGAGTACTGATAGCAAGGACTTCAGTTGTCTCAGTGTCACTATAAGTGAGCTGTACTAGTATTTTCATTGTCTCAGTGCATAAAATGTTCATGTACCTCCCATAATAAATAGATAGATGGCACGTAGAGGGAGATACTAGTAGCTTTATGTGAAGCAATAGTTCAGAAACTACTATATCCTAGATCTAGATACTAACTAGATGTGTGGATGAGATTGATTGTCTATATACTGGATAAGCTTCTTGGAACGGATGATTCTATTTGGGTGTTATGCCGAGGGAGATGGATAGGGGTGTGGTTAGTGGTATGAAAAACGGGATGAGTTAAATATTGAAGATCCGGTGACTATCTACTAGAAAGATGGAAGTACTAGTGGCGAATCCCTAAGAGTTTTAAAGAGTTAGTCGGGTACTTATTCATCTATATGAGCTGTGGATGGGATACTGTTTTTTGTATGAGGTATGAATGTATCTGAATTACTTATGACGGTGAAATTTCATGTCTGGATCTGCGGGTACAAAAAGAACAAATGTTTATTTCCAGCTAATCTGGGACAATGGGAATCATGGGCTAAATGATAAGTGCAGTCTAAGTCGGGTAATAATAATTATAGATAGCCCAATAGATGTCATCGACCCGTTCATCAGGATCTGATTCAAGGACGGTTTCAACCTGCTCTCGTATGGGACGTGCCATCCAGACCAGGCTCTCGAGTACAGAGTCATTGACAGCGGGGTCACGATCTAGATCCCCTCGAGGGGGAATATCATTGAGATGCCCCCTGAAAAGAATCACAATCAATCGAGCCAGATGACGGAGACCCATGGCTCTGTATCGGTCAGGCTGAGCGCAGATTCGATTCACTGCATCTCGTAGGGCTTCTCGGGGAACTTTCCGAGTAAGCAACACCATATGTTCAAATAGAACATCGCGGAGCTTCGACTCCCCTCCTCCCGTGTCGTGGCTCAGCATCAAGAAGATACTTGCAATGATGTTTAGAATGTCGTCCACGACGTTTTGGTCCTCGGTCGATGCTTGTGAGTCTGCAGATGCGCGAAGTTGGGTCGAGTAATAATCGAAAAACGGGTTGAAAGAGGATTTGCCACGGTTGTCCATCATGAATTTAAGCCCCTCGATTGCCTGACAGGAGAGGGTCTGAACGATGCTCTCCCTGTTGGAAGTGAATGCCGCGTAAAATAGCCATCTTACAGCGCTGGCGATCTTATTCGTACCGTCATATTTGAAGCGCTCGAGCCACTCGTTCAAGACATTTCTGATGGGCTGCTCCCGGTTCATCTCGATGGCCTTGTTCCAGAATCCGATTGATTCTCTAGATAAGATGTCACTCAACTTGAAGTGAAAGCCGTTAGTGGTAGTGGTCTGGACCAGGACATAGATTGCCGAGTTGCAGATCTGCTCAACCCGACTGTAGTCCGATCTTTTCAGGCTGAATTCGACGTCCTCCACAATGGTTTGAAGCAACTGTCTCAATTGAATACCATCCATGCGCTCGTCCAATTCGTAAATCTCTTTCATGCAGGTGGCAAGCAATCTGGCCAGGCCGTCCACGACTGGCTGACATTTCCAAGGCATTGAGACTGCCGTGGCTAGCAGCTGAACTCCCACTCTCGCCAGTAGCTGTGGGTCTCCCTGTCCGGGGTCCTTGACCCTATTCTTTATATGCTCGATGTAATTGTTCAGGATATTGTCAAGCTCATCGGACCCTAGCTTTTCGTGTACACGGAGGAGAATAACCGTCCACCGCTCTGAGATAAAGTCGACTTCCTTACTCCTCTTGGCCTTGATCATCTCAGCTAGCAGCTCCACCCCGGCAAATGTGAAGATATTCAAAATCTTGTTCTCAAGCACTCGACCTTTCTTGTTGGGCTCATTAGTTGACCTTTGGCCGAAGAATGCTTGGAACCATTTCCGAAGGCACGCGAGCAATCTATATTCATTTTTCGCGACCTTTTGAGAAGGAGAAAGGGCACACTCCTTTGACTTCGAGACTGTAACCCTCTCGATCGCTTCTGCAAAGACTTCCGTCGCAGCCTGCATGAGGGCCTTATAGATGAGAGTCTGATTCCTCCGAATGGCAGAGATCAGGGCACCGCGCCACATCTTGATGAACACGCTAATCTGGGTCTCCTGGTTCCTCTCAATAGCAGCCCATAACATGGAGACGATCTTCTTAATCCTGTACTTTCGAACCCATGGAAGCGGTGCCTCTAGATAATCACTATTACCCCCACCGGATAGCTGGCCATCGGGTGACTGCAATTTCGTTCGCAAGTATTGTTCAATTTCCACATGTCCCGACTGATGCGCAATCCACAGCGCAGTTCCTGTGGGACCTTTGATGTTTGGATCAGCACCCCTTTCGATGAGTGCCTCCACCATGTCTTTGTGGCCATATTCCACAGCCGCGATCAACGCCGTACCATGCATGCCTCCCTGGGCGTCAATTCTGGCATTTGAATTGAGGAGGATGTCGAAGATTCGGATGTGCTCCTTGATTGCGTCTTCATAGAAGCAGCCAGCCGCAGCAGCCTGCAGTGGAGTCCCATAGCTCTTGCTTCTTTTGTCGACGGCGAAGCCATGACTGACCAGTCTCTCTACAACTTTCCCTTGACCATAGTAGGCGGCCTCGTGTAGAGGAGTCCCCGTCACCCCTGCAATTACATCCAAGGATTGGAACCAGAATCTAGATCGTCGGCTGCGAATGATCGACTCCACACATTCAATGGACCCTGATGACGCGGCCGCGTGCAATGCCGTGCCGAGTTGGGTTTTAATGGTCACACTTGCTCCAGCAGCAATCAAAAGTTCCACGACCTTTTGCTGGCCTGCGTATGCGGCGTCTATCAGCGCAGTCCCGAGGTTCGTTTTGGTGCATCTTCGTTTGAATTTCTTGTCTGTCGATAGCTTTTCGAAAATCCTCTTGATTCCTCGGACGGCCAGATAGGATAAAGGGGTACGCCCGGCAACATCCTCAGCATTGATATCCGCACCAACTTCAATGAATGAGGTCATGGTAGAGCATGTCCGGTCATCCCGCTCCTCACTCCTCAGGTTATCCCTCTTCTCATCGCCTTTTTCAAATTCCCTTCCGTGGAACTCTGAGCCTTGTGCAGCGCAGTGTAAGGCCGTGAGGCCATTCCCATCAGTCTCTTTGACAGAAAACCCTTCGAGTTTCACCAATTCGGGAAGAATCTGAACTATCCCGAAGTAGCCTACAACGTGTGCCAGGTTCAGACGCCCAACAAGCTTGGAATGTGTGGGCAGGGCACCGTTGGCGGCGCTGGTTTGTCGAAGATGTATATACACCTTGAAGGCGAAAAGAATGTTCTTCGGCTTCTTTTGGAACAGCTCGATAAGCAGCTCGCAGACCTCGTTGGTCTGGCTGGCATCCTGCTTGGGAGCGCAATCGTATTCGAGGAGACTCTCTCGCGTATGGAAGGCCCAGCGGTCAGCGGCAATAATCATCAGCGGATTCTCTCTCAGCCACTTGTTCATGGGACCAAGATCATGCAGAGACATATTTGTGGTTAGCTTGTCGTCGACATTTGCCTCGCACAGGTACTCTAGATATGTTTTGGCAAGAAGGGTGTGATTAGTGTAGGGTGACGAGGTGGAGGCCAGTTTCTGGAACGCCTGAGGTCGAGGTTTCAGGTACTCATAGACCGAAGAATGAGCGAAGCGAAAAGTAGATCCGTCGTAATTCAATTGCACGAGATGTCCACAAATATGGATCAAACTCTCGGGACTGTAATTGCAGTTGGTTTTCTTCCAGGTGGCCGCCCCCAACAATGCTCCGACGGGCATGGAACCGCTCACGGACATGAGAAGTGTGAGAGCCCGCATAGCTATGTTCCTGTCAACCGGAGATCCATTGAGGATGGTTTGCAAGATCTTGTCATACAGTTCTTCCATTCCCCTCTGGGGTTGCAGGCCTTGGACATGAGCCAATCGGCTTTCTTGGATGTCGGGGAGATTCTGGATCTGTAGCTTGGCCCAGAGGATCCTTGGTCTGAATCAGTATATCGATATCAGAGGTCAAATTGGGGTATGAATCGGCTGGCTTACATTCCATCTGACTTGTCTGCAATCACTTCCGCGATTAGGTCTCTTTCATTTGTTAATGAATCCACGAGCTGAACCATTTTCATCCTCTCCGACACTTTGATATGAGGCCTGTACACCCTAGCTACTTCTCGATCTATGAAGCGCTTGATATCTGGGTAGGTGTCATTGGTCTCAATGGTTATTAGTGGTGGGAGGAATGTGAGGGTCCCAGTCGGTCCATCCTTCGAGGTGACCAGAAGTTTCACAGGGTATGCGTGTGACCTCGAGTCACCGTAGTACTCCAGAGCCTCGAATAGCCATTGGCGGACAGATCGCAGAAGTTCATCGACGCCATCCAAAACTATGTAGACCGGTCGCCTGCACTCTTTCTCAAGGTACTCGAAGAGCCTTTTCTGTTTCGTGGAACAGTCATCTTTTTCCAAAACTACCATAGACACCGCCGCCTTTTGATCGGCATCCCGAATCTTGGCAGCAAAGGCCATCAGGATGTCCTCCTCAGAAGAGTTGTCCATCTGAGCATAGAAGAAAAGAACAAGTGTCCTTTGGTCTCTCTCGAGCTTGTCAATAATATGGGACCTAATTGAAGTTGAGAATCGTCAGTACTCAATTCGACAATGTAAGAAGTAATGGACTGGATTTTTTTGAGCACTCACGCCAGCGTAGATTTGCCGCACCCAACTATAAATGGATCGATTAGCCCTGGGGAACCTTAAATTTGTGTTAAAGCATCAACTCAAGTACCTTTCCCCTTCATCCAAAGTGTTGTAAACCTCTTCTCAGATCGGTGCCACGACACGAAATCCGGTCGGTTTATGAGCCATTCTCCAGTTCCATCAACCCGACCTTGTATCAGTTTTCGATGGCGGTCCTGATAGCTATAACCGAAGGAATTGTTTCCGGGAATGGTACCTATGTTTAGAAGGCCATTGTTCTGTCCGATTTGAATGCCGTAGTTGTTGCTGCCCTGGTAATTAGCCGACAAAGTTGCGGCTGCCATGCTGCTACAAGCCTGGATCGAGAACAGCCTGGGCTGCAGTTGGCAAGACGAGGCCACCTCTCCCTCGTTTCCAAAATTGGCGAAGATTTATTTGCTCTCAGAAAGGAAATGGGAGGGAGTATGCAGTGATGGAATGAAGTAAGTTCAATAGATAAGACCGTCTTGCTTGGCTCTGATTGAAGGAAAGATTCAAGCGGCTGTTGTTTGAGATACATCTTGCGGTTAAAAATGCAGTAGATGAGACCTGAGTTGGTTTATATACTAGTACCACATGGCCTGTAGATGGCATCGACGAAAATGAGGCCGGGGGCTGCTGTTGGCCATTTGCCTGGCAAGAGTTGCCTGCGATCGTGGTTGAATTGGTGATCGGGCTACAAGCCCTGGTATCAACAGAACCCGAAGAGGATTCGGGCCCGGGCATGCCATCTTGTTGTTGAAGAGCCCGGGCGTGGACACCGTCATCTGTAGACGGAGATGAAACACTGACCCCACCGGTCAGGCATTGGATTGGAACGTGTGTGAACCAACATCAGTCCGGGAAACATGGAGAGTGTGAAACCGTTGCTGGGAATCAGCCCAGGCGTCAGTACTAAGATCCAAGCTGAAACGATGCACATGGGCCATCAAATGTTCCCAGACCGGACTTCACTTCGGATGCGTCGGGACTGATTCAGAGAGTTGAGTCGGGAATCCCGGGCGTATCGGAGAGTCCAGCTCATTCATCATCGGGACATGCAAGTGACGTGGTTACACCGCCTAAACTCCACTACAGTACAATACCGGATTGGCACAATACCGTTTGATCCCGAGGTCTCATCCATCCTGGAGCTGAAGCCAGGCCACAAGTGTGGAATGGCTATCTTGGGGATATACTAGCCACCCTTCCAAGTTGGATACTCCCAGCATTCTCCGGGAGTGAGGCGCCCACTTTCTTTCTCTTTTTCTTTTTCGTTTTTTGGCGCTAAAATCTTTTTCTCCTGCGCTTTGCGCTGGCTGATGATATAGTACAGGAACTATGATAATAATAGCACCTAATATATAGCTTGAAGTCGGCCTCATCCTGAACAATTGGTCATCGCCTGCGACCCTACAACGATAACAAGAACGAACGCTCCGCCATGCAATTATCTGGAACGAATACTTGTCAGTGATAACAAGGCTTAGATGTTCGGACTTGATGGCGGGACTACCCCCGGAGTCGAAGTGCTAAATCGGGTGTCAACCCAATGACGTGACAGAATTGGGAGCCTGGGCAGTAACCCCTCCCAGGCGACAGGTGAGTTGTTCTTCATTATCCCCACCCGGTTCACGATACGCATCTCACATCTCGTTGTTTCCAACGCCGCTACAGAATGATGGGAGCGGTAAAATATTATTCTAAGTCAGTATCAAATATGTAGCACATTATGGTTGACAAATCAAGCATTGAGCTACATGTCCCTCTTTGGGGCGGGGAAATTGGGCTCCGATGTGAGGGGCGACATCCTCAATGGGTTGTACTCATACAGGCTACGTGCATGGCTTTCGAAAGGCATTTCATGCATAAGGCACGTCTCTTGTGAAATGACTTGGCATAAACATGAGTCACTCATCGGGCTGGAGATCAATTACAGGCTAATACTCATTACCAACTGGTCACCAGTGGTCAGGCAGAACTGGGCTGATCACCAGAGTCGGCACATCCCCGGATATAAAAGGCGCGCGTGGCTCATCAGTGTCCCGTATGTATATACCCCTAATCATCACTCCCCATACAACTCGGCCATGTCGCTGAAAGTGCCCCGGGATCGTGCTGACGCTCGAGTGGAGTAAGACTTCCCCTCCGGTCACCCCTTTATCTACCTTTCGCCATAGTATGATTGATAATCAGCTTTACAGTATCGTCTTCGTCCACGGCTGGAAAGCCGACGCCAAGCATCCCGGCTGGATCTCCACTCAGTTCATATGCTGGCCTGAAAGATTCATACCTGCAAAGGTCCCCGAAGCGCGGATCTTAGCCTACAACTATGACTGCAAACTCGACGAGTTTTGGAGCGAGGAAGATGATATTATCACAGATCATTCCAACGAAATGATGGACCTGATCATAGAGCAACGAATGGAAGGGGATCAGGTAGCTACCCCTCCTTGTGCCCTATCATTGGTTATGTCCCTCGATTGATCTTTTCTACAGGGAGACCGGCCCGTGATCTTTGTCGCTCACTGCTTGGGGGGTTTGGTTGTGGAGAATGTAAGTGAAGACGTCCATTTTCTACCCATCCGGTCAACGAAGAGAAGTGAAGAGTCCACCAACAACTTCATCACCAGGCCCTCGTCCACGGAAGCCACCACGATGATCGAAAGAATCTCGTTGGTTGCGTACGGGGTGTCATCCTCTTAGCCACCCCTCATTACCAGCCCTCGACGCTGAGTCAGGTGAACAAATACTTCCTGCTAGCCGGCGAGGAACCCCTCAGTGATGACGAATTGAACTCACGATCGAAGTGGGTGTTGTCCATCCCTCGCGATTTTGCACGGCTGCGAAGTGGACAAATGGAGGTGGATATTCTGTGTTTCTACGAAGGAACGGCTATGATGGTCGATGGAGCGAAGGTCAAGATCGTAGAAATGAGCTTAGCTAGGCTTCCCGGAGCTCCAGAAGCGGAGCGATTGGCGGCGGATCACATGCGCATGGCACAGATTGAAAGTGGGGAGGATAGGGACATTGCGAAGCTGGTGAGGGTGTTGAAGAGGTGGGTGGCGAAGATATTGCCGCCGTCTGAGAAAAAAAATGCGAGCACGAGAGTCAATAACGTGTCAAAAGCGTCGTTTGACGGGTCGCATAATTACGGTATTCAGATGGGGCAGAATTCGGGATCGATGAGCGGGATCAAGGTTGGGAAGTAGATGGTGAGTTGGAGTATATGCTCGAGGCTTATCTAGAGCACAAGAAGATGAGGTGAGATTCTTCTCCGGTACGGTTGACCCTATATTATGGTGTGGACTGCATGAGAGCGACATGCTGCCTAACAACATGCTAGATGGGCCAATTGCTCTCAATATTGACTATGGATGAAGACCAGTTGAGGGGCTAAGGGGTCCAACACAGGCCCACTTGCGCTGTCGATTACTCCAAGTCAAGACAAGCCATATATAACCTTGGCTATCTATTGGTTATTGGTCTTTGCCATCCCCTCCCCCTCACCAAGTGCCCTACCCGAAGAGCTGCAAGTGGTGACGCGGTGTTAAATGCCCAATTCCCCCGCAGATGGAGCTCTTCCTTTCCACCCCGCTTTACTTCCTTCCCCTCTATGTACCTCATACCATCTGCTCCATTCTCTAGCCCAACCCATTCTTGTTCTAATCATGACCATCAATTCAGGGAAACCCGTGGTCCAGGAGATAGGGACAGACCTGGCCCAGCTATGGACTGCAGCGGTGGCGGAATACGAAAAGGAGACGGGGAAGAGTCTCCGACTAGGAGCATTCAAGAACATGGATGAGGCTATGAAAGGGACTGAAGGCCTAACCCAGAAGTTCAAGAATTTTCGAAGCAACAAATCTAAGAGTGCTAAAGTGCGGACAACATTTCAGAATAATTTATGGCTCATTCAGAAAATCGTGAACGCCGCCCAGGTTGTCGGCACGAACCTATCGTCGGTAAGAGATGTTATTTTACAGAGGAATCGACCAAGTAATCGTTCGTCCCCAGGCTTTCCCTGCTGCCATGCCAGCCAGTTTGATTTTCGCCGCCTTGGGGCAGGTAATGCAGGTATGTCAGACTTACACAGTTCGAGGATATTGTCCGTTGATCTTTGCCGCAGTCCTTCGCCGATCACTCGGCCGATTATGACAAAGTCATGGGGTTTTTTGAACTCACGCACCGATTTTTGGACCGCTTGTCGATCATTGAAACATGTCCCCTGTGCTACCTCCATTCGAACGCTGTGTGATGCGCGTGTTCACAAATATTCTGAGGATTTGCGCCGTCGCGCAAAGATATGCGGCGGAGAAACGACTCAGTAGGTTCCGAGCCCAGTATTTGCTTGGGAAATTTCGCTAAATGCAGGCTTAGAGAAATGGTTTGATAACTTGCTGAAAGGGGAGGACCCTGATCTCGCTGCAGCCATGAAGGAGTTGGAGGAGGCTGTGAATGAATTGAGCCAAGCGGTGGGTCTGACTACCTTGAGGATGGTCGAAGTCCTAGAAGAGGTTGCTCAGAGCATGGATGGTAAATTGGACTATCTCGCCGTGAAGGCCACTGTTCTCGACGAGCGAACGGTGGCCATCGAGACCAACACGGGTACGATAATGGACCAGAATAAGAACCTGGGGTCCAAGCAGGATGAGATGACTGAGATGCAACGAGCTACGCTAGAGATGATTAGTGAACAGACTCGACAGTTCAATACCGTGATTGGCTATTTGGGATCCATCCAGATGGGCCAGAATCTCAGCGAGGACCTCGAAACCAATCTGCTCAAGCTGGATGTGATCCGACTGCGACTCGCCCGTTGGGGCCAGTCTGTGGGACTGGCCAATATCAATGACGTGAACTCTCTCAAAGAGGCGGATATCTTTCCCGATGACCTCCCCCAAGTGTCTGATCTTTTGACGGAAATTTTAGATCAATTTGCAGATGCTGAAAGGCTGTCGAAGCGGTTTCGACTCCGCCGTGGGAATTCGATGGCCGTGCTGGATCCAGCAAGGGAATTAGATGGCGCGTCTGCATTACTTCACCAGAAGATGAATGACCTCGTCACTCGCCGGAATGACCAACTTCAACTGGACGCGAGACCCGAGTTGACTATTTACGAAGTGAGGACCTTCTCACGCCTCATTGAAGACATCGGGGAGCTGGTGAGCGACCTGGTGGACTTGTTTCCGGCAACTCACGGCATACAGCGTAGGCTGGCAGAGCAGGAGGTATCAGAAATGAAAACGATCAATGGCGCACTTCCAATTCTAAAGAATGTGACCGCCGACGAGGATAGCCTGCTCGCAGAGACTGTGTCCAAAGCCATTCGAGCTACGACGACTACTACGTACAACAACAGCGTCGTCTTCTCGGGTACCAACAACGGCTTTCAGGTTGGGAACAACAGTGGAAGAATTAGCAATGTCCGGTTGTCCTGATGCACTGAACTTCGCATTCATCCAAGGTTCGTCCATAGAGACAACTGACTGTTCTTCCAATGCCGATATAGTATATACCATGCCTTCATCACCGTGTCCTTAAAAATTACCTACTTCCCAACCCTATCCACGACTAGCGCCATACAGCCCGTCGACCGCCCCAGCACCACTAATACTAGGTACACCAAACCAATCAATTCCTCGGCATCCCCAAAGCCGACCGATAGGCGCAATCCCTAGCCTCCAAGCCGAACGTACCTTGATCTGGTTTATGTTCTTCTGGGAATCATCTAGCACGGCACAGTACAAACAAAATTCCATCTACCGTATCCATCCAAGAATAGAATAGAATGAGCCGAATGGGACAGGTAGCACAGCGTATAAAGACAAAAAAGCAAAAGAAGAAATCAAATCAGGTCGTGCCCGGGATCGAACCGGGATTGCTGGAATCAGAATCCAGAGTGATGACCATTACACTACACAACCGTCTTGTTGTAACGGGGCGAATTATATTCTTTATAAGGAATTACTTTTTATGGCCTGGATTGCGGAAGTGGAAGGGTATCGGTGGTAGTGCCTGCTGCTATTAGGGTATGAATATGGTATTTGCCGTGTGCTCGAAAATAAAATCGACCGTAATTCCTCCTCCGAAGTTCAATACCATCTTGGTCTCCTGCTTGTACAGTATACTTACTTAGCTCATTGAAATTGATTAGGGGGAGTCTTACAAGGCAAGATTATTGCATAGATAGTCGCCTATATGGGCCATCTGGTCATAATCTACAATGTGAGTGATCACGGTACATACTTACTCTCTTGCGATCTGCTTATTCTTAAGTGGCTTATTAGTATACCTCTATGATGTCAATCTCGCTGCTTATAAAGAGAAATAAACCTGAATCCCAATAATCCGGACCTGAATAAAACATTATTATCTATCCCCTTTTCTTCCCACAACACTAGGTATCACCATGACTTTAACATCGAAAAACAAGATACACTTCCGGCCCATCTCGGTCGACAGGATCCCGGCAGCAGGAACCATACCTTATCCTATCATATCCTAAACCCCGAATACATTACTTACCAACTACACAACACGGAAGAGTGAGGATATTTAGACGAGTCTAGATCACCTCCACTCCATGAAATAAATAAAGGCCTGGACCAAGTCCCCCCTCTTTATCAAGGTGGAACTATCGTATGTGGGGGACGGGCCCTGGCCAGGCCGTTCATTTATCATTAGTGATCAAACACCTGGTATGTAAGGGTATTTATTTCAAGCCTTGATCAAATTATAGTTTTTCGACCCGTGGGAATGTGGTGTGCTACTGGCGGAGTTGAGAATAGCCGTTTTGATCTAGACGGGCCGAGGGGACTAGGGGTCCGGGGCGTCGGGGTTCTGGAGAATGGGTAGCAGATTTTAATTGTATGATAATGGTGATGATGAGTTCTATTGTATTCTAATGGGGTCTGGGTTATGATGCTTGGAGATTTGAATGTCCTAATGTTTCTGTTCATTGGTATGTAGTGTTTTGCGTTATCATAGAGGTGGGGATTGGAATGGGGGTTGGGGTCGATATGCCAAGGAGGGAACGCAGAATGAGAACGGCAGTTGACCCAAACACAAGCAAGCATTCCATTCTGTCATTCCCCGGCGTGGTTAAAGCAGCTAGCTGGATATGCTAATGAACGTATATAGCTCCAAAAACAAAAAGGTCGTGCCCGGGATCGAACCGGGATTGCTGGAATCAGAATCCAGAGTGATGACCATTACACTACACAACCGTGCTTGTTGAAGTGCATTGCCATATTATGATATCCAAGCAAATAAGCATGCAGGTGATGTTTCCTACTGAGGTGACTTTAAATGGAGGAAATAATACAGTTCTTCAGGGTAAATAGACAATAGAATATGTGTATCGAGTCATATGTGTAGTTTGCGGCTTAGAATGTGCTGTCTTTATAATGAGCTCGCCGTAGCTACAGTACTACTATATATTATGATAGTACTACTACGGTAACGTAGGTAGACAACCCAATAAGGATCATGAAAATGTAACAGTAGAGGAATAGCAAGCAAAGGGTCTGTTCAACAAGTGGTGAGGGAACAAACAAGAGTAATAACCCGGAGATATATAAGCTTTTCCACAAGGTCCCGAGCAAGCACCGTGATCATGTCGGATTCATAATCCAGGAATCACAGGGCATGTGCAGTCACCAGTAAGCCCCCACATCTACATCATCTGTTCAACCTTTCTCAACACTTCAACACAACATACTTGCCCGAAGTAATACCACGGAGTGCTACTCTAAAGCCCAGCCTGGCAGGACTGCAGTATTTAAGCCATTGCCAAGTCCGTAAGACAAGTCTAGCTAGCATATTATGTCTCTACATTCGTTATACATGAAAGTCGAGGAGCATGAATAGCAACTGCAGCTGCGATTAATCGTCACCCGCCGAGAGATTGAACCCAGGAGAAATCAAGCTGCCAGGTACTTCTAAACAGTGGACTCCATGCGACAACTTGGCCAAACGGCGCCAGCGCCAGCGGTGCCCTTTCCTCATGCAAGCGCTTACATGACGGAAGCGGGGCAATAGCACAATTCACAAAAGCGAATCTCGCAAGGGGCCGTAAAATAATCAACCTTGAGCTGAGATTGCCGAGGGGTCGTCGAGGAGAGGACTTCCAGGAACGGCATCCAGAGCGACGGCGTGCAGCGCAGGTTTATTTGCTTCTTGGAGTAGGCCACGCTGGCGACGGTCTAGCTTGTCCTTCACCCAAGCCGCAACTTCCTCATCCTCTGTCGCTTCCTTCGCCGAGCCATCAACTGCATCCTCGCCGTCGGCCTCGGTAGGGGGCTGCATAAGTGACGAGAGCCAGGGATGTCGAAGTAGCATGCTGTATGAGGGGCGGTTGTTCGGGTTCTTGTCCAAGCATGCACGGATAAAGGCGTGCGCTTCTTCAGAGTAGCCGGCTTCCGGGAGTGTCGGTGCGTCTCCATGGACAATGGCCTTGAGGAATGTCAGTATCTCGATTGAAGTTGAAGCGGCAAGGCAAGAGGTGAACTCACGTGTAATTGGCTGAAAATGTTGTTGAAAGTCTCCGGAGGATATGGGTACCGACCAATGGCACACTCAATGATGGACAAACCCAAGCTCCAGACATCACTCTGGACGCTATAAGTTCCACCCCCAGTTGTTCCAGATTGCTGTACACCACCGCCCGCAATACGTTCGGGGGCCATGTAGCTCTGACAACCAATGTTTGTTTTCGCGATACTGGCGACCAGGTTTCCACTGACACCGAAATCGCAGATCTTGACCTGTCCGCGCGTGTTGACAAGGATATTCGTGGGCTTGACATCGCGATGAATAATATTGTGGTCGTCCTTGAGGGTCTTCAAGCCCATGACAGTGGATAATGCAACTTTGCGAAGGATGTTCTCGGGCATTCCCTCCTTGTAAATCTTGTCGATCGAGCCGCCATCCATGTACTCAACACAAATGTAAACAGCACCTTCCTGGAAAAAGGCGCCATAAAAGTCGATGATAAATGGCGAGACGCAGCGGTGGAGGATTTCCAGCTCCATGATGATCTGCGCGAATTTGCTCTCATCCAGCTCCAAGCGGATCTCCTTCATCGCCATGACGACTCCAGAGAGCTGGTCCTGCGATTTCACCACGGGGGTAGCCGCACTCCCATCCTCAGTGCGACTGACTATGCCCCGTAATCCCAGTCCAGGTTTACGCATGTGAGGGCGGCTGTGGCGAACCATGTAAACTGTTCCGTAATTACCCTTGCCCAACTCCTCCAGACGGTCGACCTCATCTAGAGAAATATTGAAACTATGACCTGACGAGAATTCGATACCGCCACCGTGTAGAACAGCTTTGTTCTTAAAATTCAATGTGCCCGATTGTGTGTCGATGAATTCCGAGTATTTGCTGAATGCTGTCTCGGGCACGGCAGGGCCGCCAGTAGAAGGTTGGCTTGGCGATGATGACCCGTTCAAACCTGTGGCATCGGACAGCTTGAGACCTGGCTTCATACGTTTCGCGGCCAAGCCGCCGGGTTTGGGAGAAGGACCCGGAGATGACCCATGAGGCACCGAAGGCGAAGAAACCCAGTTCTTGGTACCCGGTCGGACTGCCACCGGTGGTAGACGCCCGGAAAGAGCACCTGCCAACGGGCCGTTCGCGACTGACGGAGACTGGCCCGATATTGGGCTCGCGCCCGACACCGATGGAGAAGCCCTGGGTACCAGGCCGGTTGTATTGGCATGCGCCAAAGCCGGCGGAGCACCCTGTCTGGACAAAGAGAAAGCCTTCATCTTTGCCAAGATATCCTGATTTAATCCTCCAGGCTGCGCGCCGCTCATTGAGGCTTGTGGACGAGGAGGGGTCCCCGCACCGCGCCGGGCCGCGTTGAGCTGACCCAGATGCGTTGATGATGGGGTGATTCCGGTCTTGTCTAGAGTTGGACGTAGGGACGGTACCGAGGTATACGATTGAGCGGTAGTAAGAGAGGGGGAGAGGTCATCATCGGTGGTGTCGGACCGGTTGTCCAGATCCGACATGGACCTGGACGAGAGATCCGCAATAGATTCGCCTTCTGTCGCCATTCTCGAGATAGACCCGATCGGAACAATTGGCGTTAACAGCTGGGGCGCAACGATCCGAGAGTGCCGTCAAAACAGTCCCACGGACGCAAGGGCACTTGTGGCATGAACGGGAGGGGGAGGGGGAGGGTGCGAGGAAGATCGGAGCGGTCGGAAAAATGAGGCGACCAATTCGTACGAAGGTAGAGGTGGTGTGAATCGCAGGAGAGAGAAATTTCGATGTTGGTGGAGCCCGAACGCTTTCAAAAGGTGGGAGTGGAGGAGGAAAGCAGGTTTCGTCGACGCGGGGCACTTCAGGTCATCCCAAGGAAGGCTGATAACAAGGAACAGACACGGGGACGGAAATGATGGCGCGATCCCTTGAGAATAGATTGGTCCAAATGGGGTTTGTCCGATGACCAATTAGGAGACAACCGGAGGCGTGTGAAAGGGGTACTGATAGTACTAAGATAGTAGCTAGCAGAGGGAGATGGAAAGAGGGAGAGGGTTTAGGTGAGACGAGGGGATAAATGGATGACGGTGGTGGGGGGGGGGCAATAAAGGGAAATAAACGAGCTGGTAAGGAGGACTAGTTGGAAATGGAACGGGGAGAGAGACGGATGTCAGTGGAAAGATGCAGGAGCAAAAGAAAGGAGCAGCAGGTCAGCAAGCAACGACAGAGACACCTCGGGATGGAGGAGAGGATAAGTAGAAGAGAAGGTTATAAGAGCGTCTGATTAGTCGAGCAGCGGGAGGAGAAGGAAAACTGGATTGCCTCCCTGTTACTTTGCTCGTCAAACCGGCCTGCCCGTCGCCTCAGGCTGCCAGCCCCGACCGCCCAATCACACGTGCCCCCGCCCGGCACCTCAGGCACAAAGTCAATGTCAGCACACACTCTAAATCTCGCACTTGGTCGACTCGCGCCCTCTGCTTCGCCGCGATCGTCTCGTCTACCTTGCCGTTCAGCTGGTCAGTGGAAATTGGCTCACGCAAGCATCCGTGTTCGTTGAAATGAACGTGGCGACCAGCTCCATTTCTGCCTGACTGTCGCCACCCCCCTCGGCCGATGGATCACCGATCTGATTCCCTAGCCTGGGGTAGTCGACATACCTTCGACGGCCCAATTCGACGGGCTTGACGAGGAGCAAGCAGGCATCCATCCGTTGCTGATATCAACACGAGCTCGACATTGGTCCGGGGATGGCAGAATCAGGATCCTGTGGCTTATGACACATATGGCAGCTCGTTTGCACCCTGTGTAACAGAGGGCTCCTAGTGTCGTCCATCGCGGCCACTAATTCCTACCTACACCTCCTCCGTAGCTTCCCACGAGAGGCTTACCCATATCTAGCTCACGATGACCTTTGCTATCAGCCCGAACGGTGACCAACGAGAGGCAATAGAAGGCCCGTCAGTATCAGGAGATCCGTGGTGAAAGGTCTCCAACGAATAGTAGTCGACATCATCAGTGGGTGTCCAAGGCCCTATCGGATGTCTTCCCAATCTTCATGGAGGACCGGAGGGGCTTGCACTTTGCCGAGCCTGTCGCAATAAGTGGAATCATTGTGTCACTGCGATGATTGCAGGACATAGCCACAAGTTGATCAGTCAACCATATTTTCTTCCCGGCCTCGGGCTTTGCCTCTCCCATTCCTTATCATGGTTTCCCCAGTCTTGGCGACCAGTAGGGCTCTCATTGTTGGGCTCGCTCCCGGCTCACTCCCTCCATGCGGATCCCGGCCGTTTGTGATGAATCAAGTCAATCCACGCCCCCAGGAATCCCAAACTATAGCGATCCTTGCTTCTATACAGTATCCAGCAATCCAATAAAGGTGAATGCCAAGCGTGTGCTATCGTGCAACTACCGGGATGAATCTGTTGGAATGGGATGTATACAAGCCATTTCTGGCAGGATCAAGCATATTGCGTATAGCAGAGGTATGAGCCGTGGTGATCCCTGATTGCGCACTCCTCTTCATTTATTCCGCGATATCAAAAGCACCAAGTCTTCCCCAGACTCTATTAATAACCGGGACTACTGTAGAGTTTAAGCAAGATGGTCCAACACCGACTCACAGCCTGAGGCCAGTGCAGCAGCTAGCGGTGTCGATCCTCGGCACGGCTGGCAGAGGCCAGTGGAGGTTTGCGCAATGGCGCATGGAGAAGACAGACCCGTCCTCACACCACCCTCAATTAAGCTCCGGGATCTGGAGAAGTGGCAAGGTTTTGTGGAGATCAATCATCAAACGTCTGTTTCAGGTTTTCAATTGAGTGAAGTGAAAGATTCTCTAAGGTTTTTCTTGAATGGAAACGGAAACCTGGACTAGGAGACAACGGCGACCGAGAGACCGAGTGATATCAGCCCGCATTGTCATTGGCCGCCGATCATGACATAACCGGCGCGGAGGGTTTCATCATCATGATTGCTGCTGCTGCTGCGCCGGAAGAGCTTCCATCGCATCGAATGGGAAGAGGCCTCCGATCGCTGGTTAGTACTACTTACTAGTACTAGATATGTGGTGCTCTGCTTATCTACTTCGTAGAGTTTTGTTCTTATCGTCAGCCCAGTCTCTGGATAGTTACACCACTTCCACCGATTGTTCAACCCTGCGTAGGAGAACCTGTGGGGAACGAGCAACACGTTCCTCCCCTTGCTGAGAACGGTTTCACTCCAGCATCGGGGGATTCTCGCCAAGAGGCTGCCATGACCTCACCGCTGAAGGGGTTGAGACTGTATTTTCGTGTCGCGTTGCCAAGCATATCGGAGGACAGGGGAAGCCTGGGAGGAGCAACCATCCCGGGCGGCCATCAGGGAGGATCCTATCTGGCGGATCTCCCGCCGGCTTTCCCCTGGAAGGGAGAAAAGTACCACTAGCTGTGGGTGCTATGTATCTTGGAGTCACCCGTATCATTCTATTTTTTCTACATACATAGTACTATGTAGTATTATAGTCCCTAGATCGACTAATCAACTACCTATACCTAAGTAGATACTATAGTAGATCGCCTTTTGAGAGAATGGCCCCAAGGCTTGGCGGGCCTGGGCGCAGTTGGCCTGGTCGGGCGCCCGCCTATGGGAGACGGCCATTGGACGCGTTGCCATCCGAAGCGGCAATGGGACCCTCAGCACCGCCGAACTGATGATGCTGGGATTTCCTCCCTTGTCTTTCCGTCTCAGCTGGCATACTCCGTACCGTGATCATTCATTCAAAGACCACCTTGTTTAAATCCCGTCGGCTTCCCGCTGCTAGCGCAGTGTTAGTGAACCAAGTGAAGCGCTGGTGCTTGCCTCTACTGTACTCTACTGTACCCTCGAAACTAGGTGAAATTTTCTAGGCCAATCGTGCCTCCCGTGCAGAGCCAACTCTAAATCCGATTCGCCTACCGCCTACGGCGTTATCTATCGGCGTCATCATCTCTATCGTCGCCATCATCACCTGTGTTTCCTCCCCGTTCGCGTCATCCCCCATCGTCTACTTTCTCTCTATCTATCTATCTTACTCATCTCCGCCTCGAGCATCTCAACCTGCCACTGCTTCTGCCACCTTGGCTGCCCTGTTTTTCTGCCCTCTTGTCGATGGCCATTTTTACTGCCCCTAGATCCCTTCAAAATGCCTACTCGCCTGAATTCATGACCCAGTCCCAAATGGGCGTCATGAATAGCGCCCCCCACTCGAGCCATCCATCCTTCCTTCACCTCGTCCTCTTGGTCTTCGAAGCTGTCCTCGAGGTTGTTTGCGTGAGTCTTCCGGGCTACATTGCCGCCAAACAAGGTCTGTTCGATGCGGAAGCCCAGAAGCTAGTAGCAAACCTCAACGTCACTCTATTCACCCCCTGTCTGAGTATGTCGTCCTTTTCGTTTCCGTATCCTCCAACCCACTGACTAGGATTAGTCTTCACCAAACTTGGGTCCCAGCTCACCGCAGAGAAGCTTACCGACCTGGCCATCATCCCGGCCATTTTCGTTGTCCAGACTTTTGTCTCTTATTCATGTGCCTTTGTTGTGTCACGATGCCTCCGCCTCAAGAAACGACCCGCCAACTTCATAGCCGCCATGGCGGTAAGTGACTGATATCCTTGGGTGATTCTCTTCACCACCAGAGCTTCGCTGATCCCTGGCGATCTTGCCTATAGGTTTTCGGAAATTCAAATTCGCTGCCCATCTCCCTCGTTATGTCCCTTTCACAGACCCTGAAGGGTCTTCACTGGAGTCGCGTACCGAACGATAACGATGACGAAGTGGCCGCACGTGGCATCCTATATCTGCTTATCTTCCAGCAGTTGGGTCAGCTTGTGCGGTGGAGTTGGGGCTACCATGTGCTCCTCGCTCCTCGCGATCGATACCTTGAAGAGGGGGAGGATCAGAATGTCACTCGCATTGGACAGGGCCAGGAGCGATACACGGACAACCCGGATCAAACCGATCCGGATGAGCCACTGGTGCGGACTAGAAGCTTCGACGAACGGACCCAGTCGTCTGGAGATTCGGAGCATGACTCAGATGAGTTTGCCTCTGGTCAAGAAACCCCTGTGACGGCAAGGGAATATACCTATGCAAAGCTGTCGCCCCGTAGCGGAGAGGGGGATCTCGACCACCCAGCCCTGCTTGATGCGCCCCCTGCGCCGTTTATTCCCCGACAAAGCTCCACTGGCGATATGCTGTCTTTCCCCGATGTCCAAGAACGCTACGGGAAGAAGGGCTTCATCCCGCGCGTCAAGGCTTCCGCTCGTCGGTTCGGTAGTCGCATTGCGAGCGGATGGCAGAGAGGAACGGGGGCCGTATTCCAACGATTGCCGTCTTGCGTCCAGTCAGCACTGACAGTCTGCTCGCGCTGGATCAGGAGGTTTTTCCATGGGCTGTGGGAGTTCATGAACCCGCCCCTATGGGCCATGCTTGTCTCGATTGTGGTGGCTTCAGTACCGTCTCTGCAGAGCCTATTCTTCGACGAAGGTACCTTTGTGCGCAATTCCGTGACTCGTGCCATCAGCCAGAACGGCCAGGTTGCGGTTCCGTTGATTCTTGTCGTGCTGGGAGCCAACCTGGAGCGCAACACCCTCCCAAAGGAGGCGCTTGAAGATGTCGAGCATCCCAAGGAAGAGAAAAAGCTAATCGTAGCTTCTCTGGTGGCCCGCATGGTCCTTCCCACTATCATCATGGCCCCGATCCTTGCCTTACTGGCGAAGTACGTGCCGGTCAGCATTTTGGATGACCCGATTTTCATCATCGTCTGTTTCCTGCTCACTGGAGCCCCATCGGCACTCCAGCTGGCACAGATCTGCCAGATCAACAATGTCTACGTCAGCGCCATGTCGAAGCTCTTATTCCAGAGCTATGTGGTGTGGTAAGTACTACCAAGCTCGTTGTCTCACGGAACACTGGCTAACTGAAATCAGGATTCTCCCATCAACCCTTGTCCTCGTTATGTGTGCATTGGAGGTTGTCGAATGGGCCTCTGCCTCCTAAAATTCGATTTGCATCGGTTCCTTGCATATTTTCTTTATTTTTATCGGTGTCCGGCGTTTCGCGTGCCCTCTTTCATCTCCTCATTGTATTATTGACAGCAGTCTCAATTAGGATGGATGGGAAGATACCAGATTGGAACGACCTAAATGGTTGTGCCCGATATGTGAGCTTAGCAATCAACGATTTCAAGATACCTAGCACATACCCTTTCCGATCCGATCCCCACCACCGTAGCAAACAAGCCACAAATAAATTCCCCGAACCAAAGAAATCCACAGGGACCAGAAAAAGAAACCAAACCAACCCCACGAAAAAGACCCAGAAACCACCTTATCTACCCCTCCCTCCTCCCTACCATCCCTCACAGAACCCAAACGCAAGGGGCTAAAAAGTAGGACAGTAGGTAGGTAGGTCATAAATGCGGGGAACGAACGATAAGTACCCACTACTCCGTAGGTAGATAGTACGGATCTATCTATCTTTTCGGTGATGATTGATTGATCTACAGTGAATCACTCGCCTACGTACTTACTTGCTTACAATAAGGTTTTACTCGGATGTGCCAGCGTCACTGATTTTTAGGTGTGGGGTGGGTAAATACTTAGATGGCTATCATCGGCTGATTGGTTTCTTTGGATGATTTTGTTTGCTTATGGGCTGGTGTTGGTTATGTGGGGGTATGTCATTGGGGTTTGGTATCTGTAATAGATTGGTTGGTTGGGTGGTGATTGGTGGTCTGTGGGAGGAAATGTCTGGTGATGTGTTGAGGCGGAGGCGTAGGTGCGTTTTTACTTGTCTCATGACTAATATATACTCTCTCTATATGATCTTATCCCTAATTTGTTAGAGAAGAGTGAAGAAAATATTATTTCCTTTGTTAGTATAAAAAAGTACCGAGTAGATAGAAATGCTGTGATAACAGTAGTTGCATCATAATCACAAATAAACTTTGATCATCCATGGTAGTACATTATTGGTGACCTGTGGTTTGGATGAAGATGGAATTCTAGGAAAATTAGAGGAAGAATAATCAAGTAAATGGGTAAAGAATGTGTGGATGTGTGGAATAAAAATGGAAAGCAAAAAGGTCGTGCCCGGGATCGAACCGGGATTGCTGGAATCAGAATCCAGAGTGATGACCATTACACTACACAACCGTACTCGCTGAAGTAGGTTGGATTATTGTGTATTACAAGCCAAAGGTAGGCAGTATGTGGTATCCGGAAGAAGATAGAGCTTTTTATTGGATAATTATGCATATGGGCATTGATGTCTAAATTATATTTAGTCTATCTGTAGTAGCATCGCCATTCCGCTTGCTTGATGCCAGATAATATGACAGTGGAATAACCATATCCCTGGGTTATCTGCCCGGAAACGCAAGACTGCGTAGCCGCGGCTAGGGATGTAGACTGTATCTCGTAACTGGGCGCGGGAGAGGTCGTAGGGGGTGTTTATCTTTGCCGAGATAGCGGTCTGCGGTGCTAGACCCGGAGGACTGGCATCTGTGAATGGGTTATAGGCGCCCCAGCCTATGGGTGCTTTGTACGTGGTGAGGATGTAGAAGTGGTGGCCGTGCTGGTTCATTGTTAGTATCAAATAAAAATAAAGAATAGAACGAGTGTGAAGACTTACAAGGTGGAATGGATGACCACTATCGTCTAGATTGTTGACTACTAGGTCAATCCATAGACCTTTGTCGGCATTAAGTGGCGAAGTGCTTGCCCCTGTGGATATCACGAGCTGGTTGTCATCCCATTGTTCGCGGGGGAGATCGATGAGTGGTGTCCCGGTTGGAGTCTTCCATGAGGTGCGATTGAAGAATCCATAGGGGATGTTGTGGTTTCTGGAGAGCTTCTCGATTTTGGTATACACCACGTGGGTCTGGTGGGCTTTTTCTGGAAGAACCGAGAGAAGGGATCTTTTGGTGGCGACGTCGGAGAGGGATATGGAGTTGTATTTCGAAGAAGTGTTAGGGGACGAGTAGTTGGCTGATTCCGATATTGTGAAAGTCTGAACAGATGACAGAGCTGGATTGGGGTATCTGAAGCACCTGATCATTTGTTAGCGCGGGTGGATGCATCTGTAGAGGGGACAACATACTCATTATCTAGACTAATTGTCACTGAGCTCGGAGAGTTATTATTTGGACGGAGGATCATATCCATGCGTTGGCCTGGGTACAGTATGCCAGCGGAATTGGAGTCTTGTCGCTCGACATCAATGTTGTCCACTTGAATGAGCGTAAAGTCCCTGTTCTGGAACCCTAAAGTGAAGCCTGCCACAGAGCTAATTCCAGTCAGCTTTTGCAAATGAAAGAAGGGATTTCTCACATACCCTGTGTTAACTATGCGGACTCTGTACGTAGCATCACTGTTTGCATCCAGATACGATAAATTCATCTGTTGATTGATGCAGTCCACAGGCCGTGCAGGGACGGCCATGGAGCAATCGAATCGACCTTTCCCGTTGATTAGTAGTGAATCTGGGACTGGCTGTTCTGGGTCAGCTGGTGTCCAAATTGAGATTTCATAGAGCTCACCTCGTTTCCAAATGACCCGGCACGCATGTACCAAGAGTAAACCTGATCCGCTGATCGATGATACCAATCCCCGACCAGGAGAAGGATATCCCTGCTGTAGCCGTCATGCCCATTGTCGTCTGCACGGGCCAAAAGCCCCCGGACGGTGGCTTTAGGAGAGGGAGCGTGCACAATAAGCCCCCCATATAGTCCATCTGCTCTGATGAGACCGGAATGGGCGTGGTACCAGAATGTCCCACTTTGATCAGCCGGAATGGTGAAGTTGTAGGTGAACGTGGACCCCGGGAGAATGGGATGTTGTGTCACTCCAACCGCTCCATCCATGGAATCTAAGTATTCAGTTAGACATGTACGCCACTATTCTCAGTAACGTAGCGGAGCTTACTCTCAGCGTGTAAACCATGCCAGTGGATAGAAATCGACTCATCCTCCAGAGAATTGGTGACATTGATTACAAGACGGTCACCAGAACGTGCCTCAATTGTCGGACCAGGGAAGAGACCTATTCAGTATAAGTACAGTATGGAGGGAAGTTTAATTGGGAAAGTACCATTAACCAGATAAACCCGTTTCAATACCCCATCCGGGCGTAAGTGGTCCGCAGTCACCTCCCAGTCGAGATGTTGTGTTACAGGATCACGGTACACATGGCTTTCCGGATGAAGCTCGATCACTGGACGCGCTGTATCCGGATCATTTGTCGTTGGGAGTATCTGGTCAGTATAGGCCTTCGACGGGACCAAGCCTTGTAGAGGGTTTGGCGTTGAAATTTGTACCAAGAAAACCAGGAAAATCAGGCCACATATAGTGGCCGGATACAAAATCAGTTTCCATGGCCAATTTCGCACTGTCGTTGGCGACGACTGCTGGGAGCCTAATCGAGCATATGCCGGTTTCTCCATCTGACACCCTTTATCGATTGAAATCATCCCGCCTTGCCAGTCAGCTTTGGTGTGACTGTTTTAAACCCTCGAGGCTCTACATCTCACCCGGAACTATGAGCGATTTTGGATGCACGTGGAGAAGGACAGTGGATACATCTGTTGGATACAAATGCCTGTCAGTGAGCAGATATGGAAGTGATGTTCAGGGCCGCCACAGACCTGTGTTTCAGACCCGATTCAACCACGGTTCGGCCAAATCATTAACTTTTCAATGGACAGCCACGCCGTTTGTTGGCGGGGTATACAAACTCAAATCGGACCCAAAGTTGGTACCTGGTTCATCAGATTCAGGTACAACAGCGATATTCAGGGCAATTCTGCCGTCGAAACAGCCGAGAGGGATTCTTGCCATTGTGGATATAACAGAAAAACCCACTATATCGACCGCCACCGGTTACCATCACCCGATCTCCGAAGGAAAGCCTCAGTTGGCTGGAATCGAGGAGGCGATGGCAGGCTCAGGTTCGAGGAAGCGGCGCGTCTTTGGGAGAAAAGTTAGCCGGCTGATTCCTTAAGCAGATGGCTCCGAGTGCCGCACGTGGCCGGCTTGTCCGCCAACCAGAATCGCTTTCCCAGGAGGCTCTGCCTCCAGCTGTCTTCCGGTCTGCCTTCTCTCTGGCATACACTGTAGATACATGTCATACGTGTCGAGAAACGTCTGTCTCCATTACATGTGGGTCATCATTCACCCACCAACGAGGATGATCCTTCTTCTCCCCGGCGTCCCATTCTAGTGGCTCGTCGAATCCGATCTGCGAGACCCAGTGCCGTTCCATGTTACCTCCACCTTTGGCATGTGTCTTTTCAGTCCAGAACATGGGGACTCTGTACGCCGGGAAATCTAGGATACCGATTCTTAGGATGGTGGCCCTGTGTGGCCATACCATACGTCCCCACTTCCTGCAAGATTCCCTTATATATAGAGCAACTGAAAGGCACCTGGATCTTCTTCCACAACAACATTTCAGACAGCCATTCACCATGTTCTTGTTGGGTACTGCCTTGGCTCTGCTCCTCGGGAGCGGACCGGTTTCTGCTGGCTCACTCCGAGACATCAAACATGTCGTGATTTTCATGCAAGAGAATCGGTCATGGAATAGTGTAAGTGCCTGCATAGCTAAAGCCAGATAACCACCTAACGACGTACAGTATTTTGGCACTATGGCTGGGGTTCGAGGATTCAACGATCCAAACGTGCAGGTGAACCCGGATGGGTTACCGGTTTGGTACCAGTATGTGCTTTGGAAGCCTCTACAATGTTCGTACTGACGATAATAGACAGGTCGATCCTGACATGTCCAAGGATACAACGACTCTTCTCCCATGGTACCTGGGCTATAAAGGAGGCAACTCGACAGATGCAATCCAGTGCATGGCAGCTGGGAACAATGGCTACGAAGATAGTCAAGCATCACTCAACGGTGGCCTGAACAACCATTGGGCACGGAATAACACCCCGTGGAGTTGGGGATATTTCAAGAGGGACGATATCCCTATCCATTATGCGATTGCAGAGGGGTGGACAGCAGGTGATATGTATCAGGTAAGTTTCCTATCATGTGCTCAATGACACGTCTGACTCGTTCTAGGAATCTCAAATCACCTCCACAAATCCCAACCGTGTCACTCTGGTCAGCGGTTCTGTCAATGTGCCGGGTGGTCCTCAGAATCCAGACCAAGGTGGGGTCTATATCGATAATAACGTTACCCCAGGTATGATATTCCATCGTGTTCACCGAGGCAATGTTAAATAAGCTGACTGTTTCACTTCAGGATGTGACAGCTATAACATCAACTGCTACCCTCTCAAGTGGAAAACTATCTTCGAAGTCTACGAGGATGCGGGTGTCTCCTGGCAGGTCTACCAGGATAAGGACAACTTCGACGACAACCCCCTAGCTCGGTTCGAGCAGTTCCAGAACGCTTCGTCTTCCTCACCTCTGGCAGAGAAAGGGATGGCATATGTGGGGCTGGACGCATTCTACGAAGCGGCTGCTAATGGAACGCTCCCGGAGATCAGCTTCATCGTCGGCCCCGCAGAGCTGTCGGAGCACCCGCCTTATATGCCAAAGGACGGTGCCTGGCTGCAGAAGAAGGTTGTGGATGCTGTGACCAGTAGTCCCCAATACTCCTCCACACTGCTTATGATTAGTTACGACGGTAGGTCCTCCCATGAGTCCTCTTCCTGGCATTTCTAACGACTGGTCAGAATCCGGTGGCTATGGAGACCATGTGATCCCTTTCCATTCACCTGAAGGGACCCCTGGTGAGTGGATGGAGGATCCATATGGTATTTTTGGAGAACTTTATGTCGGTCCTGGTAAGTTGAAAAGCAAACCGTTCAATTTCGGCTAAGCTAATCATCTCAGGACTTCGCGTCCCTTTCTACATGGTGTCTCCATGGACTCGTGGCAACCGTGTTTTCACTGAGCGAGCGGACCACAATTCCCAAATTCTGTTTCTGGAGCAATGGCTTACTGCCAGGGGCTACGAGAATGTGCAGACACCAGAAATGGTTCATTGGCGTCGAGAGCACATGTCCGACCTTGTCAACGCATTGGACCTAGACCACGTACGGCCCTCTTGAACTTTTCACCATCAGCATCAAGCTAACTGTTTGAATAGCCCGACACTAGTATTCCCAAATTACCAGAGGCGGAAGAGCCCGAGATGTCCGCAGGTTCTTACGTGGGTACTTCTAATTGTGAAGCAACGTACCCAGAGCCACGCCCTCCTGCACCATACGGGAAGCAGAATGTGACCGAATCCTTGTTCTTCGAGGATGGATATAAGGAGTGTGTAGGCTATTTGACTGAGGGACGGTACCTAGTCTTCGAGAAGTCTGGATATGCGCTTACCAATACCGGCAACGCAACCCGTTTGAGCAGTACGGCAGCTCGTGAGGACCACAGTGACAAGAAGCAGCGATGGGTCGTTCATTATTCCAGTGGCGAAGAAAGCCAGATCTTCAAACTCTCCAGCGCTCTGGATGGTAAGTGGCTTGGCCCACGGGGAACTCTTTTGTCAGCTGGTGGTCGTAGCGCTGCTGCTGAAGTGAAGATCACTTTCCGTGGAAATGGTCATGGGTATGATCTGCAATATGTCAACTCGACTATTATCGCATTGAGCGATCAAGGGGCATTGCAGATGAATGCGACCAAGAGCGCCGGGGATGGCTACAAGGTTTGGAGTGTCACATACCACTAGGTTGTGACTGTTCCAGACAGACAACATGATTTCTTCATGATAGGAAGCTTGGTAGCTGGTCTACTAGGCAATCACCATCAGCATAGCGTTATTTGCAGATTCACCTTCTTAGAATATAGAGCTAGAGGCATCAAGCATAGGTGGACTATAGCGGCCATCGGGCATTAGATTTTGCATTCCAAAATCCAAAGCATTATCCTTTTATATCTACTTCCACCTTCATACTAAGATTATACCACTGAAATTTTCTTAAGCGTAGATAATCTCTTATCGAAATACGAATAATTTAATGAGATTAATTATTGCTCAGCTAGACATCCCAGCGACTCCAGAATGAACCCAAGTCCTTTTAATGCTCCACTGACCCTTCCGTACACATATTTACTCAGTAAACAAGTTACCATTTATATACTTGAGCCCCGTATCAACAGCAACAGTCACCACCGTCTTGCCAGGACCAAGCCGCTTCGCCAAATCAATCGCCGCAACCACATTCAACCCCGTTGACGTCCCAACCAACAAGCCCTCCTCCCTCGCAAGCCGACGACACATACTGCGCGCCTCCTCCTCCTGCACCGCACGCGCCTCATCATACAGACTCCGATCCAAATGCGGCGGAACAAACCCAATCCCGATCCCCTCGACACTATGTTTCCCCGACCGACCCTCCGTAATAGCCGGCGAAGAGGCCGGCTCAAGAACCGCCACATGAGTGCCCGGCCACTTGGCCTTCAACACCTTCGACACTCCCATCACCATCCCCGCTCCGCCCACCGCACCACAAAACGCATCAATTCCCCCTGGAAACTGCTCGAGCAGTTCCTGACCAATACCCTCATACCCGACCGACGCATCCCTGTTATTGAACTGATCGGCGAAATAGTACTCATCTCCCTGTGCAAGTTCCTTTGCGCGCTTTAGCATCGTTGGAAACAAACTCGGTGTGATTCCCTCCGCACTTGGAACGATGTCTAGCGTTGCACCCAACGCTTCCATTGTGCGGAGCTTCTCCAGAGCAAATGCGTTAGAGGAAACAACTGTGAAGGGGTATTTCTTTGCGGCGCAGATGAATGCTAGTGATGAGCCCGTGCTGCCACCGGTGGCTTCGACAATCGTCATCCCGGGTTTGAGATCTCCGCGACGTTCGGCCTCTTCGATGATGGACTTTGCCATGCGGTCTTTGTATGAGCCTGTTGGGTTTAGGAATTCTAGTTTGATGTAGATTTCGGCGCTGTTGGGCGGAACCACGTGGTTGAGCCGGATCACGGGGGTGTGGCCCACTGCTCCGAGGATGTCTTTGGTGGGAGGCTGGGCCATCTTGATATTAGGGGTGTTTTGAAGGCGATAGAGTATTTGGTAGGTAGGTGGTGGTTATGTGATATTCGGATTGATTTGTGCGAGCAGGTGGTGGAACCATCGAGCAAAGGGAGAAAAGTCATTAATATTGTAGTAGTTGAAGACTCCCGGGAACCGATAAATCCGGACCACCGGCCGGGCTTTCGGATCTTGCCCCTGCCGAGTAACAAAAGCTTCTAGATCCATCTGAGTCGTGGAGTTTACTTGGCCAAGCGATCTGCGTAGGAGAGGAGTTGGTAGGTTACCTAATTGAAACGACAGACGTGGTGTTGGATCTCCGCGGGGATATGACATAGTGAATATAGCTTCAAGTATTCCGCCTCCGGCAAGAACATCAATGTCAAGCCATGGTCGCTCCCAGCTTCAACAAAGTCGTGTGTTGCATCTCCGATGATGGGAGTGAATATACGACCTACCATGCTCTTATACTAGTACTGCATCTGTCATTGGCTGGGCTCACTAGCTCGAGCAGCATCATGTGGGATGATTGAGTCATCCCCCACCTTGACAGTCCCACCACTACCATTGCTAACAGCTTTCAGAAACCATTACATTCATGCTAATTGGTATATTCTCCAACATGGGTGAGATATACGAACTGCACATTTACTAAACCGCTCTAGATCCACCCAACACACCCCTCAAGCATAGTACCACTCGAACCCCAGACCCCTACACCCCAAAATGTCATCCAATATTCGACTCGCAACCCACAAAGACCAACACACCATCGAGGAAATCATCCAAGAGGCCTTCTCCATCTATATACCCCTCATTGGGCGGAGACCGCAACCGATGCTGGACGACTATACCCCCTGATCAATAACAGCCATGTCTACGTGGTCGAGCGCGACAAGGAGATCAAAAGCACTGTGATGCTTGTTCGTGAGCCGGATGCTATGTTAGTGGATAATATTGCTGTCGCTGAGTCTGCTCGGGGTACTGGATGGGGTCGGAAGATGCTCGAGTACGCTGATGAAGCGGCCCGACGGGCAGGATATCATACGCTTCGGCTGCATACGAATGAGGTGATGGTGGAGAATATTGCTATTTATACTCGATTGGGATATGTGGAGACGCATCGGGTTGAGAATAAGGGGTTCAAAAGGGTTTATATGGTGAAGAATTTGGGGTGATGGAGTTGATGGCTGTAGTTATTGAGATGGAGGTTCTGATCGGTGGTAGGGTGGTTTTGGTGTGGTCTTTGCACTGGTTGGATATAGAACTTCGGTGTACTTGTTCATAGAGCATATGTTTTTATGTAGATACTTACGGCTTATCTTGTTGCTGCTTAGCTGTTGTTGTTATGGTTCAGATGTGATGTGTTGATTTAGTCACACTAGATCTGAAGATAGACATGCTGCACTTCTGATGCACATAAGATTAATGTAGGCAAGAAAACACCAGTCTGACAATCTTACCTGATAAAGTCCTATCAGTCACTGCATCGACCCTGTGACTTCGCATGCAGTGATGCCTGAGAATAAAGGCGCTAATGCCACTACCGTGTGCTTTGGCCGTTCCGTTCATTCCCCTCTCTGCTGACCCCTCTTCCTCCGTTCACATCCTCACAACCACGAGGCAAGATACCGTGAGTGATTGAAATATGAGCAGAAAAGCAAACAAGGCCCGTTACAACCGTCTTATCAAGTCTGAAACTCATAGTGTGATCCCTGTGCAACAACGTTTCAGTCCCGCCCAATAACGGCGCCAACAATGAGGACGCGAACAGCGACAACAACGAGTATGTGGGCCTTCACCGTCCACAGGCACACTGGACAGTTGTACAAGGTACAGAATATAACTTCTGTCCGATGGGCTATCCCAGGTAGTTTGATCAAGGCTTTCCCCACGCGACCCAATGCATTGTGCCTGATCTGTACCCAGACCGACGGGACCAGGGCCATCATCCGATGGGCTGCGACATGATTATGCTTACCGGATGGTCCATCCATCCGAGGTAGCGGTCAGTCCATGTTCTTATCTCTCAACGGAGCATCTGTCTCGGTCTCCGGTCGCGATCCATTGTTTGGTGAACCCGCCCCAGGATTGGTGGTGGGGGAAAGCCAAATGGCGGGCAACGGCAGGTGTCGTGTGCCACCAGGATCCATGATGTTTGCAAGCATCACACCTCCGGAGTGTCTTTTAGGAGAGCAGCCTGCGTCTGTGGCGTTTCTGGCCGGGTATGTATGGTCAACAGCAGCGACCCTGAATTGTGGGTTTGAACTTTGAAGGGTGGAAACCGCCAAGTCACCTGAGACACACGTCGATTTCCAGTCAAGCCCATCAACGGCCACCGTCGCGGCTCAATCTCAACGATCGACTTCAGCCGATAAGCCACCGTCCTTTGCCACTCAGCCTTCTGTCGTCAGCTTCATCCGCCATCGTTGTCATCACACTCTCTGCCTAATCGAGGCTGTCTGATTTCGTTCGGCTCCATCTTTGCCTGCTGCATCCAATTTCGAGTTGGTTTTTCAAAACAAAGAGACTTCCGGGATCGGATTCCGACCGTATTTTCCTCGCTGGACCGCTACTTATCGCGGTCCCCACTTGGTCGCTTTTTTTCTCCCTGCGTGCCCCCAAACCACCCTCAGTTCCGTTCACCGTGTCAACTCCATCCAGTCATCCTCTCAAGAGTCAAGACCACATCGGGCCCTCCCTCAAGTCCCTGCGTGTCCCGACTCCAGTCTGTGATCCGTTCTCCCGGTCTCCCCGAGCGGGCCTGGCATATAGTCCGGAGGATCCCCAGCGCCAATTCTCCGCCGTTCTCCAGGAGTTGATTACACCACGCACAGTCTCAAGTGATCGGCCTCCCTCGCAGCCTTTGAACGGGATTCTTGCACACACTGCTTTCTTTCCACAGCTACGAAGTACATACTGTTGCGATTGATTGGACATGCCCTCCATCACCGACCAGACCGGTGATGCTGGTCTTGATTTCGATGGTAGGTTTCCTCTCGGTTAACTTCCCGTGAACCTTCTCCAACCCCCTTGGCTCCAACCCTCTGTAGTCGTAGGTTCCCGAGGCTCTGCTTTTGGACCGCATGATCTCATAGCCCACCGCGACTTCCGGTATTCAATCAATCGTCTTAATTCCACCCCTTCGCGGCCTCTATTTCCCCCTATCTCTCGTTGACATTACAACTTTTGATGGATTCTGACCAATCATCTCAAGGACCACAACCGATCCTGGGAACTGGTTTGAACGTCTCCCTTCAGGGCCGCCGTCAGACCAATGGCCACGAAGATTCCGCCATTGCGTCAGAAGGAACCATCAAACAACGCACCCCCGCGCCAAAAAAAGCCGCAACGCGACCGTCTCTTCACCAGCCGGCTTCGTTAAGTAGTCAAACATCCAGCGTCGTTACTGAATTCGCGCATCGCAATGAAAGAGACGACAGCATGAAGCACGGCGAGGAAGACCCGCAGAATAGCCTTTTTACACAGGTGTATGAGTGGCTTCGGCGCGAGAAATCGAAACGGAATTTTCATAAATCGAAAGGTCCATCGATGATGGACGGGGCTGCAAGTGATGGTGACGATGACGATGATGACGATAATAGCGTCCTTGTGGAAAGACCCGTGTCTCAAGGTTCTGACGCTGCATTTGCTCTTGATAACCTGGAGAAGATCCTCATCCAGTATGCTGCTTCGCGACAGGAGGGAGGCTCTGTAAACTTCGCCCGACGCTCTGGTCGTCGGCGCCAGCAGTCCAGGGGATTGCGTAGGGGCTCTGCTTCCGAATCCGACTTTTCAGACTTCGAGGCGACTGCCCCTAGCGTGGATGCAGTGCTGGACAACTCCAAGACTCTCGCTTACAGCGGCGGTAGTGCCGAGGATGACGATAATGAGAACGGCGCCAATGCTGGACGCGCGAAAGACAGAGAAGCCTGGACGGTGTTCAAGAGTGAAATTCTCCGGCTTGCTCATACTATGCAGCTCAAAGGATGGCGGAAGCTTCCCATCGATATCGCTGCTGATATCGAGGTCGTTCGACTTAGCGGTGCCTTGACCAACGCCGTTTATGTAGTCACGCCGCCGCAGAACATCCCAGTGCCCAAGGCGGAGGATGGATCGTACTCATTGGTGCCCAGAAAGCCACCTCCGTAAGTACCCTACATTCTGCCGAGGCCCAAATCTGACTTTCTGTAGGAAGCTTTTGCTACGTATTTATGGACCGCAAGTGGATCACTTGATTGACCGGGACAATGAGCTCCAAATTCTTCGCCGACTCGGTCGAAAGAACATCGGACCCAAGGTTCTGGGTACTTTCAATAACGGACGGTTCGAAGAGTTCTTTGAAGCTCGCCCATTGACGCCAAAGGAGCTCCGTGACCCCCCGACTATGAAGCAAATTGCGAAGCGGATGAGGGAGCTGCATGATGGCGTTGATCTGCTTGTGGACGAGAGGGATGGGGGCCCCATGGTGTTCAAGAATTGGGACAAATGGGTCGACCGCTGCGAGCAAGTCATCAATTGGCTAGACAAGGAGATTCGATCCGAACACAACAACAGCAAATCGGCGACGGAGGCGTGGCGTCGGCGAGGCTTCGTCTGCGGTGTCCCCTGGCCCTCATTCAGGAAGGCAGTGGAAGGCTATCGAAAGTGGATTGTTTCCAGCTGCGGAGGGATTGATGAGATCAATCGGCAGCTGGTGTTTGCGCATAACGATGTAAGTCGTCTTCCTAAATGTTGTCACTTGTGCTAATACCTCAGACTCAATATGGCAATCTGCTTCGCATGGAGCCCAGTCATGAGTCCCCGCTGCTCCGACCCGAGAACGTCCATAAGCAGCTGGTTGTGATTGACTTTGAATATGCGTCAGCGAACACTCCCGGACATGAGTTCGCCAACCACTTTGTAAGTCTCCAGACGCTATTTGACGGTCTCTGCTGACATCCCCAGACTGAATGGTGCTACAACTATCACGACGCGGAGCGGTCGTGGGCGTGCGACAACACGCGCTATCCGACCCCGGAGCAGCAGCATCGGTTTATCAATGCGTATCTCAACCACCGGCCCGGATTGCGCGAGCAGGCCTCTCCCTCCATCACCCCCCTGATGCGTGGTCTCTCCGCCAACACTTCTTCCTTAGCTCCTCTGGATCTGGACGACGGACCGGACGTAGACATGACAGCTCGCCTAGATATCGAGAAAGCGCACGAGAACAGCAACGAAGCAAAGATCCAGTTCTACATGCGCCAGACCAGACTATGGCGTGTGCTCAACTCGGCGCAGTGGGTCGCCTGGGGAATCGTGCAGGCCAAGGTCCCCGGCATGGAGGAGGGCATCGCAGCGGACGAGGCCGCCAATGGCCACCACGATACCAATGGTAATGGCGCGCACACTACTCCACCCGTGGATGCGGACATTGACGAGGCCGATGAATTCGACTACCTTGCCTATGCACAAGACCGAGCCCTATTCTTCTGGTCGGACCTATTGTCGATGAAATTCATCCGGGAGGACGAACTGCCCAAGGACCTGGTGGAACAGATCCGCTCACGGATCATCGAGTACTAGTCTAATACCTTTCTTTACTTTACGATTATGAGTCGAATGATATGAATGACGAAGCGAAGCGATTCTTCAACAGACGTCGGTGTTCCCACTGTACATAGATAGCCATAGTTGAATCTCAACGGATCTATCAACACCGCCCACCCACAGCAACTAACCTACCTACCCTCTCCTCAACAAATTCTTCCTCGTCTCCCCCTTCGCCCTCTCCACCCACTCCTCAAACCCCTCCCCTCCCTCCCCCCCTCCTTCACCCCCACCACCCCCTTAAGCACCTCCCCAATAAACCCCACAAAATTCGACCGTCTCAATGTATTCTCCCACGCCCACGCCCTCCTCTTCCGCTCCTCCCTCTCCAACGCCTCCCCATCCCCAATCTCCCTCGCTCCGACCCTCAAATCCCTCACCACAGCCATAAGATTAAACCTCGTTTCTCCCTCCGGATACCGCGCAATCCTCTCCCTCAACACCTCAATCACCTTCTCTGGAAACTCCTCCCTGCCACATTCCCCATGCGATATCGGATGCGGCTGCAACCCATCCAACTCGTACAATTTCCCTGCCACAGGCGTATACGCTATGAAATGGTATACGTCACCGCCCTCGTCGTCCTGGTTCTGGCGGATGGTTTCGTCTGCGAAGGGAGAGGATCGAGCGAAGGCGTTGTGGGCTGTGCGGATTGGTTCTGAGTTCGAGAGGGCTTCGCCTAGTAGGTCGGGGGGGAAGCCGGTCGTGAAGTCTTTGAATGTGGTGAGGGCGGGGCCGAGGGGGATGGGAGGGTTGGGTGGGGTGGGGGAGGTGCTGTCGTTGTTGAGGATTACGGAGAGGATGGCTTGTGTGCCGCAGGCGTTTTGGATGGTTTGGTTTGCGAAGAAGAGGGTTTGTGGGGGGTTGAGGTCGTAGGTTCCGGAGGGGGGAGTGGAGGTGGAGGTGGGTTGGGTGGTGGTGGTGGTTTCGCGGAGCCATTTGAAGAGGAAGATTACGCCGTAGACGGGGCTGGATTGTGGTGAGGGTGTTAGTGAGGTGGTTTGGGAGGGGGGGATTAGGGACCAAGAGGCTACCTTAGGGAACGGATTATGTCTGCATCTAGGGAAATGAGTTCTTCGAATTGGACGTCCTTGACGCCGAGGTTCTCGATTAGAGAGGTGAAGACGCCCTGTTGTGGTGATGGTGTCAGCTGCGATGTATGGGATTGAGGTTGGGTTGGGTGGATGTACCTCGTCGGACTCGATTGTGCTCCAGCCTCCGCCGTCGGCCATGATGTCTGTTATGGAAGGTGTTATACAAGTGATTGAATGTGTATTGTACAAGGGAGCTGGATGATGCAGGGATGGGAATGGTGGATGGAAGCTGTATCCGGTCGGTCCGTGGGCAGGATGTGATGTGATGTGATGGTGGAGACCCCGGAGCTGTGTTTGCGTAGAATGCAAACACTACACGTGCGGGACGCGCTAGGCTGGATATGGTAGGTGGTGGCCCCATCGGTTGAGGCCTGGGGTTTTAGGTGTCGATTTGGGTCAATGCGCTGATCTGGATTTACTGTGATTGCAGAACTGGGATGATGGTGATGATGCGGGTGATTATTCCGGGTCATCCGAGGTATTTAGAATAAGGCCTCCCATATCGTATTTCAGAGTGAGACCTCTTAAATAGTATTGAGACTGAGGCGCCCCATATGCTATTCAGCTGATTACTACATAGATTCTACAAAGTGAAGTATACGTTGTCCAGCAATCAACATGAGGACAACGCATTAGGCATTCCGCATACTAAGAGTATTATTAGTAGCAGAGCAATATAGAAATCTCCAATGAGAGATTATAGTCGATATCATTCATCATCCACACATCCGGTGGCTAAACAACTGGACGCCTTACGGACGTATATGGGGATCCCATGTCAGACATGCAGGTTCATCCAGAAACAAGTCTTTCCACTGCCATGGTCACCAGGCCAGAGACAGTATATAAAGCGTCTCCATTCACTCAGCATCTCTCCTCAAATCAATCAACCCAAAGAAAGCTCACAAAGCATTACTTCCTTATTCTCCCCCCAAAGACCCCAAGTTAAGAAACCACCACCATGCGCCTCCTCACCCTCCTCCCCATCGCCACTTTGACCGCCACATCCCTCGCCCAAAACTGGAACATATCTCTCTACACCGATACCAGCTGCACCGAGTACAGATTCGAATACTCCGGAGACCAGGATTACGGGTGCTACTCGCTCGAAACATTCGACCCCACGATTATGTCTATCAAGGCTGAGCTCCCCGACGGATGGGGGTTTATGGGATCGAGTGGAGGTGCCTGCGATGACTTCCATACTGCTGGGGGTTCGGGATGTTGGACTCTGGGACAGGGCTTTAGGTCGTTTGAGGTGTTTCCCATGCGGGACTGAATGTAGGGTGTATATTTTGGTGGTTTGGGGGATGGTGCTCATGATAATTTTAGAAGGTTGGTGAAGGATTTTGAGGGTTAGCTTTTTTGGTAAATTATGTGGCTGGATGAGTGTTGGCATATACGTGGGGACATCGGTGTATATATTCTTGCGTTATCAGCGGGGTCATTTGTAATGGAGACATGTAACGCTTGGATATATAATGACTTGGCTGGTCGGGGTACTGATGGAATCAGGTTCATGTTTTATAGTTATTCCGAGGTAGCAGTAGTGGTGCGATTTAAGATGTTGTCGTATTGGGGGATTGTTGTTCAGTAGGAATAGCTTCTGGATGACAATAGAGCTTCTGAATCCCTTATTCATGGCCCAGAACCAGCATCTTAATCAATCTTATTAATCTGTTGGAGAAGAGTAGGTCTGCTCAATGATTGGTCGAGGGAATAGGCCTGACAGATGGGCGCTTAATTGGGTATCGATCAGCCTCAGCGCCTCCACCTAACGCCTACCAGTCGAGTGACATCCAAGTTCCAACCATCTTTCTACAGACATCATATTTTCTCTGGCTTGTCCTACCATAAATCATCCAAAGCAGAGCACATTTGCACTACGATGGACCTGAAGGAATCAGCTATCGCTAAGACGACCGGGCTGATGTGCGATCGGACGGCGCCATGTTCAACAGCCGATCTTTTCGAGACCTCAAGTACTGATGAAGAACCAAATGAGGAAACATGCTCGCTATGCGAAGTAACTGCCAGTGAGTTCTCGAGATACAGACCATCCGGCCTTACTCCCTCGAAGCTATTTCATGAGGATTGCCTGGGGTGCTTGGATATTCCCACAGGTTCACTTTGTCTGGTGTGTAAGCACATGAGGCTAGGACACTATGTCAGATGTGTTCTTCAAGGGCCCACGCGTTTGAAAGGCCTCCTAAAGATATTTGAGTCACCGTATACATTTTATATGGGAACCGTGCAAGAAATTCAAGACCGCTCGGCAGACTGTCAAACCTGCCGGATATTTGCCCCCTACGCATCTTTGATGGCTAAACAGACTGGATTGTCGTCGAACAGTAGAGTAAGTTTAAGAGTTGCGGTGGAAATCGGAGCCATCGCAGGAGTGAAATATGACGTGGGGATTAGACTGTCCATTAAATGCTCTCGATCAAATTGGATCGAAGGTATGATTTTCTCTCGGTTGTCCTCGAAACGTTAATGTTCAATCAAGTGAGACTGATATCATTTTTTATAGAAAAAAGCTTTGTCGGAACAATGGATGCACAATGGGGACCTGATCTACAATCCCTACAGAGCCCACTACCTCAGGTGAAATGGGAGACAGTTTCAGCATGGCTTGAAAAATGTGATAGTGGCGATGCACATGTAAAACCATGTCGTCGTAATTCGTATCGGTTACCGGTGCATGATTTTCGTGTCATCGACACCGAGAGAAGATGTGTGGTACTGGCTTCCCAGCCTTGCAGATATGCCACTCTAAGTTACGTATGGGAAAGAATCAAGATTCCTTACAGGCAACCAGAGCGAATATCAATGATCTTGGCAGAGAAGGATCGTTAACCGCTGAAAGAGGCTTAATGGCAACAATCAACGATGCAATTGATGCTTGTTGCCACTTGCAGATTCCATTTCTCTGGGTTGACCGTCTTTGTATAGTGCAAGATGAGTTGAGCGAGAAATCGACTCAGCTCAACGCCATGGGAACCATTTACAGCCAGTCATATGTAACCCTGGTGGCCATGGCGGGGAGTGACGCCAATTATGGGCTTCCTGGGACAGATGGGCGGAAGAGATCTCCGCAATGGACGGGCGAAGTGCAGGGGATATACCTGTTCGAAAATCATGACCCATACGGTTATCTTGTCATCCGCTCAAAGTGGCGAAGCCGGGGGTGGACGTTTCAGGAGGCAACGCTTTCACCAAAGCTTTTGATTTTCACAGACCCCGGGGTTTTCTACCAGTGCCACGGCAGACTGACCGCCGCCCAGAGTGAGGAGGGTGAGGAACTGGAGCTTGGAATTTTAGCCGCCCAAATCGATTTATCCTCATATAAGTCTCTCGTGACGGAATATACGACAAGAGATCTTACTTATGAGTCCGACATAATGAATGCATTCGTGGGCATTCTACACATGGCATATGGGGACCAGCATTATTACGGGATTCCATTCAAACAATTTAGCTGGGGTCTCCTTTGGCAAACAGCTAAGGGAAAATATCCTGTGCGATGCCCACATGAGCCAAATGTGTTTCCGTCGTGGTCATGGTCCTCTATCAATAATGTCATCGCATACTATTTCTCAAGAAACGGGTTTACATCATTGGGGCAATGGGCTATCCCACCATCCAGGGATGGGTCAAAAGAACTGATGATTTTACCCAATCCATCTACGGAGCCAAATATTGCTGAGTACAATGACCAGTATGGAAAACTACCTCGACACGCAGTGTTAACGGCCTGGAAAAATGGGTGTTTTCCTGGAACCCTGCCCGAAGACTTAAAACCTTTCACGTCGAAAAAGAGTGATACTTTCTTGAAGTCTCTCGCCAGCATGCATGATGAAGCCCAAGGTATGCCCGGCGGCTTGCTGAATGCTAGTGACCAAGAGGCAAGATTCCCACTTCACATTCAACAAGCTTGTCAAGACGGGTGTATCCTGGTTTACACCCAGTCACAGCGCCTTAGGTTGTTGAAAGTCTCTACAGGTTATTTGAATGAAGCCAGACTCCAAAATGCACATGGTGACATTATAGCTTTGGTGCCAGTGAATACAACCAATTGGGAACAAATCGATCTTATTCCGCACGGGAAGAATGGTGCCGAGTTTGATGTCCTGGCCCTTTCAATGTCCTATAACGTAACTGACCTCCCTAAAGGTGATTGCCCAGATATATTTGGCAAAACGCAGCTAACTGGCATCACAGAGTCGGAGGGGATTTCCACTGATTACCCCATGTTTGAACGTGGTTGTTCTCCCGAAATTAATTTGATGGTTGTCGACACAAAAATTGGTATTAGCAGGCGCGTTGCACTTGGAAAAGCAACCCTGAAAAATTGGATTAAATCGAAACCTAAGTTTCAGACTTTCATTCTGGGATAGATGAGGTATGCCAAATCTTTGTTTCATCATATTTACTTTGGTAGATAGATGTCACAGACACAAACTATACATTATTGATATAATTTGATGAATGTGAGATAGGAAAACTAATTTTTTATGCTCTACTAATCCAAGCACACACTACAAACGGTATGCTTCAATACGCTGGACAATCGGATATACATAAGCCAGAGAAGGTGGCTATAGGAGACGAGGGTGATCAAAGAGGCCTGTAATAGGCGTGAGAGAAGACGTATTCTCTTCTGCATTTGTTGGATCAGATACTCAATTCATCGCTTGTCGATGAGCCAGTGAAAGACAGTGTCTGTAATTGAAGTTAGGTTTTCACCTAAAGTTGAGGACCCCCTTAGATGAATGTCCTTGTTGTCAATATCAAGGACCATTTGAGAATTGAATGCTGGTCGACAAAGTGTGAATGCATAGTAGTGATACATTTCTGGGAAGGATAAATAGGTGGCATTTTGTCCAAACCGACAATCCTCTCGCAACAATCTCCTCAAATGGGAATCATATGGCTCAAAAGCAGACACATATTCATACCCAGCTATGATTGATGCGGCACAAATCTGTATCGCTGCCCGGAGGCAGAGAATCCTGACTGTTGGATACTACGTATGTCCGCCAAACAAAGACGAGAGAGCTCTGAAACGCTAACATGAATAGGAGCCGATGGAATGGAGTGAGGCGCTGGTAAAAGGACATTTTTGCGGGCTAAAAGAGAGCTGAAAATGACAAAAAGCAACAAGAGACTTCTCAAAATCCATCACAAATCCCTATCGAGAGTTGTCACCTCGCACTCAATAGACCGAATTGGTTGGTGTCATGCGATGTCCCCGATATCGGGTCGTCTTATACCGACGACAGTAGCACTGTTTATACTGGCGCAGAGCTTAGTACAAGACAGATTAACCCACGAAATTGTTGACGAAACAAGATTCGGAGTCATTGCGCATTCTCTTCCTAAAAGCAATCGGGGCCCAGGTACTGATTTCGGGTTTCCTTCGCATGTTGTTCGCTAGCACTGCATACGTGGAGCGGGAAATATCCTGAGATAAATGCGAGCTAAAATCTGCTGATCTGGTGATTACTTGTCATCTGTCGCTGTCAGGCCAACTGTGTCGATCTTAAGGTACGTGATAGACAGGCTATGCTGAGAGGAACATGACAGGATGTCAAGGCTTACCTGATATCTACGTTGTTATGCTCAATTGATGAGTATGAACTCTTTTCTTATCCGGAACCCATCCGATATTTTACGGCCAAGGCCAGAAAAAACCACGTCCCTAATGGAGAGCGATCACAGTGAGATCAGGGGAAGGAATGGACAAGACCAAGATAATTTTAAACTATGTTTCATTGCAAAAATGACAGCAAACGAGAGTGGAAAGTGGGAGACTCACTTTTCGCAGAAGAGAACAGAGTATATTACGGGGAATTACAAGACAAAGGCTTCACGTCTCAGGGTCCAAGTATATTCTTTATCCCCGAAGAGGCCCGCCGCGTTATGAATGAGGATGGGTTTGCTGGAAAGACAATCTCACTTACACTGAGAGCAGGAAACGTGTTGACAGCGCACCCACTTATTCCACAGCTTCATATGGTGAAAAGCTCTGACAGTATGGATATCCCCGTGGTGCATATGGCGACCAACACTGGGGAAGGACAAGTGAAATTCTGGAGGATCTTCGCAAAGCCAATCGTGAGAGGACAGGCTTGCTTGTCTAACGGGCATCCTTTGGAGTATAAGATCACGGAAACTTGGAAGGCGTCCCGTTTGCTGAAACCTAGCACAAACATTGGAGAAGCCCTCGGGGGAAAAGCAGAATGAATTGATGCTGTGGTCGAGGAGGAACTGAGAATCTTATTCGAATCATCACTGGAATAAGCTCTAAAATGGCCAAATACCCGTCAGAGGAAGTGAAGAAAGAGTTGAATAAGGTCTGGAGACAGTTTGAGAAAGGCGAGAAGCACTTTTTTGAGGATATTTCAGCGTTCATTTGACAGGTACCCTCATATGATGTGTACTTGGGACCCAGATTTATGTGCTTGAGAATAGAACCCCTACATCGTACGTTGATAGTATCCTGATATTGTACGCCGCCGAGTCCCCAATATTGCATGCTGTCAGGAACCCTCCTTCTCATATAGCGTCATCACTTTATACATAGGCATTGTTGCATTCAAAGCAGCTCAAATATCACAAACTCTGACCTGTTTACTCTATATCTCCAACATGCACTCGTTGTGGTAATGCTATATGAGTGCCAGAGGCACTCATAGAGCACTATATGAGATACTCTATGAAATACCTTGGAGAAGTGCCTTTATTTCACAGGCTATATAGATAATCAGACTTCTGTATAGGATAATGCCTAGTTACACAGGCAGAGAAGGTGGAAAGTGTGGTTGTAGCCTGGCCAGTGTGCCTCCCTATACAACTGATCAGCCCATTGCTCACCAGGCTCCCTCCTTTCAGCGTCTATCCCCAATACCCGTAGGCCTAAATTGTTTGTGGCAACTGGCAAGGCTCGCGGTCCGGGTCGGGGTATAATTCCACGTGACTGAGCTCCAAATCGCCTGCGGGTTTAACCGGTCATGTCTCACTTCTCCCACTATCCGTCAGATCATCTGTATCCTCCCCTCCTTGCAAATTTGATGGGTGAGCGAAACACCAGGCGACTCTTGAACACCACGCTTATCTCAAATTGACTTTCCAATAATGTGCATTCAATTCGTAACGCTATCAGTACAATATTTACAACACCCCAAGCCCTTTACGCCGACCAGTCCCAGCCTTAGAGAGCAGCCACCCACCGTTCTGCAACTTCTGGAAAACCCCCTCAGGATCATATTTCGCAGCAATCTGGTTGAGCTTCGCAACATTGTCAACCCCATAGCTTGACAGCGGGTCTTGGTCGCGAGAGGAATAGTTGGAGTATCGATACGGAAGATAGGCGCCCGCCTGCTTTGCCGTCGCTTCGGCAACATCCACAATCTTCCGAGTCGCCTCGCGGACACGGTCTTCATCCTTCGCATTCTTCCAGTCGGCCATGGACAGAAACCCTATTCTGTTAGTCTTAGGACATACACTCAGAAGAGAGCAACATACATTGCTGGCCCACTGGCTCTAATCCAAGTGGCGTTCCGCCGTTTTTCTGACTCTGCTTCATGGCCGAGGAGGACATGGGTTGGAACACGTTGGTCAGGACAAGTCCTTCAACGTCGCTCAAAGCCTCCTCTTGTTCCCGGCGGACTTTCTCGGTCGCTTCGTACAACTCCAAGCATGGCAGACTGGACATGGTCCGGAACTCGTGACTGTCAATCTGTTAGCACGGATTCTACTTGCAGATTTCTTTGACCTACTGCAGAGTCTCTGATGTGATGACGGAGGCAACCGCCTGGACAAGCTCATAGATGGACCGAGTGCCTGGAGGCACAAAGCTCATCGCGAATGGGATATCATAGAATGACTGGAATGCGGCTGGCTTTTCGACAGGGGCACAGTAGAAGAAGACAAGAAGAATTGCTTGGCTGGTCCCATGCCAGACGAGAGACGCCTTGTTGTCGGTTTCAATTGCCTCGTGGTACTTCATGAGGCCTTTGACGAGCTCAGGGTACGCCGTTGGAGGGTAGATCCGAGCTTCAGCCCAGGACACGGTAGGTACAGTCACCAAATCCATTTTGGTCACGATTCCTAAATGCCATGGTTATCATATGATGTCCCCCAAAAGTGGCTGAACTTACCAAAATTAGGACCGCCGCCTTTAAGAGCCCAGAACAAGTCCGTATTCTCCTGCGCATTGGCATTGACAATGCTCGAGTCTGCAAGAACAACCTGGAACCTGGTCAGAACAGCAGAATTGGCACTAGTACATGGGAACCTACCTCATAATTTGACACCCCCATTGCGCCCACTCCGTACTGGCTATTTTGGAAGGAAATTCCTCCTCCCAGGAGCAGACCGGGCACGCCAACCGTGGGAATCCGACCTCCTGCGACTGCCAGACCATGTGGGTCAAGCGCCTTGTACACATCGAGCCATCGCAGTCCAAGCCCGACATCGGCGGTAGATTTGTCGTCAGAAAGCTTGACATGATTGAATTTGCTCAATGAGATGACCACTCCGCCGTTGTTACTATTGAATCCCGGATTTTGGAGGTGGCCTCCTCCGCGAACCGAGAAAGGGATGCTAAAGAAACGACAGAGGGCCAGAGCTGTTGCGACTTGTTGTGCGGATGTTGGGGTCACCAGAACCAGTGGTTGGAGCCAACAGTTTATTGACCTGGGATGAAAGGCTTAGCTACCTGTGATCGTCGCGTACGGAGCAATTGACTATTGACTTACCAGGGCACTTGACGCTGATCTTCATATTCGCTCGACGTCGCCAGGATTGCATTTTGGCCAAAGAAGAGAGGGAAGATTCGAGTCACAAAGGAAGCCCGCTGACTGCGTTTATCGCCCTCCGATAGTGCCGCATACTCCGACAAAAGGGTCTCAGCTTCCACCGTCCTGACAGTGTCGACCTTCGCGTCCTGGACGATCGCTGCAACGACTGGGGAGCCACTCATTGTGGTTAGCACGCAAGCTAGAATGACAGGGGTGCGATTGAGAATTTGAGATAGGTATCTCAAAAAAAGGACAGTAACAAAGCCAGAAAAGAAGGCTACCCAAGAAAAAGCAACGAAGAGGACTCAGTCTCCACCCGGGGCAATAAATACTCATCCGCTGAGGGCGCGGGCCGGCGCACTGGACCAAATGGCCAGCCGTCCGTTATCATGACAGGCGGGTCCAGAACAGCCCTAGTCGCTTAGGCCGCCACGCTATTCTCCGCCGTCTGTCCCTTGCGTCGCACCTGTCCAGCCAGATGGCAGGGATTCGAATCCTTCGTGATGGAGAAACTTGATTCATCGCCCGACCACCTGCCGAGGGAATGGCTTTAATCTACGAGACGTTTCCCCTGTTGTGCTTCCGGGTTCCGGATACTGACAGCTAGGACTCCGTCTTCCGTACGCTACCTCTGAACACTTTATCGGTGGTGTGGGCCATACGTTACGCCATGGACTGGACGGTTATAGCACGGGATGCTGGAGGGACGCCTCCAATGACCGTTACGGTCCGCATCATTGTGCTCATCCTGGCGATTCCGACTACGCTGGTCTGCGGTCTCCGGGTATGTCTGAATCAATGCTTTGCACGTCGGCAGGAGAAGAACCCGGCTCATGTGATGCGTGCCTTAATAGCTTTATATGCGGAAGTTCGTCTTGCGATCATGGGGTCTAGACGATTGGATGGTGATGGTTGCGCTCGTCAGTATCTCCAGTGAACCTAGCAATATTGCATCTTGCTGAGTTGGCACAGATCATGGTGAACGGATTTTCGGCTATCGCATATACTATCACCTACTACGGCCTCGGGGTTAGAACGAAGAATGTTCCGGCAGCAGATATATTGGTTTGGTGGAAGGTACGTCGGTTCGCTGGGAAATCATGAATAGCGACTAAGACCACAGGCGATGCCAGATCTACTACGCTGCTCTGTGCTGCTATCTCCCTGTCGCTGCGGCAGTCAAGACAAGTCTCGTCCTTTTCATCATGCGCCTCTTTCCCACCCGCGGTATCACCATTGCCGGAAAATGTATACTGGGGTTTGTGGTAGTCTTTACAACCTCCGGCACTCTTGCTCTCGCGTTCCAGTGTCGTCCTTTCCGCGCCGGCTTCGACAAGACCATCACCGATGCCAAATGCTATTCGGTGAATACATCGTTTGCAATTCTTATGATGCAGGGTGTTATCATGTTCGTGGTAGATGTGATCATTCTTGCGCTTCCAATCCGTCGCGTGTGGCAGCTTCAAATGCCACGTGCACGACGAGTGATGATTCTGGGGCTGTTTTGCATAGGTATGCCCGACACCACCTGCAGGAAGTAAAGGCTAACCACAAACAGGATTTACCGCGTGTATCGCCGCACTCGTCCGATTTAGCACCCTAACCTATGCCACAGATGAAACAGATTATACCTGTTAGTACTGCCATGCCAGCTGTTCTACGAAATTCCCATCCAGCCAACCAATGCTCACCAAACTACAGACGCGGCTGCCAATTCCCTCATTTGGATGGAAGTTGAATTCAACCTTGGGCTTATGTCTGGTTCTCTTTCATCCCTCCGCAAGCTCGTCCGGCTCCGGCCCTCGCAGTGGTCACGAAATACCTCCTCCTTCACCGGCAGTCGCTCGACCAACCTCGAGCTCGGATTTCATAAAGGCTGGGGGAAGGGGATAACCAAACAAACGGAGATCAACAGGATTTTCGAGACGGCAGATAGCAGCCAAGAGCTTATCGCCCCGATCTACGGCCAAGGGGAATTGCCCACCACCACCAAAGCTTTTCCCGCCGCAACGACTCAGAGCTCCTAGACCGGTCTACACCGAATTTCTTATTTCCTTTCTAGAAATATATTATTCTCAATTCTGTCATACACAATAAGGTTCTTCACCCCGATGCGCCGCCGGATACCTGCAGAACGTTGCGACCAACGGCTCATCGACTTGTCAAAATGAGGGCTGCTCCACCCTTGCCCCGACGCTAAGCCCGACCGTTTCCCCAACGGCGCCCATCCTGGGGCCAAAATAAATGCCGGTCTCTGTGAGGGAGTGAGAATGAAACAATCTGCTTTTTCCTAATTAGTTCTAGACTTGGCCTCGGCGCCTAAATTCTTTGCCAACATCCGTGTTCCGGGCCCGGATTTCGGATGTTCACTGTGTACCATTATCCTCTAATAAGCTTTGTCATCGTGGATGGATGTTTCCTGAATGCTGCCTTTGGTTTTTTTTTTTTCGGATTGAATTGTAAAAAGTTCTTCGACAATTGGACATTTCAATTTATTTCAATTTGTCTTCTCTTCGATCTCGGGACAAGAGTATCATATCGTTCATCACTTGGCGACTGTCGTCGGTGTTCTCAAAATAATGACAACAACAACCATCTACATGCATCCTTTTTGCTGCCCATACCTACAATCTGCAGCCCACTCGACTGATTACATTGAAATGAAACCGTAAGCCACATAAGAGGTGGTCAATGCATCAATATCTCTCGACGATATATTAAAGACCCCTCTGGGATGATGCTGCATTCTTGGCGCTTATTGCCGATGAGCTGCAGGATCATTACTTTATATTGTACCTGCTTTGCCCCGAATCTTATATATCTTCATAACAGGAAATGATGCCATTCCAGAGAAATACATCCTCAAATTACTTCCATGTAGGACATATCAGAGAATCTCCTATACATCTCAATCACCTCTACCCCAATACTTTGTTTGGAATACAAGTTTCGCCTAGCGCCTAGCCATGGCTTGTAATCGAGTTGGCAAACAGACTGCTTAGATACTTCACATGGTTTTAGTCCCAAGGGACAATGATCCCAGAAAGCTCAGAGAGGGCATATGAATATGATAGCTCGATATCGAGCCAGAGATATACCTACATCCAAAGCAAGGCGACTAATAGGATTCCGGGCTTGGAATGGACCAAGCGCCATGGGGAATTCAAGGTTCTGTATCACATGAGCGACCCTTTTACTCTGCTATTGATGAATTGTGTAGGCTGACAGGAATAGTCTTTCAATTCTGGGAATCTTCGTTCTGGGATTCAACGTCATGGGAGCTTTTTATTGCACTGTTTTGCGGTACGTATTAGCATATTCTGAACTAGGTTCTTTACTGGCAGTTTGTAAGCTTAACCTATTATGGAGCCTATACGGAGATTTACGCGGGTTCTGTCACCGGGTATCACTGATGATCGGAATGGGGTGGATGTAGTCCCCTGGGGTTGCGTTGCAGATTGGTTGGGAAATATTCTCTGGTGGAGGCGATCTTTTGAAGAGGAGGGTGGGACAGGGGTTGCGAGTCGGTTTGATGACTGGCCTGAGGAACAGACCTCGGCTTTTCATAACGGAGAGAAATATGAACGGGGCCAGGAGAGTAATGTCTTCATGTAATTTGCCTGTAGATATGTAAATCGAGATTTATTCAGATTAGTTGACTTTAGATGGACAGGGACTAGAACAAGTTACGTAAATTGCAATCTCAACTCACACATCCAAACACAAAGCAAATCCAATTCAACATGTGACAAATCTATATAGGTACTTGCTCCTCGTAATCCAATCCGTTGTGAAAGACAGCAATCTCATGTCTCACAGATAGAATGACAGTTCCTTGTGGTGTGATTGTAGCAGGGGCGTTCACGCCAGCACTGTGCCAAGGAAGAGGTACATAGAAGTGCCGTGTATAGAACTTGTCTGTAGCAGCAGTCTCAAGGTTGATTGAGCAGACCCATCCACTCTGCTGGAGGAAGATAAGCCTTTCCTTGTGTATACCCAAGGTGTATTTGTAGTCTTCAATGGTCCTCTCGTAACATGTGTGATGTGAAGAGAATTGATTCTCCGGTGGAGGATGATGATCGGACGACAGGGTATGCATGATAGGAGTCGAATTGGAGGATCTGGTTCTCGAGGAGATGTTATAGATGTCACGGCAGTGAGGTAGGCAGATAGTATCAAGGATTGTACTGCCGTTTTCCTTGTGTTCATTGAACGATTCATACATAAACGTTGATAAGAGGTCGAATGAAGTCCAGCTGTAGGCGTGCACGCTGGCTTTCTGGATCAACATTAACAAGTCACTTTGTGGTTTGCTCACCCATTTTCCCGGTGAGCTAGTCTTTTCAAAGGCGTAATCTTTGACGAGAAGGCCAGTCTGCAAGTCCCAGACCGCATGCTTCTCAATCATAGCAATGAGTAGCCTGGTGCCATCAGGGCTCACCAGAACCTGTAGTGGTGACGAATCCATGTCCTTTTCGAGAATTAGACCTTCGATCTCGAAGTGGTCGGGTTGCTGCTGAACAATCCTTCTTGCAGTAACGCGTCGACCTCTATCCATACAAACAAGGATGTTCCGAGTTGAATTCCAGGCCAGAAAATTGATTGCCTAATTGTCTGTCTGGGTAAAGAGATCCTGAAGTGGCTGTCCTGTTTTGGTTCGAAAGACAGCAACCTGGCCGTTCTCACGTCCACAGAATACATAATCACCCCCATGGTGGGCAGCCATAGCCCCAATCACTAGATCATCAACCCATCCGACGCCTGGGTTGAGTGTTGGATGTTCCTGGCCACTATTACTGATGTCAACGGCATCATCCACAGAGTCTCATCTGAACAGAACCGATGGCTGCCATATGTTACAATAATCGCCCCGGATATCGAAAACTCGCGTACCGGTGCTGTTGAAGGCCAAGGCCCGAATACTCTCCCGCTGCAGAAAGACTTGCTTGAGTAGTGTCATAGTTCTAAAATCATACAGTTTGATGATACCATTTCCAGTTCCGACCGCCAGGATTGTGCCATCTGGAGAGATGCTGAGGACAGAAGCATTTGTATCTGCCGTGGCTTGTATGGTCAGACTGATGGGGTCGAAGACAAACGTCACACCGTCCTGAAAGCTAACTGCAGCCAGTTGAATGTCAGGGTTTGGGTTGAAGGCGAATGCGACAATCAGTGGCTCCGGGTATAAGGCACCAGATCGATGAAATTGGCCTTCGTATTCATATCCGTCAAGACCCCAAAAGCTCACAGGCCTGTGTGGATAGGAAAGACCAAGTAGGCCCAGGGCAGGGGCAAAGTCTGCATAGATGGGCGGCCGTCGGTACCTATGCTCGCGAATTTCCTCTTCTTCCCAATCACAGAATTTGAACACATCGAGCTCTTCACCAGTCCCTGCATCAAGAATGAAGGCAACGTTGGCTTTTGTAGCAACGTACAGCACCGTGTCATTTTTCCAAAAGCTGAGCGCAATTGCTTCGTCTTGCATCGGGACAGTCCATAATGCTTCTCCAGTCGATGTGTTTCAAAAGCGTATCTTTCTCCGGCCAGCCGAAGCCAAGAAGATATCGACCGAAGCGAAACCTAGACGGCGCACGGGTTCGCCGTAGTCAAGCTGGGTTTGCTCCTGGAACGTCCCCTCTTGATAGATACATATCTTGCCAGTTGATAATCCCAACGCAAGCTTCCCCCCTTTGCATGCAACAGAAAGGGACCGGGCGCCTGGCGTTACGATGCAGCATAGCCTATCATCCCACTGGTCTTGAGAGAGTCCCACCACCTGCAAACGTCGAAAGCTGGCTCTGGAAGCCTTCGAAATAGCAGATTCTCTTGGGCAAACTGCAGGGAGTAGATACTTTATGGCCCGAGGACTGGCAATGAGAGCCTTACCAAAAAAGGGCAACCAGATGGGCAATGTCATTTGTCCATGTAGTGATGGTTCTCATCTCATTCCCGAGAGCACATTGATACTTTTCCATACGCCCTAGAAACATGCGGAAGTTCTTTGCAGCTTGAATTAATGGGTCAATGTCCTGGGTTCTTGCCACTGTTTCAATCCACGCTAGTGCATTCGACGTTAAAAACGTGCTGAGTGTAATCAAATAGGCTGGGTCGCTGGATGAGGCACGTATAAGATGATCGGAAAAATGCAAAATTGCATATTCTGAGAATGGAAACTCTTTTGTTGTAGACGGCCGGGTTTGTCGAGAACGTGGCGGACTAAGTTCCTGAGTAGACAGGTAAGCTAAACAGACTTCAAAAAGCCTTGCATGGTCGGTTGTCTCTACGATAGAAAACCGTAGGTTGTTGTGCTGTCTATAGAGGTATTCTCGGACAGTCTGATGCGCTACCATGACGCATGACTTGGCATCGACAATGATCAAGTTGCCGCAGATACTTCCAACCATCTTTCCAAGTTGGTTGAGACTCTTTCCAATATCAAGCTTGAGAGCTTCCTGCAACTCGTCGACATGAAGAGGACGAAGAGCACAGAGCGTCCACCGTAGTATCCCGCAAGCGATCTCTCGTGTTTCGGGAATTGCCATGACTTTGCGAAGAATCGATGCATAAAGTTCACTCATTTCGTCTGGACTGGAAACTAAGCAATCATGAACTTGTTCTGCACTGATTGCATCTAAGATCTTGTTGACGATGAGATTTGTCCAAAGAAAATTACCGTTGGATCGCGCAATGATATTCTCCACTAATTCATCACGTTCGTGCTCACTGTCAGTCAAGAAGTGCACCGAGTGGGATTCAACAAAAAGTGTGATGTCGCACAGGGAGGCACCTCGGGTGATGTCATCGGTCACTGTGAGCATTTTCTGGCCCGAGATGAGGCGCTCTATAGTTAAAGAAGGGCGACTGGTGAAGAAAACCAGTAGCGGAAAGCTCGCTTCTACGCTGGCCAGAAATGAGAAAAGGGGAGAGCACTTTTCGCACTCATCCAATGCATCAATCACCCAGTATTGAGGCCGTGACAGTTGTGTTCTCAGAAATTTGGTAGTGAAAAGGGTTCGCCAAATGGAACGTTCGTCCCTGCGGTTAAATGTGACATTGCTTTCACATACTTCGACCAACCCTTTTCGGATTTCTTGATTTGTTGCTGCCATCTGGTAGGCCAAAGAACATAGAAGTCTGGCTATACGAGACTTCTCTGCGCTGTTGTCTTTGAAGAAGAAGTAGGCACAGTCTTTGTTTGACTCTTTGAGGTGCTGGATGACGTATGCAGCAATTATAGACTTGCCTGACCCTGGTTCTCCACGTAGCCAGTAGCACTTGGGGGGCTGTTTCCCGTCTAACCATTGTAGAAATGACTCCTTTTTCATCAACCATGAACAAGAGCCATCTGTCCGGTGCTCGATGTTGTTCTCGTAGTCGATCTCTGGGCTCTCAACAATGCCCAAAAAGCGCGATATAACTCTCATCAGATCCTCCTGATCATGAGTTTCTGGCGACGCTTTGATGGCAAGTTGTAGGGCATGGATAGATTTTATAGCTGTAGTAAATGCATCCCTTAGACGGCCATAGTCACTGTCGGTCGGATCATTGAATTTGCAAACGTTGGAATGATCGGCGTTTAAGTGGCTAATCTGCTCACCAGGAAGTTCCGAAACTGCTGACCATTTATCCACAATCAACCCAAGAATTGTTGGCTGTGTCTCAAAAAACGACCACAGTTGAATGCCTTCGTAGGTGTGACGGAATTGATCGTTGATTGTTTGGATGACCTCCGAATAGGGAAACAGACTCTCGACATACGGCTTGGACCCTTTACCGCGGACCAGTGACAGCAGATTGCTCTACATTTTTGCCATATCAGATCCTCTATGGGGCGTTGCGAGGAAGAACAGACTGTGGATCCGCGCTGCGATGCGATTGTAGGTGGGATTGGCTTTTGCCAGGAGAAGGGCCTTTTTTATCACCAAGCCTCCCATACTGTGTCCTATCAGGACAATCGGAGTCTGATCCGCACTATCGCCGAATGAAGGTGAGGTGTGAATGTCGCCTAGCAGGGCCTGGCCGAAATCATGGATGGTAACGATGCTGGTCGCTCGCTCGCGCCAGTTCGAATTGTAACCAAACGAATGAATCCGAACATGCTCGAAGAAGGGCTCTTTTGGAAGCCACTTTTTGGGCTAGTAGTGATTCAAATCAGCGGTCTTGCTCCATATTTTCCGTGACTCACCTCCTAGGCCGTGCACGAAGACAAAATCTATCCGCGATTCTGCTGGCTCGTGAAGAAGGTTAAGGCCTAGCGGTCCCCAGAAATCTCCCTTGAGGTCCCCGGTTCCAATTATGCTAGTACGTGAGCTCGTAATCCGGCGGAACAAGGAGCTTGCTCTTAGCGATAGCCATCCGCGGGCTGATTCATCCGACTTCCTGGGATGGTGGTCCACCATGGGTACCTGCGGGAGCGTGTTGGTGAAAACTCACCATGACGAGCAGCTCACTGAGGAGACGTCCAATTCCCGACAGGCAATGTCATGGACAATCGCTGTCGAACTTACCGTGGCCTCGATCTGGTAGGAAATCATGCTGGGGTGGATGTGCACTGCCCATGCACAAGGCTGAAAAAGAGGGGTAGACAATAGCCGCCATGGCTGCAGGTGAGGGAACAACTGGCACCCTCAACTGCAGTAAAGCGGTTCGACTTCATCCAATCGTAGATACCAAACCAGGGAGAGATCCAGGTTTTATCAAGCAGAGTGGTAAGGATTTGTCTCCTGGGAAATAATCCAAGCTCCCTTGCTTCGAAGCCTTGAGTTGGTGATGAAGCTGTCTTTTCCCAGCGCCTTCGGATTCAGATTGCCGCCCAGGCACATGACGGGCTAACCGGTTCAAGCCTGTCCCAACATTTACGCGCTGTGCGTATTCCTTCGATTGTTCAAAAAGTAGATGATACATCCACATAGTCATTAGTGAAAATAACATCCAGATACGTCGTGGTTGAATTGAAGCCATCGTATCACTAAGAATGCATCTAAACAAGCATATGCAGGGACCTGTCTACACAATACTAAATTCTCAGTCGCAGTTATTGGGTACCAGTTATACCGCTAGGTTTTAAATATTAAATTTCTGACATTAGAGTATAATGTTAATCACCAGGAACCATTTTGGTATTATACACAGTTTTCCTACATCCTCACCCGAACATCCCTCTAGATCCTCACCTCCTCCGGCTCATGCCCAGCAGAACCATGCGGATCCATTTCCACATCATTACTCAAGTTTGTGAATCCTTCCTGTCTGCGCTGCGCACTGCGGAGGTTATACGTACTCGACATCCTCCCGATCTGACCCCCACTATCACTCCACGACCCAGAGGTATGAAATCTCATAACCTGTCGAAAGCACGGGATGCAAGCTGTGACGATAACCAGACTCGCCTCGACATTACTAGAGAGAATCGTCAGCATTCACACCACAGACATTCAACGAAACGAAGCAACGTACATCCACAACGCCATCTTCCCCAACAGAAACGTCTGATCGTCTTGCGTCAACATAGGGATGGTTGCTGAGAGCCGGAGGATACTCGTCACCAGTGACCTGTCCCATCGATATAAATTAGCCCATCGACATTCAATCAGCCCCAGGAATGTGGAATATAACCTACAACCCCCCCAACCCAAACATACACGCCAGCCCGACCCGTTTTCTAGACGCCATTTTCAACCTCGCCACAATAGGCAACGGCATTCCCATAAGTATGATGTCGGTGAAGATACTGGCGACCACACCAGAGAGAAATATCGGTGCGCGACCCAGACACTGTCCCTCCACCCAGGGGTGCCACGCTTTATAAACTGGCCGACAGCTGAACAGAAAACAACATTCGAGAATGACCATGTAGGAAACCACAAAGGCGGTGATGGACCATAATGTGATGCGCCATCTTCGTTGCATGTCGGAGAGGCGGTAGTAGAGGATGATGAGGGAGATTTTGGAGAGACCGAGAGCGGGGATGTAGGTTAGGGCGCCAGCGAGGAGGACCTGGCTTTTTGCGTTAGGAAATTGATGGAGGGGGTGAAAGGGGGAAGGGAGGAGAGACTTGGAGGGTCTTGTAGTATACGGGGGTTTCAAGGTCCCATTCGTGGACACCGAGACCGGCATGGGTGTATCCATCTGTTGGAGGTGAGTTGCTGAGTGGTATGAAAGTGGATCGGAATATTCACATAAAAGTACTGACTGAGTGACAGCTGCGAAAATCTGTATGTCGAATCTTTTCGTTAGGTCGGTGTCTGCGATCGATGATGTTGGTTGTTACTGACCCATGAAGCCACGATAACGACTAGAATATCAATATCTGTCAGAATTGTGCCACCGTATAGAAGGTATGGCTACTTACCATCATCCAGGTACCATTTCCGCACAATCACCACCCGGGTATATATTCTCACCAACAAACACAACGCACTGACAGTGACACCCACAATAACCACCACCAGATTCGCCAGATGATAATGTCTTGTTGGATCTGTCAAATCCGGGGCCACTCCGGTTGGGGCAGAAATAACGCCCGTACCACTTTCCGTGGGGGCTGCAGTGCTGGTGGCGCTCATACCTACCTATCCGATCATTATTCCCAAGACACAAGAAAGAAAAAGCACAAACAACGAAATAAGCTTTTCTCCCGAACTCCCCCCGTTGAAAGAAACAAGAGGTCCGGAGTAGGGAGTCGGGAGGGAGAAATTAATAAATACCACCAGCATCGGGGCCAATTCCGCCCTCAAATTCCGAGGGTCGGGGGTACCGATAACTCGAAAAAGCTAGATGTCGGCCCCTAAGTACTAGGTCTTTTAGCTTGATACTGAAATGGTTGGTGCCCAATGGGAGATATATCTCAGTGGGATTATGAGATCAGTCCAGGTAAGAATTTTGTGTCAGTAGCTGGCTAGCTGGCCGTTTGTGCCTGATCTGCAGGAGGCTACAGTCTGGTTTGGTTAATCAGGGATTAATCTACTCGTCCTTGGCATGGAAGAACTCCGGTCGACAGTCTAGACTGCGTCAATTCCGGCCGAAGGATTGGGGTTTGCCTGGCTTGGGGATGTTGTGGTCAATGGATATTAAGTGGTGGGGGGGTTTGATTGGGTGGCTGGGGGGTTTCAGTCTAACGGTGTCCCCATCGATGGACGCATGTAGTCACGATCTGCATCGACGGGGGACTCCGATTGCTACCCCTTCTGCTTCCTCAATGGCTGGTCCTTACAATTGACAGCGGAAAAGTGGAGTTGCATAATTCTTGGTCAGATGGATTGTTATCCCTGTGTGCTTCCTTATCATCTAAAACCTAAAGCTATCGCCACATCACCAGGCCAGGCTGCCGTCTGCGCCAGCCAGACCACAGTAATAATTGAGTTCGTCGCCTCCGATATGTTGACCCTCGGACTTGCAATAATACAGAAGGCTCTGGTCATTCAGCAGTGTGCAGTCGGGGCATTGGTCCCATTGTTTGCTCCCCGTGTTGCGGTTCTTGTAGTATGTGCAGGCTTTTTCGGTGGCGGCCTTGTTGAAGACTTTCTGTACATTCATGGTTAAAGATGGATTGATACAACGAGGGTGAGTGTCACTTACTACGCCACTGCCGGGGGAGTCATAGCAAAGACCTGTGTAGTGGAGGTCGGCCAGAGTGCTGGGTATGTTAGTGATGGAGTGTATAAGGTGCAGGGTGATGTGTACCCAGTAGCAAAGGCTGCGATGATAAGAGCTGCGAATTGTTTCATGGTGGCTGATGTATCTAATCTGCTGAGTGGAGGGTAGCTAAGTGATTGACGACAGGATGGCACCTTCTTAAATATGATACATCTTGTGAGATGCCCAGACACCTCATATATCATCCTTCTCCGGAGCTCTTTCAACCTTCCTCATGGCCATCACAACTTCAATGGTCTACTGCCACGCCTTGGTGTCTCCGAAAATACTCCGCATTTAATTAACATTGCTCAATCCGATCAGAAGATACCCAACAACGATGTCATTTTTGAGTTCTCCAAGACCAACAACGATGATCCCAATGAATGGATGAGACGTCACACCACATTCTCTACCAATGTAACGGTCGTGCAGGTTTTCTGATAGATCAGGTCTCAGATTCCGTCATCTCAACGACGGCCGAGATGTAGATCTATCGGGCGTAAATGTCTCATCCTCCGCCAAGGTCGTCGATCCCTGGTTGTGCTTCACAAGGGGAACTCATATGCCAAAGCTCCCCCCTGAACAAAGAGAAGCAGACGCGGGAGACAAACTCATATATTAAGGTTCTGGAAGTGAAACGGGTGGATCCAGAGCCCGACGTGAGTGGCCAACGGGTCGATCCGTGGCTGCGATTGACCTTTTTTAGGGTTCCGGCGGATCGTCTCGACTACTCAATGCGGCGATCGGACTTATCGCTCGACGGCGTCGATCGGGTTGTTTCTTCGGCCAATTTTCGGAGACTCCCGAGGGATCCCCAACGGTTCCCGTTAGATACTCCATACGCTATCACCAGGTTCACGTGGTGGCCTTGGCTATAGTTACATGTCTTGGCACGGCATGCAGTATTCGAACTGACTATCGTGATACAATGCACAGCGATACGCATATATAAACCAACTCATATCTCAACAATACCCTCAAAGCACAGCCATCACCTCATCTCCAGATTGCCAACCCAATCCACCACCATGAAGCTCCCACTTCTCATCCCCCTCCTCTACGCTACCCTCTCCCACGCAGCAGCCACCACCCTCTGCGGCCCAGATGAAGCAATCCTCATCCTGGAGAACAACACCACTGCAACCATCAAGAAAGCAGACCTAGCCTCCTACCTCCCCAACATCTCCTTCCTCCCACCCAATACCACCACCCCTCCCCTCCTCACCACCACCACCACCAACACCAACCACACCAAGCGCGGCAGTTCCACCGAACTCATCATCGAGCTCCCCGACCTCGACTTCCTCGGCTGGGACATTGCCATGTCCACCGTCACCCACGCCAACCAAGCCGACGCGACCCTCGCCATCGCCGGCGGACAAATGATCGCCAACAGCATCGCCATCGGCGCATCCGCCGACTTCACCCTAGTCGAGGACTTTCTCTCCGCCAGTTACAGTCTGACCTACACACAGACCGTGACGAGCACGTTGACCGGCACGGTCACGATGACGATCCCGGCCAACAAGTGGGGAGCGATTGTCAGTAACCCACTTACCCACCGGAAGCGGGGGTATGTGTTCACGGGAGAGCCAGGAAATGGCCAATTCGAGTATTACCAGGCGGATTCGTTCGATAGTGCTAGTTACACGTATTCAGCGGGAACTTTGTCGTGGGTAAAGGGCGTGGTGACCACTTGTTTGGGGGATGGATACCCTTTGCCTAGATGTGAGGGGAGTGGGGATTTGGAGTGATTCACTCTATGGGTGAGGGGATGCTGAGTTGATTACAACCTAGAGTTGGAGAAAGAGTTTCGGGGTGGATGATTTCCGCCTCGCATGTTAAATACACAGATAGATAGCGAAATGTCAGACGTAGCCTAAGCCATGTCATCAAGGTACCGCGCAGGAGCGGAATCATAAACCGCCCGTCCTTAGGAACCAGTAAATGATCTTGGCAAGCGGGGAAGCCATCCCTGGATGCAAAAACGCCACATCCATTACCTGGTGAATTGAAAAGCCATACAGACCTCGTATATGAGCACGTGTTCCACAACCGTTGAACTCGGTCAGTGTCCTGCCACATGGCACCCCACCGGACCGTTTATCTGATAACTTAGACCCCGCACCGCGTCGGATCCGAGCTCGGTAATAGCTATTAGGTCAGTGACGGAAGATTTGTCTGATGTCACTAATTGGAGATATGGGGGGTGAATGTCTGTTGGGATAATTGGGTTTGTGTTTGATTCCGCGCGCGGAATGACTGTCTGTAAGTAGATGGAATAGAAAGCTATGTCTTGGTATATTGATTGCACGAAGCGGATTGAATGACTAAGTAGGATGCTATGCGTCATTGCTAATTTAATGTATGTCGTCAGATGAAGTGGAATTCCCTCTTCACTGCGTTAAGCTACCATAGGTAATTATATACCGTGAATTACAAACCGATTCTCTCCATCGACTTCGATACATAGTGATATTACCAGTGTACCATTCACATTAGCCATTCATCTGGGAATGTAATCCCCCTATATCTTCTCGATAGACCAACCATCTTTCCTTTCCAACTTCATCCTTATAATATTCCGAAGAAAAATAAATACGTTGATGTGTCTTGATCTGCGCTCTAAACCACCACCGAAAGCCCTATACAATCCAACATCTGTCAATTCTTCCAATATCAAAATTCCGACTGCTCCATTGCGAGCATGGTCTCCGGTGGAGACCTATCCTGTCTTCATTTCCATATCTTTCGTCTCTCTTCAAGCCATACCATCAAACCAAAACAACTACTCAAATACCAATACACGATGGTATTCCCAGTCTCACCAATGGGTATAAAAAGCATTACTACGTTCGAATCCACCATTATGAAAACACACCAAATACGGTTAATCCTCTCAGAAGAGAGAATCATATCTGCAAGCACATAATTCGTTGCCTTCACAGGCGCTACATATTTTCAAGTTACTTACCATCCTACTAAGTGTATGGCAAGTCTGATAAAAGATTCGACAACCCACAACTGACAACACATATCGTATTGTGGTAAATATCAACCACCTAACCAAGCTAATTATCTCATCGCGGGATATGCTTGCTCGGAAGAGTTCATGGTCAACATATACAAAGAGCTATCGATATAGTAATACGTATATCACACCGTTGAGAATAACAACCCGGGTTATTTGATCGTCACTGATATACGGTGTATCTTATTTCCGTGCAAGTACAAAAGCCGCTATGAAAGCGTCGAGGATTGACTGTGCTGGAGAATCAAGAACCTCGAGAGGAAGAGATCCGACCTCAAAAAGTGCAGTGCCGCGGAGGGGGAGCCGATGGAAGTGCAATGCATTTTCCATGGGAAGGCCTCCATCCTATGCAAGCTCTGTTTTGCTGGCAACAAGAAGTGCGTTCCAGTAAGTATTCCCAGCCACGATGTATGTATATTGTTTATTAACGCGTCTAAACGTCCCCTGGAATGATTGGAAACGCTTTCAATATATCCAAGATTCTTGAATGGATACGCGATTTGTTTAGACTAGATAAATTAACCCTGGATGACTGTGTCGCGATGTGCACCACCGGCTTCAACTTGATGAAGGCTTTTGAAAATATTAAGATTGTCCATACCATGGCTTTGAAGCCTAAAGGGGCTAAAAAAGTGTATGTTAGGGATGGCCTGTTCCAATAATGTTTGGCTAACGATAACCTAGGTTAACCTTTACTCCTACCAATCTTATATGGCCATTCATAGGGATGCTGTCGCCCGGCAGTTTCAGCACCCTGGCGCGGACGCTTCAGCGGATGAACTTTATCTTTACGAGCAGCGAACTCTACTCCGCTCATTGCCCTGCGATGCCAGTTATACTGCTTGGGTTGTGGCAATGACTGTGATTTAGGATGAGGTTATCTCTGTGTTCCGTAAACATTACCCTGATGTTCCAGCTACTCCTGAGAATGATGAACAACAGGATAAGGATGCGGAGGAACAGGAGGAGGAACTGGTGACTTCTGCGGAAGTTCAGGCGGTGCTCAACACCTTCCCCATCCAGACAACCTTTCACTTTTTACGAGATACCTTCTGCGGACGACATTATGGGTTCTTCGAACATTCTATACCAATGCGCTTTTAGCTCTTCGGTTCAAGTGTCGAGACATAACTTCCTGTGAGATCATCAAAGATCATTCTGAAAGGACCCGAAGTTATTCTGGACAAACGACCACGTTGAACGCTGGAATCCGCTGTTTCCGAAGAGACAGCGGGAACTGAGAGGCCAGAAAACATTATTTTATTTGGCTCTTGGGCGCATAGGCTGCACTGAAAGGTCTGTTTTGTTATTGAGTTCGTTGCTAAAGATACAACCTACCGGATATTCCCCATTCTGCTGGGGTGGGTAATTTCTACGATGCTAAATATCAACTATGGGAATTACCATCCAACTCAAGTTGATTCTGGAACCCTACAATGATCAATAGAAACGGGTAGGTGGGTATGGAACAGTTTGACTGAGTTCTGCAACTATACCCACGATACTGCAGTGGCAAATGTTCCCTGATTTCTCATCAGTGGGAAGAGACATGCTAGGCGTGTCGATAAAATCACACATTGCCTGATGACCAGGAGGTAGGAATGGATTCGTTCGGCATATCTTTTATTGGAATTGTTAAAAATTTAAAAAAAACCATAAAGATAATAAAGGAAGGGTCCGCGTCCAAGCGCATGTTCGCCATTCTGCGACGAATATGGTATTTCTCTTATTCGTCACGACACCGCTCTGATGATCCTCAGCTGCGTTTCTTTTAACGTCTTTCTCTACGATTATTTACCGTATCTGATACCTACCGTTAGTTGGAAGAAGCCTGCGACACGGTTTGTCTTTCAAGGCTAAGCGATACCTGTTCCGTTGCTTATCACTCTTCTTCTATTTCTAGCACCCATTCAAGGGGGGGAATATCATTGAAAGCGCGACAAATCCATTGCTCTCCCTATTCGCTTACTCGGCTTCTGCTTTGAGAATCCCTTTGAAATGCGTTCAGTGACATTAGTGGATCATCTCCAAAGGAAGTCGAACCAGTTCCAACCTGGTCGAACAGGTTATATCGGCTATATTGGTCGTATTATGGAGACTGAGTTGGGCGAACAGCCACTGCAGCGATACTGCTTTCTCTCAACGGAGTCAACATGATGTGGAATATTGGGTTTACTCAGATCCGAATCGTGATCAAGCGAGTAAACCGGGCAGTGCTTGTGATCGCTGTCGTATGATGTCACATGGCGCCTTTTAATCCTTACACTAAACAGCAAGAGCATTTCAGCAAGAGCATTTCCTCAGGGATAAGGAAAATGTTTTGCAAATGGAACCATACAACTGCCGATTCTATTGCCGGTCGTGCTGTTGTTTTATTATCCTGCGATCATTTATGACATAATCAAAATTGCAGATCTCTTTCATACCAGTTCAACAAAAAAGGTCCTCCAAAGGTCTATGATAGCGCTTATGTGGATCACTGTACTCAAACCCCGACACTGCGGGCACGGTTAAGTAACCCTGGTCTTGCTGTTGTCCATGATTCGCGTCAAAAAACCTCTCTGAACGCATATATTCCTAAACATATACTCAGTATATGCATCCGCTCTTTTATCAAACGACGAGTTCGACATTTCGGAGGCAAATGCGACACTCAACCCAAGCGCATTCGGTTATTACTACGTTGTGATACTCGGTGCACAGGGGCGTGCACTAACGCATACTCAGTCATTGGACGGTTTCGTCAACTATATATTCTGCAGAGTAGGGAGCTAGGTGCAGAATACCAACGAATCCTTTTATGGAGATACAAGGGATATAACGGGGAGAGGTTCAGCTCGAGGAGCCATACCCCAGCTGCCAAGGACCGATATTGGACACTTACTCAACTGATAACTACCGGGGATAGTTATAAGCCGTGAAAAAAACCATCTCGAATAATGGCCTACGACTAACATGAATCGACTGATCCAAACTGATACTTTACAAACAAGAGAAACTAACCAAATCTGGACGCCACTGTACATCTACGAACAGGATTCAAAACAAAAGACTATATGAATCTCCTACCTCAACACAAACCCCATAGACCATACCCACTCGACCTCTCATCCAGACAACTGCATGAGAAACAATATCTCCAGGACGAATGATGTTCTAGTGGCTATTCTCCACTACAACGACTCCAGAGACTGCGATGCGTGGTAGCTCTATGCTATGGTATGAAACATATACCGCACATCTACAGACAGTAGAACATCATGGCTGACTGGGTGGGTTTACGATTGTGTCTGGTATGGTATTCGGTGTTGGCCATGTGACTCCCAATCGATACGAAGAATTAAAGTCAGGCTCCAGAACAGATGAAAGGCAGTTCATGGCTGTGGGGGGTTTGTATACTGACTATGATGCATTTGAACTTGATGTAGAGGGTTAGAGCGCGTCTGGCCATATTGACAGAGGTTGATACTTTTCTCCTGGGTATGAATACCCAGTGTCTTCTCCTTCTTCTTTGCCTACCAGCCAACCCCTTTCATCTGGTTTGTATTTAAGAATGTGACTTCCTCTAGCCCTTCTGGGGACGTGCTACTACCACCACCATTATCACCATCAGCAGCACAAAATAACACCCTACCTAACACCAGTAATACTCATATAAGGATAAACCTCTCGACCGCCACATAACTACAGACCATGTACTTGATGCTATCGCAGCGGGAAAATTCAAAGATTCTGTTTATCTATTTGGTTGAGATACCTCCAAGGGATACTCGTTCTCCGGTTGAAGGATCTCGAAAAAAGCAAGAAGTGAAACATTCTAAATTCTATCATGTATTTATATTAGGGTTCCAAATCCCGCTTTTATCCTAGACAATAACTGTATCCGAAGATCCCGTGTTGAAAGGCATATACCCCTGAACGGTGGCGGAGTGGTTTATTTTGGGATCTTCATGGGCCGTGGTGCGGGAAGTCAAAGCCTCAACGGGATGGATGGTTTGGTCACGAAGGATCAATAGATCGGGGTATCTTCGGGGAAATATATCGTTCATGTTCTATGCTGTATTAGGAGATTGATGGTATGCAATATGGATGTAGTTAGATTGCGAGAGATAACATGCATTTGAGCTTGATCATAGATTTAAAACACAAAGGTAGAAAAAGATTACCCTGAGTCAATAATAATAATATCTAGTTATTGGGTGATAAGTTACCAAATTTAGTGGACTAACATAACAACTACACCATATATGATGGAGAAAAAAATGACAAGAAGGGGATTCGAACCCCTGCCTCTTTCGAGACTGCAGTGCGACCCGAATTGCAACCCGGGTAAGCGAAGAATCACTTGAATGCAGCACCTTAGACCGCTCGGTCATCTTGCCTTGATTTATGAGTAACCACATAAAAATTAAACTGACATTCCAAAGGCTAAATCTTACATATCAGGACGCGATAACCATTGCCACATGTCCGGAACGTCAATCCACGAAAGAAGACCTAGGTCATCCTGTAACGAGCCAAACCCAAAGTCGGAGTCTGTCCAGTATGATGAATCCAAGCCTGGAGTGTTGGTCTGGGGTGGGACGGACGAAGTAGGTCCATCTGCTGCAGAGTGAGCACCGGCTGTGTGGGTAGGAATGCTACCTCGACTGGGATTTGGAATGTCCCTTGGACTGGGACGGGACGAGGGCCGACCGTGAGCTGTTTGACTGAACGCTGCTTGTAAGAAGCGGAGTGAGGTTCGTGCTGATTGGCTAAACGTGGCCATGTGGGTGAGGACCGTTTCGCTCTTCTTCCAGGTTTCTTCGATTACGGCAGGATTGACTGTGTCGGATAGCGATGGTACCGAGGATGCCATGATAAGGACGAGGGCGCATGTGGATGCATCTATTATCGATAGTCAGTCTCTAGTGATCCATGTCGCACCATGGCAAGGGCCCTTGAGCTTCTGGTAGACACGCGCAGGCATTGAAAGACCTTGGCTGTCCTGCGCTCGTTGCTTGGTGTGCTGATAGCAGGGTGAAGTAAAATAGACGTATCTAGTAGCCGGGAGAGGATAACTCACAAAAACCATTATACCACCAAGCATCAGTAAATGGCGTCAAATACGTATCGTAGGTCAACTGAACCAGGTCAATTGCAGTGGTCACACAGGTAGCCGCACATTTATTGATGATGCAGGATTGAAGAGAACTCTCCGCATCTCTCCAGGCTGGACCGTTGCGTTGCTGGTTTGTAACCGGACTACTATCCGAACAGACTTGGGTGAAGATTGGCCGGTAGAGTAAGAGACGGATATAATAGTATCTGACAGGTCAGCATTGATGGAACGAGAATGCTAGTCTCATTCTTACCGTGAGCGAAGGATATTTCGCTGCCGATCTAGAATAGCCGACTCGACAGGACGATCTAGCCGCTCAGACGTAGTCCACTTGAGACATGATGGTAGACCGGCTTTGAATGATTGCAGTTGTCTTTCCAGTTCTAGCAAAGGATCAAAACTGCCTTCTGACCAAAATGTGGACTTCACCCCCTCACTCGACCGACTGCGCCACATGTTATACACATCTGATAGGACTTTATCCAAAATGCGATATAGCTTAATGGTTCCCATATAGAAATACATAGTGGGCGGGACTGCACCTGTCGAATAAGGCAACGGGACTGGGGCCAGATGGCTGGTCATGCTTGGACGGCCGTGTGTCATGCTCACAAACCTAGGTAGACATGGGTCAAAGGTGGCCAGAACCGAGGTGAAGAGCACCTACACATCCAACATCACGCAGCCATGCCATGTTCGCCGGCGGACTTCGGTCTCCAGAGGCATCATTGAGGATGGATTGGCTTCATGCAAGCCTAGGCCCTGGGCGAGACGACAGGCCAGCCCAATCGCATTCCAGCACCTACTCGGGTAGGGGCTACTCTGCAGATAAAGTGCCACTATCAGCAAAGCCTGGACTACTCCAACCGTATGGATCTCGAGCAAATCCAGGCCTACGAAACGTTTAGAGCGCAGGAAAAAGGAGTGTGCTGTCGCCTCCCGCTCGTGGAGTGGAATGTCCGAGAAATGACAGCCAAGGGCAAACATCGCATTCAGAGCGCAATGGAATACGATTGATTTGGGATTGGAGTCGAATTGTCCCCCGAGACCGATGTGAATATCTGGCAACTCATTCATCTCTTCCTTGGATTTCCACAGGTTATCATATGCCATCTCAAAGGTCGGTTGGTCAAAAAAGGGATAAATGCAGGCTATATGCTCCCAAAAGCAGTCGAGGAGGTGATCTGCTAGCGAGCGAGGGGGCAGTGAAAAATCATTCATCCGATATTGCGTGTTGGGAGACTCATAAAACTGATAGTGAGCTGAACCAATGCCAGCACTGGACGCAGACGACTGCCACGGAATGGAAACCCGCGCAAACCTCATCAGAGATGCGGTCGATGAGGATCCATAGTATTCCCTGACCGGGGTCGGGACCGCCAAGGCGCCACCCGGCGTGGAAATCTGTCCCATTGTGGTGACATGGCCCGGACTGTCAAAGTGTGGCGATACCGAGCTTGCCTCCGATATATCCCTCCTTCCTCGAGTAATATTAAGATTCAGGCCGTCACGAAGGATAGTGGCGCGGCCTGAATTTGTCACTTTCTCATGGAAGGGATTTGCTCCCTGTTGCTGATGGCTTGAGCCAATCCTTGGCATTATAGACGCCTGCTCGACTGCATGCTGTTCAATTTCAGGACGTGTTTGACGCACTTGGTCATCCCCGGTGGCGGTTTGGGGGCTTGACCGTTGACGCTGGCTTGGTCGTGCAGTATTTACACGACAGTCTTTCTGGTATGAGGCATCCTCACGTTGGTCTGGTGCCGATACTCCTGCTTGCAAACAGATATCTTCGAGTTCCTTAATTCGCGAGCGCAGGGCCCGGATATATCTGTCTTCCGTCAACAGCAGGAACGGTCGCATTACGAGAGGAAACTTACTCTTCTTGACTAGCCGTTCTGGAATTCTCCATACTATATGCACATTGGGCAATTCCGTAGGACCGTCGCAGACACGACCCACAGACCGGTTTTTCTCCATCGCAGCGGATCTTCTTCTCCCGGCACGCATCGCATGCTAATGCGATCTTCCGGCGCGAGGTGCGTTGCTTGGCGATACCGCCCAATTTTGGGGGCATCCTATACCTGTATGAGCTAAGCCCGCGTTCAATGTGATGACCAGGAAATTGTATGTTGATACCGGCCCACCGAATGTGAGTTGGTGTTCACATCACGGGGATGGTCATGTGACCGATACAAGCTTCGGAACGACCCGAGAATGGCCTGCCGAAAAGGGAAGTCACCTGCTTTCTCGCGGCCTGAGGACACGCGGCACTTCATGCTACAGCCTCAATCTTGATTCAGTTACTCTCTGGGATGAGACAAAACACTGATCTAGCCAAATCTAGGTATACTCAGGTGACAATGACGGCATCCATCCTATCCACCTCTGGCCGGGTAAACCGGCACTGTAAACGACCCTCGGATCGCACCCGGGAGGCGCTGTGCTCTGGCCGAGGTTGGACATCTTTCCTCTATAAATATCCCAGTGCGCGACAAAGACTGCCTCATTGAAGTTGTTTTGTTTACTCTGCATCACGTTCGTCATCCTTCATCATGTCAAAGATTGACACCCATCACCACTTTGTGCCGCTTTTCTATGCCCAAGGTAACCCAAGACGTCCCCTGTCTCTGAGCTGAGGTCCATGCTAACTCAACTCCTCTGGATAACAGCGGTCGAAAATGCAGGAGGTGATCCGTCTGGGTGGCCAACACCCCAATGGACCCCCGAAGCCTCGTTGGCATCAATGGAAAAGAATGGGACCCAGAAAGCCGTCTTGTCTCTGACTGCTCCCGGAGCTGTCATCGCCCCAGACAATATCAGCAGACGCCAACTGGCCCGACAGGCCAACGAATATGCCCCTAGCTTGCGAGATGCAAAGCCTGATCGATTTGGCTTCTTCGCAGCATTGCCGTGCCTGTCAGACACTGAAGGAGCACTGGAGGAGATTCGGTACAGCCTAGACGTACTCAAGGCCGATGGCGTAACGCTGTTCACTCGATACGGCTCCGGAAATCACTATCTGGGCCATCCGGACTTCCGTCCCATCTGGGAGGAGCTCAACCACCGCAAAGCGGTCGTGTTCATCCACCCTACTCACCCAGCCGATACCAATCGCGTCAACCCCAGTCTGCCTCAACCAGCCATTGATTATCCCCATGAAACCACTCGAACCGCCGTTGATCTTCTCACAACCGGCACAAAGCGGGCTTTTCCCGACTGCAAAGTCATCCTCTCCCACGCTGGTGGCACCCTGCCCTACCTGATTTCTCGCTTAACGACGGTCACAAAGTCCCCAGAAGCAACATACAATCCGTACAAGACAAATCCAGGTAATATAGTGGAAGATTTCAAGTCATTCTACTTTGACTTGGCTCTTTCTAGCTCTTCTGCCGTGCTAACCCTTCTGTTGAGCCTTGTGCCTCATGATCACATTCTGTATGGTAAGAAAACACCGTCCCGTGGCTACGGATTAATGATGAGTATGAGCTGACGCTGAATGTTAAGGATCCGACTTCCCATACGCTCACAACGATAAGATTGCTGGGTTTAGGGAAGCTTTGGATGAGCATCCCCTAAACCAAGAGCTGAGAGATCGAATCTACTTTGAAAATGCCGAGAAAATATTCTCCCGTCTCTGACAGATGGAGTTGTTGGCCTCAATAAATGAGATTAGAAATGAATGTTCGTTGTAATATATAATGTTAAGTTCATACCAGTAGGCCAAAACGGAAATCCGCTGGCCATCTGGAGAACAGACGGAACGAAGACTCTGTGTCCCAACATATAAAAGAAGGCTAGACCTAGTACCTGTACTTGAGTGAGAAACCAGAAGTGCCAGGCCAACAGAGGAAGGCCTTATTGCCGACACATGGATTAGGGATAGGGCCGGAATGCACCCGAATCGCCTCACGGAACGTCCCGTGCCGGTGATGTCACTCATCCCGGGTCTCTTCCGAAGGCTCCCCCATAAGTCTTCAATCGCCCAAGCGTCAGTCCTACAACCATTCTTCTCATCATTGATTGCTTTTCGTACCACACATATATCTCATCCATCAACACAATGGCGGATCACGCAAATGACTGGCTGCAGGGTAACCTCCCTTGGTCGCATCTGCCGACAGTAAACAAGATTGATACCCACCATCACTTTTGTGCCATCATTCTACCGTCAAGGTTGTTCTCCAATAGTCATCATACATTGAAGTATAACAACCACAAGCTAATCATACCACCTTTCCAGCCGTCGAAGAAGCAGGAGGTACTTACACACGACATCTCACCACCTCCTGCAAAGGATTCCACTAACCCTACCCAACCGCCAGGCGACCCCAGTGGCTGGCCCACTCCGCACTGGAGCTCCATCCGATCCGAACTGCTCATGAAACGCCTGGGCATCCAAACCGCCATTCTCTCCGCCACTGCTCCCGGCGCCTGCATTCTCCGCGGCCAACCCTCCTACAACCTCGCCCGTCAGCTCAACGAACATGCCGCCGAACTCCGTGACAAGAACCCCGACAAATTCGGCTTCTTCGCCACTCTCCCCGACATCCTCGACACCGATGCCGCGTTGGCCGAAATCCACTACGCAATGGACACCCTCCATGCAGACGGAGTCACGCTGTTCACCCGCTACGGATTCGATCACACCTACCTAGGCCATCCACTCATCGAGCCCATCTGGGCTGAACTCCATCGTCGGAAATGCGTGGTATTCGTCCATCCCACGCACCCGGTCGACACCACCAAGGTGAACAGCAAAATGCCCCAACCCGTGATTGATTACCCGCACGAGACGAGCCGTACTGCCATGGATATGATTCTCATGGGGACTCGATCGAAATATCCTGACTGTAAGGTAATCCTGTCTCATGCGGGAGGGGCGTTTCCCTATCTGATCAGTCGGTTGGCGACACCGTTGCGCAAAGCACCAGGGTTTGCATCGGAATTGACAATGGGTACCACGCACGAAAAGGTCATGGAAAATTTCAGAAGCTTTTATTATGATTTGGCATTGTCGTCATCCCCACAGGTATTGGATATGTTGTTGAAGATTGTACCTCATGATCATGTTCTCTACGGGGTGAGTTCTATTTTCCCTCTGCAGCATATACACAGATGCATACGACTAACACCCACCCCCCATCCATAGAGCGACTTCCCCTACGCCCCTCCCCCAGCGTACCCAGCCTTTCTGGAAGACCTGGAAGGATACGAAATGCCACCAGAGCTACGGGATAAGATCAACTTCGGGAACGCATGCAAGTTAATCCCACGACTTGCGAGAAAGGAGGTATAGGAAGGGGATACAAAATATGCATGGAATGGAGATGAACATGTCACAAACACGACGTATGCACTGTGGCATAACGCATTGAAGAAAACCATCAATCTAGCATCATCAAGAAAAGAAGGTCTTATAACATGTGTGTAGTAATGCTTCACAGAGCCCCATACAAGCCCTTTAGGGGTGCATGGCAGGCCCCTGTTAACGTGCTTGGTAAAGGCCCTTAGATGTGCTTGACGGGATTCTTTGCCCATCTCTACTATCTTTAAATACGTGTTTTTAAAATGCGTTAGCTGTGTTTACTAAGGCGCTTCGCAACCTCTTGGGCTGTCCGCGGGCCAGGACCTAGTAGATATGAAATAGGCCTTAAGAAAGCTTTGATTATGAGGTGAGCAACATGTTGGACATATGATTCACCGGGATTTGATTTGCTGAGTTGCAATAAAGAGGTAAATTAGCTATTTCTCTATAAAAGCTCGAGAATCTTGCACACCAGCAGCCGCGGGGGCTATATCTTTTCTCCAGACTCGTGCTTTTCAAGAGAGCAAAGGCATGGCAAAATCTATTGACAGCGCTTGGATATAGGAAGGGAAACTGGCCTCAAACCTAGTGAGAAGCAATGCGTGCAACTATTAGTACTTCGATCGAACGCTGCCATAGGGCACACCGTTGAATTCCAGCTCGAACAGCAAGGACGCGGAGGTAGGAATCAAGACCAAGTCAAAATTAATCTTGAAGTACTCCACTCCTTTAGAGTTGCTTAGTTTTTCGAAAAGCTCCCGAGGGATCTTGCTGAGATCTGCTTCCAAGGAGCATAATGGAATTGTTTCTAAGACGGGTAAGTAAGGGTCGGGATAGTTGCTTTTATAAACCTACCATCATTCTTTATGTCAGGTGCGATGTCATTCTGACAAAACAGTAGGCCGTCATTGAACAAGAGACCATATGCATCAACACTCGTTGATCGAAGTGTACGATAAAACGGTATTTTGATGGGATTATTTTCGGAGAGTTTCGAGAACTAGATCATTCAAATCAGTCGTTTTGGAAATTGTGTACCATGGATCATGATCGGCAGGCACCTTGTGTATATGCCATTTCATCCTTCTATGGACGAAATACTCTTCCTCAAGCTCGTGCCAGACCTTGTCGTCAGGATTGTGTTTACCCTCAATATATGGAGTAGAGTACTCCACGCCGTAATGGCGACGGGCAATGCGACTCTCCACCCGATTGCCATCAAGCCCCCGATAAACCGCGCCGCTAGGCTGTCATTAGTTGTTGGACGTGACTGGATGTAGTGTATCGAATCAAACCTTACGACCGCTGACCACCTGCGCAGCTGAGTTAGCCAGCCGAATCATTTCCGGGAGACCAAAGAACTTACGCGTCGGGGGGCTGTAACACAGTCACAGTAGGATTCGCTTCTTGCAAGCGGTGGAAAAGAAGATTGGAGGAGCCGAAGCCGCCTACGAGAATGATAGCCTGGTGGAGCGTACTTAGCCATTCCTTGTCTCTGTTCCTACTGGAAGATATCCCGACTAACCTTTGGGGTGAGCTTCGACTTCTGTATGCCCTCCATCTGCTCAGCGACAAGCAATTCCACATCGCGAAGAACAGGCTCGAAGATACTTTCAATATCATCACTAGCTCATGTTAGAAAACTTTAAGGACTGCGATCAGTCCTTGTTCGCATACCTGGAAAGGTAGAAAAGTCCACCCTCTATTGGAATTGAAGGGTCGTCACGCGCTCCTGGAACTGGAATAAAGTAGTCCACGTCTACATACTCATCGTCATACTTTCCAACATAGTTAGACTTCACTTGACCTTGCCAGTAAGAAATGATGGATTCCCTCGAAACGTCGGATAAGGCACCGTAGCCACTGGGCCCCATCTTTTCCTCGAGCATGTGTTCAAATCGTTGATCCAATATCATTGACCCGCAAATGCGGCCTAATTTTTCATCAGCCATGCTACTATCGCGTATAAATGGCAAGCAATATGTGAGACTCAACGTACCTGCTCCCTTCACTACCTCCATGAGGGCGAGAGGCTCTAGTTCAGTAATCTGGTACGAGATGAGGTCCTATCTTATTAGCCATAGCACGGCTGAGCTGAAACTTCCGTTATACTCACCACAGTCCCACCTCCAGCATCGCATACGATTAATACATCATTTTTCTGTCAACGTTAGATTTAGGCCGATAGGGAATGTTGTAAAGAACCATACCGCAATCGAGTTGGGTTGGGTCGCGCGCAACGAGTAAAGGGCAGCAGCTTCCGGCTCTGAGACAAGAGAAATCTCTTCGAGGGAGATCCCTGCCTTCTCCGCGGCTTGTAAGGTCCTGTGTTTGGCCTTGTCAGACCAAACAGCTGGAACTGTGAGAGTGAATCGCTTATCGATGGCTTTGGCGGGTATCCCAAGACGCCGCTCGAGGACCTCCTCGGCGTGGCGAATGAGATGTCTCATAAAGTCCGCTGTCACCTGGACGGCGTCCTTTTTATACTTCTTCAGCAGCTCCTTTGAAACTAGGGATGGTGAATACGTTGTCTCCTGATCTTCATCAAGAAGAAGCTTAATGCCTCGGAGAGCCTCGGTGAATGCTCGAACCTGGTAGCCCCAGGTGGGAGATTGGGTACCGTAGGATAAAATGGAAGGGACTTTCACGGATTTTCCTTCAAGAATATGAGCAGACTTTCTAGCTGGTGCAGCTTAGACATGTACATACTGTTGCCGCCACCGGGCCAGGTGGACATCACTTCAATGTTGTCCGTCGATCCCTTGAAAGCCCAAGCAATCCTGGTCTCTGTAAGTTTGGATAAACGGCTTTCTGGAGTATACACATACCCGCTGAAGGTTGTCCCGAAGTCCAAGCCAACGACGATCGACGGCGCCATTTTAACACTATTTCAGGTGGGTGGCCCCCCGAAACCCTTCTATTGTATGTTTTGGGTTCTTGTGAATGCTATCGAGGCACCAGTGAGATAGTGGAAGATAGAAGCTGCTTGGTGGGTGGTAATTTGGGGGTGGGTGAGAAAACGAAAAGAAAATGGGGAAGAAAATGGGGAAGAAAATGAGGAAGAAAATGAGGAAGAAAATGAGGAAGACGTTGAGGAACAGGTCAGGTGATCGAGACTGCTTACAGTGAAGTCAGAGTGAAAGCAGGGTGAGTCTTACTTCCTGTTTGGTGTAAGATGACTCCGTACTACGTGTGATAATGATCATTGGGCCTTCTTACTGCTGTTTCTGGAACTTACATATCTGGTTGAGACTATGAATACCACCTACCTCCTTGGCATTGAACTTGACCATGGGTGCTTTGAAATTGTTGGGACTTTCGTGAATGGCGTCATTCGCAAGATAGTTCCGGTTGTTTCTTCCTCATTGTAGTCATGAAAAGATTGTAATGACTTGACCTCGACAATTGTGGCGATTTATAATTCATCGCGCCAAATTTTTTCAATGCGTCATCTTCAATCACGACATCCTAGATTCGCGCTCTTGATAGTCACATTCTGGGTGCAGATTACAATGGGATTCTCCAAACTAATCCCCTGGGCACTCCGGGGAGTGCCATCTTCAGCCAAGGAGCAAAGTGACACTCGTGCCAGGAGTGAGGTGGTTCAGTATCCCCCATTGAGAACCAGACGGGCTGCCAAACCAGTCAACGCTAGCCAGGTGGATACTGAATGCTTGGCTATTCCCGAGAATCCATTCATCAAGGAAGCAGCATCAGTTGTGCAGGCTAGAGGAAGGAGCGGGCGCACTTGCTCTGGCCCTTTGGGGAACGATATGGCGACATCAGGGAACGCAGAGGGTTTGCGCGAGGATGAGATGACCAAGGTTTGTGAAACATTTTGCTTCCTATGACAGTATTAACAAGACGTACAGGAAATTCAGTCTCTTCGGCGGCGACTCGAGAAGCAGACTACGCAATTTAAGGCATTCAATGATGAAATCAAGCAAGAATATCGACTATTACTTCAATCACATCAGAAGATGGAAAAGCAGCACTCAGCAGACAGAGAAGAGATCCAAAAACTTACTTGCCAGCTGAATAAAGCACACGAAGAATACGAAGAGGTGAGAAAGAGCCAACTAGCAGACAGAGCAAGGATTCAACAGCAAGATCAACTACTGCAGCAAGCGCGTGAGGAAGCATCGAGCAGTACCAAACGGCATCAGGAGGAGCTAAATATACTCTATAATAAGCTCAGCGCCTTGCAGAATGAACAGCCAAGCCTGGGAGATGATCAAATAGTTGAGATCATGCGCAGTCTGAACCAGAATCTGGATCGTTGGGTCAAGGTCAACTTTAAAGATACTACGAAGCTGGAGTCGTGGACTGTTCCACACAGCTCCCCTCAGCGATGGGCCTATATTCAATCCTTTGTCTCCAGCTTAATCTATTCCTGGATATTCTTGCCTTATCAGTTTGGATTAAACGATGATCCATATGGGCGTGTCCTCTCCACAGTGGAAGCATGTGTTAAAGAACATTGTACGTGCTCTTTGAGATTTATCTGGTTGAACTGAAAGCACTAACCTGCTGTAGGCTCAGATGCAGTGCTCAATACTTGGGGGATTGCTACCAGCATGGCCATAGAAGGGGGTACAAGGGATAACCGCGAGAATATACTCATTGATATTGTCAAGACGGTCGAGGATCAGTTCGGTGCTCATAGCTCCACCAACGAAGAATCCCGCAGGCGACAGCTTATCAAGCTGCTGCGGAAATGTGCAGATTACAAGATTTCCCTGACCCGACAGAAACAAGCATTCTTCTTTCGCTGCAGCCCAGTCGGGGCTCAGTTTTGCCCGGAGCTCATGACATTTGGTGGAGGCGACGGACAGCCAGCGGACAAGGTGAGATGGTCGCTGTGGCCAGCCATCATGAAGTGGCATCCTGATACTGGCGGGGATGTTCTAGAAGCAGAATTGGTGTGGACTATGGAGTGACTTGAGCATGTTCCACGCATCCTTCCAGCGAATCGAAACAGATTGCTTATCGTCGGTTTGCAAGTTCATCCTGGATCTCAGCCTAATTGCAGACAAGGGCTATACTCCACTACTTTAGGCCTTCTACGCAAAATGATCAGAGTATCGTCATGTATGTTATCTTCGTAATAGATTTAACTTAATGTCATTAGTGAGACGACATGATTATTCTCCACAGTAGCAGTCATCTACCTCCCCGAGGGTATGTATCATCTCTCCAACTAGATTAAAGGTCAGTCGCCGGCTAAATCATGATTGTTATGAATAGCTCTTAAGTGTACTCTGGTAGATCATGGATTGACTCATTACAGCATAAATCTCTATTAAGCATTCTCGGAGGTGATGCGCTATCAATACAGTAAATTTATCGGAAATCACACGCTTACTTGTCACTTGAAAAAGGGAGAACGCGGCTAGTAAATAGGCCCTAAACTTTCTTTTTATTTTCTGGGGAGAAGCGGGAGCTTACAGTTCTTTGTTTGACAGGTAAGCACTTGTCATGCTGTACTACTTAACAATTCATTCAGTTGGCCCTTTTCTTTCACTCTTACTCTTTCACATGGCTGTATTCTCAGTGCTTGTTATAGTTTATCCATTCACATTTTATGACTTACACATGTTCGATCCCTCACCACGAATCTTAATAAACCCTTTCTGCTCCTGCTAGTTCATCTAATCCACATCTTGCTCCCCGACACCCCCCAACAATCCTTGAAAATGGTCACAGCTCCTCCTTTCGCCATGGCACCCCATCAGAGGGAGGTCCCTCCCGCCTCTCGCCCAGAGGACATGAAAGTCCTGTGATTGGGCATGTCCCGCACCGGAACCATGTGTATGTCTCCTCCATCAACACACTTCGAATCTAACACATCCATACCAGCGTTGTATGTCGCACTCAAAGAACTAGGCTATGCATGCTACCACATGGTGAAATGTTCCCTCGACAATAGCAACAATTCCCTAGGCAATTGGAACCAAGCCATCGAGGCGAAATACCACGGCAAGGGACGCGCCTTTCAAGGCAGTGCCGATTTTGACAGGATGCTCTGGCGATATGATGTGCGACAATCCCTATCCTTTTTCTCTTTTTTTCTAACATCTCAACAATATCTGAAGACTGATACATATACCAGGCCGTCACCGACATCCCCTGCATCCTCTTCGCCGAAGAATTGATAGATGCATACCCCAACGCGCAGATTATTCTGACCAACCGAAATATCGACACTTGGGCGATTTCAGTGGAACGCTCCTTCATGTCTATTCTAACAATGAAACGCTGGAAGCTTCTGGAGAGGCTTGACACCGTACGTAACCCACTCTCAACACTCCACACCTCTAACCAAGCAATTAACAGGTTTGGACCCGCCCCTACATCAAACTCCTCACCTCCGCTCTCGACATCTGGACCGACGGAAACTGGAAAGATCGTAGTCGCTTAATGGCAAGCTTCAAGGACCACTATGAGCATGTCCGCGAGGCAGCGCAGGCGCGGGGACGACCAGTGCTGGAGTACCGAGTGCATGAGGGCTGGGGACCGCTGTGCAAGTTCCTGGGTAAGGAGCAGCCTGATCGCCCTTTTCCGAAGGTGAATCAGGGGGATTGGACTGCGCAGTATCATGTTGTTGTGTTTTGGTGGGTGTTTTTGACGAAAGTGTGGTGGGTATTGGTGTCTTTTGGATTGTCGCTGGTTGTTGTTTTGGTGGCTTGGTGGGTTAGGTCTAGTGAATGATGGATGGAAGCAGATATGGTAGCAGGGGTGGATAGATGGGGGTGTTGGACTGTCTGGGTATTGGATTTATCTGTTTGGAGGCTATTTCACCCAGATATCTTGTAGGAGTGGAATATTACAGTGTTTCCTCAGTCCTCCTTGTCCACATTTTCAGTTTTAGATATGCATTGGTTGTTTAATTACCTTCACTAGTCATAAACCTGTTTGCTATACATGGTCTTTCCGGTAAAGGTTTCACCGGCCCAACCCAAGGTAATTTTGGAACATATTCACCTTGGAATAGGTCCACTACTAACCAAGAGGTATCCTTTGGTCTAGTTAGCAGATTCCAACAGATAACACCATAACATGCTGTTCGTACTAGACATACCTCAATGCAGTGGAATTGATCAGACTACTGTAATTCCGTAGAAAATCTTATTGCAGCGCACCTTACATGCTCTCTACAAGGATCTCCAAAGTACCAGAGCATTAATCACTCCAGAACAGCCATTCCCACATTCCCAAATTACATACATATCACGGAACGATGAGCCTATAGCCCGTAATACCCATGAGAGGTCACCTTCCTCCCGACCACCGACAACATCCACGCCACAAAGGCGAGTTCCCCCAATCACAATGTGACATTCCACTATCCCATCGGTACCTTTCCCGTCATACACAGGATCCATCCTACGACAATTCCCTAACCCTCCCACCTCTCCAACTATATAAGCCCCTCCCACACCCAGCCAACTCGATCCTAATACCCTCAAGCCAGACAGCATCACTCTCACCGATCCTCTCCACTCCGCTCCACGTCCTAAGCACTCAACAATCCGACCTTTCCATCCTCCCGATCACACAGAAAAAGACACCCTATATTATATACATACATATACATATATACATCCCGCAAAATCCAACCTCAAGAAGACACTCCCAAACCCAAGCCACTTTGACATTCCACGGAAAACCTATCCTCCATGAAGCGCAACTTTCCTCCTACACCACAAGGACCAGGAATGGATAATTCCATCTACACAGACACAACATGGAAAACTGTTTCCACAATACAAGGCGACATCTACCACATGATGCAGCCGGTTCACAGGTGCAGTAACAAACGCCCTATCCTGCTAGTTCACGCAAATGGGTCGGAGTGTCTGTCCACTCCGAAAAGCATCTTCAGTGGTGACGGGTGTCTATCCGGGAATACGGTTGAAAGCACATGTGCTTGTGCTTGTCGGTTCGCAGGAACCACCGGCGGTTGAGTTGGAAGGCATGTCTGCTGAAAAATGGATTGTTGGGAGGGGAAAACGATCTTTATCTTACTTGGGGCTTGGAGGAAGTGAATCAGAGGGGCGACGGGTTGGGTTCTATTCTATGCTGAGGGTACAGGTTGCTAGTTAGGAGGATCAGGTCCGAGGATAATAGGATGTGATGACACGCGAGACATGTCTCTGGAGGTATCAAGTGAGAAGAAAAGAGAATCCAGTCTAATCTGGGAGTCAGCCTGCGCTCAGTGATAACATGATCCGCTTTCTATTGAGTTGCACTATGTACATCTTCGAGGACGGCGGAATGTGGTGACGTCCTATACATCCTTACAGAGGCGTCAAGCAAGAGGGAAAAAGAGGAGTCCGGTCAACTAATGGATCAGATGATCTGCAAACAGTGACAACACAAGAAACGGTCTAAGCTCGAGAAGCAGGTTACCGATATGAGGACGCGCTTCAACCGCAGGGAGGTTTAATCAAGCGCCAGACAGACTTTATAGCGCGTTAGGATATGGAGATCCTCCGTGTACAGGCTCAGAAAGGCGCATTCCAAGGGCATGTTTGCCGTCATATTCAGCGTCCGATCACTCTTCAGGCAGCCTTCTCTTCCGCGAAAGGGAATAAAAGCTCTATGTTGGGAGGGAGTCCACGACCCACAACACGATTATGTCTATTCTTAGCCAGAACATGCGTTGTCGGATATAAAGAGCTCGGCTTGACGTCCCTGTCTGGGTTCGGATGAAGTGGTTTGCAGAGGAACGCGGAGATCATCCTCTGATACATGGGACAAACCTACTTACAGACCTGCCGAGCGGGTCCGAGGATCTGTTAGAAGATAAACAGCGGGACTTATCGAGAAGACTACCTGTCCATGGTTTCTTCTCTTGCTTTCCCCCGACTCGGGGTTTTTCTTTGATAAGTACAGCTATGTGGACTGCTTGGTCAGATTGGTTTTTGGTGCACCACAATGGTGTCTGTGGGCCGGAGAAGTACTCTGATTATGATAGTCTGGGTCCTGTGTTTGATCAAGAATCGACAAATCTGGAGAACGGAGGAATTTATATAGAGGTGATGAGGCGTATTCATAGTATATATCGCTTGATAGGGTCAGTACTTATTACTCAAGTATACCTTGATAATAAGACAATAAATAATTAACGTAGATTATAGAACGTGAATTTATTATTAATATTAAGAATATTTATTTGACTGTGATCAGATCTTGTTGTATCGTGTTGTAGCATATCTCTTTTTCTGCTCTTACTGCCTCTACTAACTAAGTTGACTTGAGATTGGTCATCTCTTTAAAGACATGACAGATGGCGTGAACTGAGGCGTCGTAATGGCCAAATGATATGGTATGTAGAAGGTCTATAATAGCGAGGAGTTACTCGCGAGAAGAGAGATAGACTGAAGCAGTGGTTAATTTGTGAAGTATCACGCTGTGTTTATTGATAGAATGGGGCTTTCCGTACATGACTGTATGCAATGTACGCCGATACGAGGCTTAGACATCCCGCTGCTTATCTCCTGACACCGTCAGCTCTTCACCATTGAGTAGGCATCTACTTTCTGAAAGAGCCTTACCATCATGTCTTCTGGCAACAGACTTGAGGCTGCATCAATGTCCTTTACCGCTGACCATGTACCTGTGCCTCCCCGACCGCCTCTCAGTCGGCGGCGTGATAAGCCCCAGCTGTCGTGTAACACCTGTCGCCGTCGCAAGTAAGCCACCTATACCCACAGGCCCGTATCTCAATCGATGCTAACCCACTATGCAAGATCCCGCTGCGATCGTCAGCACCCCTGCTCCGGTTGTGCATCGCGAGGAGACCCCTGCGTTTATGCGGACAGCCAGCATCGGTCGGCCCGCCCGCATGCTCCCCGCCAGGCGGTCGTCCCGGAGATGCAGGATCGGCTGGCGCAACTCGAACGTCTCGTCCACTCGTTGATGCCTGGGTCTGCATTGTCCTCCAACGCTGCGAATGAGTCGCCCTTGCAAGACAGTCAATTGGACTGCGGCAGTATGCGCGTGAGCGCCTCGGAGCTCCGCTACGTCGGCGGGGATCATTGGGCGGCCATTCTCGACAATATTGCCGAGCTCAAAGATCATTTCGATCGCGAAGAGGAGCTGTCTATTACGACCAGTCCGGATGACGAACCTGACTCGACGCATGCACTTCTACTGTACGGATGCCGGCGGGCGACATCGCGGGAGGAGCTGCTGGAGGCGCTCCCTCCCCGGAACATTGTGGATCGCTATTTGTCGCGCTACTTCAACCGCATGGACTTGGTCTCTACCAGTGCGTCCCCTGCACGACTGCAACGCTCACACACTCACATCCTTGAATAGGTGCCGTCCATGGACCTACCTTTTTGCGCGAGGCAAGTAGCTTTGGAATGTTCGATGTGAATCCAGCTGACGGACACAGTACGAAACCTTCTGGGCGGAGCCCAGCAAAGTACCTATCATGTGGCTGGGATTGTTGTTTAGCATGATATGCTTGGGCGTGCAAGCCTCGAATGCATCTACTCTGAAGGAGCTAGATGCCGAGCAACAAGCGCTGCAGATTGATCTGTATCGCGAGAAAGTCGTTCAGTGTCTCGTTATGGGCGAGTACACAAAGTGCGGCCCCTATGTGCTCGAGACAGTCATTCAATACGTGTATATCGAGTTCTGCCTTCATTCGGATGCCGACCAGGACATTTGGTTTCTCCTTGCACTGGAGGTGAATTTGGCGATGCGGATGGGCTACCATCGGGATCCCAGCCATTTTCCCGGCCTCGCCCCCGTGCAAGGGGAAATGCGACGTCGACTATGGGCAACAGTGCTTCTAGGTGATATTCTCATTTCCAGCCAGATGGGCTTGCCGCGCATGGTTCCTCATGAGAAGTGCGATACAGCTGAGCCACGCAATTTGAATGACGATGACCTGGAGACCCCCGGGGCAGAGCTTCCCCCATCCCGACCGGAGACTGAGGCTACAACAGCAACGGGTGTCATCGCGCGACGCCGCATGCTAGTCGCTCTAGGTTCAATCAGCGATCTGGCTGCTACTGTACAGTCTTCTCCGTACTCTGAAGTTCTGCGGGTTGACCGTGTGCTACACGATGCGGCCTCTAGTCTCCCGCCGCCACTGCGGATCGAGTCACCACTAGGAATCAGCTTCACGGACAGTCCACAGGTCACCATGTCCCGGTTGTTCCTCCGTCATCTGTTTTACAAGGGCCAACTGATGCTCCATCGCCGCTTTCTCTTCACAGCAAGGCCAGCAGGGGAAGTGGACACGTTCGCCTACTCTCGTGAAGCATGTATCAGCGCCTCGCTCGGTGCGCTAGAGCTTCAGCATATCCTGGATGAGGAGACATCTCCGGGAGGACAATTGCAGTCGCTGCAATGGCGGGTGACATCCATTATCAATCACCAGTTTCTCACGGCAACTATGATTCTGTGTTCCCTTCTACATCGCGGTTCTCCTCTACCACAGGCTGAAGAGATTCAGAGGGCGCTCCGACGCGCGCGTGTGAGCTGGATGCGCCGTAGTGCGACCTCGCGTGAGGCCAATATGGCGGTGAAAACAATCCGGATTGTGTTGTCTCGGACTGCCGGTGATCTAGATGCGACTGAGCTCGATGAGTCCTCGACGAGAACGCTTGTAGAGAAAAGACCGGCACCGGCTAGTGATGGCGATGCCGACATAGGCGGGAATGCGCTTGACTCGGAGATTCTCGATCCACCTGATCTGTCCTGGCTAGCTGACTATGCAACAGACGATCCTGACCTTCCCTCCACGTTTCTAGGGGTTCGAGGGGATCGACCGGATGTCTTCCCATTCGATATCAACATTCAACGTGGGGGGAATGAGTGGATGGGGATGAATTGGCCGGGAACAGAGTGGTGATGCCTCGGTCAGTTGGGAGGTAGGGATGAGACCGATGAAAGAGGAGTATCATCTCGACCAGTCGCCGCACTCGAAGCAGGAGATTCTATTTCAAGGTGAATTGATTAGCATACTCGTGGATTCTGAGGATACCCTTCGAAAACACTGGACATTAAGGTACAAAGCAGGTGTCCGTGATATCTGTGCAGACGTATTCAAGGGTGATGGTAAGGATACCAGGGAGACGATAATGCAATGACAATATGGCTGGATCTATTCATTAGGGGAGATAGGAAAAAAGCGGAAATCGAATGGCTGGAGTCAAGCTCCTTGTGCGCTACAGGGGATTGGTTGTGCCTGACCCTGGAAAGGAATCGCCCCGGTTGTGCAAGGGTGGATCTGGGAAGACCCTTCAAAATTCCAATGCTTGCTTTATGCGGCAGGATTTTCCTGGTCATGGCGCGGAGTTGCCACGTCCCGGTGGATGCATTCTCCACGCATAACGCCCAATGCTCACATTTAAGCTTTCACATCTACCCCAACGTCGGATTTGTGCGTGTCCGATGCACCTGGACTCAGGAACATAAATCCATCAGATGCGAGATCCTTCCCCATAACCATGCAGACCATGCCACTTTCGGTAAAGATGGGCATTAATTGTTCCATCTATATCTCAATATCTCATCCAGGCCGGATTTACCTCTTCCGAAAGCAGCACATTGCGGGCACAAGATCCGTCCATCCATATCCCCTTGACTCGAACTTATATCAAGATGACTACCTCACCTCACCTTCTTTGTCAACATTCAACTTTTCTAAATAATCCTTAATCGAATCACAACACTACCGCGATGACTCAATCCCTAGAGCTCATCCCCAGCGAAGGGCCTCCTGATTCGGCCACCCACAACCGCCAAAATGAACCGCAGGGGACACCGGCATACCCCCCAATGGCCAAAATTATCCCTATAATGTTGGCAATCTATATTGTGATGTTTCTGGTCGCTCTGGTGGGCTGCAGCAAACCTATCCTGACAAGAAACAAGCTGACTGGGACTCTGATTCGCACAGGACCGCCTCATCGTGGCCACGGCAACCCCTCAGATCACCGACCACTTTCATAGTACCAACGATATCGATTGGTATGGAAGTGCCTACATGTTGACAGCATCCGCCTCCCAGCTTATCTACGGCCGTATCTACACCTTCTACCCGACGAAGTGGGTTTTCATCATCTCCATCTTGATCTTCGAGATTGGTTCCGCCATCTGTGGTGCTGCTCCCACCTCTGTCGCCCTCATAATAGGCCGTGCAATCGCGGGTATAGGAACTGGAGGCATTTCCTCCGGTGCTGTGATCATCATTGCACTTACGGTTCCTCTGCACCTGAGGCCTGCATTCCAAGGCTTTGCCGGTGCTATCTTCGGCATCGCCTCCGTCCTCGGCCCAATCTTGGGCGGAGTTTTCACGACGGGTACACAAAGATTGCCGCCTAGACCTTTTCGGATCATAATGTAACGTCATGCAGGGATAAAGAGGAAGCCTGGACCATGGAGGCAATCACAAGGATCATGGCACCACAGAGTTTCACGATATTGGAGATTGGTCATTAATTTCCTGGTGTCGTACATACTACCAAAGCAGACAGTCCGATAATTTTTCGCGCCAAGTGAGGTGATACAGCTAAGCATCAAAGGCACTTTACCGAGGGTTAAGGCTATTGCAGTGTCTCAAAAGACACCCCTGAATGAGCAACCAGGTTTGGAGAAAAGGAGGAATGCAGGATGTCCTATGACAGATGTGGAATTCTCCGACAATCTGAGGGTTTTTTAACCTATCACAATACTTGCACTCCTACTGAGCAATTCTGACCTGCAATTATCACATGGCATCATGTTGGTTCAACGACGCCACCAACCAAGACTTGACCGGCGGACGGCCCAACAGCCAAGATTAAGCGCCGCCCGGGAGGATCTCGTTAAATTCTACGCCGTGTGTGGAACGGATGCAGAGCGATGGCTTCCGGGGAACGTCCAGCGGCAAAGTTCCAAGTTTTGGAGCTAAGCAGCGTGAAACCCCGCTCACCACCGAGCGAATGTGCTGCCCGCAAAGTAGCCGAGTTATCGAAGATGGGCGTTACGCCAGAACGCCCCGGCCAGCTGGTGCGGGGTCCAGGCGGTTAAGCGGTATCACCTCGCATAAGGCGAAAGATCCAAATTGTCCCATTGATCGACGGTGTTCCGAAGTTTGCTGTTAGCTGCAGTAGCGTTCCCTAGTTCGGAGCGGTTGGCGCTAAAGTCTGGCCCTCCAGCCCAAGCATTATGCGGCACAGTGAACTCGCAGGCAGAAATCAAGACGCGATAGCATCATCGGATTGATTGGTCACTTGGCTCATCCGTGGTTCGGTGAGGTTTGTTGCCATATTTAAGGAGGTCTGCCCATCTTACTTCTTGGTCTGCATTGTTTACAACAACTGAAGTTTTCTTCCGATCTTAGCATTTCTTGGGTTTCTCAACAGAGTCATACTTGCAACATGTTTGGTGCTTTTCGCTGTTCCAGTGTTACGCCAAGCAACTCGGAATACCTTGATCTGTCCAAGGCTGCTATGGAGACTCGAAGGTCCCCTGTTCTTGTACGTTGATCTTGTCATGAATGCAGATGATTCTAACGGTAGTAGGCGTGTGATCGGTGCAAAGCTCAGAGGGTTAGTCAACGCTGAAATTGGATACAAAGTACTGACTCAGATTCAAGGTAAAATGCAACGGGGATCTCTACGGCTGTGAAAGATGTCAAGAAAGATCCACCAACTGTACCTACCAGACGCCTTCACGAGCGCCAACCCCAGGAGTACCCTCGAAACGCCCATCTCCGGAACTCTCAGTACCACCCGGCAAGAGACGGCGGGCAGAGAGTGATACTGGTCGCGTATCCCCCATGGACTCTAATATCAAGGTCCAAACGCCCTTTACGCGCTCGCCTTTTGCGAATCCCTACCAAAACTGGGATCAATTCTGCGAAGTGAACGTGGCCGACTACCCGGGACTGAACCTTAGCCTGGATGCAAGAGTGCCCTGTTTACCCATGATGTCTTCGGGGTCGGAGTTTGATAGTACACCCCCTTCGCAGCCATCACCAAGCACATCCTATGCCAATGCTCGGCGTCCCACCTCGTATCTTATGACGCCTCCCACCGCCACCACCAGTCAGGGCTCATTCGATTCCCGAGGACGTCTCTGCGAATGCATCCGATCGCTGGCCAATTCCCTCGAGGAGGTCGCTGGTGACAAGGAGCGCAGCAGGACCGACAACACCGAACGCATCGATTACTTACTCATGTCACTACACCACGGGGTGGAAGCATGCAATCGCGTACTCGCATGCACCCGCTGCACCATCTGCACCACCAACTCGATTCTCTTAGTGGCTGTTGTCCAGCAGCTTGCTACAAGGTCGACAGATCTGTGTGATCTACTCCTGGCATTGCAGAACAAACCCAAAACTGTCATACCAGATGACGCGCCTGATTTTGAAGTCGGTGGGGTTTTTGTGGGGAAGTACCAGGTTCAAATCGAGGCCGTGTGTCGTGAGTTGGTGCATACGGTGGCCAACATCCATTTCAAAGATTTGCGTCAACTCCTGGAATGCCTCCCTGATCGTATTGCCGAGGGAACCAAGGCGTTCAGGATGATGACTGCGGCTACTGAGGATGCGAAGAAGGCTTATTGTATTCTTGAGGGGATTATGATTAAGCGGGCGGCTGAGAAGAAGGCTCGTGAGAATGCAGCTTGAGTGTCTTGGGGTTGATATTACATCAAGGTGAGTGACCAGATTCATTATTATCTAGTACTTGCTAACCGCCTAGAGATCGTTCCACATGTCATTCATTTATCCATTCTCCTCCCTTACGGACAACATGTTGTAACCAGCCCAGACGTCAATCCTGTTCATGCATCTACAAGATTGTCAGAAGATTTGGAATCGATTGGTGTAATGCAGATGACTCCAAGTGTTTTTAGGTGGCGGCATGTTGGAGAGGCTTTGACTCACTCACGTTCATTGTATATAGTCGGCGTTTCTTTGACTAGTTTGCTAATGGAGTTTGGCTGGGTCGTCTTTCACGGGGATTCTAATGGAACCATCGTCACGTTTATCGGGATCGCCCTTGACTGGGATTCGAATAGAGCCGTCATCGCGTTTATCTGGATCGCCTTTGACTGGAATCCGAATAGCCCCATCATCCCGTTTGTCTGGATCACCCTTCACAGGAATCCGAATAGACCCCTCATCCCGTTTATCTGGATCGCCCTTCACAGGAATTCTAATAGACCCCTCATCCCGCCTATCCGGATCCGCCTTCACAGGGATTCGAATAGCCCCATCAACCGAAACAGGGACAGGACTCGCCCAAGCGACCGCGACAACGAGCACAATGCCCTGGAGTAGAGTAGTCGAGAGCTTCATGCTTGATTCCGAGATCCGCACGATAGGAATACAAATCGATCAATAATGTATTCTATCTCTCTGAATCAATCCGAAAGTAACTAACTACTATATATAACCCTCTGTATCAACCTCCCTCCCAGGTAACCCACCTCTCGAATCGAAACCCCACCCCACCCCTCTCCTTGGTAATCCCGGCCATCACTCCGAGATCCTACTTCCTATCCTGGATGTCAGAGATAAGTAGTCCAAAAGAGGAAAATCCGCCTAGAAAGCTGAGAACACCTAAATAGGAAATTTGCCTAGTTTGGTTAGGTTCGTCGGAAAGGGTCATGCAGGTGGCTGAATGTGGTATCGCGCGTTGCTTAAAAAGGGCAGTGGAGATGCCTGATTAAGAAGATATGTAGTTGGCTGAAATGAGATAGGTGATTTTATCGAATTGGGAGGGAATGGGTTGAGGGAGGGTCTGGATTCTGGTAAGTCTCGGATGGAGTGTTCGGGAGGAGAGGGGTAAGACGGTTAGTTGGATATCTCTCGGGGAGAAGAGCGAGATGCAAGTTGATAAAGATGGAAGTAACTAATGAATTAAGCAGAAGAGAATTTTCGTCGTTTCTCACTTCTTGGGGATGATGATATCCTCTCGATCCCCTGGATCGAATATTAAAGGGTTTCAGTCATTTCATTTGGGGATCCTGTAGTATCCTACAGTCTCACACAACAACCACTCACCCTTCCACACCGTGGTCCTATTCAATAACTATGGGCTTTACATACGAACGGTACCCCCTACTCCCATCCTTCCCCTTACCAAAACATCTCAAACTAACTCAACCAGAATCACCAACCCCTCCTCTCCCTCTGCCTCCGAACCCGACTCCGAATCCCTCCTCCAACCCACCTCCCCCTCCCCCCTAAAACGCCTACCCATCCTCATCCTCAAAACCCTAACCCTCCTCCTCGCCCTCTACGGCTTCTACACCCTAACCACCACCCTCCCCCACCACCGAACCCCCCACCCGCACCCAAATCCTGCACCTGCGGCACCAACACAACCACCGCCCTCTCCCTGAACTGCAAATACGACTCTCTCGCGGCAGCCTGGCTCCCACCTCACTGCCGCGACGATGCCCTAACCGCCGAATTCGATCGCTCGGGGCCCGGCCCCAACGGAACCTGGACATACTACGCAGACGATCACCATACGATACCCATGAGTGTGGAGGAGGTGGCTATGCTGGCGAATAATCAGTCCGCGAGGGTGAAAATGACGAGGGAGTGGCATGTTGTGCATTGTTTGTTTTATTGGAGGAAGATGGTCAGGATTAGGGATAGGGTGGTGGGTGGGGAGGAGGTGTTGCTGGAACCGAGCTTTGATAATGAGGAGCATGTTAGACATTGTGTGGGGGTGGTGTTGGGGGAGAGTTGGGGGACGGAGGCGAGGGTTGCGCTGGTTACTTAGTTCCTCTCTTTTTGGGATGGGGATGGGGGGCGGGGTTGTTCTTTGAGTAGATACTGTCTATTTATGGTGTGTGTGTATAGTGTGTGATTATACATTCGGAGGAGACACAGATACAGGGCATGTAACAGGTCCCCCAGGCGAACCCGGCAATCTGGCCGTCAAAACCTCGACTCCATCCTTCGTTACAAGAAGGGTATGTTCTACCACCATTAGCAATCCTCCCCACCAACCAAACCCAACACCAACAACAAAAAAGAAAGAAGACAAACATACCAAACTGCGCCGTCACCCCCCCATCCCCCGTAACCGCCGTCCACCCATCGGGCCAAACCCTCTCTCTCCAATCCCCAATCGCCACCATCGGCTCAATAGTAAAACACATTCCCTCCTCCGCCCTCCCCACGGCCTTATTCCCCGAATAATGCGGCACATTCGGCAAACAATGAAACACCTGATGAATGCCGTGGCCACAAAACGCCCGGATGACACTACACCCTTTACTCCTGGCATGCGCTTCAATAACCTCCCCGTAGGCCCGGAACAACGTGCCTGGTTTGACCAGCTGGATGGCTTTTTGCAAGCACTCGCGCGCGGTTTCGACCACTCGGACGGACTCGGGGTTTGTGGTTGCAGCACCAACGTAGTAGGTTTCGTTCACGTCGCCGTGGTAGCCCCCGTGGTAGAGGGTGACGTCGATGTTGAGGATGTCGCCGGAGCGAAGGGGGCGTTGGTCGGGAATGCCGTGGCAGATTACTTCGTTGAGGGATGTGCAGACTGATTTGGGGAAGTGGTTGTAGTTTAGGGGGGAGGGGTAGGACTGTTTTTGTTTTTTGTTAGTTATGATATGGTTTGATGGGTGATGGGGAAAGGAGGGGGATACATCACGTTCCAAACACGCCTTGTGCACAATCTCATCAATGTAATCGGTTGTTATGCCGGGTCGGATAGCAGCGGCTGCGATGTCGAGGACTTCTCGGGCGAGACGACATACTTTTCGCATGGCATTTTGGCCGGCTTGGTCGAGGATGGTGAATTTGACCCGGCGGTCGAAGAGGGGAGCCGGGTTGAGGGGGATTCCAGTTTGCCAGTAGTCTGGGGGGTGGATGGATGGGGGCACGGGGCGGGGGTTGGAGAGGGGTAGACGGGGCGGAGGGGGCCGGTGAATGGGTATGAGGGGAAGGGGTTGTAGAGAGCTGATGGGATGGTTAGGGGGGTGTTGGTGGTATAGTTGGGGGAGGGGAGGGGAGGGAGGTACTTGTGGTTCCGTGTAGGGTTTTGTGGGTGTTCTGTTGGTGTTAGTTAATGGATCTTCATTCTTTCAAAGGTAATCATCTGAAATAAAGGATGGAATTACCCAGTTCTTCTTGAAACAATCCTGTGAGCAGAAAAAGCTGCCGTGGATTCCCTGCTTGAGACAGGTGGGGCATTGTAGGGTGCTGCAGACATTGTCACACCCAATACCCATGCATTTGTGTTTTGAAGTGATCTCGGAGGGCATGGTTACAGGGGACGGAGGATTGAGAATGTAAGGATAAGAAGGTGCTTATGTTCCATGGAAAGGGAACACTCTATCTAAGTACAGCTGGTTCATATTTCAGCTGTGATTCCCCGCACGTTGTGCCTAGATATACTCCCTGCTGAGTTGGTAGCTTCATCCGAACCACGGCGCTTAATGGCGCAGTTGTTATACATGAGGCTAGACTGGAAATAGAAGGTATGGCGTGGTGATTGATGTGATTGAGGTCGGCTCCGACGGACGTCCGACGTGACCCATCTCCGAGAGATGCTCTGCTATTGGAAGCCATACCCTTACACCGAATGCTTGATTTACAGTACAGGCCCCCATAATAAATCATTCAATTCAATCAAATCTCCTTATAAGCTTGTCGTTGATTAGACTAGGGCTACCAGCGGAATAAGGTTCCCCCGGGTTCCCACCGGCTCCAAATTCCGACGGGCCGAGCGGGGCGTGTTTAGGTCAAGACAGCTTTCTCTCACTGCGCTCAGCTTACTCCTGACAACTCCAACCTCATCAGAATTCTGCTCGGTTGATGTCGGTTCTGCGCCTTGACAATACACCATGGGATCAAAGACCCCTGAAGGCCAGTGGCAGGCCCCTGATGGTATGATCGCATCCCCGCAAAATGACCTCTGCTCACCCCGCATCAGCCTCCAACTCCCAGGACCTCAAGGCTACCAATCCAAACCCCAAGCCCTCTCGGAATGGCTCCCAGTCGGCCGACTTGGACCGCGGAATTGTCGATGGCGATGATGATGACGACGAAGCGAACGAAGAAACGGGGGTAAACCCTGTTGTTAATGCTGGTATGTACCTCACCTATCCGTTCGATTCGAACAGTTGGTATCTCACACTGTACCTACAGAAAAGAAAAAGAAACGCAAGAAATCCAAGAAGAAGTCCAAATCCGCTCATCCAAAGGAACAATCAAACCCACCCAGCGTGCTCGTCTCGAATCTCTTCCCCTCCGGATACCCCGTGGGAGAACTCGTCCCGTACGAAAACCTCTCTCGCACCACCGACGAAGAGCTACGTTACAACTCGCGTCTCTGGGACGACGGCTTCCTTACCGATTATCGTCAGGCTGCCGAGATCCATCGTCAGGTTCGCCAGTACGCCCAGAAGGAGCTCATCAAGCCCGGAGCAAGTCTCACTACCATCGCGGAGGGCATTGAGGATGGGGTTCGCGCGTTGTCTGGTCACCAGGGCCTTGAACCCGGAGATGGGTTCAAGGCAGGAATAGGATTTCCCACTGGACTGTGCTTGAATAATGTTGCGGCTCATTGGACGCCTAATCCCGGTGCAAAGGATGTCATTCTGGATAAGAGCGATGTGCTCAAGGTGGATTTTGGCGTCCATGTGAATGGTCGGATTGTCGACTCGGCTTTTACGGTCGCGTTTGATGATACGTATGATAATCTGCTTGCGTCTGTGAAGGACGCGACGAATACTGGTATCATGGTAGGATTCTTTCACTGCATATGTCGATCTAATCATGAGCTAATATGCATAGCATGCTGGTGTTGACGCCAGGGTCAGTGAAATCGGCGCTGCAATCCAGGAGGTCATGGAAAGCTACGAAGTCGAGATTGCTGGAAAGACCCACCCGGTGAAAGCCATCCGCAACATCACCGGCCATGATATTCTTCGGTATAATATCCATGGTGGAAAACAGGTCCCGTTTGTGAAAAACAACCGACCGGACAAAATGGAGGAGGGAGAGGTATTTGCCATTGAAACATTTGGAAGTACCGGCAGAGGGTTCCTTGATGATGATGTAGGGTATCCATCCACGGTCCGTTAACTTGGCTAATCTTAGTAGGTGGGAGTTTACGGCTACGGAAGAAATAAAGACGTCTCTGGAGCCAACCTGCGTCTTGCATCTGCTAAGACTCTCCTCAAGACCATCGACGCCAACTTTGGAAGCCTCGTCTTTTGTCGTCGGTATCTGGAACGGCTTGGAGTGGAGAAATATCATCTCGGAGTGAGTTATTCGTTCACTTGATCTGTGCAATTACTGACCAGACAGATGAAAAATATGATTGATAATGGAATCGTCGAGTGCTATCAACCTCTTGTTGATGTGAAGGGGTCATACACGGCTCAATTTGAACATGTACGATCTACCTTATATACAACACACCAGTGCAAGACTAACTATATGCAGACGATTCTCCTCCACAGTGGTGGAAAAGAAGTCATCAGTCGTGGTGACGACTATTAACCTTTCACCTATCTACAAAGCTCTTGTTCATCGTCGCCCATTTCACGGGCAATTCCGTTCGTTTTATCGGCTCTACGCCTTTGGCCAGTCATTGTTATCGTCAAGTCCTTTCATTTTCGCCTCATCTCAGTCTGCGCAATACTGATCAGGAACACAAACTTCACTTTCTTTTCTAGGTATACTCATGAGTGGATCCAAGCTACAGATACATCTATGCGGCTTGGCGCACATCTCTCCTACACAGTCCTGGACTCTTATAGTGATGCGATCCCAACAGAATTAAATTGATGGAGAATGCCTACCAGATCAAAGACTCCGACGTAGGATAGATTTCAGTACGATGAACAGAACGGACTAGTCCTTTATATAGTTACAGCCGACGATGCTCTGGCAATCCAACGCCAGTCTAAAGCATTCACTCTTACAGCATTCACCTGAGAGTTCTGTGAACGCAATGTGCTAGTAGATAATTTTGCGAAAGAAACTTCTCATTCTTTAATCAGACCTTAAAATAACCCCCTCTTTTCCCCCCCCCAATTATTCGCACAGCCCAGCCCATCGCCCACACAAACATCTCGTACACACAACCTACCTATCCAATCCTCCCAAGTAGACCCGTCAAAGGACCAATCGAATAAAAAGATGGAATCATCTCAACAGCACACTGACCTATCATAAAGCACACCCAACAGGTTGCCTCCTCAACCGTGTCGTAGCTCCCTCCCTCCCTTCTTGATTACCGATACGCTACCCCAAAGCAACAGCGAAGCTGAAAGAAAAGAATCCCCCGAGCGGCTAAGTACCTGACACAAGTGTTAACCAGTAAGCAAAGCAAGACGGGTCTCACATGCATGCGCCGTTTGGGGGACTGGCTTCCACCCTGTTATATTCGAGCCTATCTGTTCCTATGTTCAGCTAGATAGGCGCGCCGGTAACGTAGGTAACCAAAGTGAAGCGTGTCTCAGCCTTGCTGCGCGAGATTCCAGAATCTAGTCATGCTATTTGAGAGAGACAAAGGCGTTCGGTTTCCATATAATGGATCAGTGAAAATATCTCTCACAACACATTTTTTTTTTCGTTTTCATAAATTATATGAGGCATACTCGTTGGGAGTGAGGGTATTATTCAAGGACAGGTTTTGGTTCTATTTTCATTCTTATATTAACTTTATCTGCTTTATCGAAAATCACACCATGACATCCATCTTCAAGCGTTTCTACACCATCGTGGGTAACGTCACCCTCGAGCATGTTCAAGAGATCAACAAGAATGGTGCGAAATGGGCAGCCAGTATTGATAAGGTTGCGAAGGAAGAGGAGTCGGTGGTAGGATTATTCCAACCCTTATCACCCCATGATATGTGTACCTGGCTCCTAACTTTGGTGGAAATCCTAGGAGGCCAGGTTTACGAAGCTGAAGATCAAGTAAGTCGTGACATAGGAGGTGGGTTATTGTCTAGCTGCTAACCTACTACGTGCTATTGTTGTGTAGAGGCGCCAAGGCCCATAAATCCCACAAGGATCCGACCGACGAGCAGGAAGTGATTTCGCTGCAGTTCTTGGATGACAATGAAGTTCGGATCAAGTCTAAACATGCTCATGAGAATGGGACGAGCAAGTAGAGGATGATAGACTACTGGGGGACTAATGGTGAAAGGACGCGAGGTAGCATTGAGGCCACGGGAGAGGGGAAGGTGGGAGGGGGGGGAAGGTTGTTGAGCGTGAGACTTCCTTTGGGGGGCGCCTAGATGGTGGATCTGTTGCGTGTTATTCTTTTTTTTTTTTTTTTTTTTTTCTTCTTCTTTTTCTTTGGTTTGGTCCGTTTTCACTTATCGCGTATCGATACCTATAGCAGCAAGTCTTAGGTAGTGGCTGGTCAGGCTGGCGGGCAGAAGCCTGTTGCACTGGCTATTGTCGCCAGGATGATCGAGCCAGTACTATCTAGCATTGTCTTGGGAGGTTCATCAAATCATATCATCCCGAGAAGGTACATGGGTTCGAGACTTCTAAATATAGAATGCTTTCCGTTGATCTCGTGACTGAAAATAGTATGTTGGGATACAGTCTTCATCCTGTCTGTTCTCCAGATGCCAGCGGTATACCGTTTTGGCCTACTGGTATGAACGTGACATATCATTTGCAGCACTTGGGTTTCTTCCCAGCCACTTGGCCCGTGATGACCACGTGACCATGGGCACCGGGTCCATCATCCCTGGTTAACGAAGCAATCCCGGGCTTCTAACCTTCCTCCATCCACCAACATCCTACAGACACCCTGACCAAAGCCTTTTGTTCTGACTGCAGGTCCAACCGTGATAGTTAGTCTTAAAACCGTAATTGTATCCTGATCTGTTATTGTATGGCGTCTTCGATATGAAACCCTTTCATCGGCTGGGTCGCTTCTTTCGAAGGCCACCGTCTCCTCGACGCATCTCTACATCTTCTAACTTCCCTGTACTGGACCCCGCCACAAAGATTGAAGAAGAGCGAATGCCCGCCTATGAGCGAGGCCTCTTCTATCCGGTCAAATATGGAGACGTGTTCGAGTCTAAATACCAGGTTCTCAGCAAGCTGGGTTTTGGCGCTAATTCCACGGTTTGGCTGTGTCGTGATCTTCAGTAACCATAGCCATCCCATGCCCGCATTGAATCTACTCAACGAGGCTAATCGTGTCATCAGTGACCATCGATACATCGCATTAAAAGTGTACATCCGGGGCCCTGAAGCCAATCAGGAAGTCCGTATTCTGAAACATCTCGCAGGGATGAAGACAAATCATCCTGGGAGGGGTTTGGTTCGGTCCATGATTGAGGAATTCCAGGTCGCAGGGCCGGAAGGGAGCCATCAATGTATTGTGTACGAACCTCTTTTGACCAGTCTGTTGCATTTCCAAGCAACCTTGAATCCGAAAAGTCTTTCTGAGGATTTGTTGAAAGGGGCGTTGCAGCAATTGTTGCTGGGGCTTGATTATTTACATTCGGAGGCGGGGGTGATACATACTGGTTTGTTTTGGTTCTGAGAGCGTCTCATGGCTGGTTGAGTCTGATTTCGTCGTGCGAATAGATATACAAGCCAAAAATATTATTATTGGCTCGATGGATGATGGGATATTCCGCCAATGGGATGAGGATGAGCAACGTGAACCCAGTCCGCGAAAGGTAGATGGGGGATATATCGTCTATCAGAGCCGGTTGTTTCGGCGGGAGAAGGGATGGAATGGTGGCTTTGGGATGCCAGTTCTTTGTGATTTTGGGGAGGCTAGGATGGGTGATGAACATGATGGCTTGATTCAGCCGGATATTTATCGTGCGCCCGAGGTTGTTCTCGGGATGAGATGGACGGAAAAGGTTGATATTTGGAATGTGGGAGCATTGGTAGGTCAATCCTTGTTGTTTGTTCCTTTTTTTGAAGATATGGAGGTTGAGTGGGGGTCACTGACTGATATGTAGATCTGGGACTTGTTTGAAGATCATCATCTGTTTGATGGTAGAGGACCCGACGGAGTTCATTCGAATGCTCATCTTCTCGCGGAAATGGTAGCGGTGTTGGGTCCCCCACCGGTTGGGTTTCTTCGGAAGTCGTCTCGGAGTGAATTGTATTGGGATTCGTTAGGTATTATAGCCCCTTTGATCGGAGGGTTGGACTTTGGCTAATGCAATGAATAGGGCAATGGAAGCATACGGTTGAGATTCCAGACAATTCGTTGGAAGACTCGGAAGAGTATCTTGAGGGCGAGAATAAAGAGATGTTTATGCGGTTTGTGAGAAAGATGTTGCGTTGGGATCCGGAGGAAAGGCAGAGCGCCCGAGAACTTTTAACTGATCCTTGGTTGACGGGTCCTTAGGGTAGACTTTTGTTTTCTTCTTTCGTTTTTGTGATATGAGGTTGTCGTGGGGTCTTTTAGGAGAAACACATACCCTCAGCCAAAGGGATTTCTGCGGTTCGGTTTCTTGTCATTATATCGTTAGTCAAAGTATGTTGGGACAGTTTCTTGTTCCGCCTGTTCTCCAGAGCCCAGCGGTATATCGTTTTTGTCCGTATGAAACGTGAAAAACTATATGATCCGCTTGTGGTAGACTGCCATTAGGAGAAGGTGTTCACGTCCAGGATAACGTCTAATTCGTGGGGTTTCTGGGAGAAAGCCTCGGGTCGGTAGGCAAAGCTATATGAAGAACGACTTGCATGGATCCAGTAACTGATCATCGCAACACGAGGTGGGTGGAGACTGAGGGGCTTGTGCAATATCACTGGCTGTTGAAATCACGACATAAGGCTGTCAAGATACTCTGAGCTCTTTGCATCCCGCCGATGCCCACGAGGGTAGCTAGCGAGGCTGTAGGCTGGTTCGCCGAAAGAGAGGCACCAACCCCTTAACAGCTCGTGTCGGGGTCAGTGCATTGATCAAGAATTCTTCCCACTTAGTCCGTGCCCACTCCTGGCCTTGCCTTCATTTCACGGCTGGTACTGCAGCCAGTTCAAGTGGACCTGATGGCTCCACATGCCGCTGTCACGGCCGTTGTTTCTCCACAGCAAGTAATTCTGCCTCTCATGATAGGTGTAGTTGGGAAGCCGTTGGACCATGGCGCAACCGAGAAACACTAGCAACTAGCTGCATCCTTAGCAGTCGAGCTCACTGGTCGGTTAGGTCTCTGCTCGAAAACCAGGGAATGGGACGGGAAATGAGAAAGAGGGGAGATAAATATGGGGTCCTCTGCCGTGAGACACCCCTCAAATCCGACCGTGGATATTCTGTTGAAATTTATCCATCCTTGAAGCTGATCCCTATCCCGGAGATAGCTCTTTTGGTCTAGTTGAAAGTTTTTGTCACAGTCAGATCATCATGTCTCAGCCAGCGGACAAGAAGAAGATGCGGCTCATTGTGGCCAGCTGTAGCAGGTGATTCTGACTAGCAGTCCACCTAGGCTTTAATTGCCCAGCTGACAGAACCACAGATCAGGCACGCTAGGCCTTCATGAAGCCTTGCAGATGCTCGGTTATACGCCATACCACATGATTGACCTGATGACCAAGGGTGGGCGGCCTCACATCAAAGCCTTCACGGAAGGTATCATTGCGCAGAATAATCGATTCGCAGCGATCAAGAAATATGAGACGTCAGATCTCGATAAGTGGATAGGAAGTTTTGACGTGAGTGTCCGATACCTCCATTCTGATACACAGTAAAGTGCTGACAATGTCAAGTGCTTGATGGAGATCCCAAGCTATGTTGGACTTCGTTCCTTGGAAACGTATATGGAAGACCCTGAAGTCAAGTTCATATTGACCGAGCGATCGCCTGACAAATGGGTCAAGTCGTTCAATAACACTATTGGCGAGGCGATCAAGGTGGCAGACAAGCTTCCAATGGATATTCTGAAGCATTGTGACGCGGAGCTGGGCGAGTTTTTCCACCTCGCCGAAATGATGTACTTGGCCTACTCGGATGGCACATACCCTGGACATCCGGACAACGAGGCAGCTCTCCGCAAAAACTATGTCGAATAGTGAGTATTGCCTCCGTAACTAATCATGGGTAATGGCTGACCTTGCATAGCATCCGAACTGCCAAGGAGACGCTACCAAAAGACAGGCTTCTCGTCGTCAGGCTTGAGGATGGTCTGGGCTGGGATCAGATTTGCCCATTCCTGGACGTAGAGATCCCAGAGCAGAAATATCCTCGTGGCAATGAGCCCGACACATTCCACAAGATTGTCGAGAAATATGTAGAGCCCCGAGTCAAAGCAGCCATGGTAAATCTGGGCACCACCGTTGCCGCGATCGCTGGGATAGGTGGATATTTGGCATGGAAGTATTACCGGGCGCACTAAATCTCCACCTGATTTTCACCAGTGAATTCAGTCAGTTCTCATACTGAGCGTGAAGATAAAGTAGGTCACGAACGGTGGGGAGACTTAGTGTCGATTAATGTTGCCTTAGCGCGATGGCGTGATTTTGCTTATTTTTGACTCATCGAGCCGACGGATGAACGAGGTGGAGTAAGGTTCGAGCGACTATTTAGTACTGCGTGAAGGTCTATAAGTAGGGTCTTTTGGCTTCCATTGTTATTCCGTATACGTTAGCATGGAGAATGACAGTAGTGGGATTATTTTGAGAGACGGTCCGGCTGTTCTGGTGGCCTCACATAGCCCATGATCACTGCCTTGACATTGATATACAATCTTGAATGATCGTTATCGGGATAGAGAAATCGCCTCAATGGATAATTATTGATTGTTTTTGGAAATCGATATGTGTGAGGATGGGAGTAGCCCGGAGGTGAGTCGTGTGGAGAGAGTCAAGCCATTAACATCAGGTGATCCAGTCGGAATGGTTTTTTTTGTGCTTTTTGCATCTGTACAGGTTTCTTTACAGTAGTCCTCTTTGAATCGCATGTTCTGTTGATGATTCAGGCCTTTGATAACTTGAGTTTCTGCAGTAACACCAACAATAGAATGACAAGTTCTTTGCGCAGCTGTAGCAGCTTCAGGCCGATTGTTATGCTTGGGAACTTGTTCGTCAGTCGGGTCTCCACGATAGCAGCGGCTTACTATTTCATCGGGGTTGATAGCTGTTCAATATACACCGAGTGTGCGGTGAACCTCACCTAGAGCTTGATGTCAAATTTGTTTCCATTCTAACTCAGTGGGTATTATTGGTGATCACGTTCGCTACTACAATGCCCTTCCGCCCTATACATAGAGCCTAGCAGCAATTACTCTGCTCTTACGCTCAATTTACTGGCCTGCTTGATGCAGCATCGCATACGAAACAAGGTCACAAGGGTATCATTTCTAATGCAGTCCTGTATATCCCAATAATGTCACTGATAATAGGCTGGGCTTCCTGCCTTGCACATTCACAAACGAATGACTCCATACCAAAAGACAAACAAAGAATAATAGGCTAACATAAGAAATGAGACGAACGAGTGTAGGAGCCCCACGACTTCCCTATGAAGTCGAGATACTGGGCGAAAAAGGGATGTAAGGAAATTCCAAGTGAGGGTGACAATTCGGGTTGGTAATACAAAGCAGTGGCAGACACTGCTTTTGAGGATCTGCGCCATCAATGAGACGGCTTTGCTGCCGAATCGTTGACTAGTACTCCGGAGTTTTGGGCAGCCGCGGCCAGCGCCTGCGCCTTTCTCTTTCTTCGGTGCGAGTTGGGCTTGTTCTTTTTTTTGGGAGCTTGAGGTTGCTCCGGTGGCGCATCGGCTGGCTCTGACTTTGGGACTGGTTCCGACTTTGGGAGATTCGCCGGTACAGACTTTCCAAACATCCCGAAGCTTGGTTCTGGCTTTGGGAGATTGACTACCGACTTTGGGATTCCCATTGGCTCTGGTTCTGCTGGCTTAAACACTGACTCTGGGGTGGGCTTCAGAATTGGCTCCGGCTCAGACTTGAACACAGGCTCCGACTTCACCGGCTCCGGCAGCACAGGCTCCGGCAACACAAGCTCCGATTTCAACGCGGACTCAGACTCCGGTACAGGCTCCGGCTTCACAGGCTCCGGCTTCAACTCAGGCACTGGCTCTAGCTCCGGCTGCAGCTGCAGCTCCGGCTCTGGCTTGGCCTCTGGTTTCAGCTCCGGCTCTGGATCTGCCTCTCGCTCTGGTTCGGGATCTGCCCACGCCGTACTCGGTCGCCTGACTAGAGGCGGAGAAGGTGCAAATGTCGGAAAGTCGATCGGTGCAGAATCACTGCACGATTCGGCCCAATTGAAGCCATTCTGGGCTGGGGAGTCGAGGAAGGCTGATGAGGGTGGGACCGGCGATCCTGGTCGTGAATGGCCGGCATTAACAACGGTCGGAGTGTCGTCCGCAGACAGCGGCGCATCCGGATATGGCTGCGAGCTGTCTTCCTTCTCACCATGAGAATCATCCCGTTGCTGCTCTACAACAGAGCCCTTGTCGAAATGAATATCGGCGTGGCCATTGGGTTGGTGTCCGTTCAGCTGCGGTCCGGGCGCGGGAACTTCCCGCAGGGAAGCCAATTTTTCAGCGTAGATCTCCAAGGTCGTATACATCAAGAACCGGTTGAAATCATCATCTGATCCCAGTCCATCGCGAACAACCCGGTATCTGAAGCTGTACTCATCCTTGGTAAAGGCCGAGGTGAGCTTGTCCCGGACGAATCCCTCAAACCATGAATCATGACCCGGAAGTTCCGAGTACACCTTGCTGACTGTTTTCAGAAGCTGCCGCGTAGATACCTCTTCGCTGAAGGTTACCATATACCGCTTAGCATGCTCCTCAAGTCCAAAGATGTTGTAACGTCTCGCAGCATGGTATGCATGCACACTTCGCTCGAATTCGCGAGCCCAGGGGCAGGATTCCGGATCAAGATCGGTCGGCTTCAATGTTTCGTAGGCGCCAGTGCTGAGAAAGTGGACAAAGGTATGTCCGATGTCTTCGTTGATGTCATTGATCCTGAGCTCGGATGAATGAAGCTCGAGGCTGGAGTACGGGCGCAGGTGGTATTCGGCGACCTGGAAGCGGCTCTTGCCGATGATGATGGTGACAATAGGAGTTGTGTAAGAGCTATGATTCACGTTAGCATTGACATAGAAATGGGAGGTTCTTGCTAACCTTATCTCTGGCTGGGGATACTCAGTGATCGGGTGTTCTTGAGTATGCTCCTCATTATCCTGGGAGCGTAGGAGGTTGTAGTACAGCCGCTTGTAGTTTTTCTGGCCCATTTTGTCGATTTCGTGTCTGAGATTAAAGAAGAATGATTCAGATAGGACAGGAATATTCTGAGATTGAGAAGTCGTCCTGCGCGGCGCAGTGCTTTTAGAAGGGATGAAGGGGTGAAGAGTGGGCCTCTGAAGCCTCACCAAGCCAACTGCGCGCGCAACCACGTCATTTGCATCTGCATATGCAAGGTTGTACTGGTAACGTGTTTTGACATGCAGGAAAGCTGGGGACTTCTGATTGGGATGTGCTGTTCCGGAACTGAGGTGGTCTGAGCTGGCAAGGTTACCGACCACGATCGCAAATAGAATCACCCAGAGTCGTTGTGCTGGATGGGCGATCGGACAATCGTGGTGGGATTTGCCATGGAATTAGATTCTGATCTATACTAGACTCCGTGAAGCCTCGTCAGATACAACATTCTGATTCGACCAATGTCAAGGGATCCTGCCTGACCAAGTGAGCCTCGTCTTCAGCCCGTTACCAGCCAAGGCGAACTGAACAGGCATGACACAGGGCTTCCAGTGGCATGAGGGATTTGCGATGCCGCCGTGAAGCTAAAGTCAATTGCAGGTGGGAGGTGAAACGGAGGTCAGGCATCTATGACAGGTGCCCGGCGGAGTGTACGGAGTGGCCGATCCACACCGCCTGGGGGCCCGTGACCGCGATGCTTTTTACCCGGTTAGCGCCCCGCTTGACCGATGATTGTCCATTTTGTCCATTCTATCCCGACTAAGGTTGGTGGGATAAGCGCCCGCGAACTATAAGAATATTCTAATAATGTTCAAGGTGTATCACAGGTTTACTCCCCCTTCACCTTCGATGTCTGATAAACCCAGATATAAACAAACGGATAGACCGTCTCTAGCAGCAACGTCCACGCAATCACCGCCACACTCCACACCGAAGCCACATAGCTCCAGTTCTGTGGCACATTCCAATATCTCCAGAAGAATACCGCATAAGCCGCGTAGCAGCCCAGGTATCGCATGAGCCTATTCATCAGTATCCGACCGCCCGTCAGACTTGAAATAGGGAATACTTACCAGATCTCCAAGGAATGTCCCTTGGTACTCTGACCCTTCCAGAGGGTCCATAAACAAACCCAACTGATCGGAACCTGTAGTAGAATGCCTGTCCAGTACGCTGTAATCTGCTCCCTTTCATCCGGCCACACCATCGCCAACCCCCTCAGCAGACCCATGGCAGCCACTACAAAACCCACCATCCTCCGTACTATCCCCCATCTATTGCGCTTTTCATGCACTCGCCAGAGAGCCACCGCAACGAATCCCACGTCGAGCAGAAACCAGACCAGAAATCCGAGAAGCTCGAAAGTCGTCGTTGTGATCACCACCGCGTAGTATAGCTCATAAGCGAGCGTTAGACTCATAAAGTGGATTCCTTGAACCGAGGCTAATGGGTATGTCCGGTCGCTATAGGTGCGGATCATGTAGAAGATGTAGCAAAACGCGTAGAGAATTCCACAGGTAATAATGAGCCCGTCCTGGATGAAGAAGTAGCTTTCCGGTGGGGAGAGCGCGGCGTCGGCCGGCTGGATGATGAGGTGGTGAATATGATGGGCGGGGGTGGAGGACATTGCTCTTTTTTTTTGTTTGTTTACAATCTCGTTAACCCTTACAGAGCGTGGAGAAAGAGGAATAATAGCGATAAAGTCAAGGATAGAAGTGTGTTCTGAGGGGAAATGCAGAGGATTTACATGGAGATAGATAGGATGAGCGGCTCGGGTTCCCGCGGATGCTGCGCTTCCAGTTGATCGTTGCGGAGACGGGCAGGAACCAACAGGTGACGTCACTTGACTGTAAGCAATTTCTTTGTTTACGAGAATATCAACTGTGTGACCAACGGGTCCCTAGAATTCTGGATGATTGGGTTGCAAATAGCTGTTGACTCTTTGTGCCGCTCAAGTCCGAGCACAGTGTCGGTAACTCTCTGGTTCTTCAACGGTCATTTTTACAGCCTGTGGAGAACACGTAAATATATGGCAGGGAACATGCCCTATATCCAACGCAGTCCGCCTCGGAAGTATAATAGTTCTCCAACCCAACTTAAAGGAGTGGGTCGGCCACGGCTCTATGAATCCCCTCGTCTCAATGCACCGGTCACTTTGTATGAAAAGGGGCTCTGATTGGCCAGTTGTATGTACCAATGTTAAATATAAAGAGGTCTTAATTCTAGAGTAAGATCGGGATCTTTCAAAACTAATTTTTTTAGATTAATTTTGATATAATTTATTCTACAAATCAACCCTGCGCTCGCTCTAGTGGCATAACATCCCTACCATGGAAGAACCAGAATTACGGTTGGAAAGTTCAATAGAACAGATTTGAACTACCTTCCTGGGTGCTCCGTATCCATCCGCAAAGACCCTTTAGTTATATCATCCATTAGTCTTGCTTGAATTTCACTTTATTGTACTTTGGTAGCGGTGTAAGCCAATAGAAGATATTGTTTACAAACGCAGTGTACCGTGAACCCAGCCATTAACATCTTACAATCACACCCAGATTTCCCATGATTACTCTTCAGTAACAATTCCGACTATTGAACTTTTATTAAAAATGATTAATAATTTTGTGACTTCTATGTTATGAATTATGTCTAGATAACGAAGACGAGTATATCTCATAAATCGCTCAGAACCTTTTATATATATTACAGTATTCTGCATTGTCTTCGTATCCCATGCATAAGGGAGAAAACGAACTCATCAAAACTTGGCTTACATACCCTGTAATAGAGTACCAGATTGTTCCGAGCCTTAATACCGGCCAGCTCGACGATGTTTGCTGAGCGGGCCGGCATCCCAAAAGGGTATTCCCCGGATTCCCCCACATTCCTGGGGCCGCGGAGAGACCCCCGCCCTCAAATATAAAAGCCCTCGTGTTACCATTGTCAAATTGACTTGCTATCACACATTGATTTGTTCCTCCAAGTTCATCTCTTTGAATATTCCAACGTCATTCAGTCATGACGCATCAGCTCGAGGACGGCAAAAAGGTTTCAGCCGACCACATTGAGAACCCCAGCCCCGACAATGTTATCGACAATGATATGTCCTCCGCAAAACAACTCTTCAACGACGCCAGAGAAGCCACCGAGGCAGAGCACAATCTCACCCTGGTACAAGCACTGAAGCTCTACCCCAAAGCCGTTGGATGGTCCGTACTCGTATCCGCCGCCTGTATCATGGAAGGCTACGACATGGCCGTCATCGGCCAGCTGTTCGCCCAGGACTCCTTCAAACGGAGATTCGGGGAACCCTTTCACGATGGCAGCTATCAGATCACTGCCGCCTGGCAAACAGCCCTCGGCAATGCCGGCTACATCGGCACGATCTTCGGAATCTTGCTTAACGGGCACATCACGGAGCGGATCGGGATGAAGAAAACGCTCGCACTAGCTCATGCTGCTCTCACGGGGTTCACTTTCATTCTAGTGTTCGGTCAGACCAAAGCTCTACTCCTGGTTGGCCAGCTGCTTTGCGGCCTCTCCTGGGGCATTTTTACCGCGGCGGCCCCGACATATGCCTCCGAAGTGTGTCCCGTTGTCCTCCGCGGCTACCTCACCACCTTCATCAACATGACCTGGGTGGTGGGCCAGTTAATTGCGGCGGGGATTTTTCGCGGGGCCCAGGGGATGCAAGGGAAATGGGCGTACGGGATCCCCTTCGCGATCCAGTGGGTATGGCCCGTTCCTCTCTGCGCGGGGCTACTCTTCTGCCCAGAGTCCCCCTGGTGGCTTCTCCGCAAGGGCCGGCTAGACGAAGCCGAGCATTCATTACGACGACTGTCTCCAGCAACGTATCCCGAAAAAACCCTCGCAATGATGATCCGCACCGACGAGCAGGAGAAGAAACTCGACAGCAGCTCGTACTGGGACTGCTTCAAGGGCGTTGATCTCCGCAGGACGGAGATTGCGCTAATCGCATGGCCGATTCAAGTCTTTGCTGGTATCTCCATGAACCAGTACAACACGTATTTCTTCCAGCAGGCGGGCGTCAGTGGCGCCACGGCCTTCGATATCAGCATCGGCTACTACGCTCTTGGCTTCGTCGGCACCCTCGTCGCCTGGTTTCTCATGACGCACTATGGTCGCCGCACGATCTTCATCGGTGGCCTCGCCCTAATGTGCCTGACGATGCTAGCCATCGGATTCGCCGCCCTGGCCCCGGAATCTAACCACGCCGCAACCTGGGCCCAGTCCATCCTGTTGGTTATCTGGGTCTCGTTCTACGACGGGTCTGTCGGTCCGTTGGCCTTCTGCATCGTCAGCGAAGTCGGCTCCACCCGACTCAGAGCAAAAACCATCGCGATTGGCCGCTGCTCGTTCTATTTCTGGTTTATCGCCTTTGGCGTTGCTACGCCGTATATGCTGAACCCAGACGAGGCGAATCTGAAGGGAAAGACATTTTTCCTGTACGGGGGACTTGCTTTCTTTCGATGCTCTGGGCTTACTTTCGGTTGCCGGAAATGAAGGACCGCACGTATGAGGAGTTGCATGTTTTGTTTCGATCAGGCACGTCGGCGAGGAAGTTTGCTGGTACGCAGGTTAATCCTTATACTAAGAGTGATGGGGTTTGAGGGTATTCTGCCTGATTTGACTTGGAATGAGTTTACCAAGTGCAAGTACCAGTCTAACTGGTGTCGCGAGTGACACTGTATCAAGGCATCCAGCGGCTGTGGATGGATCAATTGTGCAATGTTGTTGTCTATCTTTTCTCCTGTCACACATCACCACATGCAGAATACCGGATGCGAATTGAAGTTGACGCATAGCCATGGCATTATGGTACTATTTTATTCTTAGTGTACGCAGTAATCGCAGTGGACCATGCAGAATGCACCCCGTCCTTGGCTCCGCACACGCCAAGCCTAGCCTGGTCCGGCGGGCAATTCCTATTAGGAAATGAAACCCGCATCCATTGAACATCCACCGGGGCCCTCCCCAAGGAAGTGGAGGCAAAATTCTTGATTCTTCAATGCACATGAAATCCTTCACTCACGGTTCATTGTGCAACACTGCTAGCGGTTGCCTAGGGTCACGGGACCTCCACCACCTCTTCCTCACCTCGCTGCCTGCCGTGATCCTCCACGGCCACACATCTCATCCCATTGGGCCTTCCACCTACGTACGCGCCACTTCACAGGTTACGAGCCCTCACAAACATCATATCATCACCACTCGCCAAGGGGTCATCTGCGGCCCCGACTCAGGAGTACGCATTTGATGCTGTGCTGCTAGACTTTGATGGCACGATTCTCGACACGACGCAAGGTAGGTGCATACATTCCAACACACCTCTTGACTCCGATAATGTAGTGGCTACATTACTAAAACTCTAGACCAGCCGTCATCAAATTCTGGCATAGGTTATTGAGCTCCACCACATCAAACAAGACCACCAATTCATATGTCATATCTAGTATCGCCGCAGACCTCGGAATTAACCCCTCAACTGTCCTTTCCACTTCGCACGGATGCCGCACAATTGATACCCTTGCGCTGTACGACCCTACCAAGGCAAATTGGGACTGTGAGACCAACCACATACCTTCCGTTTCCCAATCTAATCTAGTCCTGAAATTGACCCTTATCAGATGTAAGCGCAATGGAATCCCGCATCCCATACGAATTCAGCACCGGTGTAAACGTCTCCGAAGTCCCTGGGAGCCGACATCTCTTTACTGAGCCCTAGAACGCAAGGGCACGCTGGGGCATCGTAACATCCGGAACACAGGCATTGATTAACGGGTGGATCGACAGGCTTGGGTTAGTCCGTCCGAGCATACTTGTTACGGCTAAGGATGTGCAGATCGGGAAGCCAGACCCGCAGGGGTATCTGCTTGGCCGGGACCGGTTGGGGCTTGGGGTGGAAAAGTCGAGGGTTTTGGTGGTTGAGGATGCCCCCGCGGGGATTCGGGCGGGGAAGGCGGCTGGGTTTGAGGTTCTGGCTGTTAGGACGTCGCATTCGTTGGAGGAGTTGAGTCTTGCTGGGCCGGATTGGATTGTGGAGGATTTGAGGAGTGTAAGGGTGGTGGGGGTTCAAGGGGGGTGGTTAGGGTTGAGATTGGGGGGGCTTTTGTTTAGATGATAAGTTATCTATAGAGTATAGACTGACCGCGACAACACATTTAACTGGTAGATTAAGAACTACGTCGTCCTGTCCGTGGCCTCAATCTCCTCAGGATAGACCAGGCCATTCTGCTCCCTGACCTTATCCATAATCTCCATGATGAGCACCGACTCATCAAGCCCGAAGGACCGCCCCTCCTTCCTCCCCTCCACCAACGCCAACCCAGCCTCATCTGCCTCCCAAAACATCCCATACCCCTCGCCCTCGGGATTCCTCCCCGCAATCGAATACCCATTGAACCAATTACTCCCCCTTCCCGGCCCCGGCTGCGTCCACGTCTTATCCTCGACCGTGCCATCCGCAGCAGCGAGCCTCGTCCGAGTCGACCAGTAAATAGGTGGCCAGACCTGCAACTCGCCCTTCGTCCCCTAAATCCGCACAGCCGGTCCAGCCGTACCCTTCCCATCAACATCATTCGGGACGCAAAACCCCGTCGTCGCCACGCCATGCATATCCCCACCAAACTCCGTGTCCCGGGGAAAAGTCAACAACATACTCACCGTCTCATCCACCCCGGTCAGTGAATACTTCTGCACACTCGACACCACCGTCGGCGGGGGAGCTCTCTCCCGCTCCTCAGACGACTGCGTCGTATACAACGTCTGAAAAATCCACGTAAGACTATAAATCCCCATATCTAGCAGAGCGCCGCCCGCAAGCGCCGGGCTCACCATACGATGATCCGGTCCGAAGCTCTGCTCGGGACTCAAGTCCAGCGAACTATCCGCGAAAGCACGCATAATCGTTCCCAGCCTGCCCTGCGTGATGGCCTGACGGACATACACCGAGAGCGGGAAATATCGCGTCCACAGCGCCTCCATCAGGAACAGATCCTTGTCGCGCGCAATGCGCACGAGCTCCGCCGCTTGCGCGGCATTCACGGTGAAGGCCTTTTCGCAGAGGACGTTCTTGCCGGACTCAAGGCACAGCTTGACGTTGCGGTAGTGGTGGGAGTGCGGGGTCGGCGGCTAGGGCTTCGTAGGAGCCGTAGGCTTTGGCGGAGTTGGGGGCCCCGACGGTGGTTAGGAAGGACTGGGCGCGAGCAGAGCCCGAGGAACTGGCTGCTGCTACTACGGTGTGTTTGATTGTTGTCACATTCCGGGTGCTGGGGTCCACGAGGAGGTCTTTGGTGAATGTTTGCGCGATTTCGCCAGTGGCTGGTGGGGAGTAGTTAGTACCGATGTATGGGCTGGTGGTCTTATGAGAGGGGCTCCGGTACCTAGGATGCCCCAGCGGATGGTTTTCGGCTCCATGGTCGAAGGGGGGTTCTGGCTGGAAAGAAGGATTCCTGGGGCTTCGGAGGCTTTATCAATGACAGAACAAATGAGGGGAATACCAGTTTCTTGCAGAAAGCCAAAATATCCCTCATAGAGAAGCAGCAGCAGTCATATTATACATCTAGCGGGGTGCGCATGGAAGATTTGGCCTGGGATGCGGCGATACGTGCTGAGATGGGGAATTGATAGCCGCAACATGCGGGCATCTCTTCCGTTTTGGGCAATCTCCGCATCACGCAGAGCCCTAGGGACCAGGACGATCGTATCGACTTTCGGGCATGTGCGACCAGAATCTCCATCTCCAGCGGGGAAATATTACTTTTGCGAGATATTTAAACATAACCCTCGCTTCGGCATTGTCCTCTCTGTATTCCGAAATAATTCTCAAACTCCTCTGTCCTCCAACCTCCCAGCACACCTACCGGGTTCCCTATACCACGAGATGGACCAAGTGAGCTTCAAATCCTCCACACCAAACATTCAAGTCTTAGTATTGACATTGCCAAGTTTGCACTCAAAGGCAAAACCGCCGTGATTACCGGCGGAGCACGCGGCCTCGGATTCGCCTTTGCCGAAGCCCTCGCCGAAGCCGGTGCCAGCATCGCCATTCTCGACATTGGCACCCCAAAGCCGGGCTCATTGGAGGAACTTGCCGAGCGCTGCGGTGTCCAAATCAAGTCATTCGTGGTGGATGTTTCCTCTCGGGAGCAAGTAAACGAGGTTATCGAGACTATCGAACGCGAGTTCGGGAGCGTTGATGTCAAGTAAGCAAACCCTAACATTATCAATAGAACGAACCCACCCAAGCTGACACCCATCTCTCAACGTAGCGTGAATGCCGCCGGGGTCGTAACCGACGAGTCCTTCCTCACCACCTCCGACCAAAACCTCAGCCGCACATTCAACGTCAACGCAAGTCACCCATCCATCCACCCACCCATCCAAACCCCCGTTACCTAACACATCCTGAACACAGTTTATCGGCTCTTTCCTCGTCGCCCAAGCCTGCGCAAACGCCATGGTCCGCAAGTGAGAAAAACTCGGCAAGCCTAAACCCAGCGACGTGGCTCCGATCGGATCCATCATCTTCATTTCCTCCGTCTCCGTGCACGTCAGTACCGTTGTGCAGCAAACGAGCTGCTACATCGCATCGAAATCCGCGGTACGTGGCCTCGTCAAGCCCCTGGCTCTCGAGCTAGCGCAGTACGGAATTAGAGTCAATACGCTCTCGCCCGGGTCCACCCGCACGGACATGTTCAAGCAGGTGGAGGAGGCTTTCCCGGACCTGGTGAAGCAGTTTAACCAGGAGTCGATGTTTGGGAGAGTGGCGGAGCCGAGGGAGTTGAAGCCGGCGATTCTGTTCCTGGCGACGAGTAGTTGGACGACGGGGCAGGATTTGGTGGTTGATGGGGGGATGAGTTCGTTTAAGCATCGGGCGAATTATTAGAGGCATGATGAGGTTATGGAGGATGAATAGATGAATAGATGAATCTGAATAGGAATGTGATTGGATGTCAGGATGTGCATCATTTCATAGCTTCGGTATGCCTGATTGTATGCCTGAATATCAAGGAAGCAATATGCTGCTCGTCACAGTTACCGTAAAATTCAATACAGTAGGAGGTAGTGGATGAGCCCGACCAATGAGATTAACGGACTCCACCCTGCCACCCCCGCATTGACGGACTCCATTGCGCCGGTCCAACTGAGCTTCAACTCGCCTTCAGCTCTTTGACATCTACCATCGCCAAGATGGCGTCCGACTTCACTTTCACCCCCAACTTTGACTCCCCCTCAACACGGCGCTATCGTAGTCGTAAGGCTTGCGATCTCTGTCGTCACAAAAAGGTAGCCCTCCCTGCCTTTTCTTTTCTCCTTATCTAGGCTGACATAACAATTGAAGCGACGATGCAACCACCAACTCGGGCTGTATCCAGGTCCGAACTCTGCGGCCGGGAGAGAGTATGTGTTTTGCTTCATGTCGCCTAATTCCAACAATCGGGTACGCAAGGCCCCTCGCAATCCAAGGCCAAATCCGGCAACCATTCGAGCCAGTCCGACACAGCACTCGCATGACAGATCGTCCCCGGTCCCTCCACGGAGTCCACAGTTGGCTCGGACAGGCCAGGTTGCCGAAGAGCAATTGCAGACGGTGGCCGCCCCATCATCACCGCGCTTTGTCGGTGATTTGAATCCAGAAGCCCGTCTGCTCGACGAGACGACCTCTCCCGAAGACGCGCAGGACATGACGCCTGGCGAAGTCGGCGTATGGATTCGACCACAGCCCTCCAGTAACGGTGGTGCAAGCAGGGATCGACGTAATCTCCTTGCTCGGTACAGGCCTTCCACAATAGGCTCGGAGCCTATCTATCCACCCATCTCCAATCTTCTGTCAGAGGAGACAATAAAACAGCTGTCAGATATATACTTTGCCAACATACATCCGCTCATTCCGGTTTTAAATAAGGAAGAATACTTGGAGTTGTTTTCACAGCGGTCGGTTCCAACACCACTGGTACATATTGTGTGCTTGCTCGCTGCAAAAGACCATAGTGCGTCGAATTATTTAAAGCTACTCCATTCTGGTGATACCGTCATATCAGTCCGACAATTCTGCAGTCAGCTATACATCTCCATCTGCTCAGCTCTCTCTCAACGCCCGGCCATCAAGAAGGTAATACTTATGCGCATTTACGGGCTGCTCTCACTCCACCAAGAAGGATCCGATGGCGCCGAACAATCGTCAAGCTACATGGCTCAAGCCACACACTCTGCCCAGTCACTGGCGCTACATCAGCCGCGACCAGGAGACGCTGACAATGACCTCAAACGCACCTTCTGGTGTCTCTGGACTCTAGACCGGCTGAACGCTGCGACTAATTCCAGGCCGTGTCTCATGGCCGATATGGACATCGCTGTCCTAGATATCCTACCGCATGAGACGGGCTACACAGCATTCAATGTGCTCTTCCGTATTGTCAAATGCCTGAACATGGTAATCGTCCTATATAGACCCAAAGCAGCTGACCTGGGCTCCGGATTAGACTCCGACTTCCCATCCTTCGAACAGATCATGGACGAGATGCACGCGTGGCAGCTCTTGCCCTCTACAATAGGTGCGCCCTTTCACCTCCCAACCCTGCCCCCTATTAACAGGACCCGTTAGCCACCCTACACATCTTCTACCACACAACCGCCATCCTCGCTCATCGCCTGAAAACAATAACCACCCTCCCCTCCCCCACCCCCTCACGGCTCCGCCAACAACTCTCCGCAATCCAAGTAATCCGGTACATGCGCGACCCAACCCGCCTGAACGCCCTCTGCCCCCTTCCAATCGTCGTCTACGCCACCTCCCTCGCCCTCTCCGTTTCTTACCAGCAACTCCGCTACAGCCGGCTGCCCAGCGACCAAGAAGACGCTCGAGCAGACTTCACGACGGCATGCGGGATATTGCAGGAGCTACGACGCACGTGGGCATCCGCGGATGCAATGGCGCTACTTACGCAGCGGATCTCAGCCGCGTTGAATGAATTGCCGAGTTTGGATTTGTTGAGGGTAGGGCATGTCGTGCACCGGGCTGATCAACCGGTACCGCCGGAAGACCCGCCGCTACATGTTGACGCGGAGCTTCCACCACTCGAGGCCATGGATTTGTTTTCTGGCATGGATGATGTATCCTGGATGTATCTTGACGCGGAGAATCCGGTGAATTTTGATGGGTTTCCGTTTGCCGCGGGCGGGTCTGAGCCCTTATTGTAACAAAAACAAATTAAGAGGAAGGCAATCTCCATACTCTGGAATCCTTGCTCTATCTAGCCTGGTTAATGGATGACTTGAAATTCTTGCAACTCGATGTATTAGTCGGTATTGATTGTCTCGTTCTTCCAACAAAGTGAAGTGGACATGACCTTTCGAATCTAACCATGATGACGTTATTTAGGATGCCGGGGTGGTATATTTGTTCGTTTGTGGTAAAGACGGCGGGTTCGTTACTGGTTGCTGGTCATGTCATTGAATCTGAAGGAGTGGGGTCATGATTAGTGTGAATACTACTAACTAGGTTCATGTAGTTGACTGTGCTAGGTTAGGGTTAACCAGCCCAGAGTGGCGCAGGGTTAATGAATGAGAATATGTACACACTGGGCTGGTTGAGTATATATTGTTATGATTGTATTTATGTGTCTATTTTGATGGGTGCATGTGACAGAACATGGCATTCAGACAGTAATTGTGTGTGTGTGTGTGTGTGTGTGTGTGTGTGTTGTAGGAGGGGGGTTACAAGATGAATTAATCTACCTAGAGGACGACATCCCGGTTTAGATATACCAGCTAGAGTCTATGCAACGAGGTAAGCAATCAATACATGCAGACTGTGATTCATTCGTTATCAGACTAACCAATCATTGCCATCAAATACAAATATCTTGGCGGACAATCCAGTGGAAAAGTGTCTACATTCGGTAATTGAGCCCGCAACAGAATATGTGGAATGAATGTAGTATTTTCGGTGCACAGTCGTCCGACCCGAGTAGCTGGGTTCTCAAATAAATACTACAACAAAACAAGAAACCAAGAACCTTTTCTCCGTACATTATTTTTCCGTTGAACATACTCCCTAAACAGAAGCAAAGCTGTTTATTACAATGGAATCCGTCTACCAAACCCTCATCGCGCGGGCCCTCCAAATCTCCCAATCCCAACAACAACAACAACAACAACAACCCAACACCACCACCGGCCCCGTACCACGAACAATCATCTCCCTAAGCGGGCCCCCAGGCGCCGGCAAGTCCACCATCGCAGCGACCGTGATCGCGCGCCTCAACGCTCTCGCCAGCAAACCCTTCGCCATCGCCCTCCCCATCGACGGCTTCCACTACCCGAGGAAATACCTCGACGGGATGACCAAATCCGAAGAAGCACACGCGCGGCGCGGCGCGCACTGGACCTTCGACGCCAAGGGCGCCTTGCAGCTCGTGAAGGCCCTGCATTCGAGTAAAGCAGGCCAGCGGGAGGTGATCTATGCGCCGGAATTCGACCATGCGGGAGGTGATCCGGTGGAGGGGGCGATTGCGGTGTCGCCGGAGATTTCGTTGATTTTGATCGAGGGTAACTATCTGGCGTATAATAGGTCGCCGTGGTCGGAGATGGGGGATTATGTGGATGATACGTGGTTTGTGGATGTTGATGTGGAGGTTGCGAGGAGGAGGATTGCCCAGAGGCATTTGGATAGTGGGATTGAGAAGACTATGGAGGAGGCGTTGAGGAGGGTCGAGAGTAATGATATGCTCAATAATGTCGATATACATGAGAATCTGATCAAGCCGGCGGTTGTTGTATATAGTGTTGATGAGCCATAGCATTGTTCCGAATATCATTTCTGGGTGATTATCCAGCCGCGAGGCCGCGGCGGAAATGGCTTTCCGTAATAGGAAAGTTAACTCCGCAGCACGGCGCCATCCAAGTGTATAAAGCTGCTTGGATGACCCCTTACGCTACCCAGTGAACATTCCTGTCCATATTCCTTTAGACTATTTACAGCGAAATGGTTCTTACCGAGGTAGCTCAGGCTGCAGGCAGGGTATTGCGCAGGGCGCAGCCCTATGGGGGTCTCGCTCGCCCCGTTCAGGCGGCCCTGACCTGGGCTGAACAGGACAACTGGGAGGACCCCCGCGGCCCCTGGGGCATTGAGAGGCCGAGTCCTAAGCTGGCCAAGCCTACTTCCGAAAGTCCGCAGTGGCTTCACGACCTTCACCGCAATGGGGTAAGTCTGGCATCGTGGTCATGATGAGATATCCCCAGCTAACCAACCGATGCTCATAGTGGGCGCTGGTCAAAGGGGTCATCCCTAAGGAAAAGGCTTTCAAATATGCCGATAAGGCAGAGGATTGGCTCGAGGGATTTGGGTTGGGATACAAGCGCGATGATCCAAAAACATGGAAGTCTCAGAACTTTCCCCGCCACCGATACGGAGGCCTGTTTGACCAGTGAGTCGCACATTGACAAAGGCCCTGGACCAAGTCAGTCTAACCCTGGGATTAGTTTCTCCTTTGCCCACGCACAATTTGTTTGGGATTGCAAGTCCGAGCCCAAGGTCCGCGAAATCTTCGCGAAAATTTGGGGAACCGACAAGCTCACAGTCTCATTTGGTAGCTATCTTGCCCGTCTTGAGTGAACTGACTGACATGTTCCTAGACGGTGGTACTTTGGCGGTTCCAACCCCGGACGAACCCGGTCACGGCAAAGCGCCATGGCCGCATGTGAGTGAGAATTGGCTGCAACAGCTCCCTCCTGCTAACTTGGTCAACAGTCGGACCAGAGCGCCTACCGCCCCTGGCCACACTGTATTCAAGGCCTTCTGAACCTCGTAAGATGCCTTGGTGGAGCCCACCGATTCATTGATCAGTTCGCTAATATGTTCCTAGCTACCGAATGGCCCAGACGACGGCGGCCTCGCTGTGATGAGCGGTACTGCGCCTCTATTCGAACAGTACTTCAAGGAACACGAGCCAGTCAGTGCCTACCATCCACTTGCAATCCCGAAAAAATCCACTAACAATCACAGCCGGAGGGAGGATGGATCAAAAAAGACTTGTTCAATTGGACAGATGCGGAACTCCAGTGGTTCCAGGATCGCGGATGCGAGATGCTGAAGCCTAGCATGGACCCCGGTGACTTTATCCTCTGGGACTCGCGCGCTGTACACTACGGCGCCGCACCTCTCGGGGACAATAAGCGGATGGCGGTTTGTATGTTGTGCCACAGTTCCAATCCTGTTGACCGTGCTAACAGTGGGCAGATACATGCTACAAGCCATTCGACTTCATGACGGAGGAGCAACGACTGCGAAAGGTTGAGGCTTTCAAGCAGGGCTATATGACTGTAGGTTAGTTAGTTTGGAGGGTATAGTTGAGCATACTAACTGGACTACAGTCTCATGACCCCACGGACTTCGTGCTGAAGGAGGAGCAAATGGCAGATTGGAATATTCGGCATCCGTATGGGTTCCCTGAAATCAACAAGGCCACACAGCAGGCAATCGGGCTTATCCCGTACGAGTAGCCGTATGCCTTGAAGGTGTCTATATTATAGGGTTCATGGATTGCACTTTCCATATCAGACTTGCCAATGCTGGTACAGATGATTGAGTTGCTACATTGTAGCTTAATCTGTACAACATGAACAGTATTTCGCTTTAATAAAACCCATTTATATAATATAAATATCCTGAACAGCCTATAAAGTATTAGTCAAGTCAATAAATCAAAGTTCATATAAAGCTTTCATCTAATCGTATTGAATATATGTTGGGACAGTGTTTCGTTCCGTCTGTTCCAGAGGCCAGCGGTATATCATTTTGGTCTACTGGTATTGACATTATATAAAACTTATCAGGATGCATACCCAACAGATTAATAAGAATCTTTTCTTTGACATCGATAGTATTATGTCCATACAGATAATTAATAAGTATGGCCTGTACTACGCAGCTCATCAGAATATCCTTTGAATCTGTATAGTGACTGCCTTCATGATCATCATATATTAACTCTCTCAGTGCAGTACCCTTCTTATTATGCTAGATGTAATATTAGTTATTTCATAGTTATCAGCAATATTAGTAGACAGGAAACCTCAATTACTACCTTATAATCGACCATTATAATCTTTTATTATTTGTACAATCAACTAGAGCCTGTCAATAGTTGTTCATATTGTCTCGTGCAAAATGGCTGTAGACCTAAATCAAAAATGACTATAGAAGTGTGATTATTGTTTTTTATTCTTGTGCTCGACTTGTTTCATTTCCCGCTGTACTTGCACTATAATGCGGGACTGGGGCCTATATTTGCTTTGTGTATGGTAAAACGCTGACTTTACTGGTCTGCATATGGAGACTACTGACAGGTTGTTTGAGATGCGTGTTCCGGCTGATGGAAACAAATGTCCGGACCCTCTACCAGCAGATAGAATCAACATGAGCGTCACACAGTATATGACGTTGTCGGGACTATAGTTATCGTGTATGATTGCCACTATTCCCTTGTGGGGATTCCGATGTGCGGCCCGCATTCCCAAAAACGGCAATCCATCGGAAGCGGAGCTCAAAATGGAAACCAACACCGCCGGCCGCGAAATTGCGGAGAAGTTGACATTCTGGGCTTGCTGAATACCTAGCTTTCGAAGGCATAGTATCCGTGTGATGCTCTATCGCTATACGTCAGTGAGGCCTCTGTGAGTGCTATGGTGATACTGTAGGATATAAACACCCAAAGGCATCATCCCTGGCTCATTGACATCAAGTACGTTCCTCAAGAGCAAAAATGGCGCTCCTTATCCTCACACTCCCATTGCTAGGCCTAGTCCTCATTCCAGTGGTATACTACATCTGGGACCCACACGGGCTCCGGAAATTCCCCTCGCCATCCCCCATCGCCGCCATCAGCCCTATCTGGCGCGCCTGGCACAACATCCAATTCCAACACTACGCCGCCGTGCACCAAGCCCACCAACGACTGGGCACCCACGTTCGCATCGCCCCCAATCACATCTCCATCCTCGACCCTCACGCCCCGCAGCAAATCTACGGCCATGGCGCCAACATGCTCAAAGCAGACTGGTACGATGCAGCCGCAGGCCCGCACCGCAATCTCGCAGATACGCGCGATAAAGCCGAGCATCAGGCCAAGCGGAAGATGCTGGCGCATACCTTTTCCGCGAAGACCATCGTAGCGTTTGAGCCCTTGCTGCAGGAGAATGTGCAGAATCTGCTGAACGTGCTGGATCGACATGCAGCGACGGGCCAGAAGGCGAATATGCGCCGGCTTCTAAATTACCTGCTGATTGATGTCTTTGGACAACTTCTTTACGGACATGAGCTCGGCTGTCTTGATCGCGGGGATGATATACTTGTCGCGGAGTCAAAGGACGACGGCCGGACCTACACGGCCCCTTTCATCGACTCCCTTCTCGACGTCACCATCATCAACAATCTCCTCGCAATCTTCTCCCATGTGGCACCGACTCTCAGCTTGATCGCCCAGTTCCACCCGTACAAGAAAAGAGGCACAGACTGGGACAATATCATCTACCACCACACGAAGAAGCGATTCGAAACCCTAACCCCAACCACCACCACCACCACCACCGAGAATAATCTATTCCAGCGCTTGCTCCGCGACACCAAAGGTCAAGACTTGAATCTGCCCTTTGGATCCATCCTAGCCGAGTGTTCATCCATGATGAATGCCGGCACCGAAACCATCACAGCGGCCATGACCAACACAATCTACCTCATCTACACCCACCCACCTGTTCGCAAGAAACTCCGCGCCGAGATCCTTGCCGCCGCTCCGGGGCCCGATATCCCAACCTACCCCGTCGTCTCGACGCTGCCTTACCTCCGCGCCTGTATCGAGGAGTCTCTGCGCGTCCGGCCCCCGAGCTCATTCGGTCTCCCGCGTGTTGTCCCCAAAGGCGGACGGGAAATCGGCGGGCAGTTCATCCCAGAGGATGTGATCGTTTCCGTACCCACGTACTCACTTCTCCGTGATCCCTCCGTGTTCAAAATGGCATCTGAATATATCCCCGATCGCTGGATGACCCAGGAAGCGGAGGAGAAAAAGCGGATGATGAATAGCCATCTCCCGTTTAGTACGGGTCCGAGGGCGTGCATTGGCCGGAATATTGCGTATTTTGAGCAGATGGTGGTCATTGCTACAATTGTCAGGTTCTTTGATGCGGAGCTGGAAGAGGGGTTTGAGTTGGAGACGCAGGAAAGGTTTAATTCGAATCCGGGCGAGTTGCCTATGATGATGAGGAGGGTTTAAGACTTTTCGAGGCTCTCAGCGAGGTAGACGTGATTCCAGTTACAATGCTTCATATATACGTCCTTCCAAGCCTGAATAAAGCATCCGTTGGTTTCATTGGAGGTTTTGAAATTATCGCCCTGCTGAGGCATTCAGCGAGTTATACTGCGAATCCACTTTCCTACAATCCCAGCAGAGACACCACATCCGCCAATATTTTCCATTGATTAAACTTGACCATACAATGGAAATACAATCCGCCCAAAAGTGCTTTCTCTTCTATTCGACCTTCTCTTCGCACATTGCCATACGATAATAGTGATCATCAGATAATATTGGGCTGACATATAGACCCATGACTGCTCGTATTCGCCAAGGTCTCAGCCCCATGTCACGTTACAGACCAATCAACATGCAGCGTCCAACACTGCCTCTTCGCATTGCCCCACCCGGTTACAAGGCTGATTATTACTTCGGGGTATAAGAATAACGGCATCTTCATTTCATGATTATAATTCATTTTCCCTTCATACAGAACACTCGTCTATACATTTACTCCATCATCACACAATCAATCACAACACTCAATCACAGCCCAACATGACCACGCGATCCTTAAATGTCGACTTCACCAGCTGGACCGGCAAGCACTTGGAAGTGACCGAGGGCGATACTCTCGTGTATTCCGCCGACCTCAACCTCCGCAAACCCCACATGGTCTTCCAAGCCACCGGCAGCGCCCGACTCCCTGCAACCGTGAGCTTCCACGCCTTCACCCGCGCCATCGACATCGACATCAACGGCCGCCAGATCCCGTTTAAACCACGCGGCACCTTCGAATATGAAGTTCCGTTTGATTCCCCGACAGTCGGCAGTGTGTTTACCTGGAGGAACCCCCATTCAATGAAGCCGTGGGATTTGGAGTGTCGCGATGAGCAGGGTACAGTCGTGGCGAGGTTTATTCCCAGCACATCGTGGAGTCGAACCAAGGCGGGTCGACTCGAACTAGACGGGCTGTTAGGGAGTGGGCCAATCATTGATGAAGTGGTTGTTACGGGATTGGCTTTGGCGTATTATATCATTACACAGACATTGGCTTAGTCCAGTCCCTCTCGTTGCATATCTCTTATTTAGCGGACTTCATTCTTATCATACACAAATCAATGCACCGGACTATCCCCAATCTCCAACATCTTCTCCTCCAACTCCCTCCTCAACTCCCCCACCACCCCCTGATACCTCTCCTCATAATACACATTAAACAACTCCAACGGATCCTCCACACAATCAAACAACTCCCACTCCCTGGGCTGTCCCCCCTCCCCGGTCCCAGGCAGTCCAAACCCCTCCGCATACCAATAAATCAACTTATACCTCTGATTCCTCACCCCATAATGCGCATACGCATTATGAATACTATCCCGATGCATCCAATACCGATGATACGCCACCTGCTCCCAATCCCACGGCGTACATCCCCTCAACAACGGCACAAACGACACCCCCTGCATATACGACGGCACCCTCAACCCGGCCAACTCCAACCACGTCGTCGCGAAATCTACATTGGATATAATATCCTCGCACACCGACCCCGGTCGAATCATCCTCGGATACCGGATGAGAAACGGCATCTGAAACGACTCCTCGTACATGAACCGTTTATCGAACCAGCCATGTTCACCTAGAAAAACCCCTGATCGGACGAATACACCACCACCGTATCCTCCGCTATCCCCTCCTCATCCAGATAATCCAACAACCGCCCAACGTTGAGATCAACCGAATGGACCGTCCGTAAATACCTCTTCAAATACCTCTGATACTTGAACCGCTTCACCTCCTCCCCACTCTTGAACCGAAACACCTCCCCCGTATCCTTATCAACCAATCTCACATTCTCGATCCCCTCGTCCCCGTAAACAGGGACCTTTCGATCCCCGTTGAGAAACAACTCCCCAACCTCCTCCTCCCCACCCTCAGGCTGCACAAGCCCCAGATCAAAATACGTAATATCACTCTGTATCCGCATCTTCGCTGCCCCTGCCGCCTTAGCCCGGTGTTTATACTCGTCATTGAACGTATCCGGTACAGCCACGTCCTCGGTATACAGCCCCCGATGATCAGGTCGACATTCCCATGACCGATGCGGCGCTTTGTGATGACACATGAGGAAGAATGGCTTCCCTTCCTCCCGTCCCTTCAACCAGGTAAGTGCCTTATCGGTGATGATGTCAGTCACATACCCCTTCTCCACACCCCTAACCCCCTCCCCACCACCACCATTCCCATCCGAAGTAATAAACTCGGGATCGAAATACCCCCCCTGCCCCGGCAGCACACTCCAATAATCAAACCCACTCGGAGAATATTCTCTTCCCTCACCTAAATGCCACTTCCCAATCATGGCAGTCGAATACCCGCCTGATTGCATATGTTTCGCCACATTCGGCAGCCGGTTATTGAGTTTATCGGCTAGAGTAAACACCCCGTTCACGTGGTTGTGTGTTCCGGTGAGGATTGTCGCGCGGCTGGGCGTGCAGATCGAGTTGGTCACGTAGCAGTGGGTGAATTTCATGCCTTCGTGGGAGAGGCGGTCGATGTGGGGGGTTGTATTTAGGGGGGTTGTGGGGGGGTGGTTTGGGGGTGGTAGGCGGAGATGGCTTTTGAGGCGTGGTCGTCGGCGAGGATGAAGAGGATGTTTGGTTTTTTTGCAGGGGGGGGATGGGGATGGGGGAGTTTGAGTTGGGTCATTTTGGCGATTGGTTGGGTTTGGTAGGAGAGGGATGTATAGGTGGGAAGTGAAATTAGGGTTGGGGTGAGGATGTTGAATTGGGAGGTGAGGGAGTGGAGGGAGGGGATGGGTTTGTATATATATGATGGAGAGGGGCAGTCACGATAATGCTAGTATGGATATACTATGGATATCCTATAAGAAGTGCTATTGGTCAATGATGTATAGGCTCGACAACACGGCATATATTCCTGCGCTAACGGTTGCGAGATATACCTCGGTGCTGACGCCATCGTGGGTGATTGCATTTTCGCTATTGCGGGACTAAGATTGTGATTTGTGGGTTGGCAGGTTGGAGTAATCCTTTCTGGTAAGGGAATAGATAAGATTGGGACTGTAGCTGTGTATGTGTGTGTGTGGATGTCTTGTCATTTTATCTTGCTTGGTAGTGGTGGTGGTGGTGATGGTCGCGTTTAGGTCTGGAGGGAGAGGTTTTTGTTGCAACAAATCAGGAAAGTAGATCTTGCATTCATTGCAGGCTTTTGCACTTATTGTGATTACCATAACTATAGGTTTCGTTATTATTATTCAATGGTGAATAGTAAATACGTCAGGTGTGAATACCCAATAACCTGGATAAATATATATCCCGCAGATGGGCATCCAACACACATCAAGCATACGCCTCTCAAACAAAGCCAAATTTTGTATTCCCCGGAGACAACTCCATTCACCTTTTCTCTGCTTGTCAAATAAAAAAGGAATAAGCATTTAACGGATTCTCTATTTATCCGTCAACTGAGGTCTAAAAACAAAAAAGAGGGCCGAACGCGGATCGAACGCGTGACCTCGGGATCTGCAATCCTACGCTCTACCACTGAGCTACCGACCCGGGATGAATGATGGCGTAGGAGTGCGGTATATAACGTAGAATTTATTATAGACTTTAGATAGGATGAATATGGGGGATTTGATTTGTGGTGTTGGGCTGGGTAGGCAATATCTTAGAGAGATGTAATTGGACAACCATCTGAGATTTTTGGGATTAAGAAGTATTCCATGGTGGGGTGAAATCGATTCATGGTAGCGAGGGTTGGGTTACGATGGTGTGTTTGATAGTGCTATTGATGAAGAGAAATACGGTAGGTGATTTCTCGATATGTATTGATGGGACATTCACAGCCCATACACATAAGAGCTGGAACAAAGCTTTAAGCCAATCAATGAGCAAAGCGAAAATCCAACCTCTTACTTCCCGTATCCGTCGATGTCTGTAGATAGTGTTGTCGTTGCTGTATCACCAATTAGCCAATCCATCAACTCTTCTGTATTGAGTAAAGGAAAGAAAGGAGATGGTCTACCTCCTCAGTCATAGCATTCCACACCCTCTCCCGCTGCTTGTTCCGATACAAGTAATACGCCTTCGTAGCAAGAAACATCAGAATGGCGAGGATATTGATCCCCAGCAGAGCGGAATTCCCCCTTCGGTATTTGGGTTTATCGTCTGCGCGGTAAATATTGTTACCGATGATGGCGCCGAGTTGGACGAACACTGTCCCAGTTTATTAGCTATGATTCGTTGTGATGGAGGGTAGGGTGTGGTAGCATACTATTATACAGCGCAGCCGAAATAGTCCTCGTGCCCACATTATTCGAATTCTTCGAACACCAACCCACCAGAATGGCGTGGCAGTAGGGATAACACAATAACGCGGTTACGATGGCATAGGTCCCCCATGCGTTGGTCATCGTGCCGGACCAGAACCGCAGTGCGATGATGCACGGCAGAGTCCAAATCACTTGGATCATGGAGACAAAGGTGCGCTCGTTTAGCCATTCGCTGAGACGGGTGAGGGCGAGGAGGCAGATGATGTGTCCGACGCTGTAGGGGATTGTGAGGAGGTTGGTGTTGAACTGTGCATAGTTGGTATTGGGTTTGCTGGGGAAGAACAGGGGGAGGGTACAGTGCTGAATCCCACGGATTTCAGGGTCAGGGTGATGTATGATGTGACTGGGGTCATTGGAATGTAGATGATCAGACCGAGGAGGTAGATCGGCCAGAGGTCGTAGTCGCGGAGGGAGTTCCAAAGACGACGGGGGGTGATGGCTTGGCGGTTGTGCATGTCTCCTGTTGTTGTGAGTATGCTTTTATTAGAGTAAGTTGAGGGATGAGGGTACCTTTGGAGGGATCATCGCGGAGAACGCGATTGACAACAATGCTGACCTCGCGGTCGGTGAACCACCCCTTTGGCCGAAACCATTTCTTCGTGTCGACTGCGGAGGCTGGCATGCGAAAGTAGGAGCAGAGACCGATCAGTAGAGTGATGAGTCCTTCGATTAGGAATAGCCATCTGGTCTGTTAGCTTAGACGAAGTAGGCTAGGGTAGACGCACCTCCAGCCGGCCATGCCTCGTACATCCCGCATGTGAAGGATGCCAAATGCCATGAATGAGGTTACAATAGTGGTCACAGAGAGAGCAGTCCAGAAGAGACTATCACTGTTAGTAGTGGTCAAATGTAGATGAAGGCGATTACCTCAGGCGAGTGGGCAGTTCTCGGCTGGTATAAAAGTAGGAGAGCCAGAGGACAATGTCGGGGATGAAACCACCCTACACAGGTTAGACAGATACAACACTGGAAGAGAACATACCTCGAGAATTCCCAGCAGTGCTCTCGTCGCGTAGAATGACCTCTTTCCAGCTAGAGCAGCCTGCGACGTAGCAACAATCGACCACAGCGTTATCTGCGTGGGAATCCATCGATCGGGGCCAACTTGCTTGGAGACCAACTGTGAGGGAAGCTCTGCAAGGAGGAAAGCGACAAGGAAGATGGTGTTTCCAGTGTTGTAGTCTATCCATTAGTCAAGTACATTCCAGAGGCGAAATGCTCACCATTCGTGGTAAGACCGAGGTCATCCAGCAAATTATCCGACACCGCTTGGACGAGATTCCCTCGATCCACCTGAAGCCCGAAAAACATGACACACTACAAAGTCAGCATACTGAATTTCAATGGAATAGATGAGATAGCATACTGCCCACAGACACACTCGCCAGTCCAATTTCCGGACGAGCGCCTTTTCCTCTTCCGCACTCCACGTCAGGGTCGGATCAAAAACATGTCGACACTCGTACTGTGCCTTCTCGTAGATAAGAGCATAGCGCTCTGCAACCTCTGGGTCTGCAAAAGGATTGTCCTGCTCATCCGACACATCGTCGTATCGTGCTTGGACCTGAGTCTTGTCCTTGGAAGGGACTTCTGTAAATGAATCGTAATGCCGTCCTTGGTCAATTGACCTTTGGCTGAGTTCCTTTTGAGCCATGTCACCGGTAACAGTTGAGTTGATACTGGTGTAATGGCCGCGATCGGAGCTTATAAGGCATCATGAGTATCGCAGGCACGCCATTTGCAAGTCATTTCGCGTCGTAGATAACAGCCGTCAATCAACGATATCAAGTTTCCCTACTGACCACTTATGTTAGTCAATCAGCATGCGATTAGTCCGACAGGCCCTCATGCATGATTAGTCTGTGTTGTATGTCAGCCAGCAGTGTCATTTCGCAATCCTGGGCTTGGATGGCTTCATGATGCGACGCCTTGCTGGAAATAGTTCGCTTCTGGAGTAGATGAACATTGCTAAGAATGACTTGCGAGAGCTTTAATTTGCAATCATACTTTACGTTTTGCGGAGTATTGCACTTCTCCAGCTGGTTTGTGGGGATGTTGAAGCCCGCATTGACCATGGCGTCATTTGAAGGGGTGCAGTTGCGTGATGCCCGCACCGCCTTGCGAGTTCGCAGATAAGGAGCATCAGCCATTATTGAACTAGTCTATTGGATAGTAAGGAGCACGTGGATGAATGCCGACCGGTTGAACTGTCTTACTGATTGACCGCTATGTATCGGCGGATATCGCCAACCTACAAATGACATTTTCTCGATCTATCGAGTCACTCATGCTTCCATCCTAAGATCCTATTTGCCTTTTCAGCCGTAAAGAACGACTCGTTCCCTTTGAACTCGCCTCGAATCTCTGTGTCCGGATAATACTTCTTTGCCAGCTCGCGCGACGGCGTATCCTGCGTCGTTGTCGGAGCAACCACATTGAATATCTCAGCCCCCGAGAAGCTGTCATTCTTTTCCACCGTCAACAAGCATGCGCGAGCTGTCGCTTCTGGGCTCACCCAGCCCCATAAGCTCTTAACAGCCGAGTCTTCCCACCTCTCTTTATGTCCTTGCTGCGCTTCTTCGCGAGACGCCACGGCGTGGATGCGCATACACGCAATGTTCATCCCCGGAAACCACCTTGCAAACGCTCGCGCCTGAGCTTCGGCTTCCTCCTTGGCTAGTGCATATGAGTCGGTCGGAGTGGACGGCGCTTCCTCGTCAATGGGAAAGTAGTCGAACTTGAGCGGTCGCGTGGCGTATTCCAGGCCGATCGCGTTCACCGATGATGCATAGCAGAATCGTTTGATGCCCAACTGAGCAGCGGCGTAGAAGCCGTTGAATGCTGAGGTCACATTGTTGTTGTGCACAAGTTCATCGTCTTTTCCCAAGGGGTCTGGAATGGCAGCCAGATGGATGACTGCGTCGCAGCTTTTGAAGGCTTCAAGGGTGGCTTTGTAGTCATTGGCGGTGTCGGCGGTCTTCATCTCGGAGTTCGGTGTTCCATCATATTTGGTGTCGGTGCGGTCGACTTGGACAGTGGAATGACCTGCTTCAGAGGCTTGTTTGACGACAGCGCGACCGACGGTGCCGCGGGCACCGGTGATGGCGATTCTCATGTTGTTGGCGTCGCTGGCTAGGGAAAATGGTCTGCGGTGTTGACGTATTTGGCACGAGATCTGGCGTGACAAGAGACGAGAGGTGGTATGCGACAGGCGCATAAATTGCAGATGGGCCGACATATTTATGGGTGGGTTGAAGATGCATGGGATGTTGTATGTGAACCGGTTAAGATGGTCGAATGCATGACGTGGATATGATGGTAACAACTAAGGTTGCTCAACCCATGACGCCAGCATGACCACTGCTGAGTTATCTGATCTCACAATTGGTGAGAATATGGACATGGCAGATTTGGATAGATTCATTAAAATATGCGATGAAAGAAAAGCTGGAATGAGAATGACGTCATCTGCATCTGTCTCGTGCAGGCCTGAGGCAGCCATGGTCAACTGAACTCGATGTGCAACAACCATTTAACCACAAGTCCTGAGGTGTTTCTCCATTCATCAGTCCTCTGCACTGAGCTCAGTGTTCCTACTGATCGTCTCTTAATTAATGCCGGCAATATACCGCATATTAACCCCTCTCTGAGGTTACATCGGCCGACCTGATTGCGCTTCCCCAGCTACTCGACAGCACTCCAAACTAACGGAGCCTGAGTACTTACACTGCTCCTAGTTAAGCTTGCATGGGCAAGTGCTGAACCACGGAGGATGCTTGGCATCAAGGAATGTCTCTAGCGTCGTCATCAGTCTAATTATGGAGTCAGGACGGAGTCACTCCACCCACTGGCATCTTCTAACAATCCCAACGGAGAACCTCCCGCTTCGTGAAGAACACGGTGCTGCAAGCAACAGTCGGAACATTGTCCATGATCGCCTCCTGCAGGGACCTATTCGGTTAATGAAGAAGTCACGATTCATATAAGATGCATAGGAACAAATGAAGCTCGGCAACATGCATATATTAGCCCCTTCAGGATCAATCAATAACTGACAGTTGAACCGCTCGGAGTCCGATGACAAGATCGAAATCTGCTTGGCAGCAGGTCTAGACTGATGGCCTCGTAACGAGAAACCTGACAAATCAAGTGATGGATCAGAGGTATACCAGCCGAATCTACCATGCTATCTACTCCATAATCTTGAAGTACGGGTTAAGTGTTGCAGAGTTGTACATCCTGGATTCGAGTTAGGGTTGTTGACCCACTGTGGACCCTGAATATGAAGAAATTGAGGTGAGGCATGCAACGCCACAATACATCCCGTCAGTACCCCATGTGTCGGAGATGTGAAGCATTTCTGTGGCCAGTAACTGCGAGACCTGCTCATCGGAAGAATATCATTCCTTCATGCATGCTGGAACCCCGATGATCAACCGAGGACTAGGTCGAACCCCTGAACGCATTTTGCCGACGGATCAATCACATTGATGTCCGGCCCTCCAGAAATCTCCAAGGGTCCTTTTTGGAGTCCCGATAGTGGGATCGGCAGTCGTGTTTCTAATCTCGACAGTGCGGCCTTTTCCGACCGATCCGCTCAACTGGTGGGTCCCAGTCTATCTCGATATCACCATTCCCACATTCCATCCACCACCGTATGATGAGCTTCATCAGGAGATGGCATTGATATTTGCCGAGTGCATCCACTTAGCTCTCCCGCGTCGTGATTCTGGCGGCAAAGTGAAACGCGTGGATCAAATGGGTGGCAGAGAAGCCCCGACACGGCTGCAACTGTGGAGATGCCGAGACCTGCCGAGAGCCGCCGATGCTTCGACCAGAAGCCAAGGCGTCAATCCATGCCCTCTTCGGCCGCGGTTCGTCACTCTCAAGCCCATCAACACCGCGGATGACCCGGATGACACGAACTGGGTGCATGCCAATGCTGCCAGGCTTGCTTATCCCTGGCTAAACGCCCCATCGCCGTTAGAGATTGATATCCCGGTGGACCGGAGGTCCCTTTTCTTTCCACCAATAACGGGACCATTGCAATGCCACGCCAGGCACAGAAGCTTAGTTGTGTCCCCGGATATAAAAGTCGAGGACTTCCATGGTTTATACCATTCCAACACACAGCTTCACTCCTTGCCTTTCCTCTGTTGACCAGATCCATTCATTCTTTTACTATCCGTTCTGTTGACCAGAATCACCATGCACTCCATCCAGCTCCTTAGTTTGGCCGCCGTCGGCTCCCTCGTCTCTGCGGCCCCCGCTCCTTCTCGTGTCTCTGAGCTCGTCAAGAAGTCCTCTTCGACTTGCACTTTCACCTCCGCCTCCGAGGCCAGCGAGAGCATCTCCAAGTGCTCCAACGTGGTCCTCAGCAACATCGAGGTTCCCGCTGGTGAGACCCTCGACCTGTCTGATGCTGCCGATGGCTCTACCGTATGTCCTGCCACTCCTATTTCAACCGCCATCTAACAACACCAGATCACCTTCGAGGGTACCACGTCCTTCGGCTACAAGGAATGGAAGGGTCCCTTGATCCGTTTCGGCGGTAAGGACCTCACCGTCACCCAGTCCTCCGGCGCCGTCATCGACGGTGACGGCTCCCGCTGGTGGGACAGCAAGGGCACCAACGGTGGCAAGACCAAGCCCAAGTTCATGTACATCCACGATGTCGAGGACTCGACCTTCAAGGGTCTCCAGATCAAGAACACCCCTGTCCAGGCCATCAGTGTCCAGGCTACCAACGTCTACCTGAACGACTTCACCATCGACAACTCCGACGGTGATGACAACGGCGGCCACAACACCGACGGTTTCGACATCAGCGAGAGTACCGGTGTCTACATCAGCGGTGCCACCGTCAAGAACCAGGACGACTGCATTGCCATCAACTCCGGCGAGGTACATACCCCTTTTTACCACCCATTCGTACATGAACTAACCAAACCAGAGCATCTCTTTCACCGGCGGTACCTGCTCCGGCGGCCACGGTCTCTCCATCGGTTCCGTTGGTGGCCGTGACGACAACACCGTTAAGAACGTCACCATTGCTGATTCCACCATCAGCGACTCCGCCAACGGTGTCCGTATCAAGACTATCTACAAGGAGACCGGTGATGTCAGCGAGATTACCTACTCCAACATCCAGCTCTCCGGTATCAGTGACTACGGTATTGTCATCGAGCAGGACTACGAGAACGGCAGCCCTACTGGCACTCCCTCCACTGGTATCCCTATCACCGATGTCACCGTTGACGGTGTCACTGGTTCCATTGATGATGATGCCGTCCAGGTCTACATCCTTTGCGGTGACGGCAGCTGCTCTGACTGGACCTGGAGCGGCGTTGACATTACTGGTGGAAAGACCAGCTCGGACTGCGAGAACGTTCCTTCTGGTGCTTCTTGCTAGATGCGCTCTAGGACATGTATATATTAGTTGTAGTGACTACCTATGGTGAATAATAGAAGCTTGCTTCAATTGAAGTGGAATTGTTGTAATCACTGGCTGGAGTTAATTGGTTGACCTTGAGGAGAATGATGTGAAGTTATTCGGGTGAATTAGGGTAAACTAGGGGTATATCTATTCGCCCAATCCTCTCCTAGCCCCTCTCAACCCTCATCCGGACATATCCTTGACTATACTCAACAACCCAGCAAGCCACTACATTTGCTCAATGCTCAGTCCTTGTATACCTTCCATTCTCACACCCATCGATACAACCACCACCTTTCCAGAGAATAATACTTACCCTTTTCATTGATCCCAACACGCAAGACATGTTGGATCCAACTAGAACGAAAGACAAGCAAATTGAATACCCATTCTCAGCGCCCCCAAGAATCACAGGGGATGGTTCGATTCGCCATACCCTCTATCAATCATCGACAACCACAACATACTTTCCCAGTGACCAACCAAAGACATCCAAACAGAACCTCCTAGCATATACAAATCACCACCACCACCACCGTCCAGCAAACAAGCAAGCGCCGATTAAGCTGTGCGACCACACTAGCAGTAACATCTCTAACCCTGGGGCCTTCGAACCACATTCCAAGTCACCAGGCCGTGTCAAACAAGCAATCAAAGGATCCAGAAAAGCCCTAAATACAGAGCGACTCCCACGCACGAATCACAAAACTGTCTCCCATCAACTGGGACCGTGGAATACCTGTTGCATTGATCTATTTCAGAGACTCCAGAAATAGGAATGACCATCCTGGCCTTTCTGACTGGTATATAAAAGCGAATGCGTGGCAGAAAGGATATGACAAGGAGTCAGGAACACTGGTCCATGAGATTGTATGATGGAAAGGTTGGGGGTTCTCTGGGGACAAACTCGGGCATCTTTCCAAAGATTGAAGAAGAACATCTTGACAATGCCACATTATACGTCGAGGCATTGTCTTCGGCTTGCAAAGACTTCAAGTCTTGTATTTTTATGCTCTGATTGTCTCTTAAATGGCAAGATATCGGTCAATATAACCACTGACACTCCCGACTCTAATGGTCCGCACACCTGCCCTGGGATTCAGCATCTCCTCTATGGCACAAGTCAAAGAGTCCTTGTTAGGGAGAGAACCGCGAGAAGTCGAGACCATGCATTTTCAGTCAAAAGCGTCATGATAAGCTTTCTAAAACAGACATGCAGGCATGAGAAAAACACATTCTCGAGCTGAAACCGTTTGAAATAGAACAAACCTCGTCTATGGCCAAGTATGAACCTCAGCGGATTCTTCCGGATGTCATTCCTGATAACCTTAATCTACTACAACAAGTATGATTCTCAAACGCCGACCATCTAGCATGGTTCCTATACTGGGTCAAACGGAGAATATCAATCAACATGAAGGAGTATTCTCCAGGAGAGCCCTTCAAATAATAATCGAAGTCAGTTCCTCTGAGTGTCAATACCTGAAAACCCGTTATCAGAGACTCAGGACAGTTTCTTGATATACATACTTGCGTGAACAAACTGGGAGTGCAGGGACGTTTCGTCATTAAAGCCCTGCACCCAGTGGGGATCTCCTAAACCTTGGAATCAGTTTTGGAGACACACAATGGGGTAGAAACTGCCTACGAAAGTGTCTTGAAAGAAAGCTCCGAGGAGAAGATCTCGTGCCAGATTTGGTGGTGGTTGAACACGCTATCAAGATGCCAGTGGAAGTCAAGACGACTTGGAGATTCGAGCTGAAGAAGAATGCACCTTGGTGTTGATACTTGGCCAGCAGTGTGGGGAAAACAGCCATGGCATTCTTGTCAGCAACATTCTTTTTGTTCACTTGACTGACTATTGATGGTCTTCACTACTTCCTCCTAAACGTTAGGGCAGTTCAAGCTATAATGACGTCCAACGAGAGGAAAGGGGTGTACTCGCTACCTACCTAGCAGCAAATACCAAGAGAGTCATCATACCTCATGCTTGCTGGATACAGAGTACAAGGAGACTCTTGTTGGCAACGAAACTGGAATTCAAGGCCGCTTCAACCAGAAGACTGGTCACATAATGGGAGGGTATATCCTTCAACCGAGTCGATATCGCGATTGAAGACTTCCAGTCATATGTTTGGACTCAACGCAGATCGACAACCAGATGTACCAAGATCCGCAACACACACTCCCGACGAACCGCCGGAGACACCGGCCCAGGAGGACTAAGTCCCCGCCGACCTTCAAGCCATGGTCGACCAAGAAATCAACCGTCAGCTAAACAATGCCACTCGTCTCACTACCTATCCCGAGTCATGTGTGTGTAATATACGCATAAGAAACACAGAGTCTATTCTGTGAAATGCGGTATTTGTTCCACCTATGAAAACATTGACGTCGAGATTTATCTCCATTATCTATGCTTTGTTGACAGATTGGCTGGCAAGTCATGAAGTTGATTTCCACCTCCCGGTGTCTTCAAAGAATGTTGCAATCACAGAAGAATTACATACATCGACCAGTCGTCATGATCGAAGTGACGGCCATTATATGAATATCATTACATTCTTCAGGATACCGTTCCAATGCAAGGCACTAGAAGAAATATCTGTCTCCTTCTCATGCTAAACATAATCATTAAACCGGAGACATTCCTCTATCTATTTCTCAGACGCAGACAATATGTTCTGCACGAATCGAACAATGGTATTCGAATGCCCTCATTCATACCCTAAAGCGTTTCTTACAAATCATCTACTTCTCGCAGTTCTGCGGTTTGGCCTTCAAAGTCTGCCAACAGGTATCTCTTGATCGGACTAGTCTTGCAGACCATCGATCAGGGCTGCTCAACTTGGCTTCCATTCATATCAACTTGCAAAACAATGGAAACATCATTGTCAGGAGGATACTCATACACTACCGGTATTTAATCGTCATCTAGATACACAGCCCAAGAGGAAGTCTTCATAAAAAAACGACTGTGAGTCGAATACACCCCTACGACGGCCAGCCTGATAGGGCGTGGTTTGGGATTCGGGCAACATACCCGAATAGTCAACTATTATTTTTTGATTGTGGAAGACACCGTCCAAATCCCAGTCTAGCCTTCGCAAACCTCCTCTGAGGCTCGAACTCACGAATGTTTATTTGAAATGGAAACCATCATGAATCCTTGCTCTAGTGGAATGCAATTGCAGAAAACATCCCGCATAAGCACGAATGTGCAAGTACAGGGAAGCTCCCCAAATTGTGGCCTGGATATAGCAGCTACAGCAGGAGCAGAATGCGGTGATCTTTGAAGATATACAGGCAAGCGGCCGCCTCCAGTACCTACTGACTAACGAGATGATTATCGCTGTCTGTTAGGGTTTTTCTAGTATCAGTAAATAGGAAAGAGTGATTCATGAGAGTGGAAACTCTGGATCGCCATTATCTTAGATATCTCTCTAACGACAAACCCACTATGAGCTTCTGCCATAATGCACACTTTTGGGCCATGGGCGCTCGATAATCTGGCTGACATAGGGCGTTTTGTGGACTCAACCCTAGCTTTTACACTCACGGTTCGAGATAGTGGGTAGATTGGGATTCCCGTTCTCGAACACCAAAGAGACGTGCATGAAATCAAGACTCATCATCGTTGATCTGGCGGGATAACGAATCTGAAATGACCCTTTAATCGTTCAAATAACTATAACGATTGCTGCCACTGATGTTTGGTTGTGCTTGCTCCCGATGCCGTCACATACTCCTGCATCTATCTTTGCCATCGACGCAGGGATGTGCTGATTTCGTATCCAATGAAAAAACCACACTTTCACTTTAGGAATTCTATACTTTTGGGATAATATGATATACAAACACTGGCCACACGAGAAGAACAGTTGATGTCGATTCAATTGCTAAGAAAGTCTTTCCTACAATGTATGTTGTTTCTTCAGAGTATTTGGGACGCCATGAGTGCTCGGGAAAAGATCATTAACCATGACTCCAAATGAAACAATTCAATGATATTATGTGGTTTATATGGCTTTTTCATCCTATTCGCAGAAACATCATGCCGTACTAATTTCGGTATGCCCGAGGAGATAATCGGTACACAAAAGAGATCCCCTCCAAAGGATCAATGGAGCCCGGAAAGACATTTATAGAATTGTCTCAATCGTGACCCCATCACGGTGCCAAATAACTTCAATACAGCACTATCTTGGCTGGGCTTTGCTATGACTCATCTGCCCGAATCAATCATATCACCGGAAATGGTGTTTTTGTTCTTGCGCGTGAGATGGAAATTGATAGGGTAGGAGACTTCAGAGCCGGGAATAAATGCTTGTCAAACCGGACTCCCAGACGCAGGAGGAAATGATTATATCCATACGGATGACATCCCGTGCCAATATATCCCACAGACCTTATCAAAGCTCCTAGTTGGAAGACTCGGACACTGAGGTGTGATGATCATAAACGAATGTTTACAGTGGTATTCTCACTCACTCACTGTTATTTCTGAAAAAGGCTGTGAGAATATACTCAGAGAGATGGAGGCAGAACTAGTAGGATGATAAGCTGGATTTCCCATGATAGGTACAGGGGAGCCAACAACAAGTCACAGAATCCATTCGGTACCTTTGGCATGAATGCATCATGCCTGCCACCGCGCCATCTCGCAACCCCCCCTCAGCATCTTTATTCTCTTCCAGGGGGTAGGGCGTTTCCACCGCATCGGACAGGAAAAGGTGCAGACTGTATGTTGCCTTTCAGGAACACACCATCAATAAATGGCTCGATCATATCGCCGCGATAAAGGCCGTCTTGGAATCCAGCGCAAACATGAATGAGGAACAATAGAGGCAGGTGGAGCCACGGCCACATGCACTTGTCCCAGCTGAGGACGAGGACGAGGAGGAGGAGAGTGGTCATCTGACGTCTGATGGGCCAGCGACGCACTCATCTCACCGAAGCGGACAACTATAATGACCTTAGCCACAGACGGATAGAGACTAAGAATGCCAGGGAACAGTTGCAG